CGTGCTAATCCCCGAATTCCTCCACTACACTACCTGGACCAGTCAGCATATATCAAGCAAATACTGCGACAGTATAATATAGATCACAAAGTAGTTGCACCAACCCGCGCCCCGATGCCAAGTGGCAAGATATTATTAAAAGTATAACAAGATAATAAACTTGCACTTAAACAAGATTATTAGCAAAGAGTTAATAGTACAATGTTTATAATAGTCTATTTGCAACCTAATATTATGTATATAACAAGCGTGCTTGTATAGTTTATAAATAAACTAACTAAAAAGCATACTTAAGATATAAAAGCCCTCTTATACTACCTGTGATTAACAATCGACCTAAAGATTTGCTATGGACCAGGTTCTAGGCATGTAAATTAGGTTATTAGCTATTTAAATACTAATTACACAGGAGATTATTTTAATTAAAAGTTAAGATCTGGCATGCTTTTTATACTGGGAGGAGGACTAATCTTATAGCAAAGCTGTAAACAACCTGCGGTATTAATATTAACAACCGAAGCAGAGTATATCGCATTAGCCTTATATACAAAGCAAGCTAAGTGGATTATATAATTTATAATAAATATAGGCTATTTAAAGTATATTAGTAAAAACCAGTGTACTGTCCTAATATACAAAGATAATACCTTTATAATTACACTTATTAATCAACTGTTATTAAATAAATACTTAAAATATATTAATATTGCATACCACTTCACACGCGATCTAAAGGAGTGTAATATTATTACCACTAAGTATATCTAAACTTGCAAAATACTTGCAGACAGCATGACAAAGACACTACTACAAGAGCTGCTAGAATAACATCGCAGCAAGATAGGATTGGTAGACAGTGGGAGATAATTAAAAAAAGGTGGAGAAAATAAGTGCACTGGATAAAAACATGCGAGCTATATTCTACAGGACAAGTCTAAGTGGGAGTGTTAGAAATTAGGATGCCTAAGGCACCTTCGTATATCCTAGTCCCGCAGCGATATGATATATTATATTCAGGGGCTAAGGGACACGTAGATATAAGGAAGCATTTGTCTACGCTCTCTCTCCTAGATAAAAGAATATACTCACCATGCGATACTAGATCGCACCGATAGTTTCAATATACTATCCAGTCACCGCTATCCTAGCACCTCACGACATAGCTTCTTCCCCTATCTTCCCCGAGATTCTCAACATATACTTGCCTATAACCTTAACGAAAATATGTATATATGCATGATATTTCATATCCTTAAAAAATATGCTTATTTAATAGCTGCACCGCTTTGATGTATGGAACTGTCCAGTAACTATTTCTGACCTTTCATAGAGATGTGGCTATTAATGTATCCTCTAATTAAGCTGCCTAAGGCACCAAGCGGTACAATTTCCTATTCGGGAGTTCCCGACATCTATCATCCGACGAAATTCTACCTGGTATTTAAACAGGTCAATTCTTGCTTTGTACTCTATTAAACAGGATATATAGGACAACGTTCGGCTGGTAAGAAACAATATCTGATTATTTACTAGCTAACAATTACAAGGTACAAAGAGCGCTTGTGTGACAGTGTCAGGGCTGAACCCGTAGAACCGATAAGATAGGCTATGTACAAAAGGAATCGTTGAAGAAGGCAAGAAAGGAAGTGGAAAATGAGACTCACGTGTTGTGGGTCGAGGGCCAAGGGTCAAAAGGGCCTGTAAGGAGAGTAGGGACAGTAGGGACATTGGCCCGAGAGGTCGAACGGGCTCCAGCCTTTTACACCATGGCTTCGATCATGGCTTCAAAGTGGACAAGAAACGAATTATTCCAGTCGATAAAGAGACGTCCAGCGAACCATTGGAATACTTTTTTGAATTATCTATAAATAATATCTGGGCACTCTGCAAAGAAGAGAGAAAGACATTTGCAAAGTGCTCCAATATCTATTTATTTTGGATAATCATCTGTTACTCGTAGGGTCCCAGCTACAATAGACCGTACAAATTGGACAATTGTCTGCTAATTCTTAATAGATATGGAAGCTATTTAACTCCCTAATTTAACCAAATATTCAGTGAGAATAAGATTATTCTAATTTGTATGCTAGCACACTCGTCCCACCTGCTTCAACCGCTTGATGTTGGTTGTTTTGGGCTGTTCAAGTGTGTATACAGAAAGCCGGTTAAAGATTACGATTCGGGAGCTAGCCTAGGGACAGCTTTGCTCTCCGGCCAATAAGCTCTTACCTCCGTCACTCTCATTGGCTGGATCACACAGTTGGGATGCTTATGGATACGATGCTATATTCATTTATGAAATTGTCAATAAGTCGTTTCAACTTCAAGGGACTTCAATCAGAATTAAGATCCTCATGTGCACCAACTAAACTTCACAAGTTTAAATTCTGCATTAAAAACATTGGAGACCTTTATCATGCGTCTCGCATCACATCGCCTGCCATCGAATTAAATGGCAAGAAGGCGCGTGATAGTTATAAAGAGAAGAAGGATCTATATACAATATATCTCACTCCTCGGACAGGTATAAAAGGGTGCACACTTCCTCAGATCATTATATCCATAGCAGCGCTTCCTTTCTCATTAATTGCCAGGAACATTTAGTTTATCATCTGAGGCACGTTCCCCGAGACCTCACCTGCCCTCGCAGCATTGGGCCATGAAGTTTCCAATTTTCTAGCTGAGCTCTTTAACACCACATATTTTCGATACATGGCTTGCCTTGACACATTCCTTCACTGGCTAAAAGATCTCCTGGGAGAAGCAGAAGGTTCAAGCAAAGGCTGCCCACGTCCGCCAACATTTCACTGGGGCCAGGATATAGATCTTGAATATCCACCTCCACTCCTTCATGGGATTGTCGAACCCAGAAACTCGCATACTGGAGCTGTGGTGATCAGACATCGAAATCATAGTCTCCTTTCCATATCGACCCCTCTTGGCACTCATTCAACACTCTGGCCAGACGAAGAAATTATCAAAGAGCCACCCCCAGCAATATCATACAATAGGACTCCACCCCTGCCACAATTGCCAGGCAACGGCGAAACTAATCAACAGTAAGTGGTTTCTCCTTGAAATTGTCTCCATACTTATTGAATGTTGAAAGGTGACCATGGCGGGTTAGATAGACTATATATTCTCTCTAACTTTTTGTCTCTTTATTGCTTGGTTTATCTTTGTCCCGATTGTTGTGCTTTGCCACTGCTTGAGACCGGTGTATCACTGGGTAATTCTGGAGTATAGATTCTATCGAAGATATTAATTGTTGCTTTGCCCGGATTATCTTTAATATGCCTGGGGACACCTCTGTCAAGGCTCAACTTATTACAACTGGAAACTGCAAAGCACATTGGACCATTACTCTCAGCGAACCTGACAAGTGTATTAATGCAAACCTTGAGCTAGACACATTGAAGTGGAGCCAAGGCCACCCTGCACTACCTTTATAAACCATCGAGTTTGGCGTTACCGATCACTATCCAGGAGTCGAAGAGATGAAAGGTTGTTTCTGGCTTCCTGAACACCTTATGGAGCAACAGGGGCCATGCCATTGTGCGAACTGGGTGTAAGTACATAATATAATAATAATATTTCACAATTTGACAATTTTTCAGATGGGCTGTAATTTGGTATCATTGTTTAAGCGGCTATGTTGAGGAGGTGTCTAGAGAAGACGTCTCCCTTCCGAATTTATTAGCCAGACTGGTTAAGATCCAGTCAGGGGTCCGCGCACTTCTTTCGCTGTTGAGTAATAAGTGAGGAACTGGTGGGTAACAATACAATTTGTGCATTCTGCTCAAAGTAGTAGCTATGGCGATCAATGTGGATGTATCTCTTGGTTAAACACAGTAGTATTTTGGGGAAGGTAATGTAGTCAGAGAGGTTTGTCCTAATTACCATCGACCAGTAAAGGCGACGGTGGACTTCAGGGTGCTTGGTAGAAAAGGGGACCTAATTGGTCTGTTGCGGGATCCACCAATCAAAGCAGATTACAAGAGCAACGGGATACGATCTGAACGAACAAAGAAAGTCCATTGGCTGTAGCGTAGAATCACTCCTATTCAGGTTAGATACCCATCCTGCTAATAGCCACTCATCCAACAGCAACCAGAATGTCCCTCCAGGAGATACAGGAATTGTGCCGCCGCCTTGAAGAGCAACAACTCCGAGAAGAAGAGCAGCGACTCCGAGAGCAAGCTAAACGATCGCAGATAGAAGCGCAGTGACTACGAGAAGAGGTCAATAATATTCGTGGATAACAAGCGACGATAATATTAAAGGTGTTTAATATGCGGGTGGTCATAAAAGTATGCGGCGACAATCTTACAGTTAGTTTAATATTCTCTACCTTGTACAACTAGGATATACTAGCCTTACTATATAGAGGCTATTATACTTCAGCACTCACGATGCCAATATGCTAAGCTACATTATAGCTTCAGGCCAATCTAAACATCAGGATACTATGACACAAACAATAGAATAAGAGATGTATGGTCCACAGACATTATTGTTAAAGCTCTGCTTGGCATATTAAGTTATTGTAATACAATCCTTGAGCCTTAAGTTCTCTAAAATATTTAACGCCTATTATTAGTACATTCTATTTCTGCTCTGATTATCTACATTGCTGGTGTAGAGGCAGTTTAGGCAAACATATCTACAGGTATATGTAAGGAAACTTTAAAATTTAACTGCATCAGAGACTTCGAGAAAGACCAATGCTTTTCCTTCCAACATATACTCCGTATGAGCCGCCATATCCGGACTTTCCTGCAAGATTTTCCACGTCTTCACCAATAGACTGCCGTGATGCAAGTGGCTCCATAGGCTATTCAGGGTCCACATGGAATCCCCCAGAATAGACCCACCCATTAACAAGCATTAATAATAATGGCTATAAATTTCATACCTGCCCCTCTTATCTCCTCACTCCAGTCTCATCCAAACCCCCTCCTTGCGAAGCTCCCAAGTACATAGTTATCTTCTGTTCCAACATGACGTACACCACTCAGGTCATGTACCCCAACGAGCCCGATACGGAGTTCAACGACACATACTATCTTGAGACACATATGCCCCTGGTCGAAAGAAACTGGAAGAAATATGGGTTGATAAGCTGGTTTATAAAGAAATACACTGCAGCTTTTGATGGGTCGGAGCCGAAGTACTCAATTGCTACGACTATGGAGTGGGAGAGTGCTGAATCCTTCCAAGCTGCTTTAAAGGGCCCGGAATCTCCTGAGATATTCAAGGATATCCCTAACTTCACCAACAAGCAGCCTATTACTCTTGGAGGGAGTTCTCTCTGAGATACACTAGGGGTGAGCTGTTTGTAAGTTCTGCTGACTTGATACCGTCCATTTTTCAGAGGTAATTGCTAATACACGACATATAGAGCTTCTGACGATATGTGAAGATGGAATGCACATACATACCCGGAAGTATCCAATGGAAGGTAAATTGCGCAAGAGATGTCAAAACATGGTCGGGAATGTTCCTTGAATATTGCATATAAGAATAGACTAGAATATTGCAATACTGTCCATTATTTTTTTTTCGAATCTACATTTCATATTGCACTATATAACTGAGAATATATCAAAATTCAATATGTATTGAAAGGACTGTAGATTTTATTAGCAAAAGAGTGAGTAGATGTAAAAGCTCGACTAGAATTTCCCCCCAGGACGGAAGGATAATCTGCCGCATGTTGTACCTTTAAATGGCCGGGGGCGTATGCCGGTGCCGTCCAGAGTAGTACTGAGGTTTCGCTTTCCAGGCACTGGCACGAGTAGCCTGATATCTGTCTTCTTGGCATCCACATCGTCGAGCGAATGGCCGGCTCCTGTTGCTGAGCAGTAACCTAGGCCTCGGTCATTCCGCTTTCCTGGTTGAAGTGAATAACATTTACCTTAGTACATATTATTCAGTTGGTTGACTTTCTCTCTAGGAAATATATTGTTCTTTCTTTGCATGCATTTGAACAATTTAGGGTCAGAAATGGACCCTAGATTGAATTCCTCTTCCTCTCTGTTCTCTGGCAAATGAGCATGTAGGGCAGGAAAATCACTAAAGCTTAGCGTGAAAATCTTTCTGGGCTACAGTACTTAGATTTCGTCCAGTCAGTACCAAGGGTGAGACCGCTATGCTAGTCCTAGGCGAAGATACTAGCAAGTATAATATGACTAGAGTAGGTCTAGAATTGAGAGTTAGATTGTGGGTGCATATTGTCTCAGCCTCAACATAAAGCATCACCAACACGTGGTTGGCATCACTTTTCCTTAGTCTCTCGAGAACAGGACTAAACCACATGATCGCAACCATCTGCATTTTTAAGGTTCATTGTCTTTTGCTAAGCTGATGTATCTCAGATATTCACTGCAAGGCGTCCTTTCAGACATAGGTCAAGCCAGGGTCTATATAACTGTTGGAATCGACCACATCAAGGAAATGATCAGCACATGACACAAGTGGAAAAAGCATTGCATAACTCGGTTCATAAGATAGCCAAATTTAACCTACAAGCACTCCTCCGATTCTATCAAACACTGGCCATGCACGGAGTGAGCCGATCTTCCTGGCTCACTGGTAACAAATGCCTACCAAGCAACATCTATTATTTCCGTCCATATTGCGGCTACTACGTGATTACCCCCATTTCTTGGGGTTTCACATGCTCTGGTCTCTCGGATTACGTGTCCCGCGGCACCTGCATTCTTCCATGGACAACTTACATAACCATCACCCTTGTGCTGATACTCATGGATCTGTTGTGTGTCCTTGAATTCAAACTCAAGGATCAGAGACAAGATGTGGTAGTGCGCCATCTGCTACTGAGCTTCAAAACTTATGAGGTGTTCACAGATTTAGAGGCAGTCTCAAAAAGTCAACATACGGTTGAGGGCGGCGGCGATGATTCTTGCCTTACATGATGGATACCGATACGGACCAGCATTTATTATCATCTTATCCAGAGGCTCTACATATGTCAGTTTTGAAGACTAATGCGAAGCTGGGCCAGGCTATGTGTGCAAAATGTGCTTTCGACATTAATTTTGTTCTGTTAGTTCGTATCGGCTATAATACCCATCGTTTTCAAAGTGACAATAAGTATTTCACGATAAGCGACTAGGGAGTCATAGTCCGTATCTTATCTTTGATATAGGCCACTTAGCCAATCGTTTCTTTCCCAGAAGTTCCTGTGTTTTGACTCTATTAGTAACAAGCGTCAGCACCTTCAGGGTAGCATTGGTCATCGGTGGAACAGGTATTCCGCAGGAGTCGTTTAGTTTTATTGAATACTTACTGAATTAGTTGTCTCTCCCCAAACACAGCTTATTACTGTTTCGCCGTCCCCTCCCTCCTGATCAACAGCACCAATGTCGTGGTCATGGCATCCTTGGCACCAAACGTCAGACTGTCAAACGCAAATAAGTCTATTAAATACGACCCTCGAGGATTACAGCGAAGGTGTTTGTTTTAAAACACCAACAGCTAAAGGAATTGGGAACAGAGGCCATCCCAGTGCCTTATACTCTGAACCTACGCCCACGCTTCAGGCCATGTTCCTTCATCCCGGTTGCGCAGGGTCCTACCAAACGCCGCAATTCGAGAACACCAAAACGGGAAGTTGCTCTACAGCATGGAAAGAAAGGAAATTTCAGCCGTGAACTTCTTGAAGAACATGCTAAAATGGGTCCCCTTCAGATTGAGTTTCCATCGATTCTTGCCCAGTTCCACGCCGGCAAGCTCGATTCCTGGAAAAGTTCAGCGTATCCACATGCGCCCATTTGTCTTATTCTGGGTAAGCACTCCTCTTGGATAGCCGTTGTAGCTAGCAGGCTAACTTCAGTAAATGACTAGTCCATTGACTAAGGGCAAATAGGCCTGGGAACCAGAATTGCAACTATCGGAGCACAGGCGCGAATTCGAAAACTGGCGAGAATTCCTTTGCTTGGAGGGCACGACTCAACACTTCCTCATGCCATCGTTGATGTTTTTACTGCCAGAAGCAAACCCAAATCAAAACATACAATTGGGGAAGTAAAGGCCATCACGAGGGGGATGCAAATCCATATGAGGTTTGATTTATACCAGGATCATTTGATCCTACCGGTGAGATTCTTGTATGGGCGATTGGTTTGATACTGGCTTATAAGCTGTTGGCTCGTAGTTGTGGTATACTTTGGTCAAGACCATGGAAGGATTCTACAGGCATATCATAATGGAAAACATATGGTCATTCAATATTCCACTGTTTACGCCTTAACCATGTAGCTGTGAACAGCTTCCTTGCCCATTACTGCAGCAGCCCAGTCGGGGTGACAGTTCCGAATTAGGCACCCCTTGCTCTCACAATTAAGAAGTGGATTTCCTAATATCTAATATTCCTAGGCTCTGGACCCGATTAACTTAATAGGCCCACTAATACTTTTTGGGCTTGTGAATTAATTCTACCTTCCATGAATTCACATCTCTTAAAGTAGGCGCAATAAGCTCAGGTACAACCAATGATGTGCATAAATAAGTTTACCACCGTTTACGGCCAGTAAATCAACAGCAATATGCACGAAATCCAGCATAGTTGCGCAAGCGTACCCTTGTAAAAAACAGCCATTAGCTTATGATGTCAAAATTCTTTCGCCTAAACATCTGATAAGGGGATGTGGTTTAGTGGTATAACGTTCGCTTAGCATGCGAAAGGTCCGGGGTTCGATTCCCCGCCTCTCCATTTCTTTATCAGATAATTTCCCATCGGGGATGTGGTTTAGTGGTATAACGTTCGCTTAGCATGCGAAAGGTCCGGGGTTCAATTCCCCGCTTCTCCATTTTTTTTGGTTTATGTATGCTACATATAAACATATATATATTGTCAAAAATGGGTATGTCTGCTCTGTGCAAAGTCAAGAAATATGTCTCCACGACATGCTTCAATTTTTCAAGAGAATCACTCCTCACCGTAAGAGCTACTACCCATATTCCATATCAATGGTAACTACATCGCCTGAGAGCGATTCTAAACTGTAGTGTGTGGTTGGAGATGGTTGTTGTTCTGACCTTTCAGAAGATGTGGACTGATCAGGGTCATACACAACAGTAACTGACCGACCACGGGGGACTCGATCAACAGGAAAATCCAGCGTTGGAAGGTCCGCCATTCCTGTGTATAAAGGAGGAATTGCCGAGATGCAGGCGCGACAGGAGTGGATCGCATAGTTCGATCTGTAGGAGTTCGGTCTGGGAGAATTACGCGCATGGAAGTGGGCGAGCCAGAGATCATCACGCTAAGTAGGGACAAAAAGTCTAAAGTTGCCAACAGCAGCTTTAGCGTACACAAAACTTTCCTCATTTGCAAGACTAAGCATGGAGCTTGCAACGCTGAAGTAATGGCTTCGTTCTCTGGCTCACCAGAGTCTTAGAATATCTAGCAAGAACCTCGCGTCTCTCGATATCTGCCAGCCAGACGCATGCCTAGATGCCAAAACTACTTCCAGTATATGAAATCAATTCCTGGTGTGTTTGGAACTGTCTTGGATTTCTTACAGTGATTAATACAAGGTAAACTTTCAGATTGACTAGAAGATAAGGATGATGTTTTAAGCAAAGACTCCCGGAAGAGACAAGATAAGGATAGGAAATCTAATTATCACGAGAGGTTTGCAGGAGGAAAAACAGAGTTGATCGTTTGTATAACCCTAAAAATGTAAGAGACACATTCACTTTTCAGATAGATTCTCCAAATCTACCATATGTGAATGAAGTGTTGAAAACTAAAGTTAGACTAAATTTTCTAAATATATTTTTTACGAAATACAAGGGATATACAATTGTCAGAAGTAGAGAAGTAGAAAGAGAATACATCTATTTTATGTAGTCAAAAGGTACTGTCAACTTGTATGCTATAAATACAATATAATATTATACTATCTAGAATAGAATACTAAATACTCTATATAGAGAAAGTTCAGTAATTCTAGTTGGGTCCTACTCCTATATCAGGTGGTAAACAATAGCTGTTCTACCAACCCAGGATTTGTATCGAGGAGTACCCAAAGGGGTGTCCACAGGAAGTATCCCGGACCTAATAGAGTGAGGAGCTTACTCGGAGCAGGATTAGACACACTGCTCTAGTGAAGGCGGTGTCGTAACACAGGCAAGTTCATTAATTAATTAACCAGTATAAATAGGCCAGCAGGTAAATAAACCATTGGTTAATTTAATAGATTAGGTAGTAAGTGTATAAGATAGTCCATAAGCAGGTGAGCAAGGAGGTGAGTAAGAAGGTAAGCAAGAAGGTAAGCAAACAGGTAAGGAAGTAGATAAGCAAGGAGATGAGCAAGGAGGAGCCAGCAGGGGAGCCAGCAGGTAAGCAAACAGGTGAGCAAGCAGTTAAGTGTTGTGGAGTTTGGAGGAAGTGATGCGCAGGGAGCTATTCTATCAGCTACAGGCCAACTAGCCTAACTAGGAAGTAGATGTCATTCAGTGGAAACACCAGAAATCGCAGTATCTCAACCAACTGAGCCTCTTGCATTCCTATCTGGGTGCTCAACTATCTAAAGGATTCAGAGGTTGAATCGATCGTTAGATACTCCGCACTACCAAGTCGGGCGGATTATAGTGTTTCCGTAACAGTGAGCAAGCAGGTTCACAACCTGCGTTATGGAGTTATGGAGCAACCGTTGCTTCATACTGCTCCAGTTACTGTACAGCCTTAGTGTGGCTATCTGTTTGTCGACAAAAGTGGGCCAATATTACCCATTATTCAGCATCAGCTCGGTCCGACTTTATTCCTTTGTTTTTCACCTTTTGCTCAATTCTCTCAGATAGATTCAGATAGTTAGAGACCTGAGAGCTCTTATGCTTTTCAATCCAGATCCATATTCTTATATGATCAGTGATACTAGCTCATACGCGTATTCATCTGACCGACACTGTTCTATGACTCAGGGTGCACGTGGCTTAATCTGTGTTATTTACCGCTTGGTTCGTAACATAATTTATAAGATATAGACATCACCCTACACTCGCTACGGAAAATCATCTTCTTTTTAATCTACCACTGTATACTCGTATAGATGTTAACTACCCAGTTGGAAGTGTATTTGTCAGTATCCAACAGTTTAGCCACTGGCTCCAGTTAACAATCTCCGCACATCTCCACCGCCCAGTCTCCTACCACGATATATCCACTTTCCTTCCTGCCAATCTCTACTCCTGCTCCTCCGGAAAGATGTCTGACACAGCTGAAGGCATTGTTGAATACGCCTACAACAATATTACAGAATGGTACCTGCAGTGGGTCGAGAGCCAGAAGTCGCCGCGAGAAAAATACACCAAGGTGCTCCTAGACAAGCTGCAACCTTCACCCTCCATTCTAGAGCTTGGTTGTGGTCCCGGAATTCCTATTGCAAAAATGCTTCTCGACGAAGGCGCTCAAGTGGTCGCAAATGACATCTCAGCCAAGCAGATCGAGATGGCCAAGGCCCGCTGCCCGGGTGCCAAGCTGGTTGCGGGCAACATGACTACCCTCACTTTCGAGCCTGCGAGCTTCCATGGCGTAATCAGCTTCTATACGCTGTTCCACCTTCCACGGTCAAAGCTCAAGGCCATGCTCACCAAGATCCATGGTTGGTTAAAGCCCGGAGGTGTCTTCGTTTTTAATCTTGCGACTATCGATGAAGAAGAAATCCATGGCGAATTCCTAGGATATGGAATGTTCTGGAGCAGCTATGGCGTGGATGAGAATCGAGCAATGCTAACAGAAATCGGATTTGATGTATTGCAGGTGGAAGTATTGCACGCAGGCGATGGGAAGTTGGAGGAGGGTGATCCAGACTTTGATGCCGAGTTTATGTGGGTGGTGGCACGAAAGAAAGACTCACTCTGAATATAGGTCAACTAAATCTAGGTCATGCCAAGGTGAAAGTGTCTATATGAAGAAATCAACTTTCTATAGTATTGTGACCAACGTTTAGAAAATAGTCGGATAGACTTTCCATATAAAAGAAAGGTAAAAAGTTGCATTTAATTCGTAAGGTAATTTATGGCGTTATCTAAATAACTTGTAGTTTCCATAAAAGGTGTTGGCAGACGATCAAGAAGTGTACAAGAGCTAGTGCGATGGTGCTCTCTGAAAAACTCGTCGAATGTTAAGAGCCAATATCCAAGGTGACACTCTTGATCTACAGCCTGTGAGTTTCACTCTTATAAGAAGATCCTGTTTGCTTATTAAAACTCACCTCGAGATATTCATTCACTCCAACAGATGCTCCCTCACGCCCTAGACCACTTTCCTTAACACCCCCGAAGGGAACTGCCACATCGCTGATCCGTCCAGTATTAACGCCGACCTACTTCACTGGTCAGAGAAAACAAGGTATTCATAAAGAGTACTTTAAACTGACCATGCCGACCTCCATGGCCTCTGCCACCCGCCATGCCCGAGAAAGACTTTCTGTGAAGAGATACCCTGACAGACCCACAGAGGAGGAATTGGTCATCTGGATTGCATCCTCTTCTGAATCAAACTTAATGATTGGCACCAGAGGTCCAAAAGTCTCTTCTTGTGCACATAATGAGTCTGGATGAACGTTTATGGCAACTGTGGGTTCGAAAAATGCCCTCCCTAATCCTTCTGCCCTCTGACCTCCGAAAAGAATTTGTGCCCCTCTAGCGCGTGCATCTTCAACGTGGACGGCTACTTTGTCAGCGGCCCTACTATTAATCAATGGTCCCAGCGTGGTGTTGGGATCGTCTCCTGGGCCTAGTTGGAAGCACTTCACTCTTTGAACCAATGCTTGGACAAGACGATCATGAATCCCAGACTGGATATATACTCGATTGGCACAAACGCAGGTCTGGCCAGATAGGCGAAATTTACTCTGCATAATGCCCTCGACAGCCTTCTCCAGGTTGGCATCGTCAAAGATGACAAATGCCGCATTTCCCCCTAGCTCAAGACTAACCCGCTTGACAGTTGTGGCGCACTGGGCAGCAAGCAACTTCCCAACAGCCGTGGAGCCAGTGAAGGAGAATTTTCGGATGTCAGGGTGCTGTGTCAGGACTTTCCCTACCTCCACTCTATGGGTGGCGGTGGTTACCACACTGAAAGCTCCTGCTGGGAGGCCGGCTCGATTAGCCAGCTCGGCCATCGCCAGAGCTGTCATCGGTGTTTCTTCGGCCGGCTTGAGCACGCAGGTACATCCTGCAGCAATTGCAGCTGCAACTTTCCTAGTGACCATTGCTGCGGGAAAATTCCATGGCGTTACAATTCCCACGACTCCGACTGGTTGCTTCAAGGTAATGACGCGGTGACTGGACACGGAAGATGCAGTCACCTTCTCAGTTGTATTAGCATGTGATTTTTGGAATGGAGTAATCAGTCTCGGAACAATAATATACATACTGATCCATCCAGACGCTGGGCCTCGCCTGAAAACCAGTGTATGAATTCTGATGCGTAGGCGATTTCCGCTTTGGCTTCCACAAGTGGTTTGCCATTCTCTGCGGTGATGATGCGACTGAGATCCTCCTCTGCCTCCCTGGTTAATGTACACCACTTTTGCAACATCTCTGACCTTGCTTTGGCAGTTAGTTTCTTCACCTCTTCTGCCGCTTTTACAGCAGTTGTAACAGCTTCGATACATTGTTCGGCATCTAGATCTGGGACTAGTGCAATTGGTCTTGATGTAGCGGGGTCTGTCACTCTTAGTTCACTATGGACAGCCTTTGAGTTTATTTCGGTCAACACACCTGTTACTTCGAAGAATTGACCAGGACATAGAGATGTTTCTCTACCGCCTTGGATGAGTTCTACCCCCCTAAGAAGGGACTTATCCTGGAGGTTCATGGTAAATAGCGATAACAAAGGGCAGAATAAGGAATGAGGATTATGATACGTTAGAAACTGCAACTTTTAGACCGAGGAATCCAGTCTTTATGCAGAAAGCTGATCAGTTCGTCTTGTTTTTAAGAATAGTCATCCCTCTGGAGTTCCACACTTAGCCACAGGCTGAAAATAGAGCAGAACAATTTTGAACGAAAGTCCATGACTGTTGGCTTTCCTATCCAGTTTATAGTGTTAGAGTGTAGTCCATGGCGAATAGGGGTCATTTCTCTCACATACTCCGGAGTGCATGTCAAAGAATAGTGGAGGATTCCGACATTTTGTGGAGGTGGCTGAGCCTCCACAAGACGACTGCGATCTCCACAGAAACTCTGTATTGAACAGGATCTATAATCCAGGACACTCTGAAATAAAGCCACTGAGACACTATCATCTAGAATTTTGATCATTGCGGTAATTAGTACATACACTTTGTATAGTAGATTCTACAAAACTGTTGTCTTCCCCTTGGTCTGTACAGTGTACCAGTGCCATTGAATCCTTCGTATACTTTCCTGTATCTGGTATAATTGTTCTTCTCTTTATCTGGCGTCTGTTATCTATCCACTGTAGATTTTAATACCTCCACTATTCACAAACTTATACCGACTTTAATATTTACATCCCCCAAAATACCAATTTAAACATAATATGGTTATTGCATTATAAGGCAGAAAATCAAAAACCATCCCCTTCAATCCATCTATAAATAACTTTAGCATCCTTCCCATGAAACCGTTCCTCCCTCGCCGCAGCCCTATAAGCATCCAACATAGGTGGCCCAAGCACCATCTTCGCCCCCAGCTCATTCGCCGACTTGACAGCCAATTCCAAAACCCCCAGGCACAACTCAATCGAGAAACCGGGTATATACCCATTACTCGCAGGACTGCCCGGCGTCAATCCCGGCACGGGATTATTCACCTTAGAGTTGAAATTCATGCCCGAGCTGGCGTTCAGAACGTCATTCAGTTTCTTCGCGTCTAGGCCGCCACGAATCCCGATATTGATCGTCTCGGCTGTTGCGATCGTCGTGATCGATGATAGATAGTTGTTGAGAAGTTTCGTCTTCAGTCCTGTGCCGGAGGCGCCGCAGTGGAATATCCCGTCTTCTTTGCCCATTTGTCGAAGGATTTCGAATACCCGGGGGTATAACTCTGCATCGCAACCGACCATGAATGAGAGTACGCCCTTCTCGGCGCCCATTGAACCGCCCTGGGGTGACCATTAGTGGTGGTCTAGTGAGATTAGATAATGGTTATTGGGGGAGCTTCTCACTGAACAAGGGGCATCTACAAACTGTCCATACCCTTCCTCTATGACCCTGTGACCGATGTCACCGGAGACTTTCGCGTCGATGGTGCTGAGTTCTAAGAATAGTGTTTTTCCTGTCTTCGGTGCAGCTAACAGGCCGGTGGTCGGGTTATTGAATACCTGATCGACGTGTGGTGCACGAGGTAGGGAGGTCAAGATAACGTCCTATCATAAGTTGTATTATTACTTTAGCCTTATCAGAACTCACAGAAAGATAAACAGATGAGAATAAAATGGAAGGGGAGAGTACACTATACTCCGCAACCTCCTTAGGAGAAGAAGTCGCAACGACATTCCCACCATCTCCAAACTCAGACACAAACCGCTGAACAGCCGCGGGATCAATATCGTAGATAAACAGCTTGTTCGAGCTGGAAATCTTCAAACGAAGGTTTTTGGCCATGCCATGCCCCATTTGGCCGAGGCCTAAGTGGTAATATATGTAAGTAAGGATGGAAATATGGAAAGATTCAAATCATACCAATGAATCCATAGGTTGTAGGCACTGTGGACATTGTATTGAGCTCTAATCTATATGTGGTGGAGTATTAAAAAACTAGAAATCTTGGTGATGAATTTTCCGTCATCCTATGACTGGGTGTATGGTCAGCATTATATAATGCAAACTGGCGTGACCAGACAGCTATAGATAACTTCTTGCTCTGTACTCGTGCCATTAACTGATTGTGCTTCAATTACAGAACCCCCGGGCGGGGGGAATCCTGTCAGTTGGGGATGTGGGGAATTGGGGATACAATCTGTTGGAACTTGGAGGGTTTGGGGGTTTATTGGGGGTGGGTCCCTCATACATGGAAAACATCCTACAGCTTCGTTGGAGACGGGAACATGTCTTCAAAACCACAGTCTTATAACAGTAAACTGGGAGCTAGCTACATTATTTTGACTCATTCCTCTATCACCATCACATCAAGTTTTCTTCCTCGAACAAGACAATAAGTCACAAGTCAGAAGTCGCAAGGCAATAAAAAGACAAGCTTGTTTACCATCCAACATGTCCTCCGATAAGCGAACTTTAAGCCAACAAGCCCTCTATGAGGTGGGAATGCCCATCCGACGCTCCGTCCTCAGCGATGCATATGTCGACAACGCCCTGGCCAAGGGCAGCACCGAGTTCGCCAAGGCAATGCAAGAGTTCACGACCGCCTACTGCTGGGGTGCAGTATGGGGACGTCCGGGTCTTGAACGGAAACAGCGCTCCCTGATCAACTTGAGCATGCTGGCTGCCACAGGGAAGGTCCACGAACTCGCTGTGCATACCCGCGGCGCTGTGAACAATGGGCTTTCGGCCACAGAGATTCGGGAGGTCCTGGTTCAAGTCTGCATCTACATGGGTGTTCCGGCAGGTATGGAAGCCTTTAAAGCAGTGGAGAAGGTGTTGATTGATATGGCGGCGGAAGGAATTGAGGTCAAGCCTTAAGGACATAAGAGGGTAGAGGAATGGAAGGACATAATCACTCATGACCATCCTATATAGACCTTCCGGTGCGGCAGTTCGCTTTGACGCTGTTTTTGTTTGTGATTAAGATGAAATAGGCAATAGATGATTGCCAATGTCCACATTTTTCTTTTTATCTTCTTTCTTTGTCTTATTTTTATGCAAACCTCGTCCTTGAGGTCAGAAATAGCAAGCGGCTTCTCTATAGAAGGGACGTTGGAAATCCATACATTAGCTCAAGCACGGTGAAGGTTATCAGCATGCAGATTCAGAAGATGAGCCAGCTTTGGTATAAGACCCCATACAGTGGTGTTTTTGGTATCGAGTAACTGGCCCCAGGTACGAAGCACAGCAACAGCCATTGCACGCAGGTTCTCTGCAGACCGACCGGAATGTGGCCAGCTAGTAACCTGCTGCACCAGGTCGATCACTCCCAGCTCCTCGTCCGACAGACCTGTAGGCTCCAGAGCCATCCTCTCGAGCCATTTCGTCAGTAACAGCGCACATTCGAAGTAGCAGATGGCATGCTGGACGCTCCAGACCCAGAAGCTCGTGCGTGCGACCAGTTTGAATCCGAGAGTCGCAGGGATCTTTAGGGCCAGACACGCATGGAGCGCAGCCCGTGCACTTTGGTGGTTCTGAAGAGGCAGCTCCATGGAACGGAGCGTCTTCTCAATCGCCGGTGTGGTATTCCCCCAGCTGAATTGGCTGCGGATGCACGAGTAGTCGGCCACCAGACGAACGTAGGCGAGACGTAATAGCGCAGTGCTGTTGAACAGCATCGGCCCATAGGGGCTGTTAGGAGATAGTGCCGCCCTGGGTGCACTCTCCCACATCAACTGCCATCGTCGCAGGCCTCGAAGAATTCTCTGCTCCTCTGCCACGTAGAGGGGCCCCTTAGATGATAAACCGGCCTTCCTGAACAGTATGATCCGCTGGACCAGCGATGAAATCACAACGTGGCAGCCGAATATGGATACTTGCTGGGGCACTGGTAAGGCCTCGTTTAACAGTTGATCCATCACAGCTGCAGCGGATTGCCATTCAATCGTGGGTGAATTCTGTTGGAGATGTATCCACTCTTCCTCGCTTTTCGCATCCCACTGGCTCTCAGTACAAGGAATGCCGAATCGACCTTCCAGTTGTACCGAGGCGGGAATATCGTAGGCAACAGTGATCAAGTTCATCAATGTAAAGACGCAGAACGTGATTCTAAGTGAGGTCAGACAGCTTTCTTTGGCTTATATATGTATACATGAATGGAGACTATGTATACCTCTTTAAACATTCCCTCTCCAGCCATCTTTCCCAACAAGAAAACCCTTCCTGCTCCTCCTGCATCTGCGACCACTCCCTCCGAACTGCCATGGTCATCTCGCCATAGCACTGAAGGGCAAATGCGAGATCATCTGAAGAGCCACTCCAAGCGGCAAACGCCGCAACCAACATGAGAGTCTGCAGTGTCCACAAGCCCTTTTTTTCGTCGCGCTGCATACATGCCACCGCAGCTTTGTGAAGCTCCACGGCGATATCAGGCTCCAGGCTATACACCGCTCCGTTGGCACATACCGCCAGAATAAGGGCCGTCTTGGCCGTACTGGGCGACCACGTCGGAGGGTGGAGGAAGGGTTGGTGGCGATGAAAACTTCCGAAGTATCGACGGATGAATTGTGAAAGGGTGGGATGAGAGGGCAGCTTGTAAACGCCGGCCTGAGAAACATCTGTCTGCATCGATAACCACCGTTCTTCCGTGATCCTGTGGCGGTCTCCTAGGAACCAATGTGAATCTGGACTATGCGCTCCATCGGTTGGGACCTCCAGGATCGGAGGGGAGCCCGGTCGGGAGAGGAGAGAAGGCCCTGCAACCTGCAAGCTGAGATGATTTTGTTGGATTTCCAGGGGGACTGGGTCGGGATCAAAGTTCAAGAGTTGATCGTAATCGCCCGGCAGGACCAAGTCCTGTAAATCCAGGGATCTGTCAGGATCCCCGAGTTGCCAGAACGCAGTCATCTGCTGTGACGTCGACACGTAGTCCGACCATCCAAAAGACACATCCATTTGTTCGGTCGTAGTCGCGTCGCACGGCTGTCCAATGCTAATACCCAGAGGGGAACCATCTCCATGAAGTCTCAGGTCGCCTTCTCCTCGTCTGACGCGGGGGGAATGATGATTATGAGCGCGTTTTTCATGTCGGCGCAGGAGGTCGCTGCGAGAAAAGGCTTGTTCACAGAGCCTACAGTTGAAAGGTTTTTCTTTTGTATCTATGGAACTCTCAGCTACCTTTCATCGTTTTACGATAGGTCGTAAATAAAAAACATACGAATGCGTTCGTGACGAACCAGATGCTCAGCGCGAGCAAACTCGCGGGTACAATGTCGGCAGCGATGTGATGGGGTTATTGTGTCCATCATGACTTAAAGGGCGCGAAGGATGTAGGATGTCTCTGCCGGATCGAGCCCAACTTGTATTTAAATCACGGGGATCCGATTTAATCCCGCATCTCGGTCTTTGCCCGAGAATCCTTTTTTACGAATTTGGGAGCCTAGTCATTTAATTGAATGTCTTAATCAATTGCTACTAGATCTTCTAATAACTATATACAGATGTCTACAGAACGTGCAGACTCGGTTTCACATCAGTCCCCTCATACCGAGCCTGAAGTTTCCGGTTCTCGCGTTGCAGCGTCCATTTCATCACGACACAGGTAAGAATACTCACCCCGCTGAAGGCAATCATAAGAACCATCGCCAGGGTATAGCGCGGCGCTTCCTGGGGTTGGAAAAAATATGGACTCCAGATATTCCCCAGTTGGCCGATGAGGTTAATAATGGCCGTCGCACAGGCTCTCTTCTCCGGGGTCTGACTGACGGCCGATGCCGCCCATGAATACACCATGGAATTCGCCGCAAAGCAGCCCGAGATGTATAAGAACGAGGAGGCATATCGCACCGGGGTTTGCAGTACAGACACACTGATTGTAAACCCGACAATCGCCACCGCCATCGAGCCCCCGATATGAAACCCACGCTCGCAGTGTCGGTCGCTCGACCAGGCCACGAAGAAGGCGGCCGCCGCGCCGACGAGGTACGGGGGTGCGGTGCAGAGAAGGGTCACTGTCGTACTGCCCAGGTTCAACCCTTTCACAATGGAGGGGTAAAAGTTATTGAATCCGTACGCTGTGTGGTTGGAACACAGCATTAGGGCCTAGAAGGTTAGCGGATCATTCCTGACAGGTCATTTAAAAACAGAGGATATTTGCAAACCTTGATAGGTAAAAATAGAAATGGAAACTTACAAACACAAAGACCCGATAATCGCTCAGGGCGCTCTTAAGCCCAAACCACAATGAATGGTCCGATTCCTGGTTTGACACTTGATCTCGAAGGATCCGCTCATGCGCCAACTTCTTCTCGGCTTCGTCAAACAACCATCCACTAGCAGTAGTGCCAGCCTGACTGTGCGGAAAGTCAGGAATCAAGAAGCAGGAAACAATTGCGGCGACAAAACTCGCTGCGCCTTCGATAATAAACAGCCACCTCCATCCAGCAAGGCCTAGGGCGCCATCGAGACCAGAGAAAACGGCTGCTGCCAGTAGTCCGGAGAATGCGGTGGCCAGGACGAGACCGGAGTAGAGGATGGCTGTTCGTAGGGCCAGTTCCTTCTTGGTATACCAGCACGACAGCAGATAAAAGACCCCGGGGAAGAAAGGGGATTCTGCAGTCCCGAGGAAAAAGCGAATCGCGATGAGTCCAGCATAGTTGTGAGTTCCTGCCGTCGCTGCAGACAGACAGGACCAGACCCCAACCCAAAATGGGATGTAGAATGAAGGTCGCACGCGGGTCAAGATCATGTTGCTTGGAAGTTGCATAAGCATATAACTGGGCTCAGCTATCAGCTCAGTATATAATATTGACGTGGAGCTTGTATTATTCGAGTGGCTACGTACCCGACATTGAGGATTGATATGGCGGTGTTGTATTGCTCACCATGGAGGCTGAGGTCTTTTTCAAATCTATTCAGTTTGGCCTGGCTGTAGAATCCCGCCATTAGCATACGAGTAGGCATAAACGACTCTAGCAGAGGTATGGGGCTCACACACGCGATATTATTCCGGTCCAGATAGTTAAAGAGATATAGCACCCAAATGGTCGGCATAAGAGTCATATCCAGCTTACGAACGAGCCTCTTCTCTTGTATCCGCTGTGTCTCATCACTCAAATGATCAAATATAGAGGCTGGTCCTCGGGGCTTCCCTGGACCCTGCTCTTCGATGTGTTCCACTGCGGCATGCTCCTGCCTCTGCTCTGGCTTGTCAGTCATAGTGTATCGTGCATGCAGAGATTGAACTGCAGTAATATGACTTACTGTTAGCATTCCGACTAGTTTATATAAGCTCGCATATCATCAAACCCCGTGGGGCTAAAAACCGGGGTAAAGCCTGTTTCAGGACTATCTATTTTCCATATCTATGTGGTCTGCTAATGCACCATCTTTAGGTGCACCTAGAAGGAATATCGCCTGTTGAGAAGCGTGTTGGAGGCGGGGAATGTGGAGTTGGTTGGAGGTGAATTGCAATTGATATCAGGTTGAATATTACTGCTGTGGCTAATGCACCCCAATACCACTGAAGCTCCTACGCGTGGTTGACTAAATTAGGCTGTTAGAAACAGCTTGAGTTTATTTGACGGTCAAGAAGTAGAAGTATAAGGTGGAGCTTATGCTAAACTAACTAATTGGAAGACAAAATTTCTTATTCCAAGACTTCATGAATCTAAAATTGCAGCTTGTATAATATATATCACAATCAAAAACCAAGAGAGCAGCGATAAAATAATATCAACTAGGCATAATTCGACACCCTACAGACAGAGTAAGCCCTGCACATACGAAATTAATCAACAACAACGTGAAAATGGAAAACTGACTCGATAAGATTCCCATCCGGATCTCTCACATATACACTCCTGATTTTCCCAACTGCTCCGGTCCTCTCGACGACCTTTGCACCTTCTAAAACCTATTCATACGGTTAATAATCCATGTCCTATTTAGTGATATCCAAACTGCTACAACTCACTTCTATTTTCGCAGTCTGGAAAGCTTCCAAGACTCTCTCCACTGGTTCGTCGCTTAAAAAGCAGAGATCCGCACTCCCGGGCATGATGTTTTGGGCCTTTGGTTCGAACTCTTTTCCAGCTTCGTGGAGGTTGATTTTTTGAGTTCCAAATAGGAGAGCATGTCTAGTACAATTCATTAGCAGTCTTCACCCACAGTTTATAATTTTTTTTTTTAAAAAAAAACAGTATCAATAAATAAATAAAAAGCGGGGAGTCAGTTCCAAGCATGGATTGGACCTGCTTCCTACCTCTGAACAGCCCGATTCATCGGCGAATAGAAAGTTTCATGTCGCATGCCCAGGTGGGTGGTATAGAACGATACAGTCTTAGGAATAGACCGGACCGTAAGAACCAGATGATCAAGGGATTTGACTGAAAATTTAGCCGCCATTATGATAATCCTATTGACCGATTCGATATGATATCGTGGTTCCTTTGAAGACCAGCTGGAGTAATGGCTCCCGAAAGGCTATAAGGTAACTATGAATATCTATGGGAAATGCCACTTACATCACGGGAACGTGTAGGGAGTTCACCCGTGATAGAGTTTACTAGTTTACTAGCCACCTCCACGCGGCTGTGGGGGTGGCTGGCTTAGATGGCTTGGAGGTGGCTCGTACTTGCATAACTGAACAAAGTGACAATTTGTATAGTGGGAATAATTCGGGGTATTTTTAGAGATATAGGTAGGTTGATATTCATGTAATTACTGTGTAGTATAGTTGTTGCGACGTGGCTGTTCAAATCCGTGGCTGTCATGGCCACTCTATTTACTCTGTCTATGGGATACTTCATTGTCGCAGCTCTCAATACTGCTGTTGGCATTTCTACCTATAGTATCGTTTTAAAGAGATTGACGAATTTTTCTAAGAGTACAAGGCCATGTGACATCAAGAGCACTCAGCATTTTCCACAACTCAGGTTATCTGAGAATTTAATGTGTAAGTTCAAGTAATCTAGATGTGACTCGGCCAGATACTATACTGATGTTCCTCATACCACTTAGCATCATGGGCCAGCACCACTTCCACCTTCCCCCCTCTGAAGCCCTCTTCTCTCAAACTTCTAATCCTCGCGACCGTATCAGCTGCCAATTCTTTGTCCGCATGAATGCAAACAACCATGCCATTTTCTTCCCACGTAGCTATATCAGTGGACCCGTCCAGGATCCTCGAGTGATGACATGCATCGCCAGCGAGATAAACCCATCGTGCCTCTGCAACCCTGGCCAACACATTCAGATGACCTTGCAGATGGCCGGGACTATCAACAATATATAGCAGCCCGTCGCCAAAAACGTCAATTGCGTTGTCAAATGGTGGCAGGGGCTTCCAGCTATGTGATACCTCCGGTACTACTCGATCTAGACCGAGCATGGGCGGTAATGAGTGTGCCACGGCACCCGTATATGCTGGCATATCCGATGGATTGGGTAATTCTACTGTGCGTAGGGGGGGAAGCAGGTCCTTCTCGAAATGTGCCGCAGAGTGATAATTCATCCCATGCAGCAGGAGATCGTTAGTACCATATCCCACGATGAAAGTAGCCCGCGTGAAGTCTCGTGGTGTTCCAACATGGTCATAATGTACGTGGCTGAGAATGGCCACGTCGATGTCTCGGGAGTCCAAGCCGCCTTGGAGCAGAGATTCTCGAACGTCGGGGACTGTATGGATCGGTTGACGAGTTTTCAGATGCGGGTGAATGTTATGAGGATAGTCATCCAGGTTTCTACGCAGCCCAAGATCAAAGAGAATCTTCATCCCGGATCTAGGATGCTGCAAGAGGAACGACATGGAGGGGACAAGATTCCGGACGGTCTTGTCTTGTTGGTCGGCGCAAAAGAAGTGCTCCGGAAGAGTGAGAAATCCACTAGGTATCATGGATACCTTCATGTAGAGAGAGGGCTCATGCAACATTGTTGAGCGACTTTGGGATTTAGATGGAGAAGTCAGTTCAAGTGTAGAGGACGACAATTTGGATATTCTCTTCCAAGAAAAACTATATCTAATCAGTAACCACGTTTATGACAATCATTGAAGTTTAACTGTGCTGATGTTTGGTATTTCTCATGCTCTTAGGCAGATGTCCTGTGGAGGTCTTGCTATGTGCTGGGGCTGGTGGAGATCCCCCAATTTGCCAAGCCATGAAAACCATGTCAGTATACTTTACTGCTGTATCGCGTGTTATTAATACACAACTTTAGTATAGTAAGGAACCCTCCTTTGATAGGCATTACACAGAGACGAGTGTTGACAGTAAGCTGTGACTGTCCGATGGTCAATTCCCCTAACCAGGAGCATGTTCTAAACCAATAGAACTCAATGCCATTGACAGTTAATACACGTATAGAAATCCCTTCCATCAATACTTTTCAATATTGAAAGGGCCATGGCCCATCACTTATAGGAGAAGATATTGGCTAGACCAGCTGCTTAACCAGCATCGCGATTCTTGAAGAGATCGATTCGTATCTAACGCCTTCTATAGCTTTGTACATCATAGATAGTTGAGATGGCCCTACCTTTCTAACGTTAAGATTTCGTTGTCGGGAAAAGCTTGGGCGTCGAGATCCTTAAAAAGCGAGGATGGCAGTACAGAATTGGTCTGTGGGACGGTCTAAAGGCAGCTTCCAGGCAATAAGCGCAGTATTGATTTACTAGGCTGATAATAAAAAAAAGCTTAGTTCTTTTCCACAAGAAGGGGATGTGGTTTAGTGGTATAACGTTCGCTTAGCATGCGAAAGGTCCGGGGTTCAATTCCCCGCTTCTCCAGTCTATTTTTTTTTTAATTGCCTGCCGTATTCTGTGTTCTGACGAGTCAGAAGTTTCTGTCCACATTGCATGTTGTGGCTCTATTCTTGCTAATTCAATCAGACCAAGCAGCCAAGGGACTTCGCCTCATTAGATTACCTATGTGCAGATATATTCTTAGACTCTAGCTGAATATTATAAGACACTCAAATACTTGTCCTTTTTTGTGTTATTTTAATGTACAGTTATGATCACATATGCAAAATCTTTCGCTGTTCTATGGTTCAATGACTCTTTCGAACTCTAAGTCTCAACCAAAGGAGACAGAAGTAGATAAGGGAAAATCCTGCCACACTCCGAAACATAACCAGTCACTTGAAATAATACTCCGGTCTAAGCACCAGGAACATGGAAAATCTCAGAGAAAGGGTCCCAGTTTGGATATTCGCGCCTTTCATATTCCATAAGCTTTGTGACTCTCGTGGTATCCGTTCCATATGGGTGTTTAATGAAAGCTACGGTTGCATCAATGCGAGCGGATATTCCGGACGACGTACACATTGCCATCGACAACCCACCGGGCATGTGGCACCTATTCACCTCCGGACACCATGTGATTGTACTGTTCCATGATGCTTTATTCATCGTTGCCTGCTTACCGTCGAGTACGCCAGCCCTGCCAGCCCAGGTAGCGTCTGCGCAGACTGTGATCAAGTACTTGAATTTGGGGTATGCCACTCCAATATAATCGATTATATGGTTCAATGAGGGAGCCCTGGTACCCAGGCCGCCAGGAACGAGCAAGACATCAGGGACAGGAGCATCGTCAAAAGTGTGGGTTGGAAAAATCTCTGGGTGAACACTGGAATTGAAGGGGTTCATTGCTTCGGACAGCGGCTCAGTCGTCACCGGGTCCATGATTTCAGAGAGAAGGTACAGACTTATCTTCTGAAGGTTTGCGAGACGATAAATTGCTTCCATGGGGCCAAAACATCAAGTGGCTCAAAGGCTTGGAACAATACCATTCCGAGACTTTAAGGAGGCGTACTAGAACTGTAGAAGATAGGTCAGTAATGACACCTTGTAGGTCAATAGAGAGGCGACGTACGTGTGCTACCGACCATTCCAAGGGAAAACAAGCAGAGACTCAGTAGCCCAGCCCTGTGGAACACAGAGTCTTTTGTGAGCATGGTTGTCGTTGGCGTTGACTTGAACTGGATATGGTGGAAGTTTCAACAAAGGCACGACGAAACTTTTCTTTGTTGTCTTTCAGCAATCGGGCATAGACCGCACAGTCGGGATTTATCTAGAAACCTGCTGTATTATTTTTGAAAAATCATCAAGCACTCGGGCATATGTAGCAGGAACAGCTGAATATTTTGGCCACGGGGGTAGTAGGTTACTCTGGATAAGATCCCTAACGGTCCTGTATAGAAGCAGGGGGAATTGGCTAGACCAACATCGTTCCTGTAATAAAACTGGAAAACGTCAATGTTCCCACATAAGTGGTTGAAAATCTTCAGGATAGCTTCCCCAACGAATAGAGAAACTCGCATCCAGAACTTGGACCGATGCCGTGACACATTAAGGACTTCAAAAGGATGGAAGGGATCACGGCTTGAGTCGGTTTGAGCCGTTTTGATCTCTTACTGACCAATTGGCACAGGAAATGGAAATCCATCCCAACCTGTTCAGAGACATTACCCATGGTAATAAAGGGCGTCAGCTAAGTGTACAGAAATATTGTATCGAATAAGGGGTTTGTTCAATCAAAAACAACTTGAAGGTTGGTATGTCGCGACAATTAGGGGCCATAGTGGTTGATCCCCCAAAAGAGAGTCCTTATATGCACCCATTCCAAAATTGAAATGGTTCTTCGGCCAAGAGTTGGGGGGGAGTGATCCGCCATAGGGCCGCACTTAGAAAGGTCGTCATACACATCCTGTTGGCCATTGCGGGTCATGTACTCCTGCTCACCATCTATATGTGTAGATAGGGACACCACTAAAGAAAATTTTGCTACAGTAAAACCCCGCTATAGCGAAATATTGGGGACCACCCACTAATTTCGTTATATAGAGGTTTTCGCTATATCAAATTTATACTCAAACACCATAAATTCGATTCAAAATGCATAGAATTAAGCACTAAAATACTGCCTGATATCACGCTGTGATTGGGAATCAATTTTTCGAGCATACAAGACATCTTCATACGATTCAGCTATTAATCAAACCTTTCGACCAACCGGCTGCTGTTCTTCATACAAACGTAGTTTTTGAAGCGCCTCAAATGCCTCATTTAGAGGAATAAGAGGTATACCCTGTATTTCTTCATCAGAGTCCCCATTATCTTCCTCAGTATCAAATTTGGCAAGAATTTGGGCGTCTAACTGATCTGTATCATCCCTAATCTCTTCGTCTGCTGGATTAAGAAACGTCTTAATATCCATAAGGTCATTTGATATAACCTTTAAGCGTGCAAATGATGCTTCAATATCTGCCATAATACTTAAATCAACTGATTCAGTATAAGCAAGCGTGGAATTGAGTGCTTTTTTAAAGCAATTTTGAATTGTTTGACTTGTTATATTATGTCGCCAGGCATGAAGGCCCCATCGAATTGCTTTTAAAACATCCATTGAATCCAGAGGATTTCGACCATCATCATATTCCTTAACCATATACTGAACCCAGTATCGTCTCCAATAAACCTTCCAGCAGTTGATTATACCCTGATCAAGTGGTTGAAATCGGCTGGTGGAGTTTGGAGGAAGCCATATAATAAGCGTATTTTGAAGCTTAAAACCAGAGGATTTAATTGCTTCAACAGCTGACTCATGAGCAGAGAAATTGTCCATTAAAAGAGCCACATTCCGACCAGCCATTTGCTTATCAAACCACCAAAGCCATTCAGTGAAGATATATGAAGTCATCCATGCCTTTCGGTTGCTTCGCCAGACTATATCAAGATTATTTATATTGATTCCTGCAGCTTTAAAGGCTCGTGGAGACTTTGCAGTCCCAATAAACCATGGTGCTAAGCGTTGGGATCCATCTGCATTGCAACATAAGGACTGATATCCTTGCCTTTTCCTTTTTTCTGCCTGGGATTGAGCGTGTTGAAAAGCTTCGGATTGGCGTTTTCTTCCAAAAAGAGCAGTCTCATCACAGTTAAATTGATCCTTTAAACTATATGTATTTAGGACCTTTTTTAATATCTTCCATTGCTTCTGCTTGTAGAGGAATGCTGCCTTCTTCTCATGCTGTTTGGACCATCGGACTAGCTCTTGCCTGGAAGTTATAAGCATCCATTACTAAATTAGGCATCTCTTTTTCTTTATAAATTGGTATATTTTCCCAAAAGAATTCAGCCTTTTTTCGAATAACTTCAGCAGAGATAGGTATATGGCTTTCTGCACGTTGAATCCATTCATAAAGGGCCTCCTCCAGCTCCGGCCACAGCTCACGGTGTTGACGCTTTATGTCACGGGACTTCGAGGCAGGGAGGCTATCTAGATGAAGATATTTATTAGATAGAATCTCTGAAATAGTGCTCGCTGAAGGTAAATGATTATATGTTGCCTGAAACCAATTTTGAAGGTCTTTATAATTATCAAAAGGCCTCTCCCTTTTTCTTGCCCGAAGGGCGGCCTTCTGTGACGTCGGAATAGCCGTTCTTTTACAGGTACGGCCTTGATATAACGAATTTTATATGGGATTTATAAAATTGACACGGTGGCCGGTTCGTTGTATCGAGGATTTCGTTTTAGCGGGGTTCGCTATAGCGGGGTTTTACTGTATGTAGTTGCCGGAACAAAGCATGTAAAAAGACAAAACAAGGGATGGAGAGGCGGGGAATCGAACCCCGGACCTTTCGCATGCTAAGCGAACGTTATACCACTAAACCACATCCCCATTGGTTGGTTTCATAGCACGAAACCGTGCTAAAATAAAATTGTATATAAAATCCTAGTTACTAGGCACTCATGTGGCAGTACGGAGTTTAGAAACAGGAATACAAAGACTACAAGACACAACAAGAGAAATTCTACTTGATTGTTCTTATATGGCTTCCTGTATCTACGGAAGCATGGGAAAAAAATCATTATCGTGGTAAAACAATACCTATCCGTGTTTGCAAATATATACCTGACTGGGTTGTCGACATGTGAAATGAATACCACATCCATGCCTTTCGACATCCTCACCCATTGCCCCATTCACCAGGCATATACACAGTATTATCATTATCACTGACTTCTCTGTCCCTATCTCTCCCAATTGCTGGTTCTGACACCTGATAAGGCACAGGCCAGTTTAGATTGATGGACCCCTTTAGGACCTTGGGAAACAGGTGACAGATAAAGCTTCATCGCGATAATCTATCACCCTCAACTAAATGCTTTACTATAATATGACTAGATTACAGCTGGAGGGAATTCCTAGAAAACCCGAGCTGTTACTGCGGATGCATACTATCCCCCATTCACTTTAACAGCCGGACATAATGCTGTCTCTTATCAATTGATGATGGCTAGTCCTTATCTACTAGGATAATGATATGCACAGCAAATGCCTGAGATTATTGGTACTAAATAAGAAGCACAAGCCTTATTCCCAGACATTTATAACGTGAATACAGCTTTTCTGGTGCGCGTAACTGACCCATCCACTCTCGAACCGTGAATATCAATCCAAAGACACAGATGGCCTCCAAAGAGCAGACCGTCGAAAAGTCTGCTGATTGCTACGTCACTGCTGACCAGGAAGTGGAACAAGGCTGCTTGGATGAACTACCCTAAAGTGATGATACCACGAGAAGACCGAGTTTCAGATAACCCGAGTATGCCTGTCAATACCCTACGCGTGTGGGTACTTGAGACTGTCTGTAGGATTGCCGGGTCTGGTATCAATCAATACTTCCCACTCCGATATCCGATACCCAATATCCTCTTAGCAACCGGAATCAACCACTCCAATTGGGCTCTCGTGAACTTCCCATTCAACAATTTCACCAAACGTCAATACTTTGATTGGTGGACTAAATACAACTACATACTCGCTGCGGCTCTCGATACCGGTCTCGCTCTCAGTGCGTATCGTCATTTTCTTTTGTACCCCCTATCCGAGTGCTGTTTTTCCCGACTGGTGTGGACATACCGTCTATTTGAATACAGCAGGTTGACAGGGATTGATATGGAAATCGGTGCTAAAGGTTGGGTATTTTGGACCACCGAATGAGACATTGACCTGACATGTAGGAGGAGGGCTATACGAGCCGGGACATCCTCATGAATGGGTGAGGGGATAATTTGCATGCAGCTGGTTGAATTGAGACGCTATTACATCTATGAATGCGAGGTTATGATTTTGAATTTCCAGCTGATTTATTGATGACGACTCGCTGGTTTATTAAGTACCTATATAGGCCTTCCCCCAATGTTCTGATCCATGAAATCCGAAGAACAGCAAGACACGATTTAAAAAAAAAAAAAAACAGGAATAGAAAGAGTAAAAGACATAATAAACACATAGTGGGCAGCCTATGGAAAAAGGAATAACGTCCGAAAAAGATACCTGAATTAGCAGGCTCCCAGTCTGACTTTGTCAGCATAACAGGCCGGAAGAAGCCATTCAAGACTGGCAGAAGTAACCTGCATCTGCAACTGAATCAAAAAGTATCACGAGGCATTTACTAAAACAAACCGTTAGTCTGACACAGGGATCAGGAGCCGACAAGCAACCTACAGAGATTTCGGCCATTCCAAGGTCTTCGCCACCACCGTTAGCGGGCTGCTGGGCGGCCCCGTTCACAGGAGCATTGCCCTCAGCTGGGCCCGAATTTTCGTTGGCGGCAAAGTAGTCAACCATCTCGGCGTCAAGCTCCTCGGCGGTCTTGGGCTTAGGGCGGTTGGGGTTACGAGTTTGACGACGGCGGCCGCCACGTCCTTTAGCAGCACCTGCGGGTTTAGCAGCTGTGGCCGGTTTGGGCTGAGACTTAACCTGTCTGGTTTGGCTTAGTATACCTTTATCCAAGGACGGTAGGGTATGAAAGACTTACACGACACGCTCACCAAGAGGCTTGGGTGCGGGAACGTCAGGGGCATGTGATGCGTCGACGACAACCTCGATCTACCAATCATTAGAAAACAAGCCAAAAAAAAAAAAAAAAAAAAATTGATTCATCTGGATCGTACTCACCTTCATCGGTCTTCCGTCAACAAGCAGTCCATTCAGATCCTTGGCGGCCTTGGCGGCTGTGTCGGGTTTGCTGAAAACAATAGATGCGATGCCTCGGCTTGTGCCGTTTTGGTTGTAAGTGAGCATGACTCGCTTGACGGGACCTGCGGATTTAGAGAAATATTCCTAAAGTACCAGCATACACAATTAGTCCTTCGGCCCATTTCAATTTTATCCACGAGACCGTAAACAACATCGGTAGGGACAACATCGAGATGCGCGTGTATGGCCCCAAGTTCGACAGCGAAGAGCATCAGCGAGCACACAGCGGCAGTTAGTAATAGCAAAAGAAGCCTTTTGAGACAATAAGCCTATTGTTCAAAACCAGAGACAGCTATGCAAAGTGTGTTCCAGCCAATGGTTGCATACGCTTTCAGAGCGTTGAACTTCGTATTGCGTCTCTTGCATAAATCTGCATCAGTCGATACTTGAGCAAGTTCGCCCTCATGTATATAGAACATAGAGAGCAAACCGTAAACTACCCAAGTCCAAGACCGATACCCAATATCAAACCACCATTAGTTTCCTTGTGCGGCGATATAGAAGCTATTTATTCCCCCAGACACCCTCAGTAGCCCGAGTAGGGCAAAGTGTAATACTAGCCTTCGACCCATTGTATGGAAATGCCATTTCCCGTGTCAAACAGGCACTCCAATACTGTAAAGTGAAGAGAGGTTTCGGAGCAGATTGCTTGCCGTATATTCTGGTTTACTGCTGGTCGCTGATGCGCTCGCTGATGCCCGACAGCCAATGCGTGAATAATCAAAGAAAGCATGGCCAAGCGGAGTAGGATCACGTGTTCCAAACATCATCCGTGGCGTAGTCTGCAGCGTAGTTCCTTAAGCGAAAAAGTTTATATGTCCACTATCAGGCAGGATACGCGTTGTGCAAGACTACGGCAGAACTCAACTTCGGCTCATTTCGCTTGACGCCAGTCTGCCTCATAGCGTGCAAAACGGCTCTGAAGGAGTTTTCTGCCTGTGCAGACGACCAAAAACCATTACGGGAATGTAAAGAAAAACAGTTGGCGCGGAAAAGGTCGGAACGCGAGTGAAGGCCGGTTGCGCCTTAAAGGTCTCGAGAAAAAAATGCATGGCGATAAAACCCAAGGCGAAGGCCTCTCGATCAACATACCTTGATATTGGCCTCATTCACATCGGAAGGCTGAAGGGGTTAGCTGGAGTCCCACCAAAAGGCTTTCTCGAGTGGCTGAAACTTACCAAACCGCTGACCATGATCTTGCTCTCAGTCGAGGCCGGGTGTCCACCCTGGGTGGTCTTCCCAGCAGGTTTCGCAGCCTTTGTCGTCTTTTTCACTCCTCCAACCGGAACTGCAGTTGCAGCAGGCTTTGATGCAACCGAACGGCGATTGCGACGACGAGCACCCTGACGACGGTTGACGAGGATCTCATCGAGAGACTTATCAAGCTTCCCAGACATTGTTGATTAAATGATAAGGCAGCGGGAAATTCGAGTGACTGGTAAGATTTCACGGGCTTCAAGTGTGAAGAGTGTTGCGCCACCACTAGAGACTCGCAGAGCAAGGGCACGAAAAGTGTGCTTATAGAAGCGTGTGCCGAAGTATTTAGCAATACAGAAAGTGGAAATTCAAGCAAAAATAGGGCAGTTGATGAAAATATACCCCACGGACCACGGACTGATGAAAGACGCGATGCGGGATGATAAAAAGGAGAGAAAGCGGGAGGAAGAAAGATAAGCTGGCAAGGGTGGAAGTCGAAAGGGAAGAGAGGGAGAGACTGAGTTAGGATGCGCTAGACCGGATTGGGATGGTGTTGGTACCTAGCTGGCAAAATGACTTCACCATGTTGCTCCGCACACCAAGAGATATCAAGTGCCTATGCATTCATTGTTTGGAGAAAAAGAAAAAGAAAGAGAAACAAAAAAATACGGATAACCAAACAAAGACACACAATGTATTGGGTTAAATTACACCACGTCTTACTGCCTATCCTAAAACAAGAGCCAAGTCCAGCAATGATAATATCTACCAGTGTGGAAACAGATAATATGAGGGCTTGGGAAGACAAACAGTAAACCTCTTGCACAGGACCAGCCTTAATAAAATGTTCCAAAATAATAAAAAAAAAATAAGTATATCGAGCGCTCGACCCTACCAAACTCCCTATACAGTACGGAAATACACCGACGATGTTTCACGACAAACATTGTATCCTCTCGTAGGCTGTAGCATATAGCATCCCATCAAACCGACCAGTGCAGAATGTCTCGCTTTGCTCAGCTCTTCAAAGCTTCTAGACGTCCCCTCATTTGTGCCAAAGCAGCTTCTTGATCCTCAAACTGCTCCTCCACCGCTGGAGTCTCTTCGATCGGTTTCTCCGGCTTGATGTCCTCGACCTGGGAGAGTTTGCCGTGGAGAATCTCTTGAAGGACCTTGTCAACTTCTGCATCGGCTTCTTCTTCTAGCTCATCTTCCAGCAGCTCATTGTTCGGAATCGCATCGTCCACCATCTCTTCAATAATACCCGCACGCACCAACTCGGTTGAAAGCTGGTGCATCGTTGCCGTTAACTCAGGAAGACGGACAAGTGTATTAACATCTTTCATAATCCCGGTAGACTTCTTAAGACTTCCTTGGATTTTACGCATCGAAAAGGCCTCATTGACTTGCATCTGTACGCTGTGGAGTTGAGCTCGGCTTGTGGTAAGGCGGGCCGACTGCTTTCGGATCCGAACGAGTTCTCGTGCAAACGTCTTGCTCTCATTTTGGGCCTGTTTTGCCTGTAGTGGATTTCTCTGGGCTCGTCGGGAAGCGTTCAAAATATACTGTCGTGTCTTGCCCTCGAGGGTCTTTAGTTGCATTATATCACGATCCAATTGACGGGTATTGGCACGAATTATTTGATTGCATTTTCTCATCTGTACGAATGAATGTATGAGTCTTGGTACAGTGGGTATCGGTTGTCATGACACCATACCTGCGTCTGTGGATCAGGTCCAAAAAAGACCGCCTTAAGAGTCTCCATGGTTGAGACTCTTGACGTGTAAAGCCGACAAAGGACAGTGTGTTCGGGCGATGTATTCTAGGCAAGGGTAGATATCGGCACTCCTTTACCAACTTGGAGGAAAACAGGGAGCGTTGTAGAAGGATACCAACGCTATGGTGGAGGATCTGGAACCCTTGCGGGGCAACGGTTCGGAAGGAGAGGAAGCGGAATCTGTATCGATGGGCAACCAACGAGTGAACAGAGCAAATAAGGCGAACAGAAAGAGAATAGCGGAGATTTGTCAAGCAAAATCATATGATAATAGCCTTGGGAACCCTCCTCCGAGTCGTTTTTCGCATCACCGTCAGCCTGTCTTGATCAGGAATGACTCTCGCTGACGCGAGCGAGTGTTGGAAAGAGCATGGATGCTGAGTCATGGAGGTATGGTAATTATTGAAACGATAGTTACATAGCCTGAAAGTGAGTGACGTCTCCAGATTGTGCAGCCTCAGGCCATATGTAGGCAAACAGGGCAAACAGCGGGCAGTGAGAGTTCCAGTACTTTCTAGCACCACTCAAGGCGATCACTTGCTAAGAGGAGTCCCTACCAACTAGCGGAAGCCGGTTTCACTTCCTTTTCTTCATCTATCCTCAGCCTCCTCCTCATCCTTTCTTGCAGCTTATTATATCACCGCCTTTAGCTACAGTGTTATATATCTTTCTTCACAATGCCTGACCTTCCTAAGCTCCACCCTGAAGGTATGTGCAACATTGTCCCCCATTCCTTCCCCGCTTTGCTCTACGCCGACGACCATAACTGGCATTCTTTCCAATTTATTGTGACCTCGCTCGGAAAGGGAGCCCGTTTTGCCTTCTTCTCCATATGTCTAGAATTTTTGCTGATCTGATTACACCTCTAGTCACATGGGCCCAGCGTTCCTCTAGCACTGATGCTGAGCGCAATTACCTCTATGTGAACATCAAGGCTCCTGATGTCCAGCGATCCGCTGCAACTCTCAAAATCAACCCCAAGAATATTTCTTTCACCGGAGATTCCAAGAAGGGCGTGACATACGATGTGTCGTTGGATCTGTTTGCCGAGATCGACCCCGAGAACTCCAAGGTGAACCACTCTGACCGTGAAGTTGAACTGGTCCTGCGGAAAAAGGAGCTCAAGGAGGAGTACTGGCCTCGCCTGTTGGAGACTCAGCAGAAGATCCACTTCCTCAAGACCGATTTCGAAAAGGTATGGCACATAAAGACTTAAGTTAATGTTTGATAGATGTAGAGCGAGAGATGCTAGTGGCTGAGATGCTGACTTGTTTTAGTGGGTCGACGAGGACGAACAGGACGAGGTCCCCGAGGATGATTATGCAAACAACTTCGGCGGATTCGAAGGCCTTGGTGACCAGGGCGGTCTCGGAAACATCGACTTCTCTAAGCTTGGTGCAGGCCTTGAGGGCATGGGTGGCGCTGATGCTGGGGGTGGTGAGGGAGGATCGGTATGTTGATCAGCCATTGATATCTCATGAGTCTACAATTACTGACATTCGCATCTAGGATGATGATGACATGCCCGAGCTTGAAGAGGCCGATAACAAAGCTGCGGAGGAGGCCAAATCCACTAAGATCCAGGAGGTCGCTTAAATGTTGAATTACGTTTAGCTCTCGGACCCGCTGATGATTTACAAAAGAAGCAATGAGGAAAACTATTCTTGATGATAAATGATATCGTTTCTCTTTGCCCACGTTATGATACAACATGATGGCTAGCCACTGCCACGGCGGATCCATGTGTAATTTCAAGCGAAGGGCTAACAAGAACCAGAAAAAGTAGAAGAAGGAGGGCATGATTTGCTGGCCTGAAGCGATGAGGTACTGGATGGTAGTAATAGCATCTACATAATTAAACAAGGGTTTGATCCATTCTATCAGGGCCATAACGGGAAAGAAGTCCTTGCCGGAGCTTAACCGTTCAGTTTATATTGAACTGCGACCGCCATTAGCTCGTTGGTAGTAGCCAAAGAAGTTTCATTTCAATTAAGCAGCCTCAATCTCGCTGCAGGAAGTAGGCACTAGGTACCTAACTGTACTTATTGACCATTCTTTTGGAGATGCCGGTCGATATAAAATGGCCCGTTCTTTCTTAAAATATTTAATACATTTTTGACCGTATAGCTGGCATTAATAGTAATAATAGTGTTCCATCATCACATAGTAATAGCCAAGATGGTCAGTCGAGTGCAGTGAACAACAGCGCAGTGGATTGGCGGAGAGGGGTGGAAGAGAAAAAGATTGGTTCATATGTTTTCTTGTTGTCCCGCCACACGCACCTTTTCTTAGCTAAGGCAGGATGAAACCCACCATTGAAAATGTGGAGGAGAGCGACCTGAACTTGCAACCTCCCGACAATACCATCCATCACTCCTCCGACAATCGTTGATCCCCTCATTTTGGCCGGATCTGACAGTCTCGTGTCTTTTTTTCGACACTAGACCGATTGATATTGGTGTTTGGTTTTTTTTTTTTTTTTTTTTTTTTTTTTTTTTTTTTTTCATTTTTCTTCTTAAGGTTTCGCCCTGCCTGCTTGTGTGGGAGGAGTGTAAACCGCTACCGTCGTGCCTGGCGCGCAAAGTACAGTTGTCTTTTCTTTATTTGTTTTAAATTCTATTTCTGTACAGAGAAAAGAAATACTTCAAGTCTGCCATCATGCCTCCCAAGAAGGCGGATCAGCCCAAGAAAAAGAAGCCTACGGTCGAGGATAAGGTTTGTATTGATTGTGTGCGGATGGAATATTTAAAATACAGATAGAGCTAACCTTTCCCCCCCTCGGACAGACCTTTGGCATGAAAAACGTACGTCGTGATAATCCAATGTCGGCTGTATATTGCCAATTTTGAGGAAGATTAAACTAACATGAGATACTTTTTAATACAGAAAAAAGGATCGTCTGCAAAGAAACAGATCGCTCAACTACAAGCCCAAGAAAAATCGAATAAGTCTTTGGATGCAAAGAGAAAAGAAGCGGAGAAAGCTAAGCGTGAAGCTGAGAAGAAAGCCGCAGAACAGGCTAAGCGTGAGGTGGCGGAACTGTTCAAGCCCGTACAGACCCAGAAAGTTCCGTTTGGTGTGGATCCTAAGACCGTTCTCTGCGTTTTCTACAAACAAGGTAATTGTGAGAAAGGTCGCAAGTGCAAGTTTAGCCATGACCCGAACGTCGAGCGGAAAGCTGCTAAGAAGGATTTGTACACCGATTCTCGAGATGGCAAGGCTGCCGAGGAAGAGGAGAAGAAGAAAGATACCATGGACGGCTGGGATGAAGAAAAGCTACGCAACGTTGTCCTTAGCAAACACGGCAATCCAAGAACAACGACTGACAAGGTTTGCAAATTCTTTATCGAGGCGGTCGAGAACCAGAAGTATGGATGGTTCTGGGTTTGTCCCAATGGAGGTGACAAGTGCATGTACAAACATTCTTTGCCGCCTGGGTATGCGATACATGTGTTTTCATCCCCCCTGTTTATGCTACATACTAAAGTGCTTCTGTAGTTTCGTTTTGAAGACGAGGGAACAAAAGTTGGCTGAGAAAGCCTTGATGGACAAGTCTCCGCTGAACACCTTGACGCTGGAGGATTGGCTGGAGTCCGAACGACACAAGTTGACCGGTGAACTGACACCGGTTACGCCTGAATCCTTCGCCAAGTGGAAGAAGGATCGCCTGGACAAGAAGGCGGCCGAGGAACAGGCCCAGAAAGCCAAGGAAGCGACCGGACGAGCGATGTTCGAAAGTGGAGACTGGGAGGACGAAGAGGAGAGTAGTGATGAGGAGGATGACGATGGTGCTTTCAATCTGGATGCCCTGCGGAGGGAGACTGAGAGATTGCGTGAGCAGAAGGAACAAGAGCGCCTGGCAAAGCTGCATGGGACACCGGTTCCTATCTCGAATGACGAGACAATCGCACAGGAGGGTGAAGGATGAATTCTGTGCGACATCTCCCAAGAAATCAAATATCTTGGGCTTACGGGTTACGGACCTGCCACACTGGAACCGGTGTGCCAGGCCATTGTCCGGGCCCGTTGGTATTATCTCGTGTTGATGGATGATAGATACAATGTTGCCATTTTTGGTTAATCTCTCACGCCAAATTCACTTTGTATAGATCTCCGCAGCTGAGGGCTCTGACGGTTGACGTTGACGTTTTGTCGTTTGTCATCATTCATCTCCGTTTCTTCCCTGCAGTCGTTCGTCTGCTGGGATGAGGCTACGCCTAGGAGGCCTAGATGAATATGCTATAACGGCATGGATGCACTAGATTGAGATAGATCGTGTGTCGGATGCGTGGCGGAAAGGACATCATGTGTTATGCCAGAATTTGTTCGTAAAAGTATGAATGAACAAGCGTTGCTTCGGAGCGTAGAATTACCCAGATATTCCTCATTTCTGATCGGGTTGTATAATAAGTATGGGGGTTGATGTGCGTTCCGAAACAATCTGGATTGGAGAGTAATGCGAGACTCCGTCGAGTTGTAGCGTTGACGCCCCCAAAAAATCCCAGGAAATTGTATGTTGTCTTCAAGGATAAACAAAAATCTAAACAAAAGGAATACAGCCCATCCGAAGCTCACAATAAAGGTTTTTCACTGACCAACCCATTCTTGCACATCAACAGGACAACATCTTCCGCCACTCCCCAAGATAGTTCATACCCGCGTCCCCCAGCCCCATAAGCATGAACAATAAACCTGTCACCGACGACCTTCTCTGCCTCTAACCTCATTCCACCCTCTCTCGCCGGCCGTCGCCCGACAATGTCACAGATGACGTCGAACTTGCCCTCGCTTTCCGGAGTAAAGGGGAACCATTTCGCCGCGTTGGATAGGAGCTGTTTTCTGGTCTCTATTGATGGATTAGGGTCCCAGTTGTGAGGCTGTTTTGTTCCTCCGATAATTGTACCACCGCCTAATGGACGGGGGATACAGAAGGACCATGTGCCGTCTGAGTTTTGTCGAGTGAGTGTCATCTTGCATGGATTGCGAACAAGACATGTTTGGCCTTCAATACAAGTTAGTTATAGTTATAGATATGGCTGGATGCTTCGAACTATGCATCGTAGATAGTGAAAACAAAAACTAGCATGAAAGGAAAGGACTCTGCTCTTACCCCGTATGATGTACGATTTTGGATCACCAAAGCCCATCCCAGAGCAATTCACCACTGTTTTGACATTGCCAGCTAGATGAAACGCCTCCATTACATTAACGAGGGTATATTCTCTAATCTGGCCCCCTTTCACGATACACTGGCGCAGCATATATGCACAATACAACGGCGAATTAACAATAAATGTGCGATAACGTGCGCCCCATTTAACTGGAGAGGGACATTCCTCTGGCGACAATTGCTGGAACCCATCTACATGCGAATACGCATTGTGGATACTCGTCTCGTCGAGGTATTCCGGAGGCGGAGACTCAAGATGCTCGATTCCCTCGATGCATTGGACGCCTGCAGAAGGGTCTTGCGCTACGAGGGTCTTGAAATGGTCATATGTACGTCTCGCCTGGGATTCCTCCTTGAGGAATTGTGCAGATGACTCAGGGACGGGTCGGTAGTGCGCGCCTGCCCATGGGGAGGCATAATTGAGGGAGGTTGTGTTGGGGAAGTCTTTGGCGACTATGAGGATGGATTGAGAGTGTCTCAGGTGTTTTTGTATGCGAAGAGCTGTAGAAAGCCCGATCACGCCGGCTCTGATAGGGTTGTTAGCTATTTTAGAATTATTTGTAAAGTTGCTCAAAAAGGCTGCAGCTCAATGACACACCCGATAACTACGATCGTTTCTTTCTGATCCATTTTAGATAAAGAAATTTGAGAGAAAGCAATATGCTGTAGCCATACTATGAGAGCGCAAGCCAAGACGCTTAAGAGTCATACCGGCATTTATCTGGGCTTGGAGAAGGATGTCTATAACCGGATGGAGTCCCCGCATTTTTAGTGGAAACCGCCGTGACCGGTTAACCGACGTGCAATCGGCGATTTGTCAAACTTCTGAGTCATAATATGCTATTTCGATTATGTGGAGTATCGAACAAAGAGCTAGCTGAGGTTTAGTCTTTCATGATCACTATCATTATCGTAGTAGTGTTAAAACTACTTGAATTTGTTTTGTATGCCTTTTTTTTTTTTTGCCTTCGCATCTCAACCTGTAATCCATATACTGATCTGTTGTGATTTTTAGAACGTGGAGTACCTGTACATCCCGACTCTACCTTATTCGAAGTGGTCAGGCAATCTCTCGATGACAAATTTAGCTCTGGCAACTTTCATGACCGGTACACCGGGGATCTTGCGGATGCGACGAACGAGGTCTTTATCGTTGGTAGCGACAATGTAGATCCTATGTTTCGTAACCTAACTCGAGGGTTAGATTCACGGACTGCTGTATGCAGAAATACTGCCGAAATCGGAACGTACCCTGTCAACTATGCAGTCATCTGCATATGTACCTTTGTGACTGCATCGGACTCTCTCCCATCGAGGATCCTTCGCTACCCGCAGCGCTAACCGGAACTTCTCCCCAAGTTTCTCGAGTTCGGCAATTGTGCAGTCTGTGAATGTCGGGATACATTTTGCATATAACCTGTTAACCAAATATAAGCTACCGGCCTAGTGTTCTTGTGGGCAGAGGATGCCGACTCACAGGTCCATCATCGATGTGAGTAGGTCCGTCTTTGCTCGGATAGAATGGGACACAAAGTTGGTATCTACAAGAACGTGGTATGGCGGTCCGAGAGAGGTATTTGCGTTGAAGAACATATTCGATGGGGCATTGGGGACATGTCGGGTCACTTCATCTTCCTTGTGTTTGTTGTCCTGCTTGTTGTTGCTAGTGGCGGGTTGTTTTAGGCGCTCATCACGCTTGGTAATAGCACGTTTCACCTGGTGAAGAGCTCTGTGTTAGTTTATCCAATTTTGCAAACCTTGGGCCGGTTGGGAGAATTGAAGTCGTACCTGAGCGAATTTCCGAGTCTTCTTTTTTATACCCATGGCGCAAGTGGTGAGCAGTTGATAAATTCGAGTACGAGAGTCGAGGTTGCGATAAAGCAAATTCAAAGAATAGACAGGGTGTAATTCCCAGATATTAATTATCCTGCTTTGCAATGAGGCAAGTAGTGTCCAGTCAGGTCGTGCCGATGGGAAGTTCAAGATTCAAAGTGATTTCTTAGAACGGGCCGACATATGGCCGATATGGATTTTTATCTTATCGCGGGTCCACTCGATGATTCAGCTTCACTTTTCGGTAAACTATGCTGTAATAGTTAGTTGTTAGTTAACTTGTTAGTTACCAGAGCACTGTAGTAGATAGCTGGCTGCAGTCCAAGATGACGGTGTGACGAGCATAATTTTAAATGACAGGAAGTTAAATTCTGATGTGCTTCTGTGACAGAATATCTCTCAAGGCAGCGCCCAAAGATCCAGGCCTCCATTACTTTTGTTGCACAACTTCGGGAGTTAAATCATGCCAGTCACTGTGACCGGATCCCCCGTTCCCCAAGAATGAGCCACAAGTCCCATCGTTCGTATAACTCTCTTAAAGGATGTGGGTACAATAGACAACTCCCTTGCTATCACACCCAACAAGATTTCTCGTCACCGTCTGAGCTCCTCGGATATCCCCGCAATATGCTTTCCACAAGCGCTAACAGATCACAAATGCTGTGGTTGATCACATCACATTGCATCCGGTTCCAAATTTCCTTGAGGGGACCTTCTTAACACAGGAAATGCTGGTGGACTTGGAGGACCAATCATCGGCTATTTGTTTTAATTCTGAATTTCCTCTACAAAAAAAGGTTTTCCTTGTCCCTATGTTTTATTGTTCGCTATTATTTCTATTCGAGCAAGGGCCGACTGCAGTTACAATCACTGTGGCGAAGGACATTGTCGAGAAATAGGGTTTGATGCACGACTGGTCGATTTCGCTTCAATTATAAATTATGGGCTGGTATTTGTCTGGAGCTGAAACAAATCCCTGGTGGGATTCCTTTGCTGCTGATCCATTTTCTCCAATGAATGGAATGGTCTTTTTTGACTGATCTACGCCGTATTTGCTTTCCTTTTGCTTCATTTTCATCCAAGGTTCCGTTATAGATGCTGTTTATCCTGAGTGATTTATTCTTCTGGGTATACGCTACTAATATACTAGTAGGTAGGCAGACAGGATATCCTATCTTTGGAAGACCTTGGTCTATAAATATCCCTCTGGAACAACATATCTCTCCGGCTCAAATCTGATTCGACCAAGCCACTTCCCATCGTAGCATTGCTTCTCTTACGGTGTGGTATGGGAGAACGAGGGTGATTTTTTTTACGCGCCGGACAGGCCACTTTGGGCTGGGGCACAGGGTTGATGGGACCCGTGATTGGCGGCAGCAAGTGACGAGAGGTGCATCGTGAAGAAACGCCTTCTGCATCCCCGCCGCCAATCACCAACCATCTCCTTCTGGGGTGCGATCGAACTTCGAATCTATACCGTGTCTGTGAGGATCGACTGCTATCATGGTCCATTGCTGCATGCTCGTTGGTGTGCCCATCTCGCTCCTATCGGCCCTCACCCGCTAATTAGGTCATTGAACGGCCTGGCGATGGCATCCCGGTCCCAGGTAGCGCCGGTCAACCCTCTCGTCGCACGCTCCAATTGCTTGATGGCTGGAGATTTCGATCACCTCCGGCCGTTGCCTCTCGAGACCTCTCAGATCTCTGGACGGAATCTGCTTGTCCGCCTTGCTGTCTGTTTGGATGGTCGATGTGCAAGACGGACGGAGTATAGGATCTTACGGGATCAGATCGCAAGACGACACAGCGAGAGAGAAATCAATAAGAATCAGTCGAGGTGAAAATCCTACAGACCCTGTCTCTCTTCATGGATACTCTTCTCGCTCTGTTCTCCCCTCTCCCCGCCTCCACCCTACTGTATTTAGGTAGACTTTGCTTTTAATTCCTCCCCCTCCATATCATATGTTACCAACGTGGTGACCCGCCTAGCGCCGTGTCCTTCTGGTTTGTCTCCTGCATCTCTCAGTTCCTCGCCTGCATATTTGGCTGTCCCGCTTTGTCCTTGGTCCAAATTAGCAATCTTACATGAATTTCTGTACTTCTTATTTTCCCACCCCCCTCCTTCATTCTATACCGCTGTGCAGACCGATCTGTCAGTTCTCCTGCCACACTTCCTACAGCCCAGCCGCTGATCCTTCGTGCCCCAAGTTAGCCACACCCAAGACAGACATATTGTGATACCATACTGCGCAGTGTCTCACTCTCTTGAGAGGCACTTGGGACCGTCGACAGGTTAAGACAGCAAGAATCTAGCCTGTGTCCATTTATTGTTCGTTTGTTTTGGATCAATGGTTTGCCACTTCTGTGGGGATGGTCTTGAAACTCATTTGCTCTGTCACACACTGTTCAACGTTGGCTCTTTGAATCGAATTTAGAAAGTAAAATTCGTTCCAGGAGCAATAAACCTTCAGGACTTGTGAAGCAAACTCCTGGAAGGCTTGGATATCTGGTGCAGTGCATAAACAGAGTAAGGGATAGCGAAGGAATAACCTGGGAAAGTCTACATCGATTCCAAGTCAGTACGACTGGGAAGAATGGTCGAATTGACATGGAACACAAAGCCAGTTCAAGAATCGACAACTACAAGGACCAAAGCAATGGCACATCCCATGCCACCACAACCGCAGATATCTGAATCTGCCTTTGGGCCCTGTGCATCCACCGCTTCCTTGTTCCTTCACTCCCAAGGGTCTGTGATTTTATGCCTCCATCATGACACACTGGCGCTTGAACGAAAATTCGAACACCACCTCGAAGATATCAACTTTATAAGCGTGGACAATGTTAGCGAGCGCGGTGCAGGGAGGTTGGTGGTCAGCTACGATGTCGGGCAGACAGCAATCGTGTGGGATCTGTTCACAGGAAACGTGATTGCACGATTTGCTTCTTTTGAGCAGCTGCGAGTTGCAGCCTGGATGCGGAATGGGAACGTGGCTTTTGGTACACACACCTAGGCTGATACTTCTGACGGATCAATATTGACGCTAATATGATGATAGGAAATGAAAAGGGTGATGTGATTCTCTTTGAACCATCTACCTCTGAGAACATCTCTTGCCGCACAATCTTTGATCCCATCACGGCTTTAGCGCCAGGGTCGGATTGCCGAACCTATGCTATTGGGTACGTATTAATGAATGGTCTTAGCAAAAGTTAAGAGTTGGGTGGAAGAGCCAGTGCTTATTGATATCAGGTACCAGAACGGCTCCATCCTAATAGCTACTTTGCATCCTACGTTTACTATTGTTCATACTATGACTACTTCTCGCGGCCCGTCACCAATCGTATCGTTGGCATGGCATGCATCGTCATCTAAGCAGAAGTCGGATATGTTGGCTACTCTTGCAGCAAATGGTGACCTAAGAGTCTGGAGCGTGGCGAAACCCCCGGGTAAAGAGGTCCCGCGGACGATTAGGGTTCTAAAGAGATCGGATACCTCTTCGCCTTCAGCGCCTAAGTGGATGTCATGGTCAAAGAACGGAAGGATTGTTCAGTACCTGGATGGGTAAGTCTTGCATTGAAATACGTATTCATTGAAGGCAATGGGAAATGCTAAGGCTTTGCTCTGTAAAAATCTAGTGAAACGTGGTCTTGGGACGTCAGAACAAAACACGTCACATCTGAACCCATTCCTACAGTAGACAACCCTCGTGGCTTTGCCAGTTATGGGCCTACAGCGACTCTGTTTACCCTGGGACCTCAATACACCGTTCAGCAGTATGACCTGGAAAATCCAGCTATGGTGGCCAATGTGCAGCATCTCCCTGCTGGGGTGGTCATACCTGTGCCTATAGAGGAAGCCAGGGCGCGCGCTATCTCACCCCGGACTTTACAAGACCCCTCAGACATGCGAGAGTCAAACCAATTGTTTGGTACCAGACGTGCTCCATTTGATTCGAGTGGAATTGATGTTGTGGGGCAACAATGTGCGGATCTGACTAGCCCTGCTTCCTCACGTAGCCATGCGAACTCGGTGAGTTCAAAGGCTTCCTCTAGTAAATATAGAATGATGCCTTTTTCACCACCGAGCAGATCAGGTCACACTGGCACATCTTTCTCCTTAACTTCTGCCAGCGGCAGAGAAACCCCACAGCCGTCTGGAGCGTCTTATGCATATGCGTCGTCGGTGTCGATGTCGTCAGTCAAAAGTTCCCGTGCTGGATCCCGGTTGAGAAATGAAGTCCAATTAAGTCCTGCCGAAAAGCCTGTCGATTTGTTCACTTTCACACGTGCACGTCTTAATGACGTTCCGTATAGGGCTCACCGTCCACTGGATGAGTCTCATTTGACTCCGGATGATTTGCGCCGGCAGATGTTGAGCGTCGTTTTCGGCTGGGATGGTGATATCATAGGGTTGTTAAATAATGAACGTACGTTTGTCTTATGTTGAAGCTAACGCCTTAGTTTCTATTGACCATTTCACCAGTTAGCCACCATCCACCGGGGAGCCAGAGCGCTATTCTTCTAGCGCAATGGCTCGGAGAATCAGACACGGATCAAATGGTATCAATGCTTGCTTCAGGTCCTGCCTCTTCTGCGGACTGGATGCTGTTAGCCTTCAGTCAAATGCGCGGAGAATCGCAGGCCAATAAGGTTGGACAAGCCTTTGTGCAAAAATTGTTGGAGATTGGAGATATTCATACGTCGGCCACTATCTTGCTCGGGCTCGGGGACAAGAACGATGCGATCGAAGTATACGTTTCACAGAACTATTACATGGAGGCTATCTTAATGACCTGTCTTGTGATGCCTACTGATTGGCAACGTCAGTCATTCCTTGTTCGGCGCTGGGGAGAGCATGTAGTTTCCCACTCACAGCAGCAGCTCGCGATCCGCTGCTTCATGTGTACCGGGGTGGAACCATCTGACCCTTGGACATCACCAGCGGCACAGCAAGCTACGTCCCTTGCGGAAGTAATATCGAGGAGATCACCTATCACATCTCCAGAACCATATCAAAATCCGGTGAATCTTTTGCCGCCGAGCACCCAACCCAAGGGGCCAGCCAATGTCAGGCACCAGTCCAAAACTCCAGCTCTCAAGCTGATTACATCCTTTGACTCGCAGCCGAGTCAAAAGTTCCGGTTTCCTGGACTGAAGTCCGATGACCGGACGCCGACAAACGCTCCTGGAGTTACTCCGATCGCCGAGTCTGCGGTGGTAGAGTCTGCCGTCTCACCCGGCGGATTTGGATCTTATAAACTGAATAATATCCAGAGTATAAACAACGCTGTTAACCCTAGAACGGGAACCCCGGGATATTCTAGGCGACGACTTCCTTCTATTGGCGAGACACCTGTAGATGTGCACCCACCAACCTTCCCTTCCAACAGTCTCAACAAGCCCGCGGAGTACAGCTCGACATCGGAGAATGATGGTGCAGAGAGCAATCAAGTCCGCACAAACAAAAAAGAAAAACAACCTAGTCTGCTTCCGTCCGCGCGCTATGATCCGGACGAGAACTACAAACCGAGCCCTCAAACTGCGGTCCAGGCAAGTTCAGATAAATTTGCAGGCATTAAAGGCCTTCCTTCCCCTGCGGCTGGATTTTTTGATGCCCTCAAAGAGCGATCCGACAGTCGTAATGGATCTCGTGACCGGATGCCAGATGGGTTGCAGCTCCATTTGCAACATGATGAATCGTTTGAAGATGACCCGCAAGACGAGTTAGACATGACGATTGGAAATTTTAGAAGCCCAACATCAACACTGAATAGCTACAGTTCTGCAAAGAGCCCGAGCGTCAGCGGCCGGAGTATAGACCAGTATATTAGCAGCCTCGATGAAGCGAACTATCATGCGAAGAAGTATCAAAGCCACCGTTCCCATGGCCAAAGCTCTGCACGGCGACATCACTCCAGAAACCCATCACAGGAGACTAGGGGAAGACGTGAAAACCGATACGTTGCACCAGCCAAACGCTCCCCTTCTTCACCCGTTCCCATGTCACCGGAGGAAGTGGCGAGCTATCACAATTTCGAGAGACATGAGGATGGCCATCGGAACAAGAATGCCCCTAAAACTCGGAGTACAAGCAGAGTGAGGAAACCCCGTTCCAGGGCTTCTTCAGAGCGCCGTAACAACCGCTCGTCTAGTCGACATACAGCCAGTCGATTGGGTGGGGACAAGAATGAGACTTCCAACAGGGGCCGTAGCATTGATCGACCGGCGTCGCGCCCGAGGTCTCCATCCTCTCCATTGCCCATGTCTGCAACGGATGATGCCTTAAGGCTAGTTACCAGCGATCGAGAGCGGCGGACTCAGCAGCGAAGTGGCAGCAGGCGCCCAGAGAAAGGAGCTGGCGCATCGAGTGATTCCTCTCCCGAGGCAAATCGCACAAGGGCAAGGTCTCGCAGTCGCCATGGGCATGAATCAAGGCCAAACACTGTACACGATCAGAATGAGTCAATGGCGAATGGTAACGGCAAAGACGCCGTCGTGGACGCAAAGTCCCGGGAGATCACAAGTGAGCTGACCGACCAGGCTAGGGACATTCATACTGTAACGATGCCACTGGCGGGACTGTCAGAGCAGAGACGAAAAGATCTTGCAGCTGCGGAGCTGGAAGCACGGCGTCTATCACTTGCGCGTAATCCGTCGGCACCTAATATACCTTTTCCAGGCGAATTGCAACCCTCACGGAGTGCGTTGGAAAGTCCACCATTTTCGGTGAACTCATTTGGTCCACGGGCTCCTGGAAGGCGTAAAATGTCAGCGAGCAAAGCATCGCCGGAGTATCCGAGCAGCTCTGATTCTAATTCATCCCGATCTGGGGGGCCACATGGACTACCTTCAACCCCAAAGGCCATGCGGCACCCGAAATATGCCGGATGCGAGGAAACTGCTTCATCAATCCCACCAGTACCCGACAGTGCTACCATTCTAGGTGACCCAAGTTTTTATATGGACGACTCTGATAGGATTGGGCGTTCCATGTCGGTCCCGGTACCCGAAAACCAGCAAAAGGGGACTGTACCTACAGATCTACCCACCCATCCTAGGTTCAATCCGAATCTTCCACGAAGTCGCTCAACCAGCAGAGGCCGGAACACGGGCCATCACCGCGAGAGCTCGCGGGAGACTAGTGGATATGGTGGATATAGCTATGGAGGTTCACCTGTATCCATCAGCATCGAAGAAACAATCGAAAATGTCATGAAAACGAAGCAGGTGGAGAACCCACCAATTCTTCCAGAGCTACAGCACCTGAACACGCCACCGCCGCCGCCACCTCTTCCTGCATCTCCACGAGAGTCTTCCGGCACTATTGACATTGCCATTGACAATGATAATATGGGGAAGTTGCTCCCACGCGCCATGACTGCTGCACCAGCGCCCACTATGGATGAATACCCGGCCATGGAGCGTCGTCGAATGTCATTTGATCATCGCCGGGGCAGAAGCGTCAATGAAAGTTTCACCAGCAAGATCCGCAATTTGACCCGTATGGGTAGTCGCGGGCCTGACGCATGGGCGCCTGCTGGTGAGATGCATCTGCCGTACGAAAGTGTGCAGATGGCCGAAAGCCGGATGTAATAAAGCGGTAGGCGATCTGTCCTTGGTTATTCTTTATATTTTCTATTTTTCCCCTGTCCTTTCTCTCTTAGGTAATTGGCAGTCAATTGAACTTGGAATGATACGACTAACGAACTTTGCTGTTGAATTTGTTTTTGGTTTTTGTTTTCAGATCATAGTTACCTGATGTTACTCCCATGTTTTGGATTTTATACCCTTTGCCTTATAGTAAGAGAGATTTGCACCCTATCCCGTTACAGTACTTGCTACTTTCTTCCAACCGCTCCTCATTCGTATTTGAATTGTGCCTGCGAGGGGGCAAGGATAGTTGTCTCAGTCCTTGGGAGTCATACAGACCTGGCGCCATACCGTGCTATGACCAGGCCCATATAATTAAATAATAAATGCCTTTATTGACAGCTGAGTGTGCTTCATATGAATGCCTAATTTACATGAGAAGTTTGGATAGAAGATATGCCTAACACACAAGATATTCCTCCGTAATGCCAAACCAACTCAATGATGGATAAATATGCGGGTTGGTCTATTTTTCCCAGCCCTTCGTATCCCAGGAGTCACTACCAATATTCCTCTCAGATTCTAGTAGCCGATCAAACTCCGCCTGAGACTGCTGCCGTTCTTGATGCCTATCATAGCCCCCGCTTGAAAAACTAGAACTTCCCCACGAGTTCCAGCCCCCTTGTCCCTGTTGTGTCTCATCCCGCTGGTCTTGCTGAGACGAGCCCGAAATAGCCTGCTGTCTGATACGCTCCCAGGAATTTCCTTCAGGGTATTTCTGCTGCGCACGCTCCGCTGCCTTAAACGCCGGCGCTGTGGGGCTGGCATCATCATAATCATCAAAGAAACTCCGGCCCTGTGTCTGATCCGCAATCAATTGAGATAGTGTCCCTTGCGAATACAAGGAATCGTGTTGATTCTTCTTAGGTTCCGAGGCTCCGCTCCGCTGTTGAGTCGTTTTGTCCCACCACGCCGCCTCCGACCGCTGGTCTTGCTGCTCCTGCTCTTGAGACGGTGTCTTCGTCTGTGATGAGTTAGGAAGCCCCTGCATACTCTGACGCAACGCCTCTAACTGCCTCCGGTGCAATTCATTCTGATCCTGACTGGCCAATTCTTCTCTGTACGCAGCTAATCTCAGATCCTTTAAGGAATTCACCTGCTCCTGAGTCGAGGCATATATTGAAGTAAAAAACATGCCGGAGAACGACCACAAGAACAAGCTCCCGATATTACTCGGTCTAAATAGCCGCATCAGACTCGGCCTGGCCCTCTGCGGGCTAAATGTCGTATGGTCCTTCCTAGGAGTCGCATCTGCTTTATCCAACTTGTTGAGTTTCCTGATTTCCCATAGGAGAAATCCAATGACACCCAGAGGCGCCCCCGTGCGGTCGACGTATATCTTACGACTGCAATGTGTGATCATCGCGTCTGCTTCTTCTTGGGAGGGTAGACGTTGCAGACCAACCCGCGCCTGGTTGAGACGCACAACGATACTGCTCCGTAAAGTATGTCTCCAGGCGTATGAGCCCGGATAGAAGGCCATTGTGACGATGTCGGGTCGAACAATTGTTTCCGGTCGAACTCGCAGCGGGAGGAGATGCTTGGGTAATGGGAACTCGGGATTTTCTATAGTGGATGAAAATTGCTCCGCTTGGGGAGATGAATCGTCGAGGACCATTTTGGATGGAAATCCGTAGGTGGGTAATTGATGAGGTCAGTTCAGGTCAAGTACGATTCAATGGATGCGCTGGTAATGGCGATGTTGTAGTGGAGCTGCAGGGATTACGATTTCAGTCAGAACCAACCATGCATTGGATTGTATGTACATTTATTGCAGTAAATACATACCAGGCACAATGATCAGTTTCCCGTGGTTGCTACGGACTTGCAACCATCGAGGTCAAGCAAGCATCAATTCCAGTAATGGTGGTGTATTAAATCATCATTTCCTACGACGCATAGAAACCACTTGTGCGTTTCCCAATCATCTAAATACAGTTAGTTTCTGGTTCCCTGTTCGGTCCAGCTCAGCGTGGTTCGGAAAATACGCTACAATTCTGCCACCGCCCTGGACCATGATGAGATTTTTCCGAGCATAATTACTCCATAGGGATTTGGACCACGATCACACGGAGATCACATCAATAGAAGACTTGGCATTCCAAAATAAATTTTTAGCATATACAAAATTAAGATTTAATAGGGATAAAATAGTGAATCTTTAATCACATCCTAATTAAGTAGTGAATGATACTATCTGGCTTTGCAGTGTGTAAACCTGGGTAACACAATTAGCGATGCAATAGAGATTCACTTGATTTATTCTGCATGATAACATTATGATTGGTCGTTAAGATCCCAGGATATATGTCTCTCCTCAACATACCTATAGAACGCCCTTCTGTATTTAATCATCCTCTCCTCCATTTTCCCTCCTGTTCACTGTGAATATATGCATAGTGTATCCCTTCTTTCCTTTGGGGTTTTGCGCTGTTTCAGCGTATTCTGGGTTAGGTGCTGGGTTTGTTGACTAGTACAGGTGTTTTCTTTAGCGTCTTTCTCTATCTTAGCATCTACTCTGCACGTGCCAAAGATGGTTTACACTGTTGCAGACTTCGACAATCCCCAGGTCCGAGAGGCCGCCAACCCTTCCACTACCGGGGGATGGCACTATGGTTAGCATCTACTTAGCATATAACTTCTTAATACTGAGCATATACAGGCCCAATCCCCAATGCTAATACAAACTGGACTCCTCCTCAGGGTAAGTGGGACCTGAGTATTAGCGTAGTATATGCTGACCCCATATCAGGAACTATCACCCCCGAAATTAATGGCCAGGCGCCCAACCCCGGACAGAGATTCAGTGGTGTCAACGGAAGGGTGTATGTATCATACTAGCATACGCCTATTATATAACTAACCTAATGCCCAGTTGCGATGTTGCTGTTAATGGCGACCAGATGTGTGGCCGTTGCTTCTCCAGCATGATTGCGGTATGGATTAAGATTCAGTCCTGTATCCACATTGTATCTGCTAATTATATCTAGTACCGCCGCCATCTTCGCCAGTCTCACCCTGGAGCCTGTTAGTATTAGTTTAGGTTATACAGAGCATATACTAACACTACAGCCACCAACCCGAACACCGCCAATATCAGCGACGCCGAACTGGTGGCCGGCCAGAAGTAAGTAATTATAACATGGAATTATACATAACATGTGCTAACCCTAAGCTAGCGCCCTTAAACGCTGGGTTCTGGAGAAAGGCTGGAGAAGGGCCAGGTACCTCCACGAGCCTGGGTTAGTTTTAAGTACTATTAATCTTATACATTGCATATACTGAGCCTATGCAGACGTGGTCCCCTGGATGGTCTCATTAATGAGTATGCAGATGCCTGTGAGCAGATTGCGTGAGTAATTACTTTAGTACAGCTTCTGCATATACTTATATATTAGCCGTACCAATGCTTCCTTTCGTGCGGCATTTGGAGACCGCTTCCACCGTGATCCGGTAAGTATTAATCTAACATATTTCTGGCACATGCTAACTAGCAGTAGATCATGCCCCCTTCCTCATATGGTCGTCGCAAGAGAAATGTTAGTATTGGTCCACTCTATGTAATGTATATGCTAACCTTATAGCGCGGTCCTCCCCCTCCTGCTGGCACTCCTGAGCCTGAGCCTGAGCCTGAGCCTGAGCCTGAGCCTGAGCCTGAGCCTGAGCCTGAGCTTGAGCCTAAGCTTGAGCCTGAGCCCTCCCGCCCGGCCAAGAAGAGAGGTAGGTAGTTCTATCTAAATATTAGCTTCCCATATGCTAACAGTACTCTAGCCACCAGGGATGGTCGCAAGGACAAAGGCAGGGTACCCGCCAAAAGGGCTGTAGAGTGCTAAGTCAGTAGTTGGAACACGATAAGTATTTTTCAGGTTCCGACTGACCTAACTTCGAACCACCTGTAAGCCCTTTTGTACAAGCGATGCTGTGGTTACTTAGTAATCGCATTTCTTCAGGCCAAACAAAACCCCCTCAGGCCACATAAAGTTTATTTCTGAGGCAATATTCTGTCAATGTGAGCCGCGTTCTCTTTGTACGCGTTAGAATTGTTGCATCCATAGCAATAGTGCCCATAACATAAGTAACAACGCAGTACACCATCCAGGGTTGCTAAGAAACGGCAATTGGGAATCCACAAAATTCTATATACTGTACATGGACATATCTCGCCCCCTCAAAAAATTGAGATGTGGATTGTTCCTATTTTACGTGATAGCCAAGGGCAGTAATAAGCAGTTTTTCCACGCTTTGGCAAAAATTATACCAAGCGATATAGATCTGCAACCACTCCCAAAAGTACCTACAATTCGGCAAGCTTTACGTATGAAGATAGATACTGCTCTGGGATTGAGGGGAGGGGAGATGAGATGATGCAAATGACGTTGCCACCTCAATATGCCTGTCCGTTTTATGTCGGGTAGGACGGGTGCTCCCATTGTGCTTAAATGCTGGCGAACAACCCTAGAATACCAGTGCCTTTAACTTTAGTTCTAACTTTTGAGCTGGGAGTTCGTCAGAGGTTATCATATTTCTAAGACTTCTGGACCAGTCAAAAATTTGGGAAGTTGTCTGCATGAAAACGTATGAACATTTCTTAAATCATTAGCGGTTGCTTCGGCTCTAATACATAACGCTCAGCACCGACGCTCCACAGACGAGGAGATCACCGAAAGGTATAAATACCTTTCATCTACTTGTAGTATTATGGACAACCCGAACTCACCTTGTGATTAGTTAGTTAGATTGCCAGTGAACTCTCAAGTCTTCCCAGATTCGTCAAGATGGTCGACATCGAAGTCATCAAGACAACTTTTCAGGATGCTGTTCCAGGCGTACCCTTCTTTGTTCGAGGCGACGTCGACTACAGTTCTAAGGTGGCGACATGGAACACCCTCGCTCAGCCTCGCCCTCTTGCTGTTGCACAGCCAGCTAGCCCTACTGAGGTCAGTGCCGTAATTGCAATAGCAAACTCCCATGCCATCCCACACCTTGCCATTCGAGGAGGCGGGCACTCATTTGAAGCGCTCAGCCTCGGGGGTGTTGACGGTGCCCTGGTGATCGATGTGATCAATATGAACAAGATCCACTCGGATCCTGAACATAATGAAATCACAGCTGGCGGTGGTGCGTTTCTTGGGTCTATTGCTTCTCACGCTTGGGAATATGGACGGAAAATGCTTCCAATGTGACATGTCCTACAGTCGGTATCGGGGGCCAGATCCAATGCGGAGGGTATGGTTTCTGCACTCGCACATTCGGAACTCTGGTGGATCGAGTGCTGTCTATGGAAGTTGTTACCGCAGATGGGGAAATTCGAACGGTCAATGATAAGCAGAATAGTGACCTTTTTTTTTCGCATTGCGAGGATCGGGAACTGGTTCTTTTGGTGTGATCACTTCGGTCACACTTCATGCTAACGACGCACCAGCGGTTGTGGGCACCTTTTTGATTAGATGGAGCCTGGACAAAGACGATATCCCAACGATACTGAAACAGCTGCACAATGCCTGTGTGAGCGGCTCGACAAAGCTGAACCCAATGATCATCATCTGGCTTGGTTGCCTAGAGGTAGCGGGGGTGATTCTCGCCGACACTGAAGCCGAACGAGAGTCTATTTGGAATGATCTCCGGAAGAACGTACCGAAAAGTCGCGAGGCGAAGATCAAACCGATGGACTTTATTGACACCGTCTGGGGCATTGGGCTCACTCAGACCTCTGCACCGTGGTGCGCGAGTAATAGTGAGCTGAAACGTGAGGGAGAGGAGCATCTGCGGTACATGAAGATCAAGGCAGGATTTATATCCAAGTTGATGGATGATAAGTTCTTGGAGCAGCTAGCAGCGTTGGCTGTCACACAACCCAGGTCCGGCGTCCGTGTGCAGCTACTCGGGCTCGACCCTGCCTGCATGCCCGCACAGGATACCACATCTGTCAAGGTACGTGGTTGTCCATGGTTGATGGGAATGTCTGTTTGGTTGCAGACTGGTGAATATGGCGGGGATCGTGGTGTCACGGTAGATGAAGGTGAGAAGCGCAGACCTTGGCTGACTACAGCATATGAACTGTTTTATCCACTTACTGCTGGAGGATACATCGGCGACGACGATATCGAAGAGACTGTTAATGGACGAGATATGATGGAGAGTTACTACGGCCAGCACCTCGCGAGACTTCGTGAGGTCAAGTCCAAGTACGATCCCAGGAATATCTTTCACCATCCCTTGTCAATTCCGCCCGGCGAGGCTTGAGTAGGAACGAAAATACTTTATCGTGGCGGGTTTGTTTTTCCGTCTTTTTTTTTTTCTCTCTCTAGTGAACTTTAACTTCTCTAAGTTAGTCGAATTGGAATGGTATACTCTAAACCTCACACTGTTTCTCACCCCTGTCATACAACCTTTAAAGCAGTAAACACATCTTGAATCAGAGATATGAACGTCTTCAACTTCACATTACCAGGTATCTTCTTTGTACCATGTTCACTGGACCTGCCACGTGTCCCAACCTGTCCTCTACATCTGACCACAGAATTTTCAAGGATGGAGTAAATATACTCCAAACATACAAGCCTGCTCAAACAACAGGTTCCGAATCCGATAGTACGTATCTCCCTCCGTTAGCTAGGGCTACAACATAAACAAACAGAGAAATATTGTTACCAACCTGTCGATGGGCCCAGAGTGCCAGTCGAGCCCTCCATTTGCAAATTGATGATTCTGGATACGTCAGCTGACGTTCTTGTAACCAATTTCGAAAAAAAAGGAGGGAGGAGGAACGAAGAAATATGCAATATTCACAAATATAGTGGCTTCCTGACATATCCTCTGCCATACTGTGTCGTCACTTCCGTATCGTAGAGATAGAAACTGACTGAGGTGTTGGAACCATCCTCGTCGCGGATCTCGGTGCGCACGGCGTGAAAGTTATCCGGGGAGTCATACTCCATGTCTATAGATTGGATTTCGGAGGATGCTAGTTCGACGCTGCGGTTAGTGTTGTTGTTTCAGGTGATATGGAGGGCGCGTGTGCACATTGAATGTGTTGAAGCTAATATTTCCACTCCCTGGACCGCTTCTGGCAGTACTACAAGAAAGAAATAACCTTTTCTTTTTTTTTTTTTTTTTTTGAAGAAAAAGGTTAGATTCAAAAAGAATACTATACCCTTCCACTCTGCGAGATCGATCTCTGGCGGCCAGGTATCGGCTCCATTCAGCCAAAACGCCGGCCATGTAACTGTGTCCACGGGAGCTTGGAACTCTGCCTGGATGTTGAATCCAGAGCCCTCCTCTATCGTGAATGTTGTGGAGGAATGAACCGCCCATGACAAGTAGTTGATTTCCTGTCCGCCACTGGTGGGTGGTTCGTTCGAGACGGGCTTTGCCATTAGCGTTAGTGTGCCCCCTTCTACGAAGATGTACTCGTGATCTGAGGAACTGCCAACCATGCAGGCGGAGCCATTGTGGTCAGAGCCCTAGGGATACAAGTAGGCGAAGTATTTCTTCAGGGAGGAGGTGGAGTTGAAGCAGTTGGCTGGGACGAAGGTTGTTGCTGCGTAGGCGAGAGGGAGAGTGAAGAAGAGTGGAGAGGTGCATTGTGCTTGAGTTTGATAGGGTCAGTTAATAGAATTAAAACAAGATTATTAATGTATTTAGATGTATGATGACCTACGAGTAGTATTTATAGCGATACAGTAGAATAATCCCGTGTCTCATGTTGATACGGTGCAATCCCTGATAGTGGAGGTGTCCATCTTTTTGGGTCTGGTCTGGCCAAGCGAGAATATCAACTCCCATTCATCTATTCTAGCTATATGATGTGATAGAATATGTTAGATTAGGTTGACTGCTCATTTCCCTCACCGGAATATAGCCTTATACACCGTATCACCGACCGCACGCTACCATTTCTCCACATAGGGTCGCAGATCCAGCTCGAATCCGAATGTGGTACGAGGCTGCGTATGCAGATGCCAGTAGGAGTCCGCGATCTAACCAATTGGCTTCAGTATCTTTCTTTGAAGACACGGCTCTAATGGAGTACTTACAGCGTTGGGGTCAAGTTTCGCATCTTCGTGCTCAAACTTATACGCCTTCGTGCGCGGGATATCAATGACTCCATCGACAATGACGTGAGAGACATGTACGCCTTTTGGCCCGAATTCACGAGCTAGTGACTGGGCCAGCGCGCGTAGAGCGAACTTGCCCGTCGCGAAGGCCGAAAAATTGGCCGATCCCTTGACGCTGGCTGTGGCGCCCGTGAAGACCAAAGTGGGTGGGTGCTGAAGGTGCTTGGCTTGTAGGAGAAGAGGTAGGGAGCTTTGGGCAAAGTTGAATGCCCCTTTCCTGTATTGATGTCAGCGTTGGTGTCTATGTTTAAGTCTTATACCTTGCTCGTGGTGTGGGAGTACCCTTGACTCTCGAATCCTTGTAAAAACTCCTCTTCCGTCAGCTCTAGAAATGGCTTCCTGACAAAGCCACCACCGGGATTGAATACGGCTGCCGCCAGAGGCGAGTTTGGATATTTCTGAGAGATCTGGTCGAACGCAGACTTGACGCTGGCCGAGTCCGAGAGATTAGTACTGATGCCGACGGCCTCTCCACCTTTTGATTTGAGCTCCTCTACAAGAGGTTCGAAGTTGGCTGGATTACGAGCCAACAGCGCGATGGAATATGCTTGGGCGAATTTGCGCGCGATCGAGGCCCCCTGCCTGTTGTTTAGTTTGGGCTGGATTTTGGGTGGAGAACTTAAGGGAACATACTGTACCGGGCCCCACACCGGCGATGATAGCGAGAGGCTTAGTGGACATAATTGTAGATGTACAGCAGATAAGAGCAGAAGATGCAGCTTGACTGGGAAGCAAGAGGATGAACGCTGCTTATATCGATGAACATGTCGTCATTCACAGTGGGGGTTGGGCAAGCGGTGCTTAGAAATCGCCGAGACGATCAGTAATTACAAATGAGCTCGTTTGGTTGCACCAAACGAGCTAGTTCACGGAAGCTTTCCCTGCTGTATGTGGTACAGTCCATTACAAGCGATCATGGGTGAACAGATATTGGAGTAGGTTGAAGGAATGATTCGAATGAATGTAGCATGAGGCAAGTCCGCGATGATTTCTATTGCTGCCTGAGGCAGAAACCACTATCGATAAGCACCCAAACTTTTCTCCAACTTTTCTTCCTCTTCTCTCTCTGTGCTTCATCTGACCCATACAATTATTTGGATATTCTTCGGTCGATCATGTCCAATTCAGAGGACCCTCTCCTTTCCGACCTGTGCTCAATCTGGTAAGCTCATTTACCCTCCACCACCGTTACAGATCTAACCAGGTAACAGTCACATCCATACGCCGAAATATCGCTGTCCCCGCTGCTCAACGCGTTCCTGTTCCCTGCCTTGTTCTCGTCGTCACAAGCTGTGGTCGCAATGTTCTGGAGTCCGCGACCCGGCAGCTTACCTCCGTCGCAACGAACTAGCCACTGAGTCCGCTTTTGACCAGGACTTTAACTTTATCACGGGGATCGAGAGACGGCTGGAGCGCGCGGAGAGAGAAGCAGAGAACAGAGGCATACAAATAGACCCCGAGCGCCATAAGTTTGCAGATCTTGCTGCCGTGGGGCTGCAGCATGAAGTGAACGAGGAGGATGACGGTGCGCGGAAGAGGAAGAGGCCGAATAACGATGGGGGGATGGTGAAGGGAGAGGCGGGATTTCTGCGTGGTGCTGAAGATGCAGGCGTTACAGTGGTTCGAGCGCCAAAGGGTATGAGTCGGAGTAAGAACAATGGATCGAGATGGCATCCTAAGTATGTTTTCCTGGTGCTCCGCACGGTATAAAGTTACTAACTAGTCGCTCATTGCAGACTAAAGTGCTTGAATTGGATGGCGGAGTGGATCATGCCGGATGGTCAGAAGAGGAGTAGAAATTGCCTGGAATCGAGCACAATTGCGGATGCATTTGATCGCGTCTATCCCCTACCTAAGCAGGAGAGAGAAAAGAAGAAAAAGGAGGAGGAGCAGACCTCAGACCAGGGTGCAGAAAAGGACCAGAGACCTGGGTCCGAATCTCGCGATACCCTTCTTTCATCGGACGCTGTGACTTTCCCTCAAGCAGCCACGCCAGTTATTGATGGTGAGGCACAACCAGAGGACACTCCAACGGACGAACAATCATCTACACAAATGGCAGAGGTCACCGCCCATCGCAATTTCTTTTTCTATCTTCACCGTCCGCGGACCGCTACGAAACAAACCGTACTGATCCCTCTACCACCGAGGATGAATTTCACCACCGCTCTTCGAGGCCACACTGTCTTGGAGTTTCCTACTATTTACGTGCTTCATGAGTCTCCTGATGAAGTACTCTCCAAACGGGAAGAATCTAAATTCCTGTTGGAGGAGGAATATGTCCGTGCACATCCAAATCCAGAGCCCGAGCTGGGTGAAATAGCCGTGGAAAGTGATACCCAGCTGCTACCTGGTTCAAAGGATCTTACAAATATCGATGAGAAGAAGGTCCTAGAAGTGTTGAAAAAGGACCTGTTTGAGTCCGTACCGGCAGCTGCATTGGAAATATAGATAAGGGCATGTTTGGCTACCAATCGAGCTGTGCTCAGGGTACTGCTGTACTATTTATTCAATCTTACATATTAATGAGAATATAAAGTGCGCAGAATATTGACTTTTATAGTTTTTGATAGCTCCTACGTAGCGTCAGACTTGTGGAAGACCAAGTTAACCCATTCCCAACTGGTGTCTAGAACTGCACCCTGGGTCGGTTGAACTGCTAGACGATAGATGTTACCGCAGAAGTCAACAGGGGCCGGGCTGAGAGTGCGTAGGCTCTCGGTTCACCACGTCGTTGGGTCCTTTTGGCTGTAAATCTCAACTAAGCGGCAACGAGAAGAAGCGCGATAGTCATTTCTTTGCACACATTGGACGTCAAAATGTGACGAATCCTTCATCATTAACCACTGAAACAAACTCTCTCTACAGTCCCAGGTCGCGCAAGTTCAAACGTATTGTAGCCCAGTAGGTTCCGGGTCGAGGAATTTTAATCTTTTTGTCGGCAGCAGCCGTAATAGCTGTTGCTGGGCCGTTGGCTGTAGAGGCAGGTTGATCGCTGGGAAGTTCTGGGGACGCCTCGAGATCTGGCAGCGTTATGCCATGTGGCAGAAACTGTGCGGCTACAGAAATTCCATTTAAATTAGATACCCAGTTGAAGCCTGCCCGCGAAGAGCAACCAACATCCAGGTCTTGACCCAAACCCAATAAACCTATAGCTACCAGTACTGTCAGCACCTGGTGGAGGACCATACTTTGGTAAAAGCCGCCCAACAGAGATGAACCGAGGCGAGGGTTCAGGCAGTGTCTTTTTCCGGGTTGACAGACTACATCCACCAGCGCGGGCAACGAACCGACAACGGGCATAAGCAGAGCCCGGATGACTTATCTGGAGGGCGCCACTTTGGAGTGTACCAAGCACTCAGTCCCTTCCGTCTGGCACGCTAAGCATCTGGCGTCTCTAAACCGTTGATTGCCGAGCTCCGTCTCCAAAATACTTCTGGTATGACCGATATCCTGACGTTTTTCTGGGGTAAGTGCGTCCAGCTGCTCTCCGGTGTGACCACTGGCCTACTGCTGTTGATGCATACACAGCATTGGATTTCTTGCAAGCCCCTTCCCTACAAGAAGGTACACCCACACCCAGGACGCTCAAACTGGGCTGGCAAACTGCGACTGGTCATACGGAACCGAGAGAGGGAGGGGGAGGCAAACGCCAGCTAAGTTAGGAAGCTGTTCTCGTGAGACATTCATAGATCTTGCAAGTATTTTCAATTTTTTTTTTTCTCGGCAGACTTCTTGGTTTTACTATTCCTAAGCGGGTATAGGTGCATGTAAAAATAATCAGCTTCTTGATCTTACTGCATGGAATATATCTGTACTTAAATACGAGGGCCCATAGACCAAAGGTCACCAGAGGTGGGATATCGCGAGATAAACAATGACGCTTAGAAATGACTAAATCCTAAACCTTAGTGTCCCTAATAGGAAAATGACCAATACTATCTAATCACCTGACCACCTGTTATATAGACTATCATCGTTTTATCTGTCCTACATGCGTTTCTGAGGATATCCCCAAGGAAGGGAGAACTTCCATAAGGGACCCTTCCAGGCTGCCCCGGTTGTTGCCATGGTTTTAACATGAGTGTATTCTCGCGGTCCTGGAAGTGGTATTGCAGGTCCTCCCCCACCTCATCATCTCGCAGGTGTTGTTAAAGCCTGGAGCAGCCGCACTGTTGCCATTTGATACAAGGCCGTGAGTATAAGATCCGACCAGCTCCTCCATATTGTTCGACGGTTTTGGGGCAGCAGTCTCATGTTCGACGGAAAACTCAAATATAACACTTATTATTACGCGGTAAACACCCTCAGTTTGTCAATTTATCAAAAGCCCACGCAAACTTCGTCTACCCGATTGCAGAGACGGATTTTTTGACGTCTGTCGCTATTAGAGGGAAAGGACTGCCTAATGCTATTAGACAGGCTCGATAATGAAAAGGGAACAACTTACACTCCCACTGTCCTCCACACCATCCTACACGCAAGACATGTGCCACAGCCGAGCTTGTTAATAGTCTTCTGTCAACGATGTTTCATTATGCCATTCCCGGTATTTTAAGATCATCCTGCAGTGCATGCCTGACTAATACGGTCTCAGAATCAGTACGGCGCTAGAGGTCGGTGCGCGCCTCGCACCATCCATCCAAGGCCTTCTCCACCCAGCGCTGCAGCTGCGCCGACTGCAGCGCATAAAACAGCGTCATCTATCTCGTGGAAAACACACCCTCCAGGTGACCATCGTTCCGAAATCATTATTATGCGTCCGCGAAGCCGTCTGCAGCTCAATGTTCCAAGTTTTGAGGCTGAGCAAATATTTTGAGGCATCTGTGACGGCAGTATCAATAACCCTCCACTAGATTAAAAAGTGACAAAGGTCACTAATTAGACAGGTAAATCTCTGAAATATTGGCACCGGTACGGTAGGTGGTTGCATGAAAACCGGCTTTGCATCTTGAATTCATCGAGGTCAGTGTGCGGTGTACCTCGGATTTCATTCTCACTATGGCATGTAGGCCATCCTTTTTGAATTCTTCTGGCCGATGTCTTGAGCGGTTTGTCAGCTGTATGAATGCGTTCAAATTCTCTCTCTCCCGGTCAAGATGACAATCTTTGGACTTGCTGATTATAATTTTCTTTGGGATACAACCAAGTTTACACTTCCGTTGCCCTCGGCTTCGATATCCTGTAGCTGGAGGAACTGAAAGAAAAATATTGTCAATTTAAACAAGCCTGAGACAGGAGTAGAGATAGGCTATAGTAGTGCCTAGATAATTCAGTCATAGTTTTGGCGTATCCCACTTGATCAAAATACCAATTGGCACTTGGTCTGGCTTGTCATCTCGGAATTAGTGACATGAGAGAAGCCGATGGACTTCCACCGCCGTTGTCAAAAAGGTATTGAGTATGGCAGCAGTCAACGTCGCAAGCAGTAGACGTAGTGTTTGGTACGTAAGAGCGTCAACAGGTAGAGAAGGAGGGTTGGACTAGGAGGGGATCAAAGGTTTAAATATGTCTGACAACCTTCCGGAGAAATGAATTGTTTAGTGAAGGAAAAGCAAACTTATTTGCCATGGGGGATTTATTCCTTTGTTTGAATGGCCATGGATCATTCATCCTGTAATACATATCTCCATAGCAGTGAAGAATTGACGTATACTGAGTACTGTTGTTAACAGTTGGTACTCCCACATTGATAGCCCAAAGGGATAGATTGATTGTCTGCCTAGGGCTTGGGTCTTCATCCTCTTACAAGGTCCTGCAGCTTCTAGAATCTAGAAAATGAATGACCTTAAACAGTGAAGTTCCACTCACTGATCCCACTATGCTTTGCAGAGCCTACAATGAATGTGGTAATGCGTATGCCAGGGCCAACTGCGATTCCAATGAAATAGCTGCATCTGGGAAGATCAGGACATGGACTAAGATAGAGGAGTTTTCAACGGTAGACGTAGAAGCCGTCCATTCCAGTGACACTTCAAGACTCCATTGGGACACTGACCGAGTAGCCAGTTCTGGATATTCTTGCTCAGGACGATCTCATGCATGCCTATAGTATATTGGCATCGGCTGACGTTGAAATATCGCCTATACGTGGAAAATACATCGAAGACAGACTCCGGTGCGCAAGAACACTGTATATCGAGGCTGCGTAATCAGGCCAATATTGCTCAATTACCCGCTAACAAAATGCAAATCCCAATAAAACAAACGCTTCCAGGTGTCTAATGCCATGTAATCATATACAAATCAATCCAACCAAAAGGGTATCTTGTAATACATATCCAGTCACGCCGTACTATGCAAAAATACTGCTGATTTATCACCATTGTACGATCCAATGAGGCATATCACAAGTTGCTCACTACTAAGTGAGTAGATGATGAACAGAAATCCTGTTACAACATGAGCTGAACGTTCAGCCAAAGTTGGACGTCCATGTTTGAACGTCAACCTGGAGAAGACAAGAAAGCAGTGCGCTCAAGGGCAATAGCTCTCATCCATTTGGAGACTCTTGTATGTCTTCGGACTTATGGACTGCGACTGCTGGAGTAGTGCCATTGCCTCTGTAGTGATAGTGCACGAACCCAATTACTACCAAGCCATCACGGACTAGTAGCATCAGAGGCGGTATCCGGAAGTTCATGATCTTCCATTTTGTTGGTCTTTCCCGAGGACAGAGATACAATCTCCGTTGTAACGGTATTTGGTAGGGTGCGCTCGTACTCATCATTGGCACCATCCAAACCAAGTTTGCCATTGCGAGATCCAGACTTGGATTCAGTAGGCGATATATTCGCCTGGTCCGCCCGGCCTGGCTTCAGCTTGATGCGCCCCCGTTCTAAGGCGCGAAGTAATGCCCCCACTTCCTCTGATACAATCCCCCGAAGCTTGCTCATTGCCTCATCAGAGGTCTCTGAATGAGCATTCCACCCAAGTTTGTCCGACTCTTCAGAAGCCATGGATTTCGATTCCAGTGAAGGCCCCGTAATCAACTTGTGGAGAGCGGTAGGGGACAAATCATTGGGGCGGCGGGCCATCTTCACCGGCTTGTGCTTGAAGCCAGAGTTTACCGAGGCCATATCTTCCTGTTGGCGCTTGGGAGGACGGGTGTGTATGTGGGCATTCGGACCCTCTCCGACTTCATTGCGAATCTTGTAGTAAACCAAGCCTAAGGTTGCAGCTAGAGCCTGATGGGCAGCTTCTGGATATAAGCGAACGGCTTCTGCGCGCGTCAAATTGGACGGGTAGTCACTCGAGTCACTCGAGTCACTGTCACTTCCAAATGAGGAGTCAGCCTGATGCATTCGTTCCCAGTATTGATATCCTCCAAGCTCGTAGAAATCGGCCAGTTGCACCAGTCGATCAACTAGATAAGAGATTAACTTATTAGAATGGGTCGAAAATTCACCTCGAACATCACTCACTCCGACTTCGCTTCTTTAAACACCAGAACCGCCAGACAGTCCTAGGAAAATACTCCGGCCATTGCAAAGTACCATCCACCTCGACGACGGGAACCGGAGTAATCGGGGCATGTGTTGTATGCGCCAGTGAATTGAATCGGACGCGTTCTGAATGCTTCATACGAGACTCAATCAAAGAAAAACGGTCAAAAACCGAATTTAAATGCCGGGAAGTCTCATGCTGAAGAGTAATTAGATCGGTCCGCAACTGGCTAATAGTTACGTGAAGTTTACTGATTTCCACGCTGCTGCCGCAGACATCCGTTTGAAGCTGCTTCAAATCGGACTGGATCTGTTCGATATTCTTCGAGAGATGGTCGATATCACTCCGCAAGAAGACCGTATCATTACCAAATTGGCCGATGCTCGACTTGAGTTGAAAAATGCCCGATTTCAGTTGGTCGACATCCGTCCGTAACGCAACAACGTTCAAGTCAATGCGACTGGAGATAGAGCGATGGGCTTCGAATTCTCGCCGAATATGTTCGTCCTCACGATTGCGTCGGTCGACATAGCCATCTTTGGTCAAGATTGTGGATCGTAGCTCAAGCAGGCGCGAGTCAAGTAGGGTCAAACGGTCGTGAATATGAGATAGGGTGGGATCGGTAAGACTGGGGGGAGTAGTTTCGTGTATAAGCGAGAGTCTAGGACTCGAAATGGGTATAGACATGCTCGATGTCCGAGAAACACTGCGTTCGAGTGTGGCTGTCATGGCGTGAGGTAGGTATTGGTGGCGATTAAGAATAGGAATGGGGATAGGGATAAGAAGATGGCTAGAGGGTTGAAGACTATTAGATAGAATTAAGGAGACCTGATGTCATCCAAGCAGACTCAGCAAGAAATGATGTCCATTTTGACGATAGTTGTGATGTGATGATGGTGATGTGACGATGGTGATGTGATGATGGTGATGTGATGGTTATGGATCGGTTGCTGATGGATGAAGAGTGATGATGGAAGGGAAACGTCGCCCCCCCTCCTTTGTCCACCTTTTTCATGGGAGACACGGGATCTCGGCTTGGCGCCTGACCACCTGGCAGCCCCAATGCCCATCCATTATCAACGCCAAATGATTCATTCTGAATCATCATCGCAATGGGACCATGATAGATGTTCAGAATTTCATCTGGGAGAAGCCAGATGCCACCGATCCAAAATTTCAAGTATACCCCATATTCCATTGCAGACAGACCTGATGGCATACGAAGTATGGAAACAACGGATACGAAAACAATTAATTACAATACCATTTCAGTGCAACCCAAAAGGCTTGGCAGTTACAATCGAATCCAGCTGACCCACTATCTACCAATAATCACGCGCGATAGCCATCTCGCCATTGTGCTTAGGCAAACACTGCGTGCTGATTGGGTGACAGAAATATATCGGCAACGCCGCCTTGTTTGATTTCGGCATGGCTCATAGATACACACAGTTTGTAATGGTATTTCAGTTATTCGGAATTATCCATATTGCGATCATCCACAAACAAAAAGCTAACGAGTAATCGAGTACTCCAGATCACCATCAAAGCCTTACACGTTTCATTGGATTACTTCGTTTAATCGGATATAAATATCCGCGGATGCTCAACACAATTCCCAACAATATACGTGACTCTCTACCCACCTTGCTGACTCCAGGCCACCTAATTTATTGTTCAAAACATATGTACTTCTGATATAGGTAGCTATGAGCCTACTTAGCACGATCAGGCAACGAACAACCAATTGGTCCTTCTTGACTACAACGTGATTACAACGCTATTACAGATATCGGTCCTCTTATTGACTCACCGACCTTGTCTGGACCACTATCGTACGTACAAATGATGGTACATCCAAACTTCATTCCGGGGGAACGCATCTCCCATACAAAGTGGGCCGCTCTCAACTGGTCTCCCCGAATCGCTCAACTACGCCGTGGAAGCCACGAAGACGTACCTTCCTTGACATCCTACTCTTCGTAAGTCACTATATAGCTTGTTACTAGAACATAGTACAATATATTCGGTGCCTGGGGAACGACAGCTCTATATAATTCGAGTTGCTACCCTCTGTCTGATCATTCTGTCTTGTGATATACTACAACGATGAAGCTCTCTATCCTCTATTTGCTTGGCAGCCTTTCGACAGGTAGTGCATTCCCACAGAATATTTCTGTCATTCGCGATGATTCAAAGTCTCGCACCCAATCACAGACCAACCAGCATTGCGACTGCTATAAAGTCTCTGGCCCAGAACCAGGCTACTTCCAACACTACAAACTCTGGGACTTCCGCCAGGTCCTAATACCCACGCTGAAATCCGACAAGGACAAGGACAAGACACAGTGGGAATCTGATTCAAATGAGCCATTCGGTTACAATACTCTCCTCTTCTCCGAGTCATCCTTCACCGATGACTGGCACGTCCAAACCTGGGCCCGAGGCAGCACGAACCAGGCACCCGTCCCCTTAGTTAACTCAGAAGAGAACGTCTTCTTCTCTCGCAACCCCCACGATCCAGCTATGACCTTCTTGGTACTCCAGGCCATTCGACAGAAGGGACATGCCTCAACGGCTGAGCTGGAGAACAGCCATGACAATATCTACCACTGCTCGCTTCGAGTGCGCCTGCGGATCATGTCCAAGGACTCTACCATAAATGCGAATACTGAAAATAGCACCCCGCGTGTCCCTCGAGGCGCCTGCGCCGGCATCTTCACCTACCGATCTGAGACTTGCGAGTCGGACATCGAGATTTTAACCTCCGATCCACCAAATATGGTTCGTTACACAAATCAACCGAACTGGGATCCCGCAACGGATAGTACAATCCCAGAGTCGCATACCGTGGGGAATCTGTCGGTGCCGTGGACAAGCTGGGTGACCCATCGGCTAGACTGGTTCGAGAATCGGACGTACTGGTACGCGGACGATGGGTTACAAGCGAGCAAGTCGTACAAAGTTCCAGATAAGCCAAGTTTGGTGGCACTGAATGTATGGAGTGATGGTGGGCCTTGGTCAGGCGATATGAGGGTCGGTGACGTGGTGTATATGGGTATTGAATGGATCGAACTTGCGTATAATCTTTCAAGTGGGATTTCAAGTGGGAAGGACAGCCACAATAAGAATTATGCATGCCGTCGATCGTGTCAGCTGAATAGGCTGCACTAGATGTGCATTTGGTAGTCTGTTTGAAGTCGATGATTGAGAAGCATAATTATATGGCTATAACACTATACTAGGAATACTCGTGAATCCTTTGCTCTTCAAGACGTTGCTATTGAGCAGGCCATAACTTGATGAGACTGCGCCGTAGCGCAAGTGAGTATCTAATGTACATAATATTCATAACATGTAGTCCAGCAGACTGACTCTTCAAATGTACCATGTCCATCCAGAGAACACTTGAGTCCGAAAGGTATCACATCACTATCCACATGCACAATGATCCTGTCCAGCTAAAACAAAACCTATACAAACACGAAGTAGCCATCACAATGCTTCCTCATCCCAAATCTTTCAATGCGGTCAGGAGCGTAACGCTTCATCTGACGGGGTATCAAATTGAAAAAAAAAAAAAAGGCACCTCGAACAAAACGCCACGCTGATATCACAAACTCAGTGTACAATAATTGAATCGTACCCCTTTTTGGCGCACAACTCCAACAATGCAACAAAACGGAGGAAACAACAACCAAACAGCAAAGAAGATAGGTTTTTTTTTTTTTTTTTTTTTAATAAAAAAAAAAAAAAAAAAAAAAAAACCTATCTTCTCCCCTCCTCCCATTCACCCCTCTTCTCAATGCACCATCGAAGCTCAGAGCCGGGCCCCTCCGACCCCTCAGGCAGTAGGCTGCTTATAGCAGCACCTCACTGCCATCATCAGGGTCGAACTCCCCTTCCAACCCCCCGGCCATGAGCTCGGCCACTATCTTCCTGCGCAGCAACCCAATATCGGCCGCGCAGTAAGATAGCGGCTCGAGCCCTATGGCCACCGCTTTCGCGGTAGACAACAAGAACGCGCCGCAATCGCTCCCGTTGTCTTGTTGTGGGGAGTTGGAGGGGAGTACTGTCCACTCCTCCTCTTGGTAGAGGGGCCCCAGCTCTGACTTCAGCCATTCTTTGACAACCCCCACATGACGAAGTGATAACGACCCAAGTGAGTCAAAATGTTCGATGGTGCGTTGAGAAGGCTGAACAACGATGAGAGTCCAATGAGAACTGTTATGGACCGGAATAAATACGGTATCAACGTCAAGTAAAGATTCGCCTCCAATTTTGGCACGAGATGCCCACCGACGTACGCTCTGATAGCCTTTATCGCGTAGATTCGAAAAGAAGAACGAGTTGAATGCATGGAAACGAGGTTTATCATGACGACCTGCATTTCCGTTCGTGCGGCGCAAGTAGTCAACAATCAAGGCAAGATACGAGTTAATCACTTCGTCATTCAACCAAGCAGCAGGTGTGTAGCAAGTAGCAAGATCTTTCTTGGTTAGCGGGTCGCCAGACAATGTTGTCGCTACTTTTCGGCTATTTGACAAAGCCATGGCCTCCGAAACTCGGTTTTCCCAATTATCTGAGAGCGGTCGTACAGCGGGTCCCTCCGGACGATAGCGAGTCTGAGCTTCCTGGCGCCTTTGTTCTTCTTCAATTTGTCTCCATTGGGCGGCATAGATGGACTCTGTCCGACCCTCTGGGATTGGTTTCAGGTGAGGATAAAATAGACTCACGGCAGATACCGCTCTTCCAAAGGGGAACGCATACTGGAGCCACGGGTCGACAGTAGGTTCAGACTCATCGCTGAAGACGCTATCCTCTACGTTGGGAACAATTTCTGGTTCACTGAGTGGAGGTACGTTCTCTTTCTGTTCATCGAACTGTTTCTTTTCGGAAGCAACTTGTTCCGCATTTGGTGAAGTTGGATGAAGGTGTGGAGCAATTTCCGTGGTCAGTGCCGCATCCTCAGTTTCATTAACAAGTGGTTCTTCGAAGCGGACCTTCAGCTTTTTCTTTGCTGCCGGGGATTCAGGCTTAATTGGTGCGCCAGGTTCATTTGATGCATGGTGATCATCCAGAACAGGCTCTTGATTTGCCGGGGGAGACGCTTCCTGCTGAGGACCTTCTATGATGTACCTCCATGCCCGGTGGTGGCGTTCACGTTCAGCTTCAGTGAGTCTTCTGCCGCGGGTGCAGGGTAGCATTCGACGTTCTAAACTCGGGGTCATTGGCTGAACCCATGACCTATTCTGAACACCAGATGTAGCAGAACGTCTACGTTTTGCTTTTGTGACTTTCGAAGATGAGACAGACTGGGAGATGGTCCCTTGCTGATTATTAGCCTGCTTGCCCTTGCACTTGCGCTTGGACTTGTGGGTATTTTTAGGGTTCTTGTCACGTTTTTCAGAGATAGCATCCGATATTCTCTGCAAAGACGGGCCGGCAGTAGAGATCCAAGGCGGAATGTCAAATGACAGCTCTGGGAATGGGAGGTTACCGGCAGTTGCAAGGCCTCTTTCTATGCGCCACTGATTACTGCGGACTCTGTGACGTTGCTCTTCAGGAAGAGAGCGAAGACTTGCACGAGCTGGAGATTCACGGCTTGTAGTGGGAACATGGTGAGACGGACGGCGGCGCCGTCTAAAAAGATTCAATACCTGTTCCACAGGCCTAAACGAGGAAGCAGATACGATGACACCTCGAACACGATTGGCCACCGACCCAACAAGTCCGACGACCTTACCAGTTCCAAGGCACGTGACCCTCCAGGAGGCATGCAAAATGCTCGAGATTTGCTCATTCTGGAGCTGACCATTGTGGTTAATGGCCATGGTTTGCACTTGCTGACTTTGGGTCATTCCCGAGTCAGAAGAAAAACAAGGGTTATCAGCCGTGTCAGATGTAGCAGGAGTAGGGGCAACAGATGCTTCGAAAACGGGAAGGGCGCCGGACATCAAGGCCTGGCCACCAGGAAGATTGATATTCTCGACCGGGAGGAATGTTCTGTCGGTGAAACGTCTGGAATAAGGGGAGGGTGACAGATTCGGCCACTCGCCTGGGATGTGGCTTGGGACGTTATCTCTAGCATGATGTCCACGGGCTATTTCAACAAGGGTGGCCATGCGGCTATCGGAGGGTTTTCGGCGACCAAAATTGAGATGAGCATGGAAGTCACGAGGAGAATCGGGGTGGGTCGAAACGGTACGCTGGTATATGCGGGACGACGGCTCATCTTGAACAGGGACAGTGGCTTCTTCATTCAAAACTTTCTTTAATGCATCGTGAGCCAAGGAAGCAGAGGCAGGAAAACCTTCCTGGCTGACACGCCGGTATTTTGTATGAAGCTGAATATCTGCCTCTGGAGTAGTAGAGTGGCTTGGGTCGTTAGCCACTTCGTCGACTGATCTCTTGCGAGACAGACTCGATTCAGTAGTTGTAACAGAAGTATTCGATTCAAAACTGGATGGCTTGCCATCAAATATCCAAGAAGATTTGTTGGTCTGGAGACTATTGAACGACGAATCACGTGTAGTCGGCCTGAGATATGGGTTCACCATTGATTTTCGGAACAAAGTCTTCAGTCTTTCCTCCGTATCCATGGAATCGATATCGCTTCTGCTAAGAACAGATGGTCTATTTTCATTGGGAGGTAGGGAGACGGAAATCTGAGGCTGGATGACACCAGTGATGGGATTGTAGGTTCGGGACTTTGGAGAAAAACGTTGAAGGGGTCTGATGAAGGGAGTGCGTGTAAGATGGCTGAAAGGCGTACGTGCATTCCCATTCAGTCCAGAAAAGGAAGACGCGGGGAGGTTGTGGGAGAACCCAACATGGCGATGAGGTGGGTAGGTGGTATTCGAATCGGGGACAATGCCCATGGACTGAGAGCTGCTCTGAGCTTTGTCTTCAGCAGGAATGGGACTGATGTCCATTGGATCACAAGGCAAATCAACCATTTCTATAGGAGAATAGTCAGGAGAGACCATGGTCACGTCCTGCATAATGGTGTCATCCGCCGCGGGTTGCTGCTGGGTAGAAAAGACACCAGACATTGCGGATTTTGTAGTTCGATTTGAACCAAAATTAGAACTGTTTGTTGATGAAAAATCAAATCTTAGCAAAGCTGAAAAATGAGAAGAGCGCTGAGCACAAAGAGCTTTTTGAGAATGGAGGTTGGAAAGCAGGCAGATAAGAAGCAAGAGGATGGTGAGAAGAAAGAGAAACAAGAAGAGGGGGGAGAAGATGAAATCAAAACTGAGCGCACCTTCACTGTCCATAGGTAGTTGCTATGGTTCTGTTGGGGGAAAGAACAGTCGCTAGAGTGAATAGAAGCTTCATGGGAGAGCACTAGCAGAAAAGTTGAAGCGCCAGCACTGCCAGAGCAGGTGCGCATTCCCACTCGTCGCGATCTGAGTGAGTAAAAGGGAAGGAGGAAGTCCAGACGCTTGGATTGGGTTAGACCGCGGATCTAGCTTTACGCTTTTCCATTTGCGGGTAGTCACGTGTTCATATCCTAAGGCACGCGTGATTGGCAGCCCACTCCATATAGTTACAATCAGAGTGCAGTCTAGGAGAAGCACATAGGTAGACACATATTCTCCAGATTGTGGAAGTTTGAAGATACATGAGTAATCCATTTCATCCAATTTATATCACTAGCTTCATCACACGTGCTGACTTTATCATACACCTCCCATATAAACCTGCGTTCAAAACTATATGTACAAGAATGTCAACTATGTTACAATGATACTTCGTACAGCCCAACCAGCTGAACCAGAAATCGAAAGGTGCTTAAGATATTCCCCATAACTACCCTGGCTAATTGGCCCCAAGCCCTATACACTCAAATAGAAGAGGCGCCCACTCCATGACTATCCACGCGATTCCTGTTGCGCGGCGATTAGCAGCAATTCCGAGGGAGAGACGATATAGGATATCCTACCAGAATACACAACCAATTTCGTGACCACCTCGACATCATAACGCACGCGCGGTCTCTTGATCTGGGAAAACACCTCATCTTCGTTGGGCTCGGGCTGCAGGTCAGGAAACGGCTCCGTCAGTGGTGGAGCGTGGGAGGGTGAATCGATTGCAGTTGCAATGCGTGGGCTGCCCGTTCCCATCATGTTCTCGTACTCGTGCAATTTCGACTGCTTTCGTGAGAGCGTGGGTTCTCCATCAGTCGCAGTGGAGCCGTTATGGTTGCTCAGTTCAGACACAGGAGTTGGTCGTTTGCCGCTAGACAAGCTCTCTCTTCTGCGTTTCTCGCGATATGCTAATGTCTCGTAGGCATCGGCTTCGGATTGTGGGCCCACCGATACTGCCCGTCGTCTCGGGTGACGGAGGTTCGTAAGGATCGAAGGAATGTCGGAAAAGCTGGGAAGCACCTCATGATCCTTAAGGTGTGCAGGGACTATAGTATACTCACTGTTTGTTGATGGCGTCAATAAAGTGCCGAGCAGAGTGCTTGCAATGTGGGTACACATACGATGCTTTGGTAAAGAACCGTCGGGGAAGTAAAAGGCCAAGCTTTTCCAAGCCACGGAACACCGGAGGAAGAATCCGCAGAAGGAAAGGTTTCATACTGGCTCTCCACGCAAAGAGCAAAAGCACTCCGATCACTAGGCGTAGTCCAGTCTTGAGTAGCCCCAGGTACTCAATACGATATGGGATAGGATTGGCAGCGAAATTCCTACTAGTTAGCGAAACGTGCCAATAAGCTGCTTGAGCCCCTAACAACACTCCTGCAAACGCCACACTGTCATCGAAGCAAGGACAGTCGTCTGCAGGTTCAGGATGGATGCGAACAAGGACCAGAATAATCAACACAACCGCTACCACCTCCTTCTCATGCCCTGCAACCGCGTATTCCTCAATAGCCGGGCCGCACGTGTACTGAATGAAGGCAAGAAGGATTCCTAACAACGACCCCACGACCACGTCGAAGAACCCGTGCATTCCGCAGTACAAGCGACCAAGCACTATAGAGGTGACATAGAGATACGTTATGAATTGTAGGATCATATTGACATGGGGACTCAGGGTTGCGTCGGCGGAATTCAGTAAGTTGAGGGCATACATGGCGACAGAAACAGCATTTGTCGAGTGCGTCGAAGGGAAGCCATATTCTAGGGCAGCGGAACCGGACATAGTGATGCGCTGTAACGGGGGAGATAGCGGACGCGGAAGGCACAGCAAATCTTTGATGAATCCACTGATGAATACACCAGATGCTAACAAATGTACCATTCTATGGGCAAACCTGTTAGCCGATAGGGTCCAGTGTCTCCAAGTTATCGCTCACTGCCAATGTCAGAGCATCATTACCTACCCACGACCTAATCTGTCATATCCACTCCAGAACAAAATCGGCAAGAAGACCATAAAAAAGGTGTGGGTTCCCAAATTGGCCGTAAATGCGAAGTATGAGTCAAAGGCCGGAGTCCGCACCTTCTCCTGTAGCCAGGCGAGATACGGTGTCTCATACCGAACGAGAGGAAGGAGTTTCTGTCGAGGCCAGTACCGCCATGATGGGAGCTGATTCCGATCTTCACCCCAAAAAAAAAAAAGTCAGTATTCTCCATTGCTTAAATACGCTGCAATTAGGAGACACCACGCACAATGATTGAGGCTTCGGAGGCCAGCATCAGGCTTGTCAACCATTGTTGTTGACGGCCGTATCGATCACAAGGAGGATTTGGTTCCAGAGTACCCTACCCCATAGATAGAGACCGAGTCAGATTTTAAGTGACACAACACTGGCGACAATGTCGCCAGATAATCATAGGGAAAGAAGAGGGGGTAGAGCAGAAGGATTCCGCGAACGAACCTTTAGGGGGAAAACGGGACAAAGATCAATGTGGACTAGTTTGCTATAGTTTTCCCGCGGTTCTCCGTATCCTCTCGGTTGATCCTTGGCGGTCAAAGCTGCTCTGTGTTTTCTGTGTGCGTTTTTGCCCCACCGCTTTAGTGTTCTCAGGGCTTGAACTTAAACACTTTCATGTGAGGCCCTTGCAGTAAAGGCTCCTCAGAGTGGCATTACAGAGTATGAACACCTCGTTACTGAAGTAACATCCTGGGTGGACCATATTGTAGAACACTCTTCCTCAACTTAGTTTCGTCTGAACTGGGACTTGTACGGAGTAGAATAGAATAGATCTGAATATCCTTTCTTTTTTTTTTTTTTTTTTTTGAATCAGGGTGGTTTTACCTACCACAACTAGCTATCTATTCCTTTAGCTAATGGATACTGGTTGCCTCCGTATTGTATCTAGAAATTCTAGTATTTTCCGCGCCTTCCTGTTCAAACGGAGAAAGTGTGTTGCTTGTTTGCAATAGCTAACGATGTAGAATATAAACTCGTCTGACAATATCATCATTTCCAAATATATACATGGAGACATAATTATTGAGGGCTAACTGACCAGAAACATTGACAAGTATGATTATGATTAATATGTACACTTAACAAAGGATATAAACAGGCTGGTGTTGATACTCGGGTCCTGCACTTGGGAGTGATATATATCTGCCAGTGGATGAGGATGACAACCATTAACAATGCCAATCTTCCCTCACCTGACCTGATAGGAAAGGCCCTTTACTATCTGTCATAACTTAGTGGCGAATATTACTGTAGCAAGACGGGTCGCGTCATGAAATGTTATTGTATACGGAAGGTGGATGTGAATGCTGCTGTTTTGATCTCCACTTGCTGGGGATAACAATTGCCCTTAGACCAGCTTCTTTAGCATGTTTACTGCTTTCACGGTTGATTGTATGGAAATTTTCTATCGTCCAGAACTAAGTACCAAGATTTTTCATGTCTGTAATTACCGTTAAATCAGTTAGTAGGTACTGCGCTATAAACTCCGTGCTGGCCGTCGACGTCCAAATTGGATTGTCGATTCTACGGGTCAACCCCAACACTAAACAGTTTCCGATTTCAAGATCGGAGGGACTCTGCTAAAAATATGGACCAACGACCGTGACTGGCCCAGGAAGGCGAAGCAAGAGTGCCGAGCGGAGCTCGTGCGTCATCTTGTCGCGGCGTTGCCATGGCAGCCCATCGGCCAGTAAACATCGGTTTCAAGTCAGCTGCGACCACGTTGTTAGAGCAGCCCTGGAAGAGAATCTCGAACCTGGGCCTAGTCTTCACCCCTTTCCTCTTCTTTGTTCCGTTTGTCATCTTGAATTTTCCCTCTCTTCTTCATTATTTTGAGATATCCTCCTCGTCTTCTCTACGCCGCATCGAATCAACTTACGCTTCAACACGGGATAGAGAAAATTAAAGGGGAAATATTCTCCGGAGTGCTATCAACACTGTCTATAATCAATAATAAATCTCCATACGTCTCGCTAGACCGATACTCCTACTCTTCGGGTCCGCTGGACACCACGTTCCCATCAAATTCTCCTATCTCGCCAATATGTCAGGTCAGATGTACGATGATCAACACTATGCAGCCTCGCGGCGTCATTCTCTCGCCACTCCTCCACCTTCAATGACCCCACGACACAGCCGGGGACGAAGCCAGAGCGTCCGAGTAAGCAATGGTACCGTTAGCACAAACACAAGCATTTCAAGTGGACGGGGATCGGAGGCTACGAATATAACTCAACCACCGGCGTATTCGAAAAAGTTTGTGGTTGTTGGTGATGGTGGATGTGGGAAGACATGTCTTCTGATAAGTTACTCGCAAGGGTATTTTCCAGAGGTGGGTATTTTTTTTTCTTTTATTTTTTTTAATTGTGTTGATTCTCTTTACCCGGCCACCGGTCTGACTCGCTGCTAGAAATATGTTCCCACCGTCTTCGAAAATTATATCACACAAACGGTGCATCGCGCATCAGGAAAGACGGTAGAGTTGGCTCTCTGGGATACTGCTGGTCAGGAAGAGTACGATCGCTTGCGTCCTCTCTCGTATCCTGAAACCGACCTATTGTTTGTTTGCTTTGCTATTGATTGTCCTGCTTCGCTGGAGAATGTCATGGACAAAGTATGTCAATCCCTTTTTTTGCCCCGAAAGTGGTGATTTAATTAACGCATGTTTAGTGGTATCCGGAGGTCCTACATTTCTGTCCAACAACGCCGATAATCTTGGTTGGTCTAAAGTCAGATTTACGGAATAAAAGGACGTGCATCGAGCTTTTGAAAACTCAAGGCCTCACACCCGTTACACCAGAGCAGGGCGAGTCCGTCGCTCGGAGAATGAATGCATCATATGTGGAATGTAGTAGTAAGGAGATGCGCGGAGTGGATGGTGTATTCCAACTGGCAGTCGATACCGTGGTATCTCTTGAAGAGGGCTGGAACGATCACCACAGCTATAGTGGCAGCGGCAAGCCTGGTGGAGGACGCGGTGGCGGTGGTGTCGGTCCAAAGAAAGTCAAGAAACGTACCTGCAAGATCTTATAGATCATCTTCTCTGGTATTGTATTCGTTCTCCGTCCTCTCTTAATATTCTGATGTACGCCGAATTAGAAGCCTGGTTGCTTTGGCGGTTTTCTCTGAGACTTGACTTCCCATCATTTGACTCAGACTGTTCTTTGCTCTTTGTTGTACTGGCGGCTTTCTGATGATTTTTATGTCGTTTTATGTCATTATACCTGTTATTGCCCTGATGAATGTTTCCATAAATCACGATCTTCCCAAGCTCTTCTTCTTATTCTTTTTCTTCTCCTTTGCTCTCTCCCTCTCATTTTGCCCCTTCCTACTCTTCTGTCTCCATATCTACTTCCTGAGCCCGGCCTCTGTTCCAACCCTTGATGTCTGTTACGAACCCTGTATGAAGGCCATTCTTCCGCATGCATGGGGTGGGCGTTATTGGCGCAAGCGAAAAATCCCATGTAACTGAATCCAAAAATTGTTTAACTAGCCCATCCTGTGGTACTCGCAACCTGATAATAAACAAGACAAAGTACAAAATCGCACGTAAACCGAACACCCATTAATATGCAATATGTAAAATCAGGTACCGAAACTCTGTTATTCTCAAACAATACCCTATGAATCTTGATCGCGCATCTCGATTTGACCTTCGCCACCACCTTGATGGGTCTCCTTTTGTCTCCCGCCATTCTCATTCTCATGCCCTGGTCGGGCCATGAAGTTCTCGAATTGAGACCAAAGGGCCTCCACAGAGCTGAATTCGTTTCCTACCTGGGCTATATTAATCCAAGCGTACTTAGGACGTGGTAGTCATGTTAGTGGAATACTTACTGCGATAATACTCTCCAGATTCCGGTTTAGTCGGTTGATATTTTGGAGAACTTGTTCCATGCCCTGTTAATCCAATGTGTTAGCTTTGTTTTGTTTAGGATACTTCCACAGTGGCGTGATGCGTGAGTGTGACTGAGGGGCGAAACGAAACTCACCCCTGCAATTTCTCGGACTATTTCTTCTCGTTGCTGTTCGAATACTGTTGGTGTGGAGGATCTTGGCTTCGATGTTGGTGTTGTGGACATATTGCACAGCGTGAAATGACTCCTTCTGGTTTAATTCAAATGTATAGGTACAGAGTATGTGTTGGATCAGAATTGAATGTTACAATTGATCAGGTGTGATCTTAATTTTATGCCTTTTCTAGACAATTACACGCGTGATGCTAGTTGGTTTTGCTTGTCAAGTTATGAGGGGCTGATTACTGATTGGGTATGGCTGCCCTCGTTGCTAACACGTGCCTTTCTGCCATGTTTTATGTTGCTACCGCCTTTGCATGTGATCGTAGCAGATCAGAATCACTGTTTAGCTAGGACTGCGCTAATACGTATACTTGAGTGAGCTGCTGGTTTTTATTGAATTTGCTTATCTCTATTGACCACGACTAGTCTTATCACTTCTGATTATCTAGCCACGTCGTAATGACTTCAAAAGACGACTAGTCTATCCGAAAGTGCTCAGAGACGTTAGTGGATAATAAATGACGCTGATGAGGTCCTTCCTGATCAAAGTGCCTCCGTAATCGCCGTTACGGACCTTCAGAGGGGACAAGATTGTCGTACCAGTAGCACTATCTCATTCGTTCATAACCTGGGGAGTTCAGCCCGAGATCTGCTCTATGACTTAGTGCTTCAAGTATGGGATTTTTCGTGAGCTTCCATGCACAATAGCCTGGCTGGATCGTGTTGCATATATGTATATACTGGGGGTTGAGATTGAATATCGAAGTGCTAGGCACGGTGGATCAGGACTGAGGGTGATGAGACGTGTATCTGAAGGAGCTGGTCATATGTTAGATAAGCAGTCATCTTAGTAACTATTGTTGGAAACCGGCATATATTGGATACAGAGGGTGGTAACTAACTAACCATGCTAACAATCTGACAAAGACACAATGCAAGTGCTGGGATAATGATGCCTAAACCAATAAGAAATGCCAATGAGCATCTAGTCGCGCCGCGAATATTTAGCGTGTCCACGAAATACCCATTGTCTAACAAGGGTTTTAATTAAAGCCTGGATGATGGATTTAGGGTCGCGTTGGGCATCTACGCCAGGTATACAATAAATTATACATCGCCATAGATTTAAGAGAATAAATGGAAAAAGAACTGGATAATAAAATATTCAGATCGCGTGCTTCTTTTGTGTAGTTTACAGCCAGTCATAGCCAAAACCAGGAGGAGATCTCAACAGACAAAAAGGGTATCAAAATCAAAGGCTGCTAAGCCCAGCCAGTCCAGTAAGCAAGCAAGCAATACCGAGTGGTTTCAACCACTGAGACCAGAATCTCCAAACCAAGAGAAATAAATCTAAACGATCTCGCTAATTGTAGGCAACCATCATATCGTATCGCATCGTATCCATAACCGATTTATTCGTAGGCACGTAGCATGTCAGAGTCAGATCAGAGCCAGAGTGAGGTAAGGAGTAGAGAGGTAGACACTGTATCCGACCAAACGTATCATTGACGTAGTAGAAATCGTCATGCCAGGAATTAATTCTTCTTCGGAATAAGAATATTGCTCAGCCGTTTCCAGCGCTGCGGCGGCGAAGACGAGGACTCTCGATCCTTTTCGATGCTTGCCTTCAAGGATGACTGGGTAGAGGAACGCGGTCGGCTAACGAGCGCTTCGTGGGACGCAAGTACATCTTCCAGTCGCACGTCTGAGTCGCTGAATTTCAACTGTGCGGAATCTTCGGGGTAGAGGATCTCGATGAATTTGGACGGCATGTCGTGCATTCTTGATCCTTCGGCTTGGGGTTTGGTCGAGGATAGAGCCGTTTGTTTTTTATTTAATTTTTTGTCCCCCCCTTTTTCTTTTTCGTACAGAGGCACGATCAAGGGACCAGGTTCACGAGTGAGCCCGGACCATGAATGACGATGGATAGTTTGGTAGATGGTTAAGTAGACTGTTGATAAGCGTAGAAGAGGAGTGGATTGCGGATATGGATAAGGGAGAAGTAGCGCGTAGATGAGGAAGAGCGATAAAATTCACGGAGAATAAATCCAGTGGATCAACGGGAAATGAGCGGAGGGGTCGTAAAGGAGGAGCAGACCAGGGTCGGAAATAAAAAACGATGATGCAGGAGCGCTAACGCGGTTTAGTCGGCGGAGTTTGCCGCAAAGGGATGTTAGATAAAGGATCTGTGAGATGATCTGCTGTGATATAGCAGTGAAAGGCTCTGGGAGTTGTCGAATTCGTCGTGGGTTCGAGATGAAGAGAGAGTTGTACGTGGATGTCTTATGATGCCGACGATGCAAGGGAATGACAACAGCCGTTACTTCCCTGCCGTGTCAATCTGTACGGCATGGAACACAACAGAAATAGAATGCCAGGGTATGATACTCTCTGGCATCAGGTCAGCTGTTGAGGAAGAGGCATGGTGGCGCATCCTATGGTGCGCAGTCCTCCGAAATGTGCCCTGAGAGTTGGTGATAGACAGCCCCAGGAAGGATGGGGAGGGATGGGGCTGACGATGGTTCGTCCGTCACCCTGCAGAGTAATAGGTTCTTCAGAAGTTACTCTGGACTAAGTAGATAGGTACTAGTAGATACTATAGTAATTAACAGTAGATCCCCACGACCGAGATGTTGATTTTACTGGAGAGAAATCGAATGGCCCAATCACGGGTTCGAATACGGAGAGCATGACGCTGCGCTGGTGATCATTCTTCTTTGGGGGATTTTTTTCCCCTTTCCTTTCCTTTCTCATTTTTGGCTGTTTTGTTATTCTTGTCCTGTCTTAATAATTATTCCATCCTCCGACCACCTGCCTTATGCATAAGAGAAACCTGCGCGGTGTGAATAGTCACTGCAGTAGAGGCGACTATTAGCATGCACAGGTCCCCACCAGACGAGCATTGCCATCGCAACTATCCAGGGGTGGAAACTGTGTTCTGTAGATATGATAAGAGAGAGTTATACATAGAATCTAGATGCTATTGAGTAGAATTCTTTCCCACCCTTTTGGCCCTAACGATGTTAGGTGCGATGATGTCACTGGCTGGGGAAGGCGTGCCCCTACGACTTACGGAGTAGGTGGTCGTATGCTCCCCGCACAGTTCATGCTCACTCATATTCCCTCCATAACTTTTTTATGCCATTCACCATCCACAACAGATTTAACCATGTCGTCTAACCGTGTTAAGAAGCATGGGCTGACTAACAAAAATCCACCTTCCCCTCCCTTATCCGAGAAGAATGGAGCCGACACAGACGATCGTCCAGAACGGCATGCCAACGCAGCGGTCCCACCGAAGCCCCAGACCGTCGTGCCCACCTCAGTCTCCGACGAGGATGAAGACATACCCGAGGATATTGACCCCGCTGAATATCGCACCCAGTCTCAGCGTGCTGTCTATGCACCCGGGGGCTACAACACCCTCAAATCATACAAAGGACAGGTCTACTCCGGTATGTCTGTGGGGGGATCCCACACCTGGACCTACGAACCAGGGACGTGGAAGGAGACGAAGGAGGAGCCGGATTTATGGAGAATAAACTACCGAACGAATAAACGACGGGCCAAGAATGCCCCCCAGGGCAGCGGTGCCCCTGTTGGTACCGAGTACCATTGGTTTATTGTTGCGCATCAGGTACGGTCTACCGTGTGCTGATTGATGCAGTGCTCTCGGAACCATAGCCACCGAAGTAACTATTGACGGGCATTACTCACGTCGTGCCAGTATGTCAAGAAGATCGATGCCAACACGTACGAAACCGACCTCAGCGGTTACAAGTATAAACTGGCGTATAAATCGGTAGGGTCGAATTCTTGGTCTGTGCCGACGGTGAAGAAGCAGCGTGAACGGGAGGTAGAGCTGCTCGAGGACGCGAAGCAGCGGGTTCAAGGCTTGCCTCCGGTGCTGGCATCGGAGAGGGTTAAAGTCGAGAAGCATGAGAAAGGGCAGCAGAAGTTGGATAGTATGTTTCGCCAGTCTGCAAAGCCAGGTAGCAAGAAGAGGAAAATTGGCGATAGCGGGGAGGAATGAGTGCTATGGACATATTGTAAACTGTAATCTTGCAAAGGAAGGGAGAATAATGTATTGTCTGACTTTTGTCTCGTTTGTATCATTGTGTGGATGCAACCCCTCGTATCTAAAACAACCGAGGAAGTACCGCCCAGCGGTATTTACTGTGTCAACCCCACTTCAGTTTAGTTATTCGAGCGATCTGAAGAAGCCGTGGGCACATCCCACCCTATTTGGTTGTACGATAGGTGGGCGACATGACCTTTTTTTAGATGAATAGAGTCAATTCACACAGAGGAACAATACTTGATGTATCCTGGTAAGAAGACATTAAGGCCATTGCTCAATGCTTCAGACAAGAAGACTTGGATAAAGCCACAAGCTCCAAGAGGGAGAACGAAGACAACCATTTTATCGTGGACTCATGGAGGTGGTGATCAACAAAATCTAGAATGGAAAAATGTCATATGATATAGTATTCTCTATTCGTAGCTCCTCAAGCATTGTTTATAATGACTTGCAGCTGAAAACGGTGCCGTAAACAACATGACTTACCTGTGCAGAATATAGCAGTGTGTAGATTTACCCTGTGGGATTGGCATGCCAGGCACCAGATTGGCTTCCTCTGTTTGTAATAGCCCCTATTGTTGCCACGGCAGAGGATACAGAGTCTGAAACCAAGTAGCAGCATATATGCGAGGTGGGCGTCCAATATTCCAAAAAATCCAAAGGACAGCCTAGCCAGTCAGTTAGAAAGGCCTACGTTTAGCCTATTGATTATTTTTTTTATCAGTTATTCGAACTGCAAGCTGATGATGGTATGGATAGCTGGGTCTCAAGTTCAATCGTGGGGAAACAACGAAAGCAAGATATAATGACGATAGACTGTTCTGTCCAGTTCTGAAGTTGTACAAAGGGATCATCCAAACCACAACGAGATTATTTCTGCAATTGGGAGGCACCAGAGGTGCAGGATGATGAAAAAAGTTGACTGGTATGTGGAATTCACGCCAGAGGAGCCTTGACTAACAGTAATGCAGATATTTCCATCAGTTCTTGGATTCTGATAAGCTTATGTCAGAGGTTGGCAGAATGATTCTGGGTGCTTGTTTCTTTCACTGTGTGCCGTGTTTTCAAGGAGTCATTGTCTTGCTGAGAGTCGTTAAATCACAGTCCTGCTTTAGGATAGTACAGGTCAGTCATCATACCTTTGAATAAAAAGCTTCACTCAATCCATTATGCGTAAAAGACGTTACTGAGTTCTATAGGAGAAATATGATCTTAGACACATCGTTGTTATATTTTGTTGGATATTGGCGATATTCTATTGAAAGTAGTAGTTTATCGGCCCAAAATCGGAGAGACGCATCTGAATCGGGAACGTCAACTGCAGCCTCATGTGGTCAGTTGTCGTAGACAGAATCTGTTGTAAATTGTGGTCGATTCTTCAGTAACTGAGCCTGAGTGAGCCAGTTTTCCGAGACTCTAAAATAACATGTTGCGGAGATGTTGACTCGAGACCTACCGAGAGAGGGAAAGAACGAAGGGATCAAATTTGTAAACAAGAGCCAATATGACTATGAAACGCGATAGATGACGATCCTTTCAAAACCAACGAACACATACAACAATGGCTTTGTGTAGATTTTGAACGTACGAATACAATAGCGAACTGATAAAGTAACTGTACATATATGCATATCTAAGGTACTCTATATACAATGCCTTATATAACCAGGTCTATGGCCCTTAGACAGCCGAACCAAATGCAGTTGCAAACTTTACGATGCAACAAGGAGAATGAAATCAAGAATATGCCTGCTAGAACAACATACCCAGTAAACCAAACACCTATAAAAGCCCAACAGCTGCTTATTCAAGGTCTATGTGCTTTGCATAGCTCTATCGTCCCTGCTTGCAGGGGCAGGGTGGGTAACTTATACGGCATTATTGGAACACGTCCAGCTGTTGTTGGACGAGCTGTCGTGAATTGCCTTTCCGGAAACGTAAAGACCCAGACCGCACTATGATTGTTAGTGTGGTTTATGGAAGATAGAGGGTGGGCAAAACTTACAATCGCAATTGCAATACCCAGAATAAAAATGTTCACAATAGTAAGGAAGATCTTATTGGGTGAGGAAAACCATTGCCCTTTGTTCATAACAAGCCAGAAAATGGCAGGCAGACCGTCTGTTGAAGTCAGTATCATGTATTATTGAGGCACTGGGACTATTCATTATTGGACTTACAGCTAAACCAGCTACCGAAGAGGGAACTCTGTAGCGAAGGATTAGTTATCTGAATTAACAGCGGACAGGAGGGAAGCCGTACAATAAGACTCAGCAGTTGGTTGAAGACAGGGATAGATTCGGCAATGACCCAAGCGACAACCCAGACGGCTAGCGCGATTGCCACCCAGCTTCCAATAGCCAGGAAGCTGTTTTGGTGCAAGTGGGCCGAGCCACGGAAAATGCGGACATAAATATATTTACAAGCGACGTGTCCAAAGACGACACCAGCGATGACGACCTATCCAATGTTAGAAACGAGGTATCATGGTTTCGGGAAAAATAACGTACGGTTGGGATAGCCAAGCCATAGGCGACCTTCTTCATCACGGGGCCTGCCGAAGACAGAGCAGGAGAGGCGACATCAGGTCCGGCGTAGCAGTAGATGACCATCGCAGTGACAATGTACATGCAAGTATCCAGGACCTGGAGCATTGCTAAGGACTTGGGGAAATCGCGGGGGTCGCTCATCTCGGAGATGAACCCGAAGAAGGCAACATGAGCAACTTTGTGAGAGTCAGTATCATGGAACCATGTAGTAGTGTATACAGAGAAGAAGAGTCGTACTGAAGGCAAAGATGATGTTGGTCACTGCCAAAAATGCCTCGTTGAAGGGAACGTGGGTGGTAATATCGTTCCGCACATTATCAGGAGCTTGTACTCCAATGGCAATCATTGTGGTCACGGTTGCAACAAGGATACTGGTGCAAGCTAGAGAATGTTAGTAGATGCTGATGTATACAGGGCAAAGAGAGTTCTTACAAACAATGGACATGATGTACACCTTGCCCACAGTACGCGGAAGAGCACCAATAAAGCTCACTATCAACCCAATTACCCCAAAAACAATGGTGCAGGTCCCGTGGTTGGTGATGGTGTTGAAGAGCACAGTGAAGGTGAGAATATGGCTGGCCATCAGGAAGATCAAGAACAGAAGCTGTCCAATGCCGAAAATTTCACGCCCGATGCGGCCGAGAAGCAGCTCTCCGGCATCTCCCATACTGTGAACCTGAGGATAACGCAGCTTGAACTGTCCAATAACATAACCAGTATACCATGAAATACCGGACATGCCGAGGATAATTAAAAGAGCTCTGCAATGGTCAGTCGGTCTGTATTCCTATGATATAAATGCAATAGGTACTCACGGGACGATTCCCAGAGTCGCAACAGCGGAGGGAAGAGATAGAATTCCCAGAGAGATATTTTCAGCAATCATAACTAGAATAGGCAGTTTAGACGGTCTGTATAGTATGTTCACCAGGAAATAGCTTCTTACGCATTCCACAGTGCCTGTAAAAAAAAAAAAAAAAGTCAAATCCTGGTCTCCATTAGAAGTTAAAAGCACTTTGGAGGGCAAACTCACCACCACTTCATAACCCTGTATTTGACCTCTCCGTACTCTTCATTACCAAAGGGGTCATTGTCCGGGGGCGACTCGTCAGGAGAGACTTTTTTCTCCATGTCTGTCGTGGCATTGTAGACATTGGGATCGTGGTGAATAGCCGTGGCGTCGAGTTCCTGGGGCGGACTCATGGTGATATACAAGAGATTATAAGAGGAACGATAGTCTATTCAGGAATAAATTGTCAATTCATAAAGAAAGGTGAGGTGTCAGTTAGCAAGGCCGGTCGAAATGACAGACCGCGCGCAGATGGAGGGATTCCGTGGACTAAATACCTCCAGCCGAGCCCCGTTTTCGTTCGTTTTCCAAGATTTTAGGTTTTAGGTTCGCAGCGTAGTGGCAATGGGCTTGCTGACTCAGCCACTTCCAGCCGACCACGACTTTTTGGCTATCGCAACCCTATCAATTACACATTCTATCTGCTAACCTCTGAACGCACAGTCCATTGGATACGGAGTAGTCAACTAGGTTGCTACACTGGAACTGCTTGTTTTTATTTTTATGTGTTTTTGCGTTCTCTTTACGGAGTATTCTGCTGGTTGCATCCACTATATGGAGTAGCAGCACACCACAAGTGTTACAGTGCAGTCAGCGCAGCCCCCCCGGCCAATTTATTTGCCCCCAGGTGACGTCCGAAGGAATGTCTCCAGGTGGGATGGCCAGTGAGGTGTTTCCATAACGTACGTGGAAATTATCAAGTGGATTTAAAACCGTGGAGGTAGCGAATCCCCGCATGGCCGATGTGGATAATATTTTCTGGGGAAGGAAACAACCCCTTCGGGTGCTCACGGCTCTGAGGGAGACGGCTTTAATTCTTTGGTTCAGGTGCGAGGGGCTCCTTCAGCCTGACCAGCAAAAGAAATCCACGCTGTTTCTCCGGCTACCCGGCTGGGCTTAGGCTTTCGGGCTGCCTTAGGCAAAGGATCACTCCGCGCATCCCTCGCGGCAGCAGAATTCTGGAATAATACTGGCCCGGCGAGGATCCTGAGACTTCGGCAGATAATCCCACACCGATAATGCTCTGGGGTACATACAACAGTACACATCATCAATCCTGCATTAATAACAATCCAGTGTGTTCCCATCACCTGCATGGGCTCCATACCGCAGTCCGAAATAGAAGGCGGTGTTCCCGTACCGGTCGGTCCCCACAGGCAGCCGGTTCCCGGGCCGGGTCCGGTCAGTGTACAAAACATCGCCTGTGGAGTTCAGTATGAATAATGAATACGGGCTGGGCAGTCCTTCCATCGGTGACAGTCTCCGGAAGCGAGCCGGATACTTGATTACCTTAGTATGCTGGCCCTGGCGTATGTTCATTCACTTTTCTTTCTCCGTTCCCCCTACGATGTTCTCTTTCTACTCACATGGATGTCTATGCGAGTTGCATTTTCGCAGGAGATTCGAGATTTGATGAGAGCCTCGTGTCGCGTCTGAATATCGTTTCCCATCCTAGAGAACCCAAGATAACCCTATTCCAGAATAGCGGAGAAGGAGTCTCTTTGTGTCAGAGGCAGTGGGGTCTAGCTAGATTGAGTGGGTCTTATGCATGGACTTGTACCTGGATACATGTTACCTTCTCCTGGAGGCCTTATTTTCTTTCGTGTTTAGATATAGTAGAGGCTCGTCTATATCTCAGTAGAGAGCCACTATGTAGTACTCTGTAAGCTATATCTAGTATCCGAGTTGCTTTTCTTCTTCTCAAGAGGCGTACGCCCCAGCCGGATGTCAGAAGCTTGATCCTTCCTAAGGCTACCAAGACGGAGTTATGCCCGATTCGGCAAGCTGCGCGTGAATCCTCCGCTTGCTGATTTGGCAAAACATGGATAGCTTCGGAAATGTAAAGAATGTGATTTTCATATGAATATTCCTCATCGACTATAAACTGATACCTTGTCATTGTTTCCCAGATCTCTCTGTCTTAGACATCGAGATTGCGGTATTACTGCGAACCCCAGAATTTTCCCAAGCAAACCTGGAACGTGTGCTTGGCTGATCTATGCTGGGATCGATATCCACAAAACAATCAACGAAGCATGGGGTAGGGTAGGGGTAGTTTACCACCTGAGTAATCTGTACAGATGACATCTTTTCGTATGCTCTTGGCTTTCTGATAGGACCCACTTTCTTTTCGGTGAGAGATTCACAGAGAAGAATACTCGAACCCGTATGAAATTAACAACTGTTGCTGTATTCTCCTACACATCTACCACCCACCATTCCATAAATGCATTCCTCTATTGTGAACAGAATTTGCTATTATGTAATCTCTGATAATCTGGTCAATCGTGTGCTCAGCACATAATCGCCTCCCATGTTCGTTGGGACCGTAACTGACAATCTGCACAGCCGCATGGGATTGGCCGGTAGCGCGTCTTGGCATAAAAGTCTGGATAGAACCAAACCTTCCCTCCAATGGCACCGGAAGCAAAATTCTAGAAGCTGTCGCAAGAGTTAAGCCCACCAATAATTTGCCTTTAGTGAGACGTGTAACACTCCACTGCTCCAGAAAGCCCCAGAAAATACCTGAAAGGAAATTCGCCCGCCTATCAGTAGTATCAGCAGCCCTGGAAGCGAAGGTGATATCTTCCAAGTACGGACTAGTGCAAAGATTAGGTATTTGAGTTATTCATACCGATGATTAAAGTTATCATGCACGTACTCCAACGTGGTGAAGATCTTGTACATGGCAAATGGGCCCATATGTAACTAAGTTCTGCTGTGGATGAGCATAATCCACACTGAAGGCTTTTTTCTTCCAACCCTGCTGAATTACATACGATTAAGTGTTTGTGCATATGTATATTCTACGTGTATGCGTCCAATTTGAAAATAGCATATTAATGTGATCGCTTTTTGCTTGAGAATCATATTCGGAGCCAGACAACGACCATACCTTTTTATGGCGTTTTTAAAATGTGTTCCTGAAAGTATGTACTTTGCTCTGTTCCGTGCAATACATTAATTAACCCGCTGGAATTCTTGCACACATCGTGCCCTACACAATGGTGGCCTCCCCGGTCTACTATATCAAGATGTTGTCAGATTTGTCCTACCAGACCAGGGCTATTTCGCTGATTGTCAAACCTTGGCTTTGACAAAAAATTAGAAGCTAGAAAGGACACATTATAATTTGAATTATGCTCCCATGATGATTGCCTCTACGGTCTTATGCATAAACACTGTGTACTACATTAACATGCCAAGTTATGTATACAGCTCTCGATTGTCACACCATTCAATATAAGATAAGTCAGAAGCCGAAACCTTTCTCCGAATCTCCCGGTGAGGGCTAGTATTACGGAGTAAGTCAATAAGACCTTGGTATAAATGATAACAGGGTCTATCAAGAGTTTCTTATGCTCTTGTAACGCACTGTATGCTGCTAATTACCCATCCGCTAAGATGCTTCGAGTGGAAGGAACAGATTACGATTTCGACCCAATATGCTGTCGAATGATCCACTGCACAGTAAATAAAGAGCGAACATTGAATATTAGTGTGGTGAACATACTAGACAGGCAAAAATTAGGCTAGGGCAGCAGACCGTAAATCCGTATCCTTCATTAAGAAATAAGCAATAAGTCCAACTGTCGTCATGCCCTCTATATCAAGTAGGACAGAATAGACAGTCATTCAAACACCATCCTGAGTCACCAACTTACGCCAACAAATTATCATTCCCAAGTTCATTCTGCGTGTATCGCGAATTGAACTTCACCACTTTCTTCACATTATTATAATCCGGAACGCTAAGTGGAAGCGGCACCTCGCTCAGGAACCACTGCACCTCCTCGGTACAAGGAGGTGTGGTGAGAGACCCAGTATAATTATAAATATAATTCCGATCGAAATGAGCTTCTAGGCCAGAGAAGGCTATCGATCCGGTTATGGTAGATGTTCCTGGTTCAGTGACTTCACCAACATGATTGAAGATACTATCAAAAGGATGAAAGGTGGTTTGATTCTCAGAGATTTGAAAGAGGAATCCCACGACGGCGGTTTCCTCTGTTCTCGTTAGTCATATTTCGTCCTTTATGACGATGGTGATGGAAGAAACATACGCTGTCTTCGAAAGGAAAAATGCAATTCCATGGGAAAATACTCTCCATTCACGCGGTGTTCACTAGGAGTGTGGAAGTTGAGTTGGGCTAATTGATATTGTCTATTTTCCAAGGTGAGAGATCCATTCGTTGATACTTGAAGGCCGGATCCTGTGTTCTCGAGAGTGGAGCCGTTGGTAGATGGGATATTTAGATGGAGGGAACCATGGTTGGCGTGGTCAATATCCTCAGAGGAGATGTCAATAGGCGATTGGGTGCGGCCAGTAGCACAGATGGAACTATTCTCTGGATCGACATAATGCCAATGAAGAGGGCCCGATTCTCCAGCGTATGTGTAGTTGGCTATTTGGGCCTGTCTTGCGTCCCTTTCAATATGAAAGTGGGGATAGCTGAGAGTTGTTGTGACTAGGGAATAAAAGATCAATAAGAGCTTCATTTCGCGGAATAGGAATAGACAAAAGTCAATCAAATTTGGCGAGAAGAGTCTAAAGAATAGAAACAGGTTATATATCTTAGAGGAAGTGTGTGGGTGTAACATATCAACCCATGCTTGTACTATCAATCAGACCACTATCACCAAGTCCAACGGGTCGACCATGTCCCGCTTCGGCTTCATGGCGACAATTTTTACCGTCTTCTCCCGTTCAAGCCATAGAGTGATCATGAAGTGCTGGGTTGCATTAAATGTCGAGAGCTTATGGATTTTGTAGAGATAGTCGTACCGAAAGACTTGATGGTGATACACGGTTGTAATACCAGAAACGGCTGGTTGTCATCATAGAGCAAGATAGCCATCAGAGTTGAGATATAAACGGCCAGATTGAAGTGAACAAAGCATGCCAGCGCTATATGTACTAATCTCTCTCTATCTCTGCTATACATGGCTGTTATCGATTAGAGGCTAGATTCTCGATTCATGCCCCAGGCACGTATACGAATCTATCTTCATCGAAGCGAAATGCACGGTGTAGTACCAGATATCACATTCTCCATCCAAGCCTCGGGATATTAATTGACATGTCCTGTGTTTTCACGGGAGCTGGAATCTTCCAAGTTGCTTTAAGTCCCCGAAGAACATGCGCGTCTGACTTGGTGTATTGCGGTTTAATAACACGTAAGATTATAAAAAGGCCAAGCTCGTTGTGATCGTCGACATCTGCATGTTCCCTGCTTATTTTGGTTTCTTAGATTCTTCCTGGACTGGAAGATATAAGGACGCAAGCCCACCTTTCATATGGTCATATAATAACCATCTGGCTCCTACTAAACGACATCGATTTAGGGTTCCAAAACTTTTCAATCCAATTTCCGACTGGACAAGTCACAGTCAACGTGATTCAGAGCTCGCAAGCACTTCCATATTTTGTTGCAGTCGATGGATCCGGATTTGCGACGGAGAGATTATTGTCCCGACGGGACCTCGGCTGTCCATCCCTGGTATTCCTCCGCTGCAGCAACGCGAACAACATACAAATTCAACCAGATACCCTGCACACAAGGCTTTCAGAATTAATAAATGCTCTCACCTTGTCACAACTGTGAAAACTATGCGTGCTATTGCCATCTCCTCTTATTCCACACCGTCAGGATATGAGCTGCGAGATCTGCCCAAGCCCGAGCTGCGTCGAGAAAATGACGTCATCATTAAGGTCCACGCAGCAAGCGTCAACCCGGTGGACGTGAAGCTGGCCTCTGGTCAGATGAAAATGGTATTTCAGAGTTTGTATGTATGGCTTGTTTCTACTAGAGCCAGTGCTAAGTATTGATTCCTCTTAGATTCCCATCTCCTATTGGCTTTGACTGCGCCGGAACCGTCGTCGAGATAGGCTCAGAAGTCACCAGATTCAAGGTCGGCGATGAGGTATATACTCGACTCCCTGGGGCATATAAAGGCATGTACTGCGTGGCACATTGAGTGGCGTGTGTATGAAGGGCTGACCGAGTGCTAGGTTCATGGAGTGAATATGCTGTGTGTCCGGAGGATTGCGCCGCTTTGAAACCATCTTCGATATCTTTTGGGGATGCGGCGTCGCTTCCCCTAGCCGCTGTTACTGCTATCCAGGCACTTAGAAAATACGACGGTGACTTGTCTGGAAAAACCGTGTTCATACCAGCTGGGTGTATGTGTCTTCCTGTGCGGTTCTCAACGTGTCTAATTGAGTCTAGTGAGTGGAACCGGGGCCTATGCATGCCAGTTAGCCAAAAATGTCTTCAAAGCGGGAAAAGTGATCACCACAGTTTCTACTGCGAAAGTACCAAAAGTTGCGGAATTACTGGGGGACAACGTAGTTGATGAAAGTGAGTGACTGGATGTCCACATAAGAATCCATACCCTCACTAATAGAAACAGTAATCGACTACAAAGAGTCTGATCCAGCGACCGCAATCCCCGCCAAATCGGTGGATTTTCTCTTCGACACCGTCGGCGTGGCAATGGAGTATCTACCACTTGTACGGCAAGATGGCTGGGTGATTTCCATCTCTACCATGCCGAGTGGAAGCCAGCTTCAGGAGTGGGATATCATGCATCTACCGCATAATCCAACTGTGCCTGCGTATGTCCGTATACCGCTGAATCTGCTGGATCGGATGAAACGATTAAAGGCGCAGCGCTACGGTGCTCACTACGAGTATATGTTTCTAACTCCAAGTGGTGAGGATCTTGATTCGTTGAGGGCGTGGGTTGAGGAGGGCAAGGTGAGGCCGGTTGTTGGAACGGTGGCTGATTTTCATGACATTGATGCCATCAGACGGGTATGTCAGGTTGTGTATGATGGTCAAGGGGGGCTTGGGAAGGTGGTGATTAGTATGGTGGAGTAAGGGACACTAATGGATATTGAGAAGTTGAGATGACCGAACACTATCTAGTGATTTAATGATGGAACTGCTTTATCATATTATTCTACATAATTACCCGGAAGACTGGAATAGTATCTCATATAGTGGATTCCTGGCGAATCGCCGGCACTTAGCGTAGCTTAAATTTGACTGAACCAGACATCTAGTATGATGCCCAATTTCATATAACAACATTTGTCGCATGTACACTGTTGGTAAAGGGTTCACCTAATCGTATAGTTAGCTATAGCCAGATTACTACCCATAATTTACAGGTACATAACATTGCAATTCCAGCATTTAGGTACAACAAGACAACATGCTTCAAGCTCCGTTCTTTGCCCATATCAATGGCTATTCACCCTCGCCACTTCAACCATAACTTTACAACAATCATCTGGCCCAATTTCGAATGCTTCAACTTCCAAATATATCCACAACAGTTATTCCAAGACTGAGGTCGAGTCGAAACAAGCTGCGGAGCTTGATCGTAAGTAATGAATCCTCTCCGATACCTACTAATGAAGTGTCATAGTTAATCTCTGAAGGGCTGCGCAGCGTAAGCCCAAGAATGGTTTTCCTTAGTTCTTCCGTAATTAACTCTCTTGCACTTTGTGTTTCCAGAACTGCAGTGTCGGGCTTGATTTGGCCTATCAGTTGTTTCAGAGGTTCGCTGTTACCAGTGTTATGGCTGACATTGTTTTCTTCCCAAGAGTTTTGCACATGACACATCCCCATTCGTGGATCACGGCTCTCAAGTGATTTATTTTGTCGCGAGTCTCCCATGGTACAGTACTTCGGAGCCCGACAATAATCTGACTTTTGCTAATAGATAAAGAACCCTGTCGATGATTGCATTCTGTGGGCAATGAATTCTCAACGCTCCACTGGACAGCATCTAACAGGCTTTGCTCCCGGAGACTGTAAGTCGATAGAGAGAAAGAAGGTGCTCAAGAATGTCTCTGGTAAGACTCACATACCTGACATACTTTATGACGTTTGTCCATGACAGAGCAAGAGAGTTTCAATTTGTGCTGGTACTGAACGAACGCATCGAGGAAAGCATTCGCTACTGCATAATTTGGCCTGCCCATACTGACCTAAAATCCCAGACAAAGAACAGAAAAGAACAAAGTAATTGATCTTGCATTTTCACTTCTCAAGGCTGGTATGTGAGCTCCAAGTCCCTTGGATTTATGGGTTTTACTACTTTGTACCAATCTGCAAAAGACATCTCTACCAGAGGCTTGGCCTGTCTTAAGATCAGCTCACGCAGGTTTTGGACAAAGAATGCGGCATATGTACCTCAAGCACATTGACACTTGCATAACTCTAAAGGGAGGCGGAGTCCAAAAATCTGTCACCATTATCCTCGAGCACTTCGCGAATATTACACCCATGTATATACCGGTAATATTAATGCATTTCTTACAGCTCCTGTAGCCGAACGCAGGCTCCCATTTCTGCACCTTATTGGCTTATTTGTAGCGCCCAAAAGCAGCAGTGTGCTTTATGTCTCAGCCTTGCACTTGCGCCTCTCCCACTCTCCTGATTCAGTATGAGATTTAAACCGCAGATAAGGTCGACCGTGTCTCGAATAGATGGCAGACAGAAGAGCTTTTCCTCCCTCGGATTATACTCTGGCATGTATCTGTGCTTTGTCGATAGAGCTGGCCGCTGCCACGGCTATGCTCGATGAAACTCCAAGCTTCCATCTGTTTCTACCCCCAACAACGCCTACATCCTGGGATAAATAGAGGGCCACAATATTGTCCTAACCTGTCTACCATCTGGGATATACGGCACGACATCAGCAGCACGGTTGTTTCTCATCTACAGTCAGACCCTCCAAATATTTGATATGGGGTTATTATTGGCATTGGAGGTGGAGTGCCAAGCAAGACGGCTGATATTCGACTGGGCGACATGGTTGTCTGCAAACCTACCGGCACGTCTGGCTGCATTATACAATATGACTTTGGAAAAGCAGTCAGTAGGGGGCATTTCCACTATAATGGAATGCTAAATCAGCTCACACGCGTTCTATTGACTGCAGTGTTGCTACTGGAGTCGACCTCGGTAAGGAGAAAACTGGATCATATTTCAAGAACATCCATGATACTGGAGTGTAATCCACATATAAAGGCCACATTCTCGAGACCCCGCAAGACTGCCTTTTCCCTGCAGCCTATAGCCATTCGTACTTAGAGATTTCATGCATATTAGGTGATGTTGATTAGCAAATCGCTCGTACGCCACGAACTTCATGTAAGCCACCGATTCATTGCGGGATCGTCGCATCCGGAAACCAAGTTGTGAGGGATGCTCATACATGAGATCAGATAGCACAAAGACTTAATGCTTTTAGTTTTGAGATGGAAGCAGCAGGGGTTATGAGTTACCCCTGTCTTGTAATCCGTGGAATTTGTGATTACTCTGGTTTGCACAAAAACAAAGACTGGCAGGGATATGTAGCACTTACTGCAGTAATATATGCCAAAGGAATTTCTATCAGTAGTTTCATTGCCAGCCACCTAAAAATCGGCGGCAAATAAACTGTTTGAACCCGTGATTGACAGTTTAGAGCAATATACTAACTGTCCTTGAAGCCCATGGATTTAATATCCCTCTAGACCTTACATCCGTACCTGTAAATGAGGAGCTTATTGGATGACAAGTTTACCTGGATCGTCTTTGGGGTTACCTACAGCCACCAAGTTCGCAATCGCGAAAGGTTGCCATCCTCCATGGCTTTGGTGGGATAGGAAAGAGAGTTGGCAATCCAGTTTGCACGAAATCATAGAACTGACTTCACCGCAATCTTCTGACTCAGTGGCAAGGATCAATCTTTTAGTTCTTGTCTCCCCCAGACACGAGGAAATTCTGTGGATCTTAAAGCGACCACCGAAGAAGAAGCAGAAGAAAGAGCCAGTCAGGTACTACAGTGGCTAGCTATACCGGGTATTCCCAGCTGGTTAATTATCTTTGATAATAACGACCGGTATTCTCCGTTCCAAGACCACAGCCGCAGTGGATAAGATATTTGTGAATTATCTCCCAAAGCAGACCATGGATCTATTCTTATTACCTCCCGGCTTCAAAAATTAACAGTGCTGGGAAGGTCCTTTCCAGTCCAAAGACTTGCCGTAAGGACGCCATCCAACTCCTATTACAGAGCAGCAGCTTTAGGGCTTTGTCAGCGGTGGCTTCGTCAGCTTGGGCCCTCCCTGTGTCGTGTCTCTTGCTGGCGACAAGGTTGACGAAATTGGTGCCCAGCCGGGAGGATTTTGCCTGGCCATCGCTCTAGGCGCCTTGACCGGTCTTCCTTTCGAGGGTGCGATCATGACCCATGAGAACGAAAAGTGCACTGGTCTGATGAGTTTTGCTGGTGCTACCATTATTATGGGAAGTATTTTGACTGGCGCTACTAGTGTAATGAAAAGTGTGCACAGCTGCGAAAGAAGCTTTGAACGAGACAGCTGGACATAAGAAAGTAGAATGATAGCCACACTTCTTGTTATATACTAGAATTTCCGTTTTTCTTCTTCTAGGCACATCTCCTCTGGTCTTTTCTTTTTTCAAGGCAAGCGTAGGGCACGGAGAGCATGTAGAGAACGTCGAGAAGGCATGACTGACACTGACGATACAACTTTCCATCGGTGCGGTGTTTGTGGTTTTCATTTTCCGTTTTCCTTTGCACCTCAACTTAAAATACGAAATCAGATCGGTAGAGTAAGTATGATTAGTGCCTTGTCGAAGGTGCTATTTCCTATTTAGCCAATTCCACTTATGTGAGCACATATTTATCTTTCTACGTGCTATAAACTATAAACTACATGTTAATTATTGATCCATGATGGGCAGTTCCGGAACACAAATCGTGCACATTTGCTACCCATAAAAGATTGCAGATAACGCTCTCTTCAGTGTAAAAACAAGGCGAATACGTACAGGATTGAATGCTAAACTGGTGACCTACTCCCAACGTCAAATTTTGGAGATTTAGGCATGTTACCAAATCTGAAAACAAAAGAAAACAAAGAAAAGGAAATAAAACAAATGCAAAGTTACGGAACTACAGTAACAAGATAAGCTAGGAGCAAACAGAGTTATCAGCTCAGATTCCCACTCCACCGTGCCGTTTCCGTTCGCATGCCTATTGCCGTTCAGCCCACCACCGACTGTCCCATTCGGTCTCAGCTCAATGATCTGCGTCAAGCATGCTGTCGAGCTCGATGGACATGGTCCTTCAAGCAATGACAGGCTTAATACAGTTACTTATTACGCAACGTGAGGAGAAATATAAAATTAGAAGCTGTAGAAGAGTGTAGCAATTTGCTTTTCCCATCCAAGTCTGGCATTCCCTATAGATATAGGGCTTATATTTATCTACATATCATGAACCGTTAGATTCCAAAATCCAACATCTGCGTGCAGACTCTTGCATCCTATCTCAGATTTGGTTCCTACGATTTACAAGATCTTGCGCAACAGATGCGGTTCTGGAACGAAAGAATTCCATTATATTAAATCACAGCTGCACACTTCATTTTATCCTAGTTATGAGAATTGCATAAGAGATCCTCCAGGGGGTAATCTCTTATGGATAAGCATAAGCGTACCCCGCATAAATGAAGCATAACTCCGCATAAACCCCAGAAGTGGAGTACCTCATTCTCCGCGTTGATTGACCGACCCCTAGCGCTCTCTGGCATAAGGGTCCAATATATATAATCCGATTCCCTCTGATCGGGGGTTCTGTATCTGTGTCTGTGCCTAACGTGTCAGGAGACAATGATACCATGCCTGATGCGATGGATCTGGAAAAAACAGCTACACCACAGGAAACCAGGGAGAATGGGGATCTCGACTGGGATGGTCCAGACGATACGGATAACCCGATGAGGTGGTCGACGGGTAAGAAAGTACGCCAGCTGTTGTTGATGGCGGTGAATACTTTTATCACGTAGGTCAAAAAACGGCCCAAGAGAGAGAGAGAGAGAGGGGTAACATAGATAGCCCTCTCGCCTCGTCCATGTTCGCCCCCGGCGTCGCCGACGTGATGCGCGATTTTCACACTGCCGATAGAATGCTTGGCTCGTTCGTCGTATCCATCTACGTCCTGGGCTACATGGTTGGTCCATTCCTCATCGCCCCGTTGTCCGAGCTGTACGGTCGTCTGCCGCTGTACCACGTCTGCAACGTTCTGTTCCTGGTCTTCACCATCGCCTGTGCCGTCGCGCAGACTCTGCCGCAGCTGATGGTCTTCCGCTTGCTGGCCGGCGTCGCTGGGGTCTGTCCTTTGACTATTGGCTCCGGCACGGTCGCCGATATGATCCCTAAGGAGAAACGAGCGGGCATCATGGCCGTGTGGGCATTGGGACCCATCATGGGACCGGTTATCGGACCCGTTGCTGGGGGGTTTCTAGCGCAGGAGGAGGGTTGGCGCTGGGTGTTTTGGGTGATTGCCATTGCGGTAGGTCAGCCTGTAATATATATGTCAGAAGGCTAATAAGATAGACCGGAGTAATGACCGTCGCCTGCATGGCATGCTATCGCGAATCGTATGCGCCGGTGATCCTGGCGCGACGAGCACGACGTCGAGCACCCGACAAACTAACCTCGTCCAGCGGACTCACCCTGGATCTGTTCATCTCGACACTGGGCCGACCTATGAAACTGCTGTTCCGCTCGCCCATCGTCTTCCTGATGGCGCTATTCGCCGCCATCACCTACGGCTATCTCTACCTGATGTTCACGACGCTGACCCCGATCTTCGAGACCACCTACGGGTTCTCCCCCGGGGTAGCGGGCCTAGCATATCTAGGATTTGGCATCGGAAGTCTGATCGGGCTGATGATCTGCGGTATCGTATCGAATCGCATCGCCGAGGCCCATTCGGCACGAGGCTGCTTCACCCCCGAGTCGCGTCTGCCGCCGATGCTGGTGGGTTCGTGGGCCATCCCCGTCGGTCTCTTTTGGTATGGCTGGTCGGCTCAGGCGCAGACGCACTGGATAGTGCCGATCCTGGGCACCGGGGTGTTCGCCATGGGACTAATGACGGTGTTCATGGCATCCAATACCTACCTGGTGGATTCGTATCTGAGACACGCAGCGTCCGTCACAGCCGCCAGCACGGCGCTGCGATCGCTGGTCGGCGCGGTGCTCCCGTTGGCCGGACCAGACATGTACGCTGCTTTAGGGTTGGGGTGGGGGAATTCGCTACTGGCGTTTATTGCGCTGGCCATGTGTGCATGTCCACTGTGGTTCTGGCGATATGGGGAGAGGATCCGCACGCATCCACGGTTCCAGGTGCGGTTGTAGAACTTGTAGGTGCTATAGGTGGTCATACATAAAATACCCGAAAGCAGGCAATTAACAGGGATGCGAATATGCAAGGGTCTGAAGGGGTAACCGAGCTCCGAGTTGCCGAGCGGGGTACAATGTGTTTTTATTTCTCCAACTCACCTGTGCTCTAATAATACATCTCGATCTATCTTAGACCAGTCCTCATATCCTCAGAAATGATCTTCGAAACGTTGCTCCGTCATCCCCTGCCCTCCTCCGATTTGCTCTCCTACATCTTCGACCATCCTCAGTATGACCAGGACGAGCCCCTTTATGTCGACGTGCATTGTCCCTCGCGCTCCATCTCGTGCAACCAGGCGCGTCGCGTCATCCGTCGATTGATTGCCGGGCTGCGAGTCTGGGGTGTCTCTCCAGGGGACTGCGTGGCTATTCACTCTTTCAATGATGTATCTACCTTTGCCTACCTTTGCTTATTTGTGTTTTGTTCTTAACCTCTGTGCATATTAACTCTACTGCAGATCTATTATTCCATGCTGGTGCTGGCCATCATCGGCGTCGGTGGCATCTTCACCGGCACCAACCCAGCCTACACCACATTGGAGCTGGCGCATCATTATAAGGCCTCGCGGACGCGGTTCGTCATCGCGGAGCCGGAACTGCTGGACCCCGTGCAGGGAGCCATGAAGCAGCTACACATGTCCCCCGAGCATCTCCGCGTCTTCAACGTGCACGATCAGCCGGTTCCCGCAGGCCTGCAGGCCTGGACGCATCTGCTGGACCACGAGGAAGCCGACTGGGTGCGCTTCTACGACGCGCACACCTGTCGCCGCACCGCTGCCGGCCGTCTCTTCAGTAGCGGGACCACCGGTCTGCCCAAGGCCGTGACCATCACGCATCAGAATCTGATCGCGCAGCATGAGCTGGTCTTCGAGGTGCATCCGAAGCCGTATCGAGTGAGTTTCTATCTGAGCTCACTCCCATCCATGGAGTATCCACTGTACCCGACCATCTACAGAGACTAATATAAGCAGGTCAGTTGCGTCATGCCCCTCCCCATCTTCCACGCCGCCGCCGCCCCCTTGGCGCACATCAGTGTGCTTAAAGCCGGCCAACCCATCTACATGATGCGTCGCTTCGATTTGCTCGGATACCTGCGTGCCGTCGAAACCCACCAGGCTACCGAGGCGATCCTCGTGCCGCCCATTGTCATTGCCATCGTCATGAACCCCCTGTCCTCGGAACGGGGATACCTCAAATCCCTGCGCTTCGCGTGCTGCGGGGCCGCCCCTCTGGACCGCGATATGCAGGCGCGATTCCGCAAGCTGATGGCCCCAGACGCACCCTTCACCCAGGTCTGGGGTATGACGGAGACCTGCTGTATCGCGATGCACTTCCCCTACCCGGAGCCGGATGACGGGAGTGTGGGTCGATTAGGGGCCAATATGGAAGCAAAGTAGCCCTCCCCCTTCCTTTTTTCTCCTCCTTCCCTTCACCTCTTTATTTCTAGATAGAATGATAGAATGACTGAGGAGATAGATTGGTCAATGAACAAGGAGAGAACATCTCCGCATACAACGTCCGCGGAGAACTGTGCGTGCGCGGCCCCACAGTGACCCCGGGATATTTCAACAATGAAGCGGCGAATGCCGAATCATTCGACGACGACGGATGGTTCCACACGGGAGATATCGCGTACTGCGACAGCCAGACGCGAAAATGGTACATCGTCGATCGCAAAAAGGAGCTCATCAAGGTGCGCGGCTTCCAGGTGGCCCCGCCGGAGCTGGAGGCCGTGCTGCTGAGCCATCCGCTCATTGTCGATGTCGCGGTCATTGGCCTACGTGGCATCGTCCCCGATGAGGAGCTGCCCCGGGCGTATGTTGTGCGAAGACCGGGAGGGGAGGCGCTGACAGAGGACGAGGTTAAGGAGCATCTCTTGAGTCGGTTGGCAAAGTACAAAGCGTTGACAGGCGGAGTGAGGTTCGTGGACGCCATTCCAAAGAATGCCAGTGGTAAGATCTTGAAGAAGGTATTGAGGGAGGAGAGTCAGAAGGAAATCGGTCAGAAAGTGAAATTGTAGACCGATCATCTTGATTGTCGGATGGCATGCACTATTAAAGATTATTATCGCCATCTCGTTAGTCGTACCTAGGTCTGGCTCCAAACTCGGCATCATTTCCGCATTTTCTGAATTCTTTCAACACTGGTAAAGGTGTAAAGTCACTAAAGTGGCGTTGCCAGCATCTATCAGATCCTCCCGTATTTCAGTCTGCTCCTGTGTGAAAGTCACCCATTCCCGAATCTTATCCGGACGGGCTTATTATCCGCGACTTCCGGCGCTTTTAGTCCGAGTTTCCTTATTTATTTGGACAACCAGGACGAGGAATAGATGCCCACGACATGCGTCGAGAAACTCCGAAAGGGTGGTGTTTGGCGGTTGCAGCCTTTCCTCCTAATATCCCGATCCGTATGCAAGGTCCAATACCTGTTTCTGCTGGATATGCCCAATGTACCTTTTCACGGTGGCTAGTTCCACTAGGGATAGTGGGAGAGTCATGGCCGAGGTGTACTAGGCTCCAATTTTGTCATACTGTTTCGACATTGTATGGATGAGGACTGCGTGAGGAAGGCTGAGAGTACTGGAAACGGAAAATTGAATCCACTGGGATCAAGTCTTTAAGCGACAAAAGCTACCCAGGGATTTTGTACATTGCTTAGCACTACGTGAATCCTCCCTTTGCCCCTCTTGTGCGTGTGACCTCTTTACAGGCTAACAACTTATGTATCCTTAGTTAACCGAGCTGACCGACTGAGAGTGTGGCTGAACTATCAATATACCGATACTAAACCAGTGGGAGAGAGCCTACTAGTACTCAGGAGAGATATTCATCTACTAGGACCCGCGTGCCTGGAATACGGAGTATAGGCCGTATGGAGTAGGTATTAACTAAATATTCCAATATAGGGTTGGCTGCCCACGAGCCTGGCGCGAAAGTTGACTAAGGCTTGCGATAGACGATCTAGATGACATACTGTACTCCTGAGCGCTCTAATTATGTAAACGCTAACTCAAGTTAACTAGTGGTCTTAGAATCCGACATATGTAGAATTAGATTCTGTGCATAGTATCAGTCCAAGGCGTTTTTTTTACGTAGCCTAAGTGAAATACAAAGCAACTTTCTGCTTTATGGCACCGGGTTCCCATTGGGCGTGTGCCAATCAATATAATAGTGGCTTCGTAGCACCGATCCCCTCTCGATTCACTTTCATCTTCTCTTTGAATGACAATGACTGCCCATCTTTGGAATCTGTGGGAATCGCGTTCCGTCTGCGGTGGTTGTTTTTGACCTTTTTAGCTGGCTTATTGACTATCTACAGGGCTGTGGTGATCCAGCACACTAGTAAAGTCAAACTACAAAGTCCCAACAAAGTAAGTCTCGAGGCGTGCTGTACACCCGAATTGGGCTCGCTCGATACTAAAATTGCGAACGACTCAGAGCTGCGGTGGATGAGATAATCAAATCGCAGACTGCCATACCAAGGCATGCATTCCTTTCTAAAGCTATTGCCAAATATAGCTTGGAATGGTTAGTATATGCTAGGTCAGTGGCTTTGAAGTTGATTATAGAATTCTTGTGGCCAGCTGCGCAACCGTATCTCTACGTAAAAGGCTGCTTATATAGGTATAACTAGTAGGCTCTGTTATAAATATTGTCTATTTTGCCTCTTATAGTATCTATGGATACTTGGTGACTACCTATCTTAATGAATGTATAGTCTGCGTCGACTTCGGCTTCTATTCCGTATCTATACCCTCTATCACTGAAATGGCCTTACTCTACCTTGAAGTAGAACTAACTGTCTTTCCCTGAATCCTCTCTGCCATATTATTTCGTCATTTAACGATGAGAGTAAGAGCAAAACCAATTCGTCTTCTGATACTGGACCTAGATAGAAGTAGAAGTAGAATAAATATCGACTACAGAATACAACTACACATTCGTCTGGGGCACATGTGCCGTCCTCTGTTTCTCCCCCGACCCACGATTCTCACTGGTGTCCAACTCGGGAAACACAAACTTGGAACTATGCCATGGCTTCACCTTCATCACGTACATCGTATCGATTTCCTCCAGGGTACGTCCGCGGCCTTCAATCACAACAGTATAGACTAACGCGGCAGCCAGAAATAAACACCCGGCGAACACATACCCGAGTCGAAAATCAATCGCGCTGGTGATGAACGGCGTGAAGAAAGCCAGGAGGAAATTCCAGAGCCAATTCGACGCCGTGGCCAGCGACATCGCCCGCGCGCGATACTCGGATGGATACAGCTCTGCGATGATCGTCCATACCATGGGTCCCCACGTGCTGGCGAATCCCAGGATGAAGAGACAAGCGAAGACGACCATGACCACGCCGGGGGTCTCGGTTCGTTCCGGATTTTCGTGATCCAGAAGGAAATGCCCGACGGAGGCGAAGATCATGAAACAGACGAACATCCACAGTGCGCCGGCAATCAGCGAGCGACGTCGTCCGTAGTTCTCGATGAGATATAGACCCAGGAACGTGGTGCCGAAGTTCACGCCACCTAGGATCATCTGCGTGACGTAACTATTCTCGATCCCTGCACCGCGGAAAATCGTCGTGCCGTAGTAGAAGAAGTAGTTGGCGCCGGTTAGCTGCTGTAGCGCCTGCAGGGCCACGCCCACAGCGACTCGGTAGCCCATCCGCGGTGCTCGGAAGAGATGCATCCAGGTGATTTGTCCGCGTTCGATTTCCTCTTGGTATTTCTGTCGGATCTCTTCGAACTCCACCACTAGCGCGCGGTGGTTCCGCGGGATGCCGTACATCTTGGACAGCGTGGTGATTGCCTGCTCTGTTTTGCCGTGTCGGTAGTCGTAGCGCGGACTCTCGGGAAAGAATGCCATGCCGATACCCAGGATGATTGCCCAGATGTAGGTGACGCCCATGGGTATACGCCAGGAGCCTGTGTCGGCACGGCTCTCGGTGCCGAAATTGATGCAGTTGGCCACGAAGATGCCCAGCGTGATGAAGAGCTGGTAGGTGCTGGGATGTGTCAGTGTAACTACCCTTCTCTTTCTTTTCCTAGGGATAGGAATATTGGACAAGGACAGACCTGACTAGAGACCCCCGGATATGTCTTGGACCTGATTCAGCTTGATACATTGGAACCAGCAAGGACAGAGCCCCGACACCTAGACCGGCCACCCAGCGACCCATGGCCACTTGGTACCATTTGCCAAAGGGCGACGAGATCTGGATGGTGATGCCGACGCTGAGCATAATGCACCAGGCGGTGATGGACCATTTCCGGCCGATCCGGTCAGCGACAGGAGCGGCGACGAGAGCTCCAATGAGAGTGCCGACGGACAGCTGAGAGAAGTCAGCCTGGAAACCAGATATACTAAAATGAGATCATACCAAGGCTACGATGAGACCCGAGCGGGCATTGGAGAAATAATACGTGCCATCGGAGCGGAGTTCCCCATAACGACGTAGGAAATCCTTCATCTCCAGAAATCCAGAGATCTGACCGGTATCATAACCAAACAAGAATCCACCCATGGAGACGAAAACGCCCATGATGAAGGAGCGCCAGGTCAACAGGGGGATGTGGGTGTCCACCACCCCCTCGGTCTCTGTTCCGGGGATGGACAGAGGCAGCTGCTGTTCTGGTACGGTCTCATTCTGCAGAGAGGGATCAGGCCTGAAGTTGGGCCATTTAAGCTTCGAGAGGACCATTGTCGTAGTAGCGGTTCCTAGAATATCCAGGGTCTAATACTGACGAACCAGTTCCGGGTGCAGCATCCGTCGGACGTGGGATTTAAATATAGAGGCTGTCATCCGAAAGTGATGACATCGACAGTGGCGTTGCTCAGCGTACCACTACGAACACGGGCCCAGGCAAATTCGGTACCAAACGGCGACACGAGCCATTTGTCGAATTGTATCCTCGGATTCTTGACTTCCCCGCAATTCCGGGGTTCGCAGCTGCCAGTAACGTCATGGTCTACACGAGCGGACGGATATGAACCATGGATACGTCTTGATCGGTGATATCCCGCGGAGCATAATTTATGTTGACCGCCAAACTTGGAGAACTAGATACTAGGTATCTTAACTAGTTAGCTAGGATAGGGATCGACAGGCCTAGATATGCTTACATCTGTTTATATCTGCGGCTATCTATAATGTATATAGAATGGGAACTGATGGAATTGCTGAGATGTTAAATGCCCTAGCTATTAGAAGCATTACAAACCTTGTAAAACCGAGGTTAAATTCACTCCGTTCCCTCCCAAATCAGTTAGATTCTTCCATACGGATCCATTTCCCTTTGCTAATCCGCCCAGCGTATCCAGCAATACTTTCATAATCGGCACCCGAGTCGTCAACGTCAGGTTCTTCAGCACACTTTCAAAGTATGGGATGTTCCGGCCCGCATACGTCGTCCTATTCCCCACGACTGAGAGTTCGATCACCCCCTTTAGAATCGCATCTCGCTGCGCCGCTAGAATATCCCAGATATTCCTGATCACGGTGCGGATATCGAGTCGTCCGTAAAGTCCCACAGTGTTGTTCCCCGGTTTTAACAGCACATCTGGCATATGTGCTTCGCCCAGGATGAGATCCTCACTCTGCAGGTTCAGGGTGATGTTTCCCTGTTGCGGTGGATTAATCCTCGTTAGCGAGGACGATAAGGGTCAGAGGGATCACATACCAGGGCCAGTGTGACTGGGGAATGGTTTGGAAGCACGGCCTCCCCGCGAAAATTCGTGCCATCAGCCTCGGCTGGTAGTACGAGACGCGCCGAGTTAATGGTGAATCCTCGAAATTGGTCCAGTCCTGATTTAATAAGCCACGCTTTACTTGTAATAGGATATCACTTCCTACCGGTTACCTCGATATCATGGTCTACTTTCACGTCGGCTTTGAGGGCCCCCAGATGCGCAGTGGTGGATCCCTTCACAGAGATGATAAAGAGCTTGGAGTTCAAGGCATTGCTCAGTAGCCGGACCCATCCATGCTCGTTCTCGACTATGGTGTTGGGCTGTGAGGCATATATCTCGGTGTGTCCTTTCAGTTTGCTCTTTGGTAGATCCAGACTGAGATAGGGCACCATGGGCGTCACTTCACGGTCGAACAGCCGTAAGTTCATAGTGTCCATATTGGCTGAGATACCAGCAGGTATATCGATTGCCGTGTCCATTGTAAATGTGAACCGATCCGGTTTAGGGTCGAGGATTCCCGCACTGTAAAGAGGTAAATCGCTGTCATTGACGAGCTTCTGTGCAATGGCTGGGATGATCACGAGAAACCTGTCGAGATGTATTAGATTCAACGTCCCCCATCCACGGTGAAAGTTAGACTGTACAGAATAGGGAGGAAAATTGCAAGAAATATAACCCCCCCTAGCAGATAGCAACACCAGAATCGTCGGAAATGACGTTTCGCTTTCTGTTGGGCCCTAGCCAGTCTCCCTGGCTGCTCTATCTCCTCGACATGCTCAACGTGTTGGGCGTCGGCATCGACGACCAAAGATGGGTCGAAGGCGTTTTTGCCCTTGGATTTATCCTTTGGGCCCAGCTCGCCTCGATTGACCCCGAGGACATATTTACGGGATAGACTATGCACATCGCCAACGGCCATGTTGGATCATTGACGGGCTCTGCATCAATGGTCACGCAGCATTCGTCTACTTATATGTATGTCGGCTGGGTCCAAGAGTTCTGTAAGCTAACCTAGGGATGCTCATTGAGTCGACCTGTGCCAATTTAAGAGATTTCTTCAACCCCACTGTCAACCCCTCGATTCCTCGTCCAATCGGCCTGGTAAGCGTGAAGCAGATTCAGATGTGGCTTGGGCCCTTTTTGTGGTCCGCGGTATATTTTCCTGTAACACATGACCCACGGCGAATATCATTGTGGTATTCTAGCTAGAAATACAGGTATGGCGGTACAACAGCCATTAATCACTCCGAAGTCTGTAGATATTCACTGGTTTACATTTTGACAATGCATGGCCAAATACCACCGTTTGAGTCCAAAAAATCTCTGATATCGACCTCTGACCCTCGGTACATGCAGGTCGTCCAGAAAGGCCTCACCTAGCCAGCGGGGTTGCAGACATCTCTATCACGCTGTCTCACTCTGTACCACGCTCGACCAGTGGTCAGAACACCGGCACGTATTCTGGACAACCGACTGGATGAGAAATTTAGGCTATGGAGGTGATGGACCGCGCTAAAAATGTGGTCACTTGCTGGATTGCCCTTGCACATCCGTTTCTTCATGAGTTGGTTCCACTTGGCCGTGGCCCACATGCTCCCCGGCGTATGACTACAGATTCAACTTCCCAGGGCATGACAGTAGATCCACAAGGCTAATATTGTACCCACTGTGCCTAGTATATTTGCACCTCCAAGCTGTACTATACAGGATGTCAACAGTGTGTTTGTATAGCAGATCCTGAGAAATATGCATAATAGTAACCCGAATACATGTCATCCTACGAGGTTCGTCTGACTCCTCGGCAGGACTGCCGAGGAGCCGCGGTATCCAACCTTCTTCGAGATTGCGGGGTTGTCGATCTAGTCTGATTTCTGAACAGTTGCAAGGATTTTCACAAATGTTTAGGGGGAAACTGCCAAACCTAGCGATCTACCTGAACCAACAGTCGAGTCCCAAGTTATAGCCCTAACCCCGCATATCCCGCTACCTGTGGAGTGTCGATCCTGTCTCTGGAATGATCTACTCGTATATCCACCGAGATGGACACGGAGTTCTCTAACCAAAAACTATCGTGTTTTGTCATCCACGCATCGTATTTTGCCATCCTCATATCCCTCTGGATCGACATCACCTACATACCCCAAGTGAACAACCCCTCATGTTGAAACGCACCAGACGAGCGCCCAAGGCGTGCTCATGGTGTCACCACCGCAAGGTCCGATGTGATGCTTCTCTTCGTGGCTGTCCGTGTACGCGGTGTCGACAGGATGGTCGACCGGATTGCATACTGCGAGGGAAATTGCCACGAAAGTAGGTCGTATCATTCCCTAGCATGAGGAATCTCTCACATTTTTAATCTACAGTTTCCACGGGTTTGCTGTGACGCAGAATCTCGATAGTGAAGTAGAAACAGGTCCTAGTCTACCTTCATCCGGATCCCGCACTTTATACCCCCGTCATGTTGTCTACTCCGCGTATCCGTTTCTTGAGTTCCATGGTGAGAAAGCATTAGATCAGGATGATATGGCCTATCTGGCTGCAAAGGGGTGTCTTTCTTTACCGGATAAAACCGTCATCGAAGAATTTGTCAAAGCGTATTTCCTGCATATCCATCCGGCTATGCCGATTGCCGATGAAGCAGAGTTTTGGGAGATATTTTACATGCGCGATGAAAAGACTCCACGGAGACTGTCGTTGTTTCTCTTCCAGGTCATTCTCTTTGCCAGTGCGCCATATGTCGCGTTAGAGGTTCTTCAGAAATGTGGGTTTGATGATAGACGGAGTGCTCGGAATACTCTTTATCAGAGAGCTAAGGTATGTATATTTTACACATATATGTCACCACAGAGAAGAAGCTAATGTCTGTAGCTGTTGTTCCATCTAAAAGCAGAAGATAGACCCTTCATCCAAGCCCAAGGCGCTGTTCTCCTCACACTTCACACTACAGCGGACGAACCCCAGGCAGGGAGTCTCTGGCTTGCTCGCGCCATTCAAGCAGTGATGGTTCTCGGCTGCAAACCAGCGCCCTCCGAGGATACACAGGGGGCAATGAAAAAGAGACTCTGGTGGTCGATCATCCTGCGCGATCGGAGTCTCTGTCTTGGACTCCGTCGTCGACCACAGGTGACTTCGATTGATTTTAGCATGGACGTCGAACCGCTGGAAGAGGAGGATTTCACGGAGGAGATCGACAACTCCCAGGTGTATGACCCGCGCACGAAGCGACTGCTTTTCAAGGCCCTTCAGGAGCAGTGTCGTCTAGCCGTCCTGCTGACGGAGATGGTCTCGTTCGTGTTTGCGTCGCATGGACTGTCCACCCCGCGGTTATCTTGTGAAGAGTTCCGAGAGTCTCTGGCTAGGGTCAGTCGTATCAAAGCGACCTTGAAGCAGTGGGAGACGTGTTCGAATATGTCGACCTGGATGAAAGAGGACCTGCCAGAGGCTGTTAATCTGTTCGTCAACTTCACCCTAATGTATTACCAGTAGGTATATCGCAGTGTGTCTCTAGCAATACAATAAATGCTGATCCGCCAGCACCGCTCGGATCGACCTCGCGCACTACGAAGCCCTCCTGGTCGAGAACCATATCATCTGGTCCGGATCAAACTACATCTCCCAGCTGGTTGAGACAGGTACTGCTCTTCACGACGCCATGGATCATCTCATGTCTATCATGGAGTATTTCAGTCGGGAAGGACAAGCGCAGAATCTACCTCTGAGCGTGTGAGTGCCCTACCATTATGACCAGTCTATCCACCTCTCTAACGTCTCTCTAATTAATTGTCTTCTAATCGTCTCTATCCAGACTAGCTTATGTCTCCATGCCTCTAGTCCTCACAGCCATCGATCTTAAACTGTCCCCCTCCTCAGTGGAAATGGCCTCTCGACGACGTCGTCTTGACGCCCTCGGCGAAATCATCCGTCATTCGGGACGCGCATACGACGTGACAGATTTCATCAGCAACGGCACAAACCATCTTCTTCATCTAGCGTATCTCACCTCGCAGCACTTCTTTCGGTGCTGGGATCGCGATACCCCGTCGACAGCAGCAGGGAGCGAGGCGATTGCTGCCCGCCATCGTGAGAGATCGCAACGCGCTAACGGGTGGTACGATGCCTTCTTGCGATGTCCGCGCGCATATCTTTTAATTTCCACCTCGGTGGATTACAGTTTCTCCGTGGGCCGGTTGCCGACTGATAATGCGTTGCCCGAGTTGGTTCGCTGTATTCCGCCGATTGGGATTGGGATTCGATTACCGTGGACTGTTGACGTCGGGGAACGCGTGTCAGATCGAATCCAAGCTGTGACGCCGTCAAGCGGTGATGGAGAGATTGCACGATTGCTGACCCTCCCGGGATCGACGGATCATGACTCAGTTAATCTGGATTATCTCTATCTGGATGTTCCATCGATGGACTCGACCAGTTCGACTACGATGCATCTGGTAGATAAGGGGGCAGAAGAGGATGGTTCTGTGGATTCGGATTTCGTCGTGAATGCGCAATGGCAACTCGATTACGCAGCGCAAACGTTTGATCCTTGGATTACGTCCGTGGATGAGTATTCGAGTCCAATATTGGGTGAAGCTATCGCTCTTGATTGATGAGACTTATGTCTCTGATTCTGTGAATCTGTAATAGCTGTTTTATCTCTCTATGTACCATTTGATCACTTGGTAACTTAACAGGATAATGATAGTACTATTAGTTCCAGGAACCACCGCTGCGGAATAGGTTTCTGCTCCCCTGGTATAGAACGTTGTTATAGAGGTTGCCAAGGTTCCTTGCTGGTGGTGGAGTTGATACTTATATTTGTCTTTTAGGACATTGTGCCAGTGAGAGTATACTGGACGATCGTATAGAATAATCCGTCCGATTGGATTCGATAACGTTTTTATCTCATTCGTGTCTAGATATACATGTATGAACAAACCAGCCCAGAATTTAGTTACTTTGGTCTATTTAAGCTATTCTAATGGATCCCATAAGATAACAAGTCCAACCACTATACACAGTAGTCTAAGAGTGGAGAGTAAACCCAGCTAATACATCCACTCAGCCGCTACAAGCCATACAGGTCAGCAAACGGATCATGACTCGCATCCAGATGTCTCGTATGCTCAATCTCATTAGCGATCGCCTGCGTCGTCTCCTTACCGTACACCTCCTCTACCCAAGCAAGAATAACATCAATCCCAGCAGTCACCCCGGACGCGGTCCAGATATTCCCATCCTTCACCCATCTCGCACGAGGGATCCATTCAACCTTGGGTCCTAAGGCCTGCATCTCATGAAAAACCATCTTATTCGAGGTAGCCTTTCGTCCATCCAGCACCCCAGCGCGAGCCGCTAGTCCAGAGCCCGTGCATACCGTGATCAGGTACTTCAGGGTGGGGTATACCCTTTCAATGAACGCGATGACGTCCAGTACGACCTGGCTGCTGCCGCGCGTCCCGATCCCACCCGGTACAAGGAGCACGTCCAGCGGCGGCGCGGTCGCGAAGGTGTGTGTAGGAACGATCTGTTGGCCGATCACGTGCGGGTTGGTCATCGAGGTTTTGCAGGTGACGGGCTCCATGGTGGAGGATAACACGGCCAGAGTTAATGAGTGTGTCATAGAGAGGACGTTCAGACAGTCTAGGGGACCGAATGCGTCCAGGGCTTGGAAGCCGGGGAATAAGGCAATGCCCACGCGAAGAGTGGATTGATCTAGTATTTTGTGAGTGAAAATACCTAATCGAGGGGAGGTGGAAAGCATACCCGCCATGATTCAAACTTGATGCGCTTTGTCTTGTAAAATGTATACACGACAACGGTGATCGACTGACTTTTTCTAGTCAACAGAGCGATGCGAAGGTACGATATGACTCACTGATTATTCTGTCTCAGGTGGTGTCTACGAGTAGGTATTTATACGAGATCGGCGGAGTTGGGATTTGGGTCAACACCGATCGGAGGTTAATTTGCTTGGCAACTGTTTTATAATCCTGCCCCTCCTCAGTCTTAGTCTCTATTTCCGTCCATGGGTTCCCATCTGCTCAGGCTGTACTGGTCCGTCTTATTACAATGTTGTCTGTCAGTTACTATGCTTGGTTCTCATCTCTCCCATAGAGCTTTCTGTCAATATTTACTGCCCAACCTTCTGGACCTAGACAAGTCTAGTTTTCCCCTACGCAAATGTGACTCTAGAACCTCGTGACTCTTTCTCTGGATACCGCCGTTTCAATAGAGTGCTCACAGGCATAATAATTATATTGCCAGTGAAATAGACAGTGGGAGCGCACAAGTTAGTTTATAGACTAAGGAAATGAAAAAACCTAGAGTACCATCCACAGTAGATAGATTTGGCTTATTCAATCCTGCTTCAGTCCTACGGATATCACGGAAGTAAACTCTTAGTGCTCTCGATAGTCTGCAAAAGACAATCCATCCGGTTCATCATCTCCGTCCATATAGTAGGCACTATGCTCGATCCAGAGACCACTTCTGCCGCATGCCCCTTGACCGTATCCGTCATCCGCGCCCACAGCTGCCATGAGAATACAACAATCATCGACATGTACATAGACGCCTTATCTGACGAGACGGTTGTTTCTGCATCCACGCGTATTGCAGGCGAAGTGAGGACGGAACCCATCTGCACCTGGGGCAGGATGATAACCCAGTCAGGATTCCGCGGCGGCGGTGGCGAATGTCGGATACAGCGCTGCACCAGCGAGAAGATGGTCGTGTATATTCTCAAGAGCCGCGAGTAGCAGGATCCGACCATCAGGGTTGTTGCTTCGTCTGCGAGTCTACCGCTGAGAATCTGCGTGATGATATCGATAAACCCCGTGGTGAGGCGGAAAAGCTCGTCGAATACGAATGGCATCATTTCCCGAGAATTGCATGTGTTTTGACGGGTGGCATCGCTGGGATTATTGCCTCTCTCTGATATAGGGGGGGAAGGGTAGATGCTAGGTCTGATAACGCGATGCTCAGATTTGCTAGCTCGTGGATACTCGTCACGGGAGATGGCGACCGTATGGCTACTATCTCCTGATCCTGGATGAGGTTCGACAACGGGAGGCTGTCTGGAGACCACAGCAGGGACTCTTCCGTCGTGGTTTCGAAGTGGACTCCCTGGTTGAATACATCGCTGTTCGACAGGCGCAGAGGATCCGACGAGTCATCTTGTACCGGCCAGAGGCCCAGGACTGAATCAATGTCGGTCCTTGTAGGGAGCATGGATACATTCGGATTAACGGTAGGCTGCTCTGGTGTTTGCGCAGATTGCCGTTTCTTGGACCCCCGTGGTGCCCGGCGTGCGAATTGACAGATCGTGTCCAGCTTCAGACATCGCTCACAATGCAGCTGTCCGGGCTGTCGTACGCATCGGAGTTTCTGCGCGTGGCAACGATTACACGCCGACCGAGACTTTCTTACTGATATATCCATCGGAGGTGGAACAAAATTGGATCTGGGAGGATGGGAGCAGAAGGAAAAGGATTACCACTGCACGTTCGGCGTTTGCCGGCCGTTCGGCGTTTTCTCTTACAGCCTCCTATGAAGTATATAAACTAGATCAACACACCCTTCAAATATATAGAGATGTCCATTCTTCTGTCGTTTAAAAATGGTGTCTCTTTCTGATATCCACGCTTCCAACGCATGCATTTCCTCCTCCTTTCCCCCCGGTCTCGTCGCGCTCTTCGTAGGCGCCACCAGCGGCATTGGGGCAGCCACGTTGAAAACATTCGCCAAATATGCACATCGACCACGAGCGTACTTCGTCGGTCGCTCGCAGGAGGCAGCCGACCGGATCGTGGCCGAATGTCAGACTCTCAATCCAGAGGGGGAGTATATCTTCATCCGGGCGGACGTGAGTCTCATCCGGGTAGTTGACGAGGTCTGCATGCAGATCCAGACTCGAGAATCCCATTTGAATGTCCTCTTTCTCACTGCGGGCGTTCCCAGTTTGGATCGTAGCGGTATACATACCCACTCACCATGTATTCCGTCTGGGATATTCCACTGACAGAGACCGCAGAGACCTCGGAGAAGCTGCACCTGCTGGCTTCCTTGAATTACTACTCGCGTCTACGGTTCATGACTCGGCTCCTTCCTCTCCTTACCCAGGCTGCTTTCCTTCGTCGTGTGGTGACCGTCGGCGGGGGAGGCTTGGAAGGTCCGCTGGATTCGTCGGATTTTTCTGCTCTTCGAGTTCCCGACGAGCAACTCCGGGGACATCTATGTACCATGATTACTTTGGGTGTGGAGGCTGTGGCCCGGTCGGCGCCCGAGGTGGCATTCATCCATAATTATCCCGGGGGAGTGGACACGCCCTTAGCCCGACGTCAGCAGTACGTTGCTGTCAGTGAAGCTGAATTGATGTCGCCGGAGGAGAGCGGCGAACGACAGTTGTATCTGGTGACGAGTGCTCGGTATGCGCCTCTCCAGGGGACGGAATCCATGCTGTCCGTTAACGGTGCTGGGAGAGCCACGGGGACGACGGGGGAGATAGGCAGTGGGATGTATTCAGTCGGATGGGATGGGGAGAGCACATCCTCGGAGACACTCGCCTTTCTGGCGGGTCTGCGAGAAACAGGGATTGCTGAGCAGGTGTGGGAGCATACGAAGGGGGAATTTATGCGGATTACCCTGTAGTCCTGGTTTTGGATACTGACAAAAATATTTATTTTTAAGCATAAATTTTTATGAACTATTGTACAATAAAACTCTACATAATCGATTCTTCTAGACCGATTACACGTGCAGGCAGACAAGTCAATCACATTCGGAGTATGCCTGGAGGAAACTCGGCGTGGGTCTGTTATTGCGCTGCACTAGATTTTAAATACAATAATCCAGATATCCTCGTAAGATACAATTCGTAATTCAATACATAGATCCCTACATACCCTGCATAGCTCTTAGAGACACCCAAACACCAAAAATAATACAATAATACATTAGAACCGACGCCCACCCGATGGAGTCCCCTCCTGCTCCGTCTCGTCCACCATTTCCACCGTCTGAGACACATCTACCGTCTTGTGGATGTGAATCCCAGTGGCATCTCCCCCGTTGGCCAAGTCCACTGTCCCCGCGTATGAGATCAGGTGGCTCTGATCGGACCCGAAGTCGTGCTCGCGTTTCGATCCCATCGAGAACCCCTTGCTCCCGCTAGCTTTCATCTTGCTCAGCGGTACCGATGATGACTCCTCCTGCTGGTAGTATCGATTCGAGCCGTAGGCTGCATGGCGCAGTTTGCGGATGAGGACGTTGAACGTGGGGAGACAGGCGCAGATAAGTCCGACGCCTCCCTCTGCGTTTCTATATTATATTAGCATTTGTGGTGAATTTCAATACAGGGAAAGGGGATATACCCAGAGAGAATCAGACAGACAAACACGATGGTCTGATCCGGGGAATTCCCATCCCTCAACACCAGAACCAATCGATAGATACTAAACGCCGTGGCCAATCCACCAGCAGATAACATGCCAATCACGCGCAGTTTCTTATTGCGCGACATCTGCAACGACCAGGTCAACGGCAGCGGCAATACAAGGATAATGAAATCGCTGACCACGCTGATCACCGAGTCGGCGATCAGCGCTGCCCGTTGGTCCATACACGAGGCCTCCTTTCGCAGATCCCAGTATGCCGGGATCGGGTCGCACATACGGATCTTGACTATCTCCGCTACGATGTAGTACACCGTCAGACAACCGAGGAGGACGTAGATGAAGATGATTCGAGATTTATACGGGGCGAAGATGCGGATGAGGATGGATAGAAGGGAAATCTTGGTCAGGAGGGCCATAGGGCAGTATAGTACCGTGGCAACGTAGCAGAACTACAAGATTAGTATTGGACAAACAGAGCATGGAGAGGCCCTACCTTGCGATAGAGCAATTGATCCTCAAGAGAGACGTCGGTGATGTGATATCCGCCACCGTATTTGCTCACTTGAGACGTTAGTCTGGAAGTATGAGAGTAAGATGATGAGGGTAAGATAGACTCACCGACAATAGCAATGCTGCAGTACCCCATAAACAGGAGCTACAACAGTCAGAATGGACCCGAGAAATCGCAGAGTCACCTACCCATGCCAGGAAACAGGTCGCTGTCCGAGTCAGTTTCATCAATAAGTAAATCCAGACCATCACATACTGTCTTCAACGGCCAAAAACTGCTTGTAATGCGTGCGGATGCCAAACCGCAAGCCGACAAAAATTGTCACAATCGGAATACACAGACATTGGGTGACCAGATTCACGGTCCGCAGAGCGTCGTGGGGATTCTCAATAGTCATCTTGACGTAGCAGCATACTGCGACACTCAAGATCCAGAGTCAAAAATCCAGGAGCAGGGAACAACGTATATTAAAAACACACAAAAAAAAAACAGGCTATTACCCCATCGTTCCCATTAAGCATTATCTCTGTTGCCGGACCCAGCAGACCAATACGAGAGATCGATAGTCCGTTTCTTCGTTTGGAATCCCAAGTGGAGTCCAACATGGACCCTGAGGTTCCGATGGACCCGCATGGACATAAAAGGGCAACATTATGGCATATCTCTGATCTGCGACGGCTGGCAGAAGTCAAAAAACTGGGACAAACCAAGATTCATTGTATTAAGTGCTATTTAGTCCCGCCAGGACGGCAGAGGAGGAGAGAGGATTGACCCTGAGACGAGTTCTCGTTCGGCTAACATTGGTGGGGTACGAGCTCGTGATAAGCCCTGTTAATGCTCCAATACATGGATGCTACAAAACGAACTACTCCGTATGCAGATTACTCCTCCAAGACCCGATCCAAGTCAATAGTGCATACAATATACGCAGAACTATTCTACTTTAACACGAGCGCGGAAGCCGGCAGAGAATTCTCGCGAAACTAATCAGTGCCGGTGGACTCGGTCACCGCACCATCCAGAGTCTAGTGGCAGAAGTGGAGCATCACCGCAAGCAATCAGGATCAATTGACTGCTCGCTTAGATGACTAGTACCAACATCCTTATTACGGAGTAGTGCATTACATTTGTGGTAGTGGTGCCCAGATCCATGTAACTGTGGTGGTTTCATCGGGTACACAAATCAACGATAATCCAGTAGATCCGCAAAAAGTTTCATCCCGCATACTTCGACTGACTTCCACGATGTCAGATAAGCTACAGTACAGTAGTGCCGTTTCCCAGCATGTTTCTGGCACAATGTGACAATGCATTAGGCAACAGATTAAGTAAATCAAGACCCGAGGAAAAGGACACGATTTGTTAGTGCTCTGCTACTATCCCTAGTCAATCTTGGCGTGGTCAGACCGTTGCCTTGGTTGCTATAGTACTCTTATTTTCTCTTTTTATTAGTCGTCGTCCTTTTTGCTTTTTATTTTTATTTTCGTTTTTACCTTCCTTCCCAATCGTGCGTCACCCCCTCCCCTGTGCCCGAGTAGCTTTCCCATCTGTAGACCCAAAATCCACCTTTATCTTCAGGATGACGATCCGCAAGCTGGATGAAGAGAATTCCAAACTCTTCGAGCCTCTGAGCATCAATAATGGCAAGATCCAGCTGCGGCACCGCGTCATCCATGCTCCAATGACCAGGAACCGCGGCGTGCCCGTCAACGTCACGAGCACCCCCGAGAATCCCAATCGCGTCTGGTATCCAGGGGACCTGATGGTCGAGTATTATCGTCAACGTACAACCCCTGGCGGGTTGATCATCTCGGAAGGTATTCCACCGTCCCTAGAGGTAAGCAGCTCTTCACTTTAACCTTTTTAAGCTTTGGGAAGATATTTCCGACCCAGGGATCGTCGTCCCAATTTTCAGACTGCCTTCATATGCTTTATGCTTTCCCACTATCGATCGATCTATCTATCCATCTCGATCTAACCCCGCTTTGCAGAGTAATGGCATGCCGGGCGTTCCCGGTCTCTTCACTGAGGAGCAGGCATCCGGGTGGAAAAGGGTCGTCGATGCGGTCCACGCCCAGGGAGGTTACATCTACGCTCAATTATGGCACGCTGGTCGTGCTGCCATCCCTCAGATGACGGGATCGCCCGTCGTATCCGCCTCGGCCAGCGTCTGGGATGACCCGGAGGAATGCTACACCCATCCCCCCGTGGGATCGACGGTGCCTGTACGATACGCCGACCATCCGCCGATCGAGCTGTCCGTCGAGCATCTGAAGCGCACCATTCGCGACTACTGCCAGGCCGCCGAGACCGCCATGCGCATCGGGTTCGACGGTGTCGAGCTGCATGCGGGCAATGGCTACCTACCCGAACAGTTCCTCAGCTCCAACGTCAACCGTCGCACCGACGAGTACGGTGGCTCCCCGGAGAAGCGGTGCCGCTTCGTATTGGAGTTGATGGATGCGCTGGCGCAGTCCGTCGGCCAGGAGAACCTGTCCATTCGTCTGTCGCCGTTTGGACTGTACAACCAGGCGCGCGGCGAGCAGCGCGTGGAGACCTGGACCTTCCTGTGTGAATCTTTGAAAAAGGCGCTTCCGAATCTGTCGTATGTGAGCTTTATCGAGCCGGTAAGTATATCACATGAAAGAAAGAAAAAATGAATGGATGAATGGATCCTGACATGTGACAGCGATACGAGCAAATCTTCAGCTACGAAGAAAAAGACAAGTTTCTGAGCAGCTGGGGCCTCTTGAATGTGGATTTGACTCGCTTCCGTCAGATTTTTGGTTCGACCCCTTTCTTTTCCGCCGGCGGATGGAACCAGTCCAACTCGTGGGGCGTGCTGGAGGAGGGTCGCTACGATGCCCTTCTCTATGGCAGGTTCTTTACCAGCAATCCGGACCTGGTCGATCGTCTGAAGAAAGGTATCCCCTTGGAACCATATCACCGTGGTCGCTTCTATGGTCCATTCGAGGATAATGCGGCTTACTATGTGGATTATCTTCCGGCCCAGTAGATGACGTGGCACGGTCCATGTATATAAACTTGGACGGCCCACAATATCAGTTCCTGCATTGTATTAGCCGGTCAAAACGTTCCACGGTAGATGTTTGTACTTTGTAAGGGACGGCTCCATCGTTTGTCGAATTAGCGGCTCCGAGCAAAATTTCCTATTCAAGTAGTTTTGACGGTTCAGATTCTGCACGAAAAGACATTTTACACAATATGCACGACAGCCTACTGAGTCAAGGGATGGTTTAAATATATTGATTTATACTCAGGTCCATGGAATTCCATTTCAACGACGAAAACGCCCTGTGAAAAGTTGAAAATATGCCAAGATACCCGTGGGCATCGGAACCGCGGCAAGGGACTCCGGTGGGACCGCGGTGGGACCGCGTAGGTCGTAATGTCCAGGATTGACTGCCATCCTCGTCATTAATTGCATATTAATTGCTTTGTCATCGTCAAATCTCTGTTGGATGCTCATACAGCACTATGAGCCAGTAAATCCTCAGCAACACATACCCATGTTGATCGACTTGAAACTCAGTTCAAGAGGATCGAGCAGCAGCATGGAACTCTGAGTGGATTCACTGCAGTCTTTTGCCTTTGTCGCTACAGTCTGTAGCATGCTTGGGATGGTAAATAGTCAGAGTCTGGGAATATTCTATGAATAGCCTGGATATTGAGATATATATACCTCCCTTGATAACGCACCCTATTGTCCAGTGGAGGCAAAATACAAGTAGAAAACTTTATAGAGCATTAATTAAGCAGCTGCCTACTCCATATCATGGCTAGACTGGTAGATATATTGCACTAACATTACGGACCAAGAGTTAATCGTCGATGCTCAGGATTGTTGCGCTCGTTCCAGAACAATGCCGACAGAATGGATAACAGCGCGAACCTGTCCTCCATAGTCGCAGTCTACCACCTACTATATCTATCTCAACATCGCAGAGTTTGTCTTCATCTATATCGCAGCAGCTAACTTTTGGATGAGCGAATTACATGCAACCTGCGTCGAGCGCATCTGAAGCCATCATTCGCCAAAACATCGCCTTTTTCTATACTCTCGACGCTGGGGAGGTCACTGCGCGTATCACGTCCGATATGAACGGGCTTGTACTATGATCTGGTTCGGATGGGAGTTTGGAGGAGGTCTTGAAGCTACACAATAGGAGATTAGGGAGCTATGTTTCGAACGTAAACTCTTAGATATTGTCGGCTTCACCGCGATAAATGCATTTTATATTGGCTTTGCATTTATTCATGACGAGACAAAGGAGTGATACACATAGGTACTTTAGCGCTTGAATAGTGTTATAAGATAGCTAAACATAGGCAATCCAAAGGTAATTTTAGTAAGAATAAAGGCTCAATGGTGCAATTAAAGCAGTCTTTACTTGGTCAGATAGTATTATTTATATCTGGTGTGGTCCTTACCTTAGACATCTCGTTCAGCTCAACGCAGTGACGTGATGCTTATGTAGTTTGCAGGCAGACTGGATTCAATGAGAAAGGACTGAGGGCACAGGGCTAGGGCTCGGAAGCACGCCACCATATTCTCGCTCACCATAACAACGCCCTTCTACCTTCTTCCTTTCCTCCCTATCTTAGTATTTTTGATATAGGACTCAATATGATTTAGTAATCTGATCTGCCTACAGTCACATCTGGCATATTAAGAAGAACCTCTTTGTGAAATGCCGGCCACCCTCAACATTGGGGACAAAAAAAAAAAAAGTCAAAAAACTAAAAGGGAAAAAGGGGAAAATAATTGAAGGCCCTTTTAAAGTCGAGCTTAACCAAACATTGATGTGCTAGTACATTTGTTTCTATTTATTATAAGCATATTAAATTGTATACTCACAATGGAGAGCAAGGATAGGCAACCGTACTAAGCATATAGAAAGTATGATCCATTGGTCAGGAATTTCAAGAAGAATAAAAAGAAACTTGTATTATGCTAGGATATGTTGAACCTAATATCACACAGCTTTCCCATCCAGTAGTTATGAGTTTTCTATGCACAAGGAGTTAGCTGTGGGCTGCGGGATGGTCCGGGCAGTTAAGAGCTTATATGCTAGAATTGATTTGGAATATTCTGCAGTGGGTAGGAGCTCAACTACTACAGAATGGTTCACCAGCTGACCTGAATATTCTAGTGTTTTTGCACGAAATCTATGGTCTGAGTAACCTGAGGTAAGTTCCAAAAAATGTTTAACATACTTTTATTTATTTGCAGTATTCTTGTTACTATAGCTGCGGCCTGCATGAAAGCTGAATTGGAAGAATATGTGGTACGATAGGAAGATAGCCGTGGCTCAGTTAACTGATGTCTATCTACAGTCTACCGACTTACTTCCCTCAGCCAGACGGCAATCTCCGTCGCCAGTCGCTCAGGCTGATCAAACATAATCAAATGACCAGCCTCCCCGATCAAAACAACCTCCCTTGCCCCAACCGCGCTGGCTAATTTCTCAGCCCGATCAACAGGAATCCACCTATCCTCCTTCCCCCAAACAACCTTCACTGGCATCGCACTCCCAACCTCCGCATATCGCCCCTCGACCTCCTCTGCATGCCACTGATCAGCCTGTACGATCTGCCGGATAAATGCCGCCTGGCCTTGACTTCCGCCCGCAATCCACGGCTTCACCAGCATGTCTTCAACATATTTTGGGAGAGGCTTGAATGACGCATCTTGTATATATGCACGCACCATACCCTGGAAGATTGCATCCGGGATGGAAGTGAAGACGGACGGATTCTGCGCAACAAGCCGGAAAAATGGACTGCCGAAGGGGCGGACAGCGACGACGTCTACAAGACATAGGCTCGCGTATAGGCAGCCGTGGAGGAGATTCGCACGTAGGGTGATGAGCCCGCCGTTATCGTGAGCGACGACGTGGGGAAGTCGGTCAGAGGTAAAGTTCCATGAATGGTATAGGGCGGCAAATGCCTCTGCTTGACCGGCTAGAGATGCATCGAGTTCAGATATCTTATCGTCTGCGGATGTGGGGGCCTGAAGAGGCCTACGGCCAGGAGATTCGCCGAATCCCGGGTTATCGAAGAGATAGATCTTGTACCGCGAGGACAGGGCCTTCACGTAGGGCTGCCAGACGTATGAGGACCAGGGGGTGCCGTGAACGAAGATCAGTGGGGGACTGCTGTCTGGTCCGATGCTTGTCCACTGGATGGAGTGTTCGTGAGTATCACTTCTGTGAGTGAAGCGTTCAGTCAAGACAATTGACTCGGATGCCATTATTGTGTTTTCCAGTTCTCTGACAAAGCCCAACCCCCCGCGCCCTTTAAATAATTGTCTGCACCAAAATGAATACGAGGTCAACGCTTACCTTATCCACAGAATTAATTAGGTAACTATTGGTATGTGGTGTCGGTTAAGGAGAGAATCAGGTTTTACGCTAACAGCTGCCATCTCTTAGGCTCCCGTCACTGTGGCCCTGATTTGGTGACTGGCTCAATTTCTCCCAGATGAATATCTATTCACCCCTCTGAGGCTGCCCTATCATTTGCTCCTAGGAACTCAAGGGTCATCCCTGCTCGGGTTAGGTTGATCTTGGAAGGTTTATAGCATCTACTTTTCAGTTCTTATTCTACTGCACTTCCCTGCTTTGGAATTGGTTTGTTAGATCATTTGTTGACAGAGTAATCTAAGATAAGCTGCCTTAACTTAGAAGGTTGGCCGACATTATTTAATAAGAGACACTGAAATGTTAACTACGTAGTTACCACTACTTTGCCCCATGAGTCACACTAAATAAAAAAGAATAAAAAAATAAAAATACAATAATAAAAAATAATTAAGGGAAAAATGAGTCGAACAACTGTTGGTCGATATGTGTCAACTAATTATCCTGCTCTAACGACCAGCCATCCAACGAACTAACGAAAGTGAACCCACCTAACTAGTTAACATTAAGTTAGTTAACTAACATGAGGCTTGTTATTATGTAATAATACCCCTCCTGGGACGGTTTTCTCAAGACGGGATCTGTCTCAAGACATGATTGGTTGTTTGAGCTCCCACTCCATAGATGCCCCACTGTCGACAATAGGGACAGTAGGGGCTACGCTGTATAGGATAATAGGGCTAATGGGGTTAATTAGCCCGAGAGATTAAATGACTCTAGCCCTTTATCTGATCTGTTATTGCTATTTTTTATTGCATATATAACTATATTATATTAATTAAAACCCTTTATATTCAAGAATAATGGATATATGTCACGGGTTAAACTCGGTATGGTGCTCAGACTAAAACCTTCGCTACTATATAAGGCGCTAGATGAAAGATCAGTCGTCTTGTACCTTATATAGCCAAGCGGCTTTATCTCCACTAGCAGAGACAACCAAATACTTAGTATAAATAATATAATACGTACATACATGTGTTATGATACATCTATGTGTATATACATATATATACATCTCGGGAATAACTGCTAAATAGAGTTGACACGAATATGTTCAAAAAGGAGAGTGGCAGCTGTCAATTTTAGAGGTGATTGTGCAAGCTGACTGTCCGTAGCGGATTCGGTGGTGTTCTTTTCGTGGTATTTAACTGGAGCTAGCTTCCTAGTAATTCGGCTGCTTTTGCATTGCCAGGTTAGAAACTATTCCCGGTCAGTAAGTGGTTAATCCTACTTTCTTCAACCATATTACTACCACTTAACAAGGCTTCCTGGTTAGCCAAGGGGGCTTCATGATCGCCTTCAGACTCATAGTCGCTAGTATACATAAATTGAACTAGCCGCTTTACTGTGCTAGGCTAGAAATGATCCATAGTGATGGTATTAGTTTCTGATTCCTATATTCCCGTGGTAAGCAAGTCCATTATTTCGAACTGACTACTTTTATATAGAACGTTCTTTGGATCCTCCCTGGATTGCTGCTTTCATGACTGGAGATTGGCTACAGACAATGGCTTTATGGATCTTGAATTTCATCCCCTTGCAGACGAGCTTGAGATCTCTGAACTCGCATGATGCCATCATCTTGGACAGGATAGAGCCTCGGTCCTTAGTTGACATCGTGGTTTATATTAAACGCAACCAGACTGTAGGAAGGGATTTCGTGAGAAAAGTATTTGGAATTAGGACATTAATATTAACATACATCTTTTGCCTCGTAGTCCTCTGTACTACGGAGAGAATCAAAATCAGCAAGCCGCGAACGGCAAAGGAGCAAGTGCCATTATCATCACAACATTATGTTGTAATTATTTTAACCTAATTCATTACATACTTTTGCCATGACGCAGTTTGTGTGCAACCGGATTATTGTACATAAACACGGGTTGGCCCGGCACATCTCTGTAACCAGGTAAGGAGACTTCGCATTAAATAATGTAGTATGGACTGTAGGATATTAATATAAAAACTGCGTAGTAAGTCAATCAAAATATTTTTCGGAACCATGATGGGGTGCTCGGAAATGAACATGCAAGTATTAAAAATAGCTAGAGCACCTATAGTCTTTATCCAAAACGTGTCCCAATGGCCGTTAATACCTTAGAAGGGCCTTGATATCTTCAGCAATGGATTTCCTACCGATTCATGCGACATTGACTTCTCCGTCCATGACTCCACTAAGCCCTTCCCAAAAGAGCAGTTGAACAAATACGACATCATCCATCTACGTATGTTTTCTTTTATACTCAAAAGTTAGATTTCAGTAGAGTTATGGCCAATGTCTTTGAGCTTCTACGCGAGTGACTCTGTACCAAATCAACTCCAACTAGAGCATAAAATAAAATGTATAATTTCACGTATCGTGGTGTGCTCACTAATTATTTTCATTAACTGTACGCCCTGGCGGATATCTCCAGTGGAAGAATGTCTATTTTTTATAAGGGCAGCAAATCGACCAGTCCCAAGATTTAATAAAACTATGAACTTGGTGGCTGAATATACCCCGCAAGCTAAGTTCTCCATGCGGGTGTCAGAGTCCCTGATTCAGAATTCCGTTAGTAGGATTGCCCTAATTCTAGGATGACTGGAATAACTGTGGACGAGTGTACACAGGAGTACTAAGAGCTCATGTGCAAAATTTTCGACGTGCGCTAGCCAGGAAAGGCCAGGAATTGTACTTAATGGGGCACTTTGTACAACACCTCACACTTGGAAAGCATCATCAAGGCCAGCGTACAAAAAAACTCAGAACTGCCGACGTCCCTCTCCAAGATGAGGAAAGCCGCTGCAAAGTGTAACACCCCCCTGTTCCGTCCATGAAAAATGCCCTCTAACATTGTTTCAGTATTGTCACGTCCATCCAGAAAGATGCACCCAACAACAGAGGCCCTGTTTTTCTCCAGTCCTACAAAAACCCAAGAGAGTCGTCTCTTCTACCCTGTATTCGAATCTGGGAAGCAGTCACGCAACGTCCGCTGCGCTGCTAGGATATGAGTTGGTCGATGGTGGACTGGGAACCAACAATCTCCTAGGATGGTATGACAGACCTCTTGGCTACCCATTGCTCATTGTTGACGTGAAACTTTATAGGCTCTGGACCAAAGTCCTAGGTGTCTCCGGCCCTGCGCGCTCCATTGACTGCTTCCTTAGTATTGGAACTGGTATCTCGGCAAACAGTCCTTTACATATCTACCCAATGTCCGGGAAATAGGTTTTATTTCATGGTGGGCAGCTAGAGATTAGTTAAGTCTGCTTCGTCGTTCGCCAGTGCTGCAACCAACTCCGAGATGACGCACATAATTTTTCGAACACTTGGATGTATTCGCGCCGTAGGCAAATATGCACAAGTACTGGAGACTCAATGTTTCCCAGAGAGTTGGTAGTGATGATTACATTGTCGTTGGAGATCTGGATGACCTTGAAGTATTGGACAATCTGATGACGATGACTGAAGCGTATATCAAGGAGAACCAGAAGGCAATCAGGGAATACACGGACAAGTTGTAGGCGACTCGGGGCTGAATCAGTCACTCTGAACATCATGCCGGTGGGGAACTTCATTGCAATAGTGCTACAAAGGCTATCTAAACTGTTATAGGGAGTGGACGCTCCAGCCATTAAGCAAACAAAAAGCTTATCGTCGCTCAATGTATGTATATGCTGACCATTGAGCATCTGGGTTTCCGTGGTATTTTTCTTTGCTTCTTTTTCAGCAGCCACAGAACAGATAACGCGTTGAACGGCCGTTAGATTGAAAGCTATACCAAATGTAACGGTACGTAGAAGCTTCAAGTGTATCTTCAGAATTTGGTGTCAGCTGCACCAATCTCTTTCTTGCATCTGATGTGCTTCTACCCTAGATTCTACTTACCCCCGTAACTTCTCCATATCCATTTTGTATGATGTACGCAAAACCCCTGCGGAAGTCGGTAGGATAAGTATTCAAGTCGGCCGTCTAAGCTGAATGCCGGTACTTTCAACATCGGAAGTCCTTGTTTTTATCTAAAACAACGACCGGCCTACTATATATATCACTTACTACCCTCCACTGTCACTTCGGGTCCGCCAAAGCATCCATTCAGACGGAATGTCAGCAGATTACCGTCCTTGATCTCTACCTTTCTTTTCTCAAGCTCTTCCACATTCCAATTGACAGAGACGTATCTTCCGGACAGAAACGATTTATCGCCGCTGGCGAGCCAGACAGCTGTGCCTCCGGACAGCTCGGGGGTATCTTTCATGAGCGGCGCAAGATACGGCACGCTGTGTCCCATGTCTGTGGGTACTACGCCCGGGTCGAGACTGATGGAGGTGATGGTTGGATGCTCGGCAGCCAGGAACTGTGTGAACTTGACCACACTGAGCTTGGCGGGAGAATAGGAGCTCATCCCGGGCGGGACCCCCTGGGCTGCCATCGAAGTCATATTGATTATTGTTGCTGCCGATGGGCTGGCTCCAATCTGGTTCAAGAAAGCCTTAGTGGCTACAAAGGTTCCTTTCACGTTAGTTTCCTGCAGCAACTCTGGTCAGCGAGATCAAAATTCAGGCCCTGCCTTCTATGGTCTCGAAGAATGAAAGCGGTCGAACACAAAAACTAACCTGTGTCTTCCACCACGAGTCCACATCTGTATCCACAATCGGCTTGAGGGAAACAAGCGTTCCTGCATTGTTGACCAACACATGCGGTACTCCGAGCCGGACCACGATGTTCCGAAAGGCATTGCTCATGCCAGCCTCATCCGTGACGTCGACTACGATTGAGAGGACCTTCGTCTCTGGATTGATCTTGTTGATGAGCTTCTCTGTCTCAGCCAGGCCCTCAGCTGATCGGCCAATGAGGCCAAGGGCAGCGACATTGGCGCGGGCAAATGATGCTGCAAAAGCCTACATTTCGTTAGTATCTTGCGTCAACGCTTTCGCGGTTGCCATCCACTTGCCAATCGTCCCAGCCCACGACTGGCACCAGTGATAACCACTACCTTTCCGGCTTGGGAGAGGTCAGGACGAGAAGGATCGATGGCTGGGTACACATCACGATAATTCTTAGATGTGAATGCACATGCTTTGACTTCGCAGTCGGGGTCAAACTCAGGGGTGGCCATGAAGAATCTGTTCAGTTTTACCCGCGTGTCTTGGGAATACTATGTTTGGCAATCAACTGGATAGGGGTATAAATAAAGTAGACAGAGCGAGACGATTGGAGGGGGTGTCAGATTTATAAAGGTTGCCCTAGTTTACTCCGCCTCGCCTTGTGGTTTGTGGGGGCTGAATGCATCAGCTGACAGCCCCCAGCTGGGCTGGAAATACCCATGGGAATCCTTGATCATATATTTTGGGATTATTCATGATAAATATTTACTTTCTATGCAGTAACGATGTTCAACGCTTCATTGTTCTCTCAGACCTATCAGGAAGCATCCTTTGCGAATCCTTCGTTGGATTTCGGACGTTTCAGCTTTCAAGTGTAAAGGGCAGGCCCCAGTGCCTTATGCTGCTGCGGGGACCCAGGCCCGGCCGAGCCTTAGCTTTCGTCCTTACCGCGCTTAGTCAGTGCCCCTGTGTTTTCGGGATCCCGAGGGTGCCATCACCTCCCTCCGTCCCCAGGGGCGTGTACTATATAATCATTTTCATCTCGCGCGACCCAAATAACGACCCAACTCATCTGCAACCTCCTAGGTAAAAGGATATTTAACTTAGTTAACTTAGCTAGTTACACGAAAGCTATTATATAATAAAAACAGGATACCTACGACTGCCAAGATATCTTTGGAGGCGAAGCCTGACCTACACTGAGACATAACTAATGTTGGAAGCGATTTCTCTTTCTATTGAAAGGGTGGCCGGGTGGCCTCTACTAAGTTACTAAAAGCTAGCTTACATAAATGATGACTAAGCGAGGTCGAAACCGCTATGCTTGGCGATATGCTCCAACAACTAATCGGTGTCAGGTGATAGGATTCACACTTAACATCACATAGCCTAGACTACGGAGTCATTCAAACTAGGCTTGGCCTTCAAAGATGGCTTGGCACATAGGGTTTCTGTTTTCATTACAAAGTAGCTTCCCTATAAATAGGAACTAGACCCTAATTGAGCTAGTCGGCGGCTAACAGGCATGTCTAACTTAAACAGGCCTTTCAACAACATGAGTCTAGTAATTGATTTTATGGAGCGACTCAATTTATCTCTGATTAGGGCGCTACCTGAATACAGAGTAAATGTAACCCTCAGTCGCGTGCCTCTCCACCGGCAATTAATTTATTGTCGCTTAGTTTTGCACCATGTTAGACCTGTGGCAAATTCTTTCTTGTGTTTTTCTTCTGCTGATAAACACTTATTAACCTCAATAATTTCTTTTAGAGGAGGGTCTTAGTTATATAATATTTATTCCCTTCACGTCGACCGACCATTGGTAGGCTCTTATTCTCTCCTACTAGATACTTACTCCTATTTACATTCAAGCATAGAACATAGAATTCTATACTCACTCTTGCTGACACACAAACACACACACATATACATATTAATATAACATGGCATTAATTGGTCCCGTCCGCTGTGCAAATAACACTGGCCTGCCGGAGCTTCTCTACCCCAACACCTGCGGCTTACCAATCTACCAACGCTGGAACCCACGCAAGACCCCTACACGACGTTAGGAGAATGCTGCCACGAAGTAAACGGTAGCATAGGCTACTTCGGCGAGGAGAGCTGTGCAGCGTATTGAATGCCACGGAGAATACCCACGGACAGTTAAAGGATTGCCTTTCGCACTCGCGGGAGATCAGCCAATTCGGGTGCTCTGGTGCTGGCGCAAGGAAGACGAGTCTGTGGAGTGCTGTGGTGATGATGGGATTAACGTTGTTGGTTTTATGCATTGAGGTCTAGGAGATGTTCTTGGTTTTTAAATATTGTGATTTTGTCTTCTTCTCTCTGAGATACCGCTAGGTCTTAGCTCTGGGTTTTCTATACTTTAACCGTCGGTTATCACCTGATCCCCGATTTTCATGCCTACGGCTCCAACAAAAGTGAAGCCATATCGCCACATATAATAGATAAAATGTGTATATCTTTTGGAGTACTAAGACCATTTAATCAGGGATTTGGCGTTTAAATCAGCTCTAACCGATCCATAAAACCGAGCGTACACGTTCAAGGGACAAATGAAAAGAAAATAATAACTGTATTCATTACTAAACATGCACCTGGCAGTAGACGACACTGAGCTTACAGTTGTATTTTTATAGAACATTATTAATTTACCACAGACGCCCGCTGTGCAGAATAAGAGGTAGCGCGTGCTATCCGAACTACCCGCCGAGCCTGTAATTGCCTCACGTGTAGGTCGCGTTGCGAAATCAGCCATTTCTCACAGGCCACACAATCGTCCCGGGAGGCCAGCCAAGGGGCCAGAGAAACCAAACTTGACAGCCCATAAACCAACGCATCGGGTTAGGAACCCGCCCACGGGATACCGCGCCCCATCTTCCAGCCGAACCGACAACACGATCACATCGTCCAAACGGTCGACAGAGAACTGGACGGCACGCAGTAGCACCCGCACTTATGGCACACTGCGCCTTCACTCGTACTGATCCGCAGTTGTCGGTTGCCGAAGACGAATTGCTTCTGCGATGTGTCTAGATGCTGGAGTGCACTAATCAACCCTTCTCCAGGAACACGACACCGGATGACACACCGGCATCGGTATAACCAACTGTTAATGTCTCGTTCCGGGGCGGCCACTCGTTTAAAAAACAAGCTTTGGGCTAACAACATTAGCAGGCACCGACAACCGTGATCTCCGATTCTCTGTACTGCGGCCTGCTGGGTCAAATCACCCATACAGTGAGCGGCATCCAAACGCGGCTCAGATCCGGAGAGCTGGATATCTAGCCGCGATAGAGGCTCTGAGCATGCTGTGTGGTGCCAAAGTCGGAGCCAGGATGTTTTGCCATCCATGGTGGCCTCATCGCGAAGGGCATATTGTGTCTACGAACTTGCTGCACTCGTGTCTGGAGGCTGTTAAGATTAAGAGAAGAGGGGCTGATGGGCTCGGTTTCTTCCGGAGCGTTCGATGGTGCGAGCTATTTGGACAGAAAGGTTGGGGGTTGCGCCGCTGTGGTTCATTATACAATGTCTGATCCAGATAAAGAGCAATTGGATATACAGAGGCGGTTGTTTGTCCTGGATGATGGTCCACTGGAAAAGAAAACATGACAACTGTGTAAGCGTGTGAATAGTATTCTTCGCAGAGAAACTTGGACAAAGTTTTGAACTTGTGCGTCTCCAGGTAAAATTACCAAGTAGATGATTTATCTAGTTGCGACCATTCAAGATCGTCTTACCCTGCAATTTGACAGTCATTTCGGAGATACAACATTGGGATTGGCTGTGTACATTGAAGATCGACATCTCTTACGTTCATGTAGGTTTGAGCTTGTATGGATGATTGGCGGTTACACAACCTCATTGGTTGCTCGTTAAAAAGATTCAACATTCTTTGCTCAGACAATATCTGTCGTGTGCCCCGAGCAGTCGGGCCAACCGCAGATATAATGGGGAGATTCTTAGACCTGTGAGACTGTTTGTCTATAGCGGCTGAAGCATAATATCGGCTTCTCCTAGTGCATATACTATCTATTAAGGAGACTTATTCGCTGGCCAATTGCATCGATTGTAACTCCGCCAGAAAAGATGACTTCAAAGCGTCAGAGGTTCCCCTTCAGAACACTAAGCTATCTAATATTTTATAAGGGCGTCGCGATAAAGAGAGTGGAGCATATCTGGAGAGAAAGTCAATGGAGAAATATCATCACATGCAGAGAATGAGTCGCCAAGATATGCTAGAGTGGAAAAGGCGTATCAACGACGACTCGAAGATGCGTGCTGCCGCACGCCGAGGCCTCGAAACGATGAACATCAAGACGATATGAGTACGAAAGCGAAAGGTTGATCAACCAAACAAGGTGACAAGGCAAGACGAGTACTACGTCGATGAGAAGGCCTTATATGCGGTAGGCTAACTTAATATATTTCCCCCTATACCATCTACGTAGTCGACCTGTCCAAGCAGTTGAGGTTTGAGGATAATTTTGCAACATTTAACCCATATTTGAGAATTTGAATTGAACTATCAGTAGAGGAGTGACTAGCCTTAACACTCAGGCGACCAGGATGCTTGGCCAATCAACTCGCAAGTTATGATCTTGCAGCATAGGCTAACCATGTTTTCAGTGATAAAGATCTAGTCTCGTCATTGTCAAGGAGTGTCGGGATTTCTTTTCTACTATAAAATAAGTTAGGAAATTTTAATGGAGAATCTGAATTTTTGGTAAAATAAAGTACTTAAATTTTCGGAATAAATAGTATAAAAATAGCGCATTATAACAATCAGGTCACTAATCCAGAACTATACTTCACATACTGCTGGCTGCAGTAAGGATATAAGATGGCATATTATTTTATGCATAACATAGAAAGTTTTACTCCTTGAACTCAACTTCCTTTCCACTTTTCATCCCTATAAGTGCGTAACTAACGGGATCTATGGTACCAGTCAACAATTGTTCATGTACACCTACCCTGGGATGCTTACCCAGCTGCTGTAAGATAACTTGTTCCCCAGGTTCGAAGTCCACATCTTGCGTACACTTAAGTTCAAAATCGGAATTTGGAGTACGATAAATAGTGATACTTTCAACTTCTCCATCAACATATTCCATTGTATCGGGCTCAATCAGTTTGCCACCAATTCGAGCAGCGACGTGTCCTCCCTCTTGTAGGGTTATAGGGTCACGGTCTAAATTTGCTCTAGGCATGATGGATGATGGAGAATCGGATGGAGAATCGCGGTTTGTTCAATAATAAAAGGGGTTCTTTAAGACTGGCAGAATGTTATTAAAATTGGAACGAATATCCTCTGCATTCCTAGCATGGAGATATATTTGGCTCGCTATACAGCAAATTGCTAGCATATTATAGAAAAGAATTAAGTGCCAGACTATATCGGTCATTATGACGTCTTTGACTCCATATATAGCTATGTTAATTAGAAGACGTAATATAAAGTCAATACCAATTCTAGATTATACCTGTTTCTGTAAATTATTAACGAAGATGATTAATTAAGTTTCATTGCCGCTAGTACCAGTTGTCTAGAGATTAGAGGCTTTAATAGGCAGCAGAAGTATCTAACTGCATATTAATTTTGAGTTCTGGGTTACGTTAGCTTGTAAAGGTTATGTTAATTTCATTCAGACAACTTCAAGAATACGTGAATGTATAGCCCAGAACCAATAAGTGTGAGGAAATCTTAACTTTAATGGATGCAATCCGTATATAGTGATAAACTAACTACAGTAAAACCTTAAAACCTCATTAATTTAAGGATGACATAATAGGTATTATCATGTTTGCATCACTAGAATCTTGTTGGTCTACAATACCACAACTCAATCGCGGCAAACGAACGTTAAAGTAATATGCTTTGTAAACAATTCAGTCTCGTGGGGATTGTCATAAAAGAAAATTCTGGTTTAAAAGAAGATATATAGGATATTTAATTTACTTCATGAGAATATATGAAGACAAATGCTACAAGCCGTATAACTAACTGCCTCCTTTGCGGCACTCTTCCCTTGGACGAATAAGTGTCAAGCTCATAAATCCAAATACAAATATGGAGACTCCATTCATTGGACCTAAGACCGAGAGGATCAAAATTATGCTTTTGAATATACGTAGAAAAAAAATCGTCAGGGTGTACTGAAAAGAGACTTCAGGATTAGGCGTGGCCTTAACGGATGGTGGAGATGGGCATCGGTTTTTCAGAACCGCCACAATTAGCAGTTGGTTCGAGCGATTCATAAGTTGGCTGAGAAGATTCCTAATGTCGATTCCAGCATGAGCAAACTTTAGCTACCCTGGGATAGAAAACTTATTCCATCAAGAAAAAGCTTAATGTTGTAGTGTGGATCATGCTATATTAGCCTGTAGGTTTCTCATTCACAGGATGGTTGGTATCTGAAAGTTCCAGCCACCCGTGGATCACACACATACAAGCTGTACATCGGTCCCCATGTTATTTTACAGCTCAATACAGTATTGGCATTGTTCAGGAATATGATTATTCCGGATCCTTCCTTAATAAAGCTTAGTTCCATCACTATGCATTACTTATAGGTTTGAAAAACTATCAAAGAGTATAAGACCCCGGGCACCATTTTTGCATCCAACTGTAAGGTGGGAGAAGACACGCAAGCTCACGCGTGAGATTTGAAAGGGGCCTGTATAAGTGAGAAGCCATTCGAAAAACATGATATCAATTGATCGCCGGATATTCAATCTGTGGTTGTGTGCTGAGCGGAAGCTAAACACGGCCCAATGGTTCCGTCTGGGGATTCCGAAAACACCTCAAAACTCCCGAAAATTCAGCGAGGGAAAGTGATGAACCAACATTTCCACCTGTAATTCCTCTAGGGAACTTTTTCTTGGAAAGCCTTGCAGACGAAGACAAACCTTTCACTCCCTTTGATCGTTTCAGGGCGCTTAGATAGCCGGGTTATATAGTCCTATTCTTCGAATCAGTCCGATGTTCACCTTGTAAACCCTGAAATTCTCAGATCAGAAAATAGCAATTAATCTTCCTCTGCTTTAAAATACAGACAATAGACAAGCATTTATCACTTCACAGATACAATAATTTACAACCCATGCAGTAACCTATCAAAGATAGTACCAGGTCGGATTATAGACAGCCTCCAGGGCCACAAGACGTCGAAATGGGTGCGATGCTCTTGGGCCTACCGTGTCTTTAGCCGGGATTATTGCAATGCCTCGAGGCATCTACTGGAGTTAAAAAAAGAATCCCTCGCGCTTCTAATTGTTAAGATCTTTTAAGAATAGTATGGACGTTTAATTCCTGTGTCTGTCTTGGCCAAGATTTATGATGCAGCTGAACAGGTCAATACATTTGCAATACTCTTTATCTAATGGCCGATCCCTTATCATACATCATGGTATCAAGCTCGTTTGCAACAGTTGCTACCCTCGTCTGCACCATTATTCTCCTTTTTGTGTCCGCGAATTCTTTGCAAACGCCACATTTAAAAGGCCCTTGTAGATCAAACTAGCTTCTCAGTCATAATACATTAGCATCGGAATTAGAAAATAATTGATCTCTTACCTCCTTGACCAACCCCGCCAGAAGATCGCACATTGTCGCAGCGTAGCCGAGAATGTAGAGATGCTAAGGCTAATTTTTCAGCCGGGGGAGCAGCGCTTCTGAAAACTGCCACAGAAGCGACGAGTCCTGCGTATGGAACGCAGCCCCGGTATAAAAAGTATTCCGGTGGCCCTGAAGCGCGTACAGTTTCGTGTAAAATCCAGATTTGATCTCATCGGTCGACACAGTCAACTCGAATGGTGCATGGCTTTTGAAAGCCACAAACTTCGGCTCCTCTTCTGAAGTTGCAATCCCAGTTTTCTGGAGTCGTTTAATGGAGGCGATGATGTCGGCTTTGATAACCTCGTCCGGTAGGCCAATGGGGCTGCCATACTTGACATCATACAGACCAGGAATGGCTGTCGCAGATATTCCGTAGAGTCCAGGGAGCTGAGGCAGGTTGTACGGTGTGTCGGGATCGATATTCTGGATGCTGGTTATGTTCTTCAGACCTGTGGAGCGGACCAAGCCTGTATAGTACCCTGTGTTGACAAACTTACTAAAGAGATGGCGCTCTCTCTCATCGAGGTCGAAGCTATGCAGATTTTCCAGTTTAGGGGGAATTGAGATCAATAGCTTTCCCGCATGAATTGTCTTAGTGCCTGAGGGCCCGCTAACAATGACCTTGAGGTGATTATCAGCGCTCCGGTCGGTGCTGATTACTTTACTCTGTAAGAGCACATCGGACCCCAGCACTTGTTGAGCTTTGTCATAAATTTTGTGATTGTCGTTGCCGACAGTGTCCAGAAAACCGACTTGGAGATTATGCAGGACATCCAGGCCAAAGTTCTTAAAGACGTACAATGTCTGCAAGTTGAGAATGTCTCCGAGCCCTTGGCCGAAAGAGGCAACAGTAGGAACCGCATCACCAAGATTATACTTCGCTACAAAGTCCCCGAAAGGCATCAGCAGGTCATTAGGCACTAGGTTCGGCAGGTAAAAGCCAGCCTCCAGTTCGGGATACTTGGCTGCTTGTAGGCCGTATGCGATGAGAGCATTGGTTGGGTCGGGAGGGATGTAGGTAGGGACGGCTTCGCCGGTCTTGATGTCAACGAACGATGACGCTGACGATAGAGTTGATGCTTTTTTAAAAGCCACGCCGAGGCGATTGAAGTAAGTTTTGACAATATCCAGGTCATGAAAGATTATCACACCGTAATCAACCGTCAAGTTTGTTGCCGGGTCGATATACGTATTAGTATGCCCCCCCAGGGCGTCTTCCTTTTCGACAACGACAACACTCTTTCCAGCATCATGCAGTTGTATTGCAGTGTAGGTTCCCGACGAGCCGCCACCGATGATGCATACATCCCGGGTGATTATTTCCTGCTCATCTTCAGAAGATATAGCCACAGCTACTCCAACAACGATGAGAAGGAGGACACTCTTGACGAAGGAAACCATGTTCTCATTGGCAACTCGAAATTTTAAACTATGAAAAGCTCGGAGCAGATGAAGACAAAAACAGGTCTGGTTAGCAACGTGTGGTCCTTACTACCTGGCCGATAGACGGTGGTATGCATCTATACATACCATGCGCACTAGACGCTGTTTATGTCTGGCACAAGCCAGGGCTGAATGCAGAGTCTTCCAAAGAATGTTGGAATCCGGCATAATAAGTGCACTTGGGGATACCATCGTCAATGATTGTTGCAAGGCTTAGAGTTCCTAGAGGAATTAGGTCATACGAGTAAAGGAATAGTTACTTTTCTTCTCCTGAAAATGACCTATATGAACACACATACGACATTACCATATCAATATTATTCTGCGAACCCGACAAATCCGCTAATCCATAATATAACCAACCGGGCCATGCATACACCAACTAATAACAAAAGGTTCCGCTTCGCTCAGGAAGCGGGGTTACTATGCAATCAAAGCCATATGTACTTGTTATTTCGCTCATCACTAAGTCAGGTAGAGAAGCCGCAACTAGGGGTCGTAGTAGTCATCGAATATTAGAATAAGAAGTCTTTGGCTCGTCCCCGAAGGGCTACCATCTTGGGCTGGTACGTATTCAAGCTAAGAAGTAATGGTCGTGAATGATTGATTCTTCTCTCCTTCCTTGTCTACAAGCTAGTCTATTACACCTCTATTTAACATCGGATGGCAAGGGGCTGGAATGCTTAAGGGGTTGGAATGCTTAAGGGGTTGGACATGTAACACATCCCTTGCTATCACTAGTCGAAGCCGTCAGGGTATGGGAGCCATAAAAGTCAGTGGAGACGTAATGAAATAAAGTTAGTCGAGTTAGTACTTTTAGGTGCAAATCCTCCTATCATCATGGATAGGGATTTCGCTATCTCCGGGCGCGGCCCTAGTGGGGCTCCACTGGATATGAAGGCCACAGTAAGGGAGGGAACTTACTCCATTCCTTTCATAATTACAGTCTAGACCTATCCTGCCTAGAAGGAATAGGGCGGCAGTACCTTCATGACACTTTAGTAAGGTTGAGGCAAACACCTGCCTCAACCTCTGTGACGAATCTACCAGAGGATTGGCCTAGTCTATAGGAGTTTTTCCCTCTTGCTCTCATTCACCATGTTTACATGGAGTTAAGCAAAAGCATTTGTAATTGCTAAAGAATTAAGTAAACTGTAGGTTATTTTACTGCGGTATTGCTATTAGTTTCTTGGATTGTCACTTTAATTAATAATGAGAAATAAAAGAAATGCAAACCTCCTCCATTTTCTTACAAAGAAAATTGGGCCATGGATTAATTGTCTTTTATTAATGGGGCTTGTAGTGTTTACAGTAAAACCCAAAGGAATGTCTGTCGTAATGGTTTTCGTTGGTGTAATATATATTACTAAATTTGGCTTAAATGACCTTGCCATGTGTCAGATATATATGTGTAAATATATGAGGCCTTTTCAATATTCTCCGTATTGAGGATTGTCGATATGCCTTATGTTGACCCTGTAATGAACTTGGTGGAGGAGCTTTGATGGGTAATGACTTGGCAGAGGAGGCTGCAATATAGGCTTACTAACTACATGCGAACCAATGACTAGATTAGAGGAGCATTTAATGACCGACTTCGTTGTTGTTGACTGTGTTTCTATCTCGCGTGGATAAGCGCTTCTGGCATTGGATCGGATTAACATATAGTTATCCGCCAACAACATCCTTTACAAACCCGCTTCTTCAGGATCAACTACGTCATGACTATTGCACATGATGTCCCAATATAGACTAGCTTTATTCTCGCCCCACGTTAAATCGGGGGGGATTTGAGCATGCCTTATAATGTACGAATAATCCGCATTGGTTATTTTATTTTATTTTTTTTTTTTAAGAAAAATTTAAGACTTATAGCCTTAAATCTAAAGGCTTTAATCAATCACACAAGCTCCTACTTGTAATTTTTTGTCCATTGTGGCTTCTCCCAATCTTTCGTGCTGCAGGGACATACGATTAAAGACTATTGGATTAGGCTGGGTTGGCCAACTAGAGGCGTTTAAATGTAGAATTATTGAATTTAGTCACAAGAAGATTTCTAAGGTAGAATAGAAGAAAAGTATATTCTTAGGCCTTTATAGGTTAACTTTATAAGTTAACTTTGCATAGACTAATGGCTGATTTAAAATAATGAAGTGCAAGGGATAAAGCAGATCCATACTGCTCCCGATCACCCAACAACACCTTTCGAAGAATGATTGAAGACTCATGGTGCTTGCCAGCGAGCAGAACTTGTAGATGGGAGGCTTATTTTGGGGTTTCCAGGTTAAGCTTCTACCCCGTAAACCCCGCCATGAAGATCCTCTACTCGGCCCAAGCGACCCACCACCATCCGGGTATTGGAAGCATATTTCCCTTGGTATGGATGTGTTCTAGAACTCCGCGACAAGTTTATCTATTCTTGTAGGCCCTATGACTTGTTGGGATATCTATAAGTGGAGCCCAAGGCCCATGGCTCCATTTATTGTTCAATCACCAGAAACTTTTTGTCATGAGCAATTCTAAACTCTCCCGAGGAAATGTTTCCCCACTATAATTAATTTAATATAAAACATGATATTCTACTATATTATACCTTCTTTTGTTCACTAATCACTGAGTGATAATACTCTAAATCACGTACAGCAGCGGTAACATGAGACGAGGTGCTTTTTTGCTTATTAGCCTGTGGCAACTAGCCGCCCTTTTTAAAGTGGCTAGCGCGCAAACAGCTGTGGACGGTAATCTACTTGGAGAACTGTCACCATGTGCAGTAAGGATATAATCTCAGTGACTATAGACCTTGTCAATAATTAACCCAGTATTATAGTTACAATGTTTGCAGGAGACTGTCCCAGAAGTGTCTTGTAACCTTACTGATATTCCTTGTCAATGCGCGAGTGGCAAACTTGTTAACCTTCTATCAAACTGCATGATTGCGAACTGTACTATGGAAGAGTCACTTAGTAGGTAAAATCCATATTCTTCGAGACCTTTTAACGCCACTAACCGTTTTCCTCTAGCGCTGGTTAAAGTCGATGCCGTACAATGTAATCGGCCTCTGAATAACCACCATAGTCTGGTTGTAGGATTTGCAATTGCGACACCGGTTGTAACGTTTATGATGATATTCCTGCGTGTTATATCCAGGTTATGGATAGTCCACAGACTATGGTGGGATGACTGCATGCATATTATTGCAGGGGTAAGCTCAATCCGTTGCACTGATAAATATTTCTCCTATTCTTTGGCCAGAACTTTTAGACTGACCATGGAGCTTGCTATTAAAGGGATTTGCAATACCTTTAACAGTTTTTGCGAACCTTTGTTAGTGCTTCCTGTAATCGACTGACAATGGCATTGTCTAACTTCCTAACTTAAAGGCTCAAATCATGGCTTTGGATACCATGTCTATGATATTAACTTCAGATCAATTTCCGAAGTATCGCGCCTGCTTTTCTGGTGTAAGTTCTCAACAGTCTTATGCGAAAACTTCTTTATAAAGCTAACTAGGTATTGTTTAGGGTATCTCTGCATAGTATTCTGGCCTTGTACAATCTTCTTTATTAAGATGTCTATTCTCTTTCTTTATCTCCGTGTCTTTCCAATTCGCACTTTCAGGGTGATCGTTTATATCTCCATGGGCCTCTTAACTGCCTCTTTTCTAGTCGTTGAACTAATGGCCATCTTCCAATGCAATCCGGTCCAAGCCACCTGGGACTATAATATCAAAGATGCGCATTGTTTAAGCATATCGAACATCGCGTACGCCAATGCTGCTGTTAATATAGCAACAGAAATTATGATATTTATTCTCCCCCTGCCCGTGCTTAGGACATTGCAAATCTCCAGACAAAAGAAGATAGCACTCTTCAGTATATTTGGCCTCGGTGCAATGTAAGACCGTCCGTTCCTAATACAGGGATAAAGTTATTTACTAAACAGGAAATAGTGTTATTGGAATCGCTGCGGCACGTCTGGGCACACTGTCCAAAGTGGGAACGTACAACGATCCCACTTACACTCAAATCCCTGTTTACGTCCTCAGCTGCGCGGAAACAGGGGTGGGTCATATCTGCGCCGCTGCGCCAGCATTGTACCAATCTGTTGTTCGGATTAAGCGCAGTGCATTTCCAACAACCCAGTCTGATACTATTATTGTAGAGAAGAGACTTCCGGGGAAAGGCTCTCCTCCGAATTCCTCTTCCTCACCTGCTCGTCAACAAATAAATGACAGAATCTATCCGCAGTCGATGAATTTGTCTGACTTGGCGATTATGGGTCGTAGTGGGACATCCGACATTCCGGATACCGAATATACTCCGCCTTTTTTTTCTCATCCAGATGCTAGACATTAATTATCGTCAGGCCAACCGAGAGTCCCCTTGCAGGCTAAGTTGAAATTGCGCCATTGGCACTACTATCGAGCCTCATCTCTAACTGGATACTATTACTACTCGTGCTTCAATTCAATCCAGCCCTGGACACCAGTGTCCGGAAACCCCATATCCATTCCCAGCAACCCAATTTAAGGCTATTGAGCAAAAAGGATTTCCAACATGGTCGACTCGGGCAGGTGTTTTGCCTGGAAATTTTTATAATTTATTAGAAAAATACTTCGGGAAGTATACTTTTATTTTACTTTTATTTGTTTCTTTGGATACAATTGGTGCCAACCAAGAAGTAACTACATTTAAAATAGCTGCCACCGTATTTTGAAAGCTCGGATTCTGTCAAACATCTGACGTCTGTTTCGACTATTTTTCATCCACATTTCCTTCAGCTAGTCAGCCGAAATTCGCCGATACAGCCTTAAGCAGAACATTAAACAGCAATCCTAGAACAGTTAACATACATGCTCCATATATTCACGCAGTAGACGTTGGTTGAGACCATACTTAAAAAGGGAACCTCAACTTGGATTTCACAGGCAGCAGAATCGGTATCAAAACACCACCTCGATTCTGCGTTTCACACTCTTCTCCTGGGCGCAAATCTCGCAATATTTAGTTATTCTATTTTCAATTTTATGCAATATTCCTAATCGTTTCGCGATCCTGCGCACCCTGCGCTCGCCAGGGTGTTCAAATCGTTAGTGCATTAAATCCCAATCTGGTCCGTTTTCTTGCGCCAAAAATACAGACATGCGATTACTTCTAACATTGTTAGTTAGAAGAGTATCTGCCGATTTAACCCATTTTAAATAGCCCATGCGACTTTATTAAAACCAGTCGCCAATATCTTTCGATCCTTTCGAAAAATCGATATCCCTTCACAGTATGCTCATTGAAAATCCCATCTTTATACAGCATCTATGTAGATAAAATGTTCCCTCTTAATCCAGGTACGTACAAGACGTCTCTAATCCGCGCACATGAGTCACCTAGGGCTATCTGTACGATTGATTTACCAGTGATTATTTAACTATTTCCGGCAGTTCCGAGCTTTCCTTTATAATCCAATCCAGTCTTTCGAATTGTCTAATATCGCCCGTGCAATGAATACTTGTGCCGCTGTCAATAATCCAACATCATTTAGCCTCCCTAGGCCTAACCTGCCTAACTATATCGCAGGCTCGAACTCACGAGCTAACTCATCCCCAGCATTATTCCCGCATATATCATGCCTCTAAATTTACAGCTCAGTCCCATATCGTGGATTCTCTTGTAGCAACCAATTCCACAAGCTTTCCGGCAGACAGAGAATGACGGGCCCCCATAACCTTTTGCTGGCAGTAATAGCAATAATGCTCAGAGCTCCCGAGTAGATTCTATTACCAAGACCCCAATACTACTGAAGGTCAAGAAGGAAGGTTGGAATTTCTTTCAGGAGCTCCGTTATTTACCTGATATTATATCCATAATCCTGGGTCGTAGACATCAGATTTGTGGAGTCGTGTTTGAATTTCTACGCAGAAAGGCAGCGCATCAACCCGCAACTGATACATTGGAAATTAAGCAAATTTAACTATATAAAAAGTGGCAGCTGATTAAAAGGAATTATAATATGCTAGAAAGCAATGCTTTGTCTTATAATTATTTAGAGAAACTTTGAACATCTGAAGTAACAGAAGCAGGTAGGAAGGATAGTGAAAACCCCGAGCAGGACAGTCTTATTTAGTATACTCCACCCAGTTACGAAATTAGGGTGCTATTATATATACTATAAGGAGTAATATAAATAAGTATCTATATATTTCTACTTATAGATAGTTGAGTTTATTCTGTTTGTTCAAGAAATCAGGAAAATTATATGAAAAAGTGGCGGCTCGGTGGTTGAATACGTTAGCGGTCTCCGGCCACCCTTTGAATAAGACAAGCAATCGCTTCCAACATCATCGATGGCGAATCGGGGCAATAGGGACAATAGGGACAATAGGGACAATAGGGACAATAGGGACAATAGGGACAATAGGGACAATAGGGACAATAGGGACAATGGGGAGAAAAGGGACAATAGGGACAATAAGGACAATAGGGAGGTCACACGTGCTCCAACCCTTTACATTATCCCAAAGATTACTAGTTATAGAAGCAATCACTTTACTTTGGTCTGGTACGTGGATCCATAAATAGATCCATATCCAGAAGACAAATCCCCAAATCCATACATGGATGTGGATCTGGTAAATTAGATATTTGTTTACATATTCAATCCATATCCTTTGGGGAGCCTTAACCGGACTAGATTTATCCTCTACCACACCTCCCTTTAACGCTCACGTCCATAGGCCTCTCCTTCTGCCTTGATTTCTTTGCACTGGCAGACTAGTGTCCGATCTCGTTCTCCTTGGCGACTTCAGCATCCCTGATCACCCCCTTCTCTCGCTATCCCTTTGTTCCCGCCCGTTGTGCCCGTGTCGCAGCCCGCCGTTCCCACCACCGTCTCCATCCACAGCGCGGCTGCCACCCCCGTCACCATCGTCAACTGGAGCACTCCCTTCGACCCCGGAAGAACCCCGGCACGGCCGTCCTTGGGGTCTCCGAAGTGCGCGATATGACCACCAACGATCCATCCCTCCAGACATCATCAAAATATCCCGTCGATTCCCTCCATCGATGGACGACATCGTGGAGATCGCGGCGGGAAAGTCCATCGAGACCATGGTAAATGTACCCAGTGGAGAACTGGTCGGAGGGAAGGAAAGCACAGTGAAGGTAAAGGGGATATGGCATGCCGTGTGGTAAATGTCTTGCACCGAGGTATCGGGGCTAAGTTGGGGCATTTCGGGGATGTACGAGAGGGGAATTCGTGTCCGACGCGATTCGCCTGACTTGAAGCGTTTCATCATCTCACTGTCTACAGAGGACTCGAGGTAGTAACGAATAGCAAATGAATATTTCATTGACGATCTCATCCTAGCGGAATCTGACCCACTGATCTCCTTCAGGTCAGAGTAAGATTTGATCACCCGTCTCCACCTGATGGATACGAGCGATAAAAATAATCCGATGGCCGCACGGCGGGGCCATATGCATCGTCCTCGTTTCAAGGCTATATATGCAAGTTATATTCCGTGGATGCCAATGCAGATCATAATCTACAAGGCAGGTCCGCGACTGATGAAATCGTCCGATCATCACTGCACAGGATCGATCACCAGGGCCCTTTTCCCTGCCGGAATTTTTCTCTCCTCACCATCCTCAGCTCGACTCGTATTATACCCGAGTTCATCTCGAGTTCAACATGGGGGCTGTTCATGGCAGAAGTATAAGAACGAGGTCGTTGCTGCCTCAGACCGATCAACAACACACCACTCGATCAACCAAGTCCACCAGATACGATAACAATCCCACTCTCAAACCCTCATAATGAAGGTCGCTGCTCTTGTCTCTCTTTTCGCTCTGGCTTCGGCCCTCCCCTCCCTTGAACGTCGTGGCATCAACGACGCTGCTGTTGAACTCATCGGCGAACTGGAGGGTTTCCGCCCCGACTTCTACTACATTAACGGCCACAAGACCGTCGGTGAGCATCATCTCGAGCCTCCCTCAAGAACCGCAATCGCATCGGACTAACAAAATCAGGGTATGGCCATGACTGCGTCGCCAAGCAGGACTGCGGTAGCATCAAGACACCGATCAGCAAGGCCGAAGGGGCCGCACTGCTGAAGAAGGACCTTGCCGGATACGAGAAGTGCGTCTGCAAAATGCAGAATGCCAAGGAGCTGAATGCCAACCAGTATGGCGCGCTGGTCAGCTTCGCGTACAACTCGGGCTGCGGCGGCGTGCAGTCCTGGTGGCATGGGGCGATGGCGAAGAAGAATTTCAAGGGAATCTGCGAGGCCTTGCCCACGACCAACACCCTGAATGGATTGTTGACCAACCGTCGGAAGAAGGAGGGTGCGTTTTGCAGCAAGCCGACCGACAAGCTGTCGGGCTGTTAGATTGGGAAATCTCCACAGCTGCGGACGATCACCGCTTGTTTGCCTTTTTCTGTTTGCCTTTGTGGTTGTTGAGTGTAGTTGATAGGATAAGAATAGGATAAGAATAAGATCAATGATATTGGTATCGCCGTATATCCACGTTTAGGCACTCCGGTAGAAAGAGCCTGTTAAATTCTCAGTAGTAAAATATTGGGAATGCTCAACACAAAGTTCCAATGGACGATATCACTGAGCACGCTGAGTCCCCTAGGGACACACTGCGACTAGCTGAGCCTCGAAAATATGGACTGAAGGACAAAAACTAGCAAATGATTTGTTACTAACAAAGACAAGAACCGGCCTTCAAAGAAGCCATGAATGAAGTTCGAACTTCAGGCCTCCTCTTAGTGATTCCTAGTAAGAAGGGAGAAGAAAAAAAAGGAGCGATACATAAAGCCTGTCATAATCCCACGTATTTCTTACATTTTCCATTTAATTGGATTAAACTCCCTGTCTCGCAATTGCAAATGCCTCAAGATAGCATCAATGAGACACTTAGTAGCCGTTCGCAGAAAGCTCTAGAACTCCTGCCCTTGAGAGGTCTACAACTTAGGCAAAATTAATCCATTCCTGTAAGTTGCCTCCCTTAAATATTTTCCACCTCTTGACTGGAAGTGTGTCGAGGGTTATAGATATTTGCAGCCCAGTCTCTTTCGAACCTCACGCTCAAGAGCACTAAGTAATGTGTTGTCTCATCAACACATCCGCCGGCCGCCTCCCAGTAGCCGGCCTTACTATCACCAGGTGCACGCTTAAGGACACAAGCCGATGGGGGTCTGTTTCGTACACGAATCGGCGTGTTTCTCTGGCTGAAAGCCGTGAACTGACTTCATGAATATAACAGCATCTACCCTGACGGAATAGACAGTGCCATGGAAGTTGAATCGATGATATGAATCAGCGAGGCTGAACTCGTATAGTTCTGTCTTACAATCGAGGTCAAAGCGCTCATCCTGATGATCTACCTATTCAGTTACGTTGAGCACTGTCGACTCAGGATTATCCCTGTGCTTCAAACGATAATTTTGAAATTCAGCAGCGGTAAATTGAGCGGAAGGGACCTTATTAGCGAATGCTACCGACATATTAACGACGTCCCCCAGCACGCGATCGGGAGAAGCTGGCCCAGATAAAGAGGGGCGGAAAGCATAATTCCATTTGGCCTCTGCTCGACATTATTAGTCTCGATTCCCACCGTAGGCTTACAATCTAAAATCTTTTTAGTTCTGCCTTCTTTCTCTGTTTCCGCTCAGGTTTCATACTTTCTCGGTTTGTCTGGAGGTCTATCTAAATATACCTTTTGATTTAGGGTTTATTTGTCTACCTTTCTCTACCTAGTTTTGAAACGAGGGACGGTGCTTTTGGCCCCTTGTGTGACTATCATGACTATTTGTATCCCTCGTATCCGTCCGATGGAGACGGCTCAAATACAGGGGTCGATTAATTCTTGGTGTGACCAATATGACGAGTGGGTCAGATTCGGCTGGGAGTCAAAATATTCAATATAGTAACTCGAATCTGGTTGGACACGAATTCCAAATCGCATCCTCGAAATGTTCCAACTTCACCTCTGACACCTCGTTGCGAGACATTTACCTCACGGCACGCCAGATCCCCTTCGCCTGCACGTGTATTCCTTTCGACCGACCAGTCCTCCACTGGGTAGAATTACCACAGTCTCGATGGACTTTCCGGCGGGATCTCCAGGATGGTCCAGCGATGGAGGCAATCAACGGGATATTTTGATAATGTCTGGAGGGATGGGTCGTTGGTGGTCATATCGCGCACTTCGGAGACCACAAGGACGGTCATGCCGGAGTCCAAGGGAGTGTTCTCCAGTTGACGACGGCGACGGGGGTCACAGCCACGTTGTAGATGGAGACGGTGATGGCAATAGCGGGGTGCGAAAGCCTAGCGCGGGCGGGAACAGCGCCACCGCCAGAGGGGTCGTTAGGGATGCGGAAGTCGCCGGAGAACAATATAAACAATATAACTAGTCTGCTCAGACCAGTGAGGAGGAATCCATGCAGAGAGGAAATGAATTGTTTCTATGATAAGGGAGAGAGCCAGAGGCTGTTACCATGAAGTCGAGCACCCAGGCATCGCAACGGCGGATTTCAAGGTGCCCGTTCAGTGGACAGCCCTGTGTGGCGCACTGAGGTTGCATTCCGCAGGCGTATCAACGTCGGCAGATTAAATTCTATTAATTGCCTTGGAACTTGCTTCGCTTGTCCACAATGGATTGATAATTGATAGGTAAGTAATAATTTCACAATCCACAATGCCTCACCTTCTCCTATTCAAAGTCCGTGGAGATCGTGGCAGTGAATTTACCGTTCACATATCTAAGTCATAGCTCTTACCAGCAGCAAACACCGCCGGTTAAAGCCCTGGTGGTGCTTTTATCACCACTTCTTAGATGTGACTTCATGGTGCCGACTTATTGGTCTTGAGAGTCTTAACAGTACTAATCAATGCCACGAGATGTACTTACCCATCACCAACTGCAGCGGAATTCCTCTGGACCAAGCATGCAGCATTGGTCACTATGCCGAAGCATTTCTGAACAACCACATGCTACTTTATGTTCTGGTGCTACCAGCAGTGTTAAGGGCCGAGTCGCATGGGAGTCTCCATCACTGAATAGTGCTCGCTTTCGATTTTATTAATATGGGATAACTACTAGCAGTCCTGGCTATATAAGCTGCTTTAATCCCTTCCCAAGTCGCTCGTCTTAATCCTCTTTTTACCATCCTCATCCTCAACAGCTCCTCTCAATCCATCTCCATCATGCGTTTCACCTCTGCTCTGCTGGCCCTGGTGCCCGGCCTCATGGCTACCCCCATCGATGTACGCAGCGATTCCGGTCTGGACGTGGCTCTTAGCCAGGTGGCCAACACGCGCATCAAGGCCGTGGTCAAGAACGTCGGCAAGGAGGAGGCTACCTTTGTACATCTTAACTTCTTTAGTGATGCTGCTCCCGTCCAGAAGGTGGCTGTGTTCCGCAACAGTACGCCTCACACATTCCATCCCCACGCTCCCTTGCATCCACTAACCTCTACAGACACCGAGGTTGAATTCCAGGGCATCCGACAGCGCGTCAAGACCCACGACCTGTCCGAGGACGCGTTGACTACCCTGGCCCCCGGTGCCACCTTCGAGGATGAATTCGACATCGCTTCCACCTGCAACCTGGCCGATGGAGGCAACATTACCATAAGCTCTTCCGGCTTCGTGCCCACCACCAAGGACCGCAACGTTAACGGATATCTCCCCTACACCTCCAACAAGCTTACTATTAATGTCGACGGTGCCAAGGCTGCTTTGGTACCCAAGGCTGTCAAGCCTCTGAACCGTCGCACCGTGCTAACGGGCTGCTCTGGATATCGTCTGTCGACGCTGGAGACAGCACTGAGAAATACTGTCTTGCTGGCTGATGCCTCCGCCGAGGCTGCCACCTCGGGTTCTGCGTCGCGCTTCCAGGAATATTTTAAGACAACCTCCAGCCGGACGCGCAGTATTGTGGCGGCACGGTTAAGAGCTGTCGCCAACGAGGCAAGCTCGACTTCATCCGGTCGCACCACGTACTATTGCACCGATCCGTACGGGTACTGTGGCTCGAATGTGCTGGCATACACTGTGCCCTCTTCCAATACTATCGCCAACTGCGACATCTACTACACCAACCTTCCGGCGTTGACAGGCACTTGCCATGCTCAGGACCAGGCTACTACTACGCTGCACGAGTTTACCCACGCTCCGGGTGTCTACAGCCCCGGCACCGATGACTACGCCTATGGATACGAGGCCATCATGGCTCTGAGTGCCAGGCAAGCCTTGCTCAACGCAGATACTTATTCGCTGTTTGCCAATGGTAAGTTGTCTTGCTTCTTTCATATGTGATGGGATCTGACTCTGGTAGCTGTGTTCCTGAACTGCTAGAATCGGATACGAAATCATAATGGAGAGAATATAAGCGGATGATCGTAGATGCAAGGCTGAACTCGCTAGGTAGAAGTTAGGAAGCTCAATGCGGAGCTGATCAACATACGAGTTCCCTTATCTCCTTACCTGTATCTAACAATGTAAGAACAATTGATACATGCGTCTGGAAGGGGAAATGCCGGATATATCCATATCACTGTGAAGATTTGGTCAATCCTCGACAATCCATCCCAAGAGCTATTGATCATCCAGGGAGTGACAGGAGCACGCGGAACCGGTTTCTTAATCTAACATCGACTCCCACAACTCTCCGGGTCTACATAGCTTCCGCTGCTTGACCTCAACAATTCCTTTTTCCTTCGGGTTTGCTTTGTAGGCTCGCGTGCTTGGCCGTCGTTAATGAAAGACGCCATTGCAAACAGAACCATGGCTAGCGCTGTCCATTCAATCTCTCTTCGCTATGGAGTCATCGGTTGGATCCCCTCGTGGGTTCAATACAATTCTGATGAAGTAAACCTGAATGAAACAGGAGTAGCACGGCCGTATCAATGGCTCTCTAAGAATGACCGTCCGTCAGAATTCAATCTGAGACCTGCACCTAGCACAAATATTTGTAACTACTGTCTTAGTGTTTGCGCTATCCACTTTGGAAGTCATTTTATAGGTTCTGTACATCTTTCCGACGTCAAAATTATTGAAGCGGAAGAATAGGAACCTTCTCTACTTATAACAATCATACATAGCAGTGTGTATTAGAATGAGACGTCGTTAGAACTTCACGCTGTTTTTATCAGAACTCTGTCCAGAGAATTAGACCCCCCAAGTTAACGGTCTTCGGATATATCAATACAGAGCCATTTAGTGTTTCCAGCTTGAATAACTGAATAAACTAATACAAAGCTATTTAGTAGGAACAGATCTATTTAATATAAATAGAGCCACTAAGTACGTACAGAGCCATTGATTGCAATATCTAAACTATTGAGTACAATATTGAAGCCACGGCCATTAGGCGCCCTTGGGAGCAAGTCTCTAACTATTAAGGACCTATATCGGGAGATTACTAGATTTGGAAATCAGATTATATTTAGAGGTACAAGGCCTAGCGCTGTGTTTGGCGTGTTTCCAGGCTTCCTGATCAACTCGAAATACTATTATTCTTATTCTTATACATAGGGCCAGCACTAAAACTGATACAGATAAACCAATCAATCAATCAACGATAGAGTATTTATATATTGACCACCAGTTTAAACTAACTTAACAAGTTTATAAAGCATTCCCACAATATCCAAAATTTTCCTTTAGATACTTATCTTTATGGCTTAAGTATTCAACTCGTCAATAAAGGTTTGCAAGATTAACCACCTTTGAAGCCGTGCTTAACCCCTAAGAAAGAATCGGCCCTAAACGATTTACTCATAGTACACCATACTATCGATAAGAAAGCCGATAATAATCATACCGATGGAGACAATCAGAAAGAAAGCCAACGCCACACCGGCAGCAAGTATCTTGCCCTGGCGTTGGTCGGCGCGAACTATCTCCGAATATCGCTGCTCGGTAAAGCTGATCCGTGAATGCATGGTCTGCCACCCTAGCTGCGGCACATGTCGTTGCAGGCTGTCTTCGATATATTTTCTGGTTCTGTAAATCGGAGTATTTACCCCTTGCCTAATCTCAAAATAGGCGCGCTCCGCTACATTATGGATTGTATGCACATCATGCACGCGCTCTGCCGTGTATGCCTGGAACGCCAGTGATCGGGCCTCGTTCCGAGCCTGTGGGTCTGATGCGGCATACACGCCTTTCTTTTCTAGCATATTGAAGAGGACCCGGACATCTTCCATGCCTGCATTCAGACCCTGCCCGTAGAATGGGAGGATGGCATGTGCCGCATCGCCGATAATCACGGCACTGGACCCGAAATGGTGCGGATTGCATTTGACCGTGACGAGTGGCAGGTGGGGATTCTCGTGGAATTGGGTCTTGAGAGACTCCCTGGAGATTCTGTGGGGACAGATTCCGGGGAAGTAGGTGTCGAAGAAATCGAACAGCTTCGCGCGTGGTGAGCTTTTTATGAAATCTAGGCGTGCAGACGGGCCGAACAAGGTGCAGTTGAACGATTTGTCCGGACATGGAAACCCGACAAGCGTGAAGTCCCCACTGGGCCAGATATGGACCTGACCGGGGGACAAGCTAAAGTGACCATCTGCAGACGGTGGTATTCGCAGCTCGCACCACCTAGTGTCAACATACTTTTGTTCGTAATCTGTATAGGCGTATTTCATCATATGATATCGAACTGCGGAATGGACTCCATCTGCACCGATTAAGAAATCGAAGTTGACCTCTACCTCTGGTGAGGATGGTTCTTGTTGTTTGAACCAAGCTTTGCGAGCACAGAAGTTGGCTCTGACAAATCTGTGGTTGAAGTGGATCTTGATGTTTGGGGTCTCTTCGAGTGCCTTACGGAGAGCTTTATTTAGTGCCATACGTTCCACTGAATACACGGTGTTCCCATTGATATCGTATGGGTGGAAAGACTCCTGGAGCCTTCCCGAGGCACTTTTTCCATGTATCATTCTACCATTCATGGGGATAGCTGCTTGCGCGACGGCATCGACGAAACCCTTGTGCTTGGACTGTCGCATTGCTCTAAGACCGCGTTCTGACAAAGTGAAGTTGATCGATTTTCGAAACATTGGAGAATGACAAGATGGGTTCTGGACGTCATCTATAGACAGAATAGTGAGTAATCTCGAATTGTAACTACCTATCGATGTCCTACCAGGGCGAATGTCGTAAATTTCCACGTTGTCATGGTGCGAGGCTGCATACAGTGCCGCCAAAGAGCCTACAGGCCCAGCGCCCACTACAACTACACTTTGCATCCCAGGCTTCAGGCCGGTTGCCATGGCTTTGCGCGGGCAAGACACCTAGAAGCAACCAATATGTGTGCTCAGGGATGAGCGATTGTTAAAACCAAACTAGAGTGAATAGTACACCAGCAAGTTTCAAAAGTCCAGGATTTGAGGACGTTGGGACTAATATATTTGTAAATAGGAGGGATCGTTTTAAATGATGATTCTTATCTTCTCAAACCTATGATTGGGGAGGGTTCTTGCAATCTGGTTTTAAAAAGCCCGCAAAATTATAGAGGGCTGTCCCAAGAGCCCTCCGCTCTCCCCTGTACCAGTCAAGGCATGCGCCCTTACTGGCCAACGCGACATAAAGGTAGTAGAAGGGTAGTATTGGCAGAAGCTTATTCTCCTACGGCAAGATCCACATACTGCTTCGTGGTTACATCTCAACTGTAGAAATTTCAGGGAATGTAGGCGGAATTCAACTCCGGAATCGGAAAGATTGGGTCAATGACGCGACCAATTGAAAAGCTCCATCAACAGCCGAACAGACCTTATATAAATATATAACCAGATGTAGGCGTGGCAGAGTAGATAGCTTAACCGAATTTTTAAATGTTAATATGAATTTTACACATCAAATTATCTGCAATGGCTGAATTACTCGCTTCTCTAGATCATTACGATATATCTCCTGAGGCGGGTTTTCTACCATCCGTGCCACCACTGGAGAGGTTGCCAGATCCGTACTATGAACCCTGGGAAACAACTGTCACCAACTTGCCCAGGTTCATTTCGGACAGGTCTTTACGACAGCGGGTCCATCAGATGCCCATCCTCTCTACTGAACTTTTGCTCACAGAAGAAGAAAGGCGCAGGGCCTATACGATTATGGGGTATTTTATCAATGGCTTTCTGTTCGGAAGTTCCCCTCCACCGAAGGTATTATTGATCCCCAGCCTCGGGGGTGGTTTCCGCTGGAGATCATGGTATCAGACGATATATACTGACACCTAACAATTCTAATAGCGGCTACCATTGAGTATTTCTCAGCCGATGATTGAACTATCAACTTATTTTGATTTGCCGCCGGTTCCCACATACGCGGGACAAGTTTTATGGAATTATCGTCGGATTGAGGACGACAACATGCCTTTACAAAAGAGAAATACCCAACCGTTAGTATCCTTCACTGGTTCCCCAGAGGAAGCAGGCTTTTTCGGGATTGTTTTGTCCATTGAGGAGTGTGGGGTTCCACTGATCTCGATATTGCTTGAGGCCATTGAGGCCACTTGTGATCATGATACGGAACAGCTTATTGCCTGCCTCCAACAGGCGACTATAACCTTGACCGATATGACCTCCATTTTACCACGCATGTACCGCGATTGTAGCCAGAGTTTCTTTTACCACAAACTCCGACCATTCCTGGATGGGACCAACAGCCTTTCCTCAGTAGGGCTCCCTAATGGGGTGTTTTTCGAAGAGCATAATGGTGGGCAATACCGTAAGCATTTTGGACCAAGCAATGCCCAGAGCTCGCTCTTTGCTTTGGTCGATATTATACTAGGCGTGAAGCATGATCAGGAATGCTCTGTGAAGGAGAACAGCGGTCAGCAGTCACCCAAGTATGCTTACCTGAAGGTAGTAGTTACCTAACCGTGCCGCCGATATCTACAGTTATGCTGAACGAAAGGTTACTGAGCAGGAAATGCGATTATATATGCCCCGAAAACACCGCGAATTTTTGGCTGAGGTGGAGCGGATGCCACATATCAAGGATTTTGTCCGGTCACAGCCGGGAGACGTTCGGCTGAATTCCACATATAAGAATTGTCTTTCTGCGCTCCTAGAGCTCCGGCGAGCACACATACGGATGGTAGCAAGATACATCGTTATCATGGCCAAGCACCAACAATCACCGATGGTGGTTAAGCCTGATTCAACACGCGGCGAAGCAACGGCAGCGGGCACAACTGGTACTGGAGGTACAAATGCAATGGAGTTTCTAAAGTCTGTTCGAGATTCTGTGGTTCAGGCGAGAGATCTTTAGATATCCTGTCTTTAACGTGAGAAATTTGCCATTCATTCCCCCGAACAATATAGGGGCATCTGAATATATTGTTCTCCAAACTTGTGTTAGTTATTCTATCTTCTCTTCCTTAAGAAATAAAAATATGGGTAATGCTGTTGAAGTAGTCATCGCTGCGAACACTGGTCAAAACACCGTTAGAGATACAAATGGACCAAATCAAAACAAACCATCTGAACCTACGAGGTATATATTGAAAGCTGGCAAGATAACTGGACCTGACAATGTTTTGTTCAGCTTGGGGTAATGTCCGCGAGAACATGACATCATCGAGAATATTCGGAATATCCTTGGTCAAAAAAAAATGTCAGCATAACCCATGGGATTTCTTCTTGAGAAAGTACACTTTAACATACCTTCCAATGCGGGGCATCCTCCAGTTGAGATGAAAGGTTTCTTCCAAATAAACCTTGGATCAAAGCTGAGCCGCATGCCGAACCACTGATTACCCCAAGCTGCTGGCTGAGATAGAAGGTTCCGATGCAGGAGGAAATGCAGTTCTCTGGGGAGCTTTGGGACATTCCAATAAACAGAGCGGAAAACAGAATCCCCGGCGCGAGCCCTACAAGGAAGAGTATGGAGGATTTCCAGGACCCATAACCATCCCTCCAGGTGATGAAGATGAGCAAGAAAGATAGAATAGTAACAATGAATGATAAGACGGCCATCGTCTTATATCGTTCCATGCTGTTCAGTTGACTATGAGTCAATAGCCTACAAAGAGATTCCCGGAGGAAACGCACCGTTTAATGGTAACACCAGCAATGACGCCTCCCACTAGTACACCCGCAGCGACCTGGATGTACATTACAGAGAAAGAGTTACCAGCTCCCTCGACACGGATAGAATATGGAATGATATTGATCACGAATTGAAACGTCAATCAGTACCCAAATAACCCTAGGCCAACAGGAACATACAGCTGTTCGACCAGAATGTAACAAAACGTGGACGAGACAGTACAGTCCCAGCTCCTCAAGCAACAATGGTACAGGGATTATAGGATTTCGTGCCCAGAAGAGTTCGGTTATAATGAAGGCCACAAGAGAAATAAGAAGACCTAGACATAGAGCCCATATTTGAAGAACTTGGTCTTCTGCCTTTATTCCTGTCGCTCGAAGCAAGATTAAGAATAAGAGAATAGTCACTGAAAACGTGATAATTCCAGCAAAGTCGATATCACGAAGGCGCGAGGTACTTGGTACGTCTTCATCCGACGGTTCTCTTTGGCATTCGCCCGGGAAACCCGGCAACGCATAGATTCCGACAAGGGTGTAGAAAAGGATAAACGGGACTTGACCAAAGAACGTCTAGAGGCTGAAGTTAGTTCCATATCTTCCCTTTTCTTCTTTCTTTCTTTCTTAGGGGTATACATTATCATCTCCATCCCACAGTATCTGATAGGAGACCCCCAATTGGTACTCCTAGAGTACGTCCAATAAAGGTCATCACATTCTCATAGCTTCTGTACACTGCAACCTCCCTGGATGGGACAAGATCTGTAGCATGTTAGGACATCATCAATCCACTTAGCCAGTGGCAAGGTACCTATAATAATAATTGAAACAAGGGTCACCATCCCACTAACGAAGTACTTCCCCCCCTACATGTAATCAGTTTTCCGAGGCTCAAATTATATCGACAGTCCAAGGAACTATACTTACGATGCAAAACACCCAAGCAGGAATAAGATGTATGATGTAACAAGCACATTCCTGCGACCATATAAATCACTCAGCGTTCCGCACTGTTCACACGTCAGCAGCCTGTTCCAAATGTTGAATTGACAGAAGCCACTCGCCATGGGCAGAGCAATACAATATCCAAAATTATAAGCAACCAGCAACCATGAGCCCTCCGAGAGCTGGTGGAACTCTGACGCGATGGTAGTATATGTAGATAGGACAAGAAACTCATCAGCACTTGCGATAAAGACACCTATGAATATTAACCACGAGTCTTTTTTACATTTAATTTCCAGAGCAGAACAGAACATACCAAGGAATGTTGAATAAATTGTAAATAGATCTGAACGCTTTACCTCCAGCTGGGGCATTTCGTTTGATAGCGATCTATGCAGAAGAGGCAATTCTTCACCGAAAGGGTTACTGAGCTTTGTCTGATTGACTGCATATTTGAGTAGGCTCAAAGCACTCGAAACACTAGTAGTATTCGGTCGATAAAGCTGTCCTGTTGAACCCTCCCGTGCTAGGATATAATCACGTGGACGTCTGCCAAGACGGAGTTGGTATGATGATGTAATACACTTCATCGACATTAGTTAACTAACGTAATCTGGAGAGCACTGGCAATTAAATCATCCATCTCAGAGTCTTCAGGATCGGGTCGTCGTAGTGTAGAAATTTTCTTGCTGTAGGTACGACCTTGGCAATCTCGTCCAGGTCATGATTGAATCACTGCAGGTCGTCGGGGGACAGGAAGCCCACGACGATAACACCACCATCCTCTCCTCGACAATGTTCCAAATCGCCTCGGGGTCGGTAGTTCGAGGGACCCGTTTAATCTAAGGCTTAGAAGTAAATGGAATAGTCATGTTTGTTGCAGTGTGTAGGGGAAGATGGTATGTTGTGAGGCTTGCGGTGACTAGATAGTATATGGAACTATTATCGTGTGATCTAGTATCGCACAGTGAGTATGTTTTTCTATGTTCGAGAGAGAGCGTAGACAAACGCCCCCTTATGTCTACATGTCCCTTAGCCCCTGAGTGTGATATATCAGATCGCTGCGGGACTAGGATATCCGAAGCTGCCTTAGGCATCCGATTTCCAACAATGTTAATTTGAATTTGGACTTGCAGGAAGGCTTAGATTTAAGCACAACTGCCAGATATGAGCGATCAAGATAAATCAGAGACTGCTGCATTCTGAGTAGTTGGCACCCTAGAGGAGTAAATAAAGGTCTGTCTGGGCTGGTAGCCAATTTTCGCCTCCGCAATCAACACATGCAATCATTCGACGGCCATTGCGTCCTGTTGTATGAAGACGGCGGTAACGAAAGTCCTTGGTGGTCACGTATCATACCTATAACCACGTCTCATATAACCCTGATCTACAGCTCGCCGGCTGATAGTGACAGGGATTAATGGGGAAGATACATTCCCAACAAGTGACATATCACTTAGGTAGTAACTAATGAAAGGGGACATTTCCATGAGGATCCGGGTTCACCCTTGCTAGTAAGCTCGGTCAGCCTCTTTGAACGAGACAGGAGTGATAACACAAACGCTATCTTCTCATTCATCCAGCTCAGACAAACGCAGCAGTGTTGATTGATCGGCCTTTATTATGGCATCCACCCGGTATAGGTATCAGTCGTTGGTCCAGATCGGAATTGCGACCGAGAGTCATGTATTGATTGCATGAATCTGTCAAATCATTAACGCGATATTCGTGTAACTAATCTTACCGCAATATACCAAGGTCGGGATTCAGAATTTTACGTTGTCACTCATGGCCGCGTTTTCAACGCTATATTCGACGTGCAAGTCAGAGAGATCTCGTGCGTGTATGCATCGATGTGGCTGGGATCTTGTAAATTGTCGTGGCACTGATGGTAGGTGTATCCAGTGGTAGAGAATGGCTAGTTATGACATTCGTCCTAAATGCGCAGTCATGTCTAGGTAGATGAGAAGAACAGAGACCAGAAAACTTAAGTATTCAAGATATATTTTTGGCTAGTCAGAACGAGTTTACCTAAACCTGTCCCAAGCATCATGTCCCATTTCCCCTTGTGGGACTTCGCAACGTTTGAGCACATTGTCGATCTATCAAATACGTATTACTCCATCGATCTATCTAGGACTCATCACCGGAATCCATATTCTCATAAGGGCCGCCATCCACAACCTTGCGGTCACCCGCAGTACGAATAGTAATCACAATCCGAACAGCCATATATGCCACGAAAACCACAGCCGCGACAGCCGTATACACAATCATACCATTCCGAAGCGGTCCTGGATAGCTGGCTCCAGCCCCAAGGAGCCCAAGCCCGCCATTGATTACTCCGAGGAGGATCGCACTGCGACCCAGCCACCTATGCCCATAGGCATACCAGCTCTTGCTACGTGTGCGGACGAAATGTCGATGTTGAAGCCACCCAAGCGCGGGTTGGCAGAGACTGAGAACCGCGACGGCGACAATCCCAATAATAGGATGTGCGTCTATTGGTGCGTCGCCCGCCGTCCACATCTTGACGCCCAGTCCAAGACCGGCGATTACCGCTGCCAGTGCAACGCCCTGGAGAGGCGCGTGGACTTTCATTACGGACATAGGAATAAACGCCCCCAGGGGGACCAGGATAGCGAATAGCGGAAACAGCAGAACGAATGCGATGGCCATCAGACAGCCGTGAGCGATTGCCATTTTAGACAGACTCCCAGCGTCACTTAACCCATCGGCGGGACGAACAGCGCTGAAGTCACCGTCAAGGAAAGGGTCCTGCGAGGAAGCATCGGTTCGGGTGTGGCTCAGGTCAACCAGCACGCGGCCAAAGCTGTCATGATATCCAATTCGAATGGCAATATCGTCTGTGTTCATTGGTGATCCGTCTTTGTAGGCCCAGATCCAGTGTGTGGCAGAGCTCGCCGGGTCCATTGATCCCCCCTGGCCTTTAAGACAGTTGTCACACCGAATATTTGCTGTCATGATCCCATCCTTGATTCCGGTCCCCGCGAGGAGTTTGATGCGGCTGTTTGGTTTGTATGACGGAGGCACATGGCCCACTGCCGTCCGAGGCGAGACCGTGACATTATTCAAAGTTGAAGAAGCATAGACAAGAAACATATTGGCGCCTGCCATTTGGTCACCCTGAGCGAGAGCCACCCATTCTGTTGTGGTTGGTGCTTTCAGCTGGAAGAGAAGCGACTCTGGTTCGGATGAGCTGCTCGCCGAGGACACTGTGATGGCAAAGGAGATGTCATCTCGTCCAGAGGGATGGAAAGCTGCCGGGTGAGCCCACGTGCAGGAGACTGAGAATAAATTAGCTTTTTAATTGCACTGACTGAACCGTTATTTCTGGATGTAGAACGAGATACGTACCTAAACTCGCTAACCATAGAGAGACTCTCATTTTGAAGCAACGGAGTGGAAGAGGAACACATATGCTCAGTCGCGGTGTAGGGAATAGCACTTTAGGGCACAATTATAATACAAATCTCCCATAGGACAAGATGAATATTCTCACAAATTATGGTTCGACTATTATTCTGTTATGGTCCTCCGAGCAAGTGCGCTGTGATTGACAATCACATTCCCCCTCAGGCGTGCATAATTGTGATCAGCCGTCAAGGATATCAACTCCGCCAGCCACCGACTTATCTCCCGCCTACATGGAAATATTGTCTTCTGGCTGCAATTGTGGAGCTCTTCTGCATGACATATTTGTTTTTTCTTGCAATAATTCTAGCTCGGCTGTGTGCTCCTATGACAAAAACAGAGCGCGTATTGTTCAGCTTGCTCCACTGTGGCGTAGGCGGGCAACAATCCAGCAGTAGTAGTGGTGGTGGATCTTGCATATCATGCAGGAAAAAACAATAGTAACAAACCAGAATGATCGGGACTCAATATCTCTGAGCTCATTTGGACACCTTCGCTCTCAAAATAATAAAGCATGTATGCGTAAAACAAGTACGCAATTGATACGACATACCTGATTTTCCCCCTGCCCATAAACCCCGCCCTACACCGTAAAGTCTTTTATTTTCAGCTTATACGCAATGGCTAGTAGAGGTCCAGAGAGAAGAATAAAATAACTACTGAACAGGCTCAAAAATCTGTGGGTAAGACTCCCCCTCCACCGGCCACCGAAACAGTGCATCCTTCCTCAAACAAGCCATGTCCTCCCTGCTTAAGGTTACTCCCACTCCCCATGAAGGATCGACAACACGACGCGGCTTAATAGTGCAAGTTTCATCAAGTTTCAGGGTTCCTATACGGTAGCGCCTCAAAGTCCACGACTCGCCCAGTACGGTTCCAAAGTCCTGCCTGTAGACCTGGAGTCCGCGCAGCCTCGTCAGCGCAACTTCGGGTCCATGAATTGTATAGTGGGCCCAGTCGCCGGCGTCGATGAATTACGCCAGGTGATCCCGAACATACCGGTCATCGATCTTAAATATAGAACATATTAAACACCCTGAAATTGGGGACCTGAGAATTCTATGTCACCGCAATCTAGGCTCCGGCAGATTTCTGGGCAGGAAGTCTAACAAGTTGGGAACTTTTTCAACTAACCATTGTAAGCATCATAAATCTTTAAATTAGGTTAAAGTTATAAGTTAGACCTATAGGAAACTGTTGGCTAAACAGTTTTTAACAATTTGATTCTGTCCACCCAGGATTTCTATCTCTTAGTAGTCGCTGAGATACAGGATTCCTAGAATCTTTAGAACTTTTTTCCAGAGCAAAGTCTGGTTCATGCTGACTAGTCACCCTAGTGCTAGTATTATATCTAAGGCAAATATTCTGTCAATGTGAGTCGCGTCCTCGGCATTAAGGCCAAAGCAGGTGGGGTACATCCACAGCAATGACAGCGGACGGAATCCAGGTCTGTAAATTTTTCGGATATCCTCTTACAAGTACAAATATATGTCTTCGCTGAATGGATAGCATTCTGGGCCAAAACCAGCGTGCACTTTTCTCTCCCAAGATTAGGGATAGTCAAAGTTGGCATAGACAAACAATCAAGATAACTGGTGACTTATATATAACTTACTGTAGTCAACTTGCCTGTAATTGGTCAATGAATAGTGGCCATATTCTGGTCCCTCAGCCGCACCAACTCATCAAGGAGCAAGATCATCAATATCTCAAAAAAAAAAAAAAAAAAAAGGATGTCCGGTCAAGTTATCACAAAATCCCACCCCTATAATCAGTCTGGCCGGTTTGCATCAAATCTTCTGGCGACCAGGTATTGTTTCAGAGAAAAAGACAATTAATAATTCATCTGGTTGTTTGGTATGGTCTTTGGCATGACTTCTTAGAATTTGTGCTATCATTGATTCTGGTACTTTGATTTCTCTTATAATTTAACGGTAATTTTACAAATCGTACAGTTGCATACACTAGGCCTGTAAGGAGGAGTAAATAATAAAATAGACACATAATTAGAAAATCGGCTCATAACTTCCGCGTCCCTCTATATCTATATTAGTACTCATGTGACTCCAAGAAAGATAAAATCAGGCTGAACTTCTCATATTTAACTTACGCTTCAAACTCTGTTAACAGATCTTATCATTAACTTTACCCTACTTAACTTGGGAAGAAACTGCTCTACTTTTGCCTCTTTATTCTCCCTGCCCCAATTAACGCTATAGATCCATTCAATGCGCTAGCGATTGCCGCAAGTGTGGTGCAATTCGTCGGCTTTTGGAGCTGGTTAATCTCACGGACACTTGAGATACATCGTTCGACCGATGGACTTCCTGAAGATTATGTTAATATAGCATATTTAAATAGCAAGACACTCTCCATCAACAAGGAGCTGGAAAACTCCCTTCAGGCTACTCGGACCCGACCACTGGAGTCCCATGAGGTAGAGCTCCTAGAGATGTGTAAGCAATGTCAATCAATATCTGGCCAGCTGGGTACCCCACTTGCCAAAATTCAGCAAGGATAAAAGTAGAACGCATGAAATAGACTTCGGCTTCGTCCAAAATCATCATTGATGGTAACAGAAAATGGAAACATTGCAGGGAAGACCCGATGCTTTTAGACAACAATTGGTCCTTAACATCCTTGTATTGTTGCGGCATGCATCGCATATCGACATGTGAGATATTGTGCTAAACCATTTGGTAGTTACTATGCTGTGACGAACCCAGCTGAAGCATTAGTCCTCGGCCCGGAGATGAACGAGTACAAAAGCGTGGGTACTACTTTTAGAGAGCCAGAGGTGGCAAACTAATCTAATACGCGCCATAGAGAAGACATATGCGCAAAATAAGGAATATATTGGCCTTGCTAATAAGTCGGCTCTAATTGTTGAAGCTCACGAGTGTAGTAATTCTCAGGAGTTACTACTCAGGTGCTAGGTTGACCCCATTTCCCAAATATTAAGGAACAAGAACAGAGCATTTCTAAAGCTCTCAGTCGCACATATGAGTGGAGTTATACCAACTAAAACAAAGAAAACACGATGGTCGAGCTTTCCAAACTGGCTAGAGAGTGAAACCGGAATGGATTACTGACAAGCCAGGGCTGGGAAGTCGACCCTAATGAAATTCGTCCACCGTGAGCCTCGCACGATGGAACATTTATAATACTGGTCTTCTGGCTCCCAGTTATTGTGCGGTTTATTCTTCTTCTGGAACTCTGGCACAGGAATTCAGATGACCCAGGAAGGCTTGCTTCGGTCACTGTTGTATGAAACTCTTCCAACATTGCCGAGACCTTGTGCCTACTCTCTGTCCAGCCAAATGCGAATTATTCAGCCATTTTCTACAGACGGTGGGTGATCGATGGATGTCGTCTGAGCTCGTGCATGCCGTACAGCAATTAGTAGAGATAGGAAAGTTTAGTTATATGATTTGTTTCTTCGTTGATGGGTTGGACAAGTTCGACGGCTCCCTCGTGGAGCTCATAGACCTCTCCAGACAAGAGTCGGCGTTAAGAGTTGGGTTCGATTGGGGTCGCTTCTTCGGGGGCTGGGCGTGGTAGACGAAAGTTAGGCTTTTCGCCCTTTGGAAGAGTCCATGCTGAAGGGACGACAACACAAAGAATGTAGACTCTCTGTTAACTACAATTGCCCTTTAAAACCGGATCTGGACCATGAATGATTGTAGAACAGTAAGACCAGGGTGTGGCAGTAGGATGCTGAGGAGGCAGAGATGCCTTTATAGACTTTCTCGATATTAAAACAATAAGATTCTCATATATTACCATAATAAGAGAGCTGTAGCACTATTCTACAAATAATGCTCAATGTCATGGCCGAGATTAAAGTGGTAGGTATATCCATCACTGCCATTGTTGCCAAGTTAGCAAGGCATAAATTGAACTGCGTGATTTAAGACTTCACTATCTGCTAAGTTGTTGATGCACCATAGCACTCAGTTCTATGCTCACTGCTCGTGAGTGCACTGCCCAGATGTAATATTTTAGCAGGATATTTACACTCTATTAGACATAGGGAATGGTCTGTAAATAATAAGCCATACATACCGCGAATCTGCTCTAGCATGATTAAGTAGCCGCTCGTGATGACTGTGTTAGCAATCAGAGTGCCCAGAGCCTTGAGAATAGTTAGAACTTTAGATAAACTATAATTTATCTAGAGCTATATTATTAACTGTTCCAGAAAAAAAACAGGGCATAAAAGTCTCCATTTTACAGATTGTTGTATGCGCCAATGCCCGCCTTTATATTATCTATCCTGAGGCTCAAACAAAGAAGGGTTACATCAACAATGTAGCCGGGATATAGTTGAGATAACATTGGATATTCAATTGGAAGAACCTGTGAACTAAATAACACAGTAATGAGCGTATTTGTATACCCTTGAGTAACGAGTCCTATGTTATAATATTTAGAACGAAACACTATCCCCGTATGGCGAGCACTGACTGAGTAGCTGTCCTGACCATCTATGAGCAGACTTAGTCTATCTATAATTCCACCACTAGTTTTGTCGCACTAACACCGGTCCTGCATTTCTTCAGCCCATCTTGAATGAACCCCAAGCCCTTACCGACGATAGTTGGCGGCGGAAGACACTGCAGCTTTCCAACCCGCAGCGCTGGCGTAACATATTCCCTCCAGACGGGCGTCGCGATGTCGTTCACAGCAAAGATCATACCAGCCTTTATATTCGCAGGCACATCCGCAGGAGGAGGATGTACGCAGGCAAGATGACCCCCACCCAGCTTAGCGAGAATGGCGAGGTCATTCGCGTACGTCTCAGGAGTAGAGATGGCGTCAAAAATACCGACGAACTCTGACTGGCTGGATTTACCGATGGCTTCGACAACCTTATCGACGACCGAACGGTCCTTATGGTCAAAGACTTGTGCCGCCCCACAGCGCTTGCTGAAGTCAAAGTTGTGTGCACCCACGATGGAGATAACGTAGATTCCAGCGGCTGTGGCAAGCTGCGTTGTCATGGAGCCGACGGACGACGAGCCACCGTACACGACGATCGTCTTACACAGGGGTGCTACTTGCTGTAGCGAGGGATATGGTAAGCCCAGGGCTGGGGTAGGGACGCCAGGCATGGCCACACCGGGAACCTTGAGGGAGAGCGCGCAAACCGCCGCCTCCAGCGCAAATGGCACCACGACACCATCAGTGAAAGAGATGGCCTCAGGAAGAATAGCTGCTTTGTCGGCAGAGACGACTGTATACGAAGCAAAAGCGCCATCCTGGGGCTGGCCACTGGCCAAGTTGATGGCATGTCTAGACGAAGTCAGTTTTAGTCCAGGGTACTTTGGTAAGGAGAGGTATCAATGAACGGACCCAATGACTCGATCCCCTCTCTTAAAACGCTGCACGTTCGATCCCACTTCGTACACCTCGCCGGCGACGTCACAGCCAAATATAGCAGGCCACTGCTGTATGAAGACGCCCGAGTCCTGCATATGGCAATCGAGCGGGTTGATGGCGATGGCGGCATTCTTTACAACCAGTTCTCCAGGTCCCGCTGTGGGCAAAGGAGCATCGCTAACTTGTAGGGGGGTTTTGGGTTTGACGAGCCATGCGGCTTGGTTTGCTGGTCCCATTTTTCGTTCTTCTTTGGTAGGTGGATAGAGAAATATGCCTATTATGGGGTCTGGCTGATGGGTGGTTTATAAAAGTCGATACAGGAAGAAGGGTGGTGGGCGTTAATACAGAAGACATGCTGGTTTGCAGACAGTACCGGGATTAAATAGGTCGATGCATATCTGATTGTAGATGCAATTTTAAAGCGGACCCTAGATAGTGTATTCTGTATAGTTAGTAAGCGTCTATATAGTAACTAAGCTAGAACCACATATACCGTTCCAAGAGAACACGATATACGGTTCCACTAAGACTCATTAGCTCACGTCATGGCCATTAAAAGTTCAATATAGCATAAAATTTATATTAGTAGTAGTAATAGTTCTTTATTTCCAGGATTTTGTATAATGGCCCGTACAACTCCGCGCTACTAGCTGGGCGTGGGCAGTGCAATTCGTTAGTGTTTCTCTACGAGGCTATTTGTCATACGTGTCCGTAAGTAACTACCGGCTCTTAGCCACCTCTCTACATCAGCGCCTTCAACACGGATCATTGTCACCTCGTATGATGTCAGCAATAAGACTCGGCCCACGGAATCTACTCGAGTTCAACGCGAGATACGGCGTGCTCATCTGTCGAGAATGCCAGTACGGCATTCAGAAAAACGCCCTGCAAAGCCACTTGCTCCGACACAAGATCTATCGTGAGGAAAGACAACGATTACTGTCATATATTTCTGAACTCTACCTGTTCGAGCCCGAGGATGTACCTCTGCCCACCCCAGCGTCTCCACCCGTCGACGGTCTGCCCATCATATCCGGCTATCGCTGTACCAGGTGTGGAAATCTCTGTGCCAGCTCCAAGCGCATGAGACGCCACTGGAGCGAAATCCATGGCCTTAACAATCCTCCAAAGTCCTCGTTCGCCCGCCCTGCCAAACTTCAGACATTCTTCCGCGGGACCAAGCTTCGCTATTTCGAGGTTACGTCACCGGCCTCCCCCACTACTATTAATGAAGATAATGACCCAAATCATACAAATAATGATAATGATGCTGACGACGATGATCTCCGCGCTAATGATGAGGAGTATATTACGGATACTCAACCGTCGTTGCTATCTCATGTACCAACACCCCGGGAAGCTCCAGGACCTTCTCCAGTTCACCTTGACCTGGAAACGCTGTCTTATTTTTACCATTTTACAACCACGACAAGACTCACGCTTCCTTCTAGCATCAATGTCCAACAATCGGTAGCACACTACTGGCAAATAGACATTGTTCTTCAAGCCCTCCAGCGACAATGGCTGATGTGCGGTCTATTAGCTGTTTCCGCGTGTCATTTGGCCTCACTCGCGGACGACACGACAATCGCCCACGTCCATCAAAGGAGATCGACGCAATTTTTTGCTGAATTCTCTGCCGGTTTCGAGACGCCAAATAATGATATCGACCTTGGGGTTGACGAGGAGGTTTGGAAAATAAGCTGGCAACTAAGATGCGTGCTACGTTGTGCACACTGGGCATGGACCAAATCCGCATATGATGAAGTGGTCATCCCCGAGCTGGTGGCTCCTTCTGACCTACAGTCCATCATAACGACCATTCGGAGCCTAATGGTCTCTGAACATAGCATCCAAGATATGGAAGACAATGGCAAATCAACTTCTAGATCAATAGATACTGGAAACTTCGGTGCATTTCCCTCCTCTGGCAAGACACCCTCAAGCATATTCAACGTCCTTCGGGTGCTCCCTTCTCGCATGGCAGAGAGATTGGGAAAACCAGAGAATGTGCAGGACGTTTTGGTCACGCTCTCAGCAACTGCAGTTCTAGCTGAATGCTGTAACATTAGCTTCGCGTCTGATGATGTGGCAGCGGCGTGTGAGGCTATGGCGATATGGTTGATCAAGATTCCAGAATACTTTCACGATATGGTTTTACGCCAAAGCCCAGCTGCTCTTGTTGTGCTAGCCCATTGGGCAGCATTGTTGGTCAAGCGAGCCGAGGATTGCGGTTGCTGGTTCTTGAGGGGTTCGGCAAAGGCAATCCAGTTGCAGATTGAAGAACGCCTACCGGTAGATGACTACGCCGTTCAGGGTCTGGTTATAGGCCTGACGGATAAAATTTGAATTCTATAATATAGGGAACTTGTAATTTGATACCTGGGCTGGTACTGGGATGGGGGACGAATGGTATTTACATCAACAGAGGTCATCTATTGGTGCACATCCTCAATTCTACCTTACCAGAGCCCGGCATTGTCCGATAATAAAAAACTGGATTTAAGAAATAGGTTTTTTTTTTTTTTTTTTTTCCTTGGTGCTTGAAAGGGTCTGATGCAAACATGAGTCCTAAGGAACTGCTTCGTGGGGCCAAACTTCTCCCAGGGCTCGGCAAACCCAGACCCACGCACCCACAAATCATTGAATACATCTCCCACAGAGTCGACAGCTAAGAGTTAACCAGCGCAGAATTCCATTTCAGACACCGTTTTCCAGTTTTTGTGTTTTCAATGCAACATTCGCACTGTGTTATGCGAAAGCATGACCATCGCCCCGGATGTGGAGAGCTCAAATTCCTTGGAATTGTATACCTGAGGATCCACATGGCTGCAGCGACCATGGAACACGTGGAGAGTAGATCAGGGGTGGTGTAACGCCGTGATCTATGTGGATAAACTATATTCGCCAGTTAAAGTGAATAATGCCCATACTTCAAATATCGATGACCTACTCATGGCACTACGAGGTCACTGCAGCGCTTAGCTGGAATAGGAAATCCTGATTTGGCGGACATCCCAACAGCTGATATTCTTTTGATGCTTCAGCGACATCAACGCCAGATACATACTGTCAGAGGAGTGGAAAACCCGGGCAATGCTCTGTTTCAGTGTTTGTACCATGAAGATGATGATTTCTTTGTTGGCTATTGTAACATGCAGCGTTGGAGGTTCCGGTAAGGGTGATACTTGTCAAGGTAAGGGCTAAGGACCGTGCTGGAAGAAGGGAAGAGGGACTAACCTCTATTATATAGCGCCTTTTACTGTGAGTGAGAGGCGAGAAGAACAGCTAATAATTGCTTGGATGGATTTTACCAATCTGTAAAATACGTTAGATTAACTTAGTTTAGCTAGTTAACTAGTTAACAGCAGAACCATTTTTCCTTCCCCCATTAACTATACCGCACTCAAGAACTGTCTGCAGGATGACCTTGAAGGTGCCCAAGGAGGGTCTCACATAGTATGAATGCAGTTCCATTGTTTCAATTAGTCTACTTATTTATTATGCATACTTACATTCACCCTCCGAGTACCAGTCACCCTGAATCCAAAAGTAACTAAATCAGGCCAAACATATATAAATTCCCCTTATTAAACCCTACACTTCGGGCCGCACGGCTGTCGAAACTCCAGCAGCAGAGCCCTTCTCCTTCAGAGTCGGCTCAATAACACCAACAGGCTCGACGGGAGGCGTGTCACGATTCATAGGCCGACGAAATATAAACATCTTAGCTCTTGCCTCGTACCCCTTAACGTGGATAAGTATCGGATTAATGACCGGAATGGAACTATACCTCTCATGGTAAAGCATTAAAAAGAAGCCGACTACAAGCATTCCCTAAAGCAGATAAAAAAACCGGAGCACCGGAATATCTGTCCAGTGGATCCCGACGCTGAAGAAGTGGGAGCTTGCCTGTTACTGCAAATACCTTATTTTCGCCCATTTTAGAAAGCTTCACGATGACGGGCCTGCATGCAGCAATGTCTCAGACTAAAAATGAAACGGAATACTGGTTGGAATATATATAGCAATCGGAGGGCGATTCTAGACTGATTGTTGAAAATAGGTGTTCTGAAATGTATATACAGGCATATATCAGCGATGTGTAATATTACTAGTTTGGTTTTAGCGCATACTTGGCTAGACTTAGCGAAGCTTAGTAACTCCAGTGGAATCAAATGAGACAATCAGATACAAAGCTGCAAGGCGAAGGTAAATAGAACAGTTGGAATATTTAACTAGACCGGAAGACTGGGTAAAAATAAGTACTACTTGTTTGGAATGTACACTAATACTAATAGGGAAAAGTCAGAACATAGTGACTTCCTGTGAAACCTACACTAAACAAGCATCAAGGGAAATTTTTGTGGCTTGGATAAAAATTTCCCCTCTTAGCTTGTATTCCCAGGCACGTGAAGATTAATAACTTTATTGCCCCATTCTAGTTCGACCGAAGTCCGGTCTGATTCGAATGGTTAGGAGCTAGTCGCATTTCTCTGCCTATCGGTGAGAATACTCGGGAATATTTCCCATGGGATGGCGCAGCGGTCTTCTCGTCCTTGCTTGCACTCTCACATACCGCGCTGCTTTCAGGATGGTGACCCTGGTATGCAACTGGCTGTTCCGCCCTACAGCTCTTGTGTTTCTTTTTAATGCTGCGAACCAAAACTGTCACCTATAACTTTAACACTACTGGTTACTCCAACCCAAGACGGTCCCAATAATTGGAAGAAGATCAGCGTGAAGGGTAAATAGTGTTACGGACCTGACCTTACTATATGGTACGCTGAGCTCGATGACCATTGGACTTCGATTTGCGCCTTTTTGGCTGTGGCGTAATGATAAAACTCAGCACCACTGCGCAGCTGGACTTGGGTCCTCACAAATAGCCATTTCCTGTAATAGAAGTAGACAAGGGAGACTAATTGGTGGTCAACGTGTTTAATAACCTCGGGGATAGGACACGTTTATTCATTTCCATAAGATGTTCCAAATAGCACAAGTAACATGGATAGCCCGTCCATGGTCACCCAGTGCCTTATTTATTCCACTAGGCTTGTTGTTTACCTACCGGTCGCCCCTCCCCCGCCGTTTTACAGTAGGGGGTCCGCTACACGAAAAAATCGTTTTTTTGCGACTTTTGAAGTACCACAATCATGGAATCAACATATAAAGTAGAGGATAATATTATTCAGAAGACCGTACAGGAATACAATTAAAAAAAGGCGAAAATTCGCGCGTTAATCTGTCAGAAATTGCGCGTCAATATGGTGTATCCTATCATCGCCGTCGCGGCAAATCAACGCGGAAACCGACCTAGTAACCTCTTAATCCTGCTCAGTTGATGCTTTATATGATCATATTGATCGGTTTGATGACCTAGGCGCGTTAGGTATTAGTGATGTTCAAAAGGCTGCTAGTACAATTCTTAAACGAGGCCACACCGATCCTTTAAATCACCACCAAGAGTCTCCAAAAACTGGGGATATCGCTTCCTACGACGGAATCCACAGTATACTAAATGGAAGCGGTATGTAATTGAGATAGATCGACGCGAGGCAGAGAACATTGAAGATATGCTGCAGTGGTACAATCAGTTGCAGCATCAAATTGAGGCGTTCAATATTGAAGATAAAGATAGCTGGAATTTTGATGAAACTGGCTGCCGTGTTGGCCAGGGATGCACTGAATCAGTTATTACTAAGTACTCAAAGCGTTATTCTTTATAGATACGCAAGAGGATCGTGGTATACCTTCATCATTTTTATATTAGGCAATATTCGTTGATTTTTTCAATATATTTTTTCGTTGAAGTATAGCCGACCCCTACTACAAAAAGTGCGGCGAGGCGGTGCGACGGGTAGCCTGAGACCATACCGAACCGCTGCCAAGAAGAGGCTTGTCATGGTCTAAAAAGGCGGTGACGAAGGTGGCAGAATTTTAGCCACTTTTAAGACCACACTACTGCAACCTGCCAGTGATGTCCCGCGATGCTCAGGCGTTTGTTATGTTACCAGAGCCAAAGGAGTCAACGAGAATAGGACTACTAAGTAAGCATAATTCACAAATCAGGCACAATCCCTGCTATGGAAGGGATCTGGTACTTCCTTGGTCTAATAAAGTGGGCCATTAAGAGTGGACCACGCCGCGGAGACCGCGGGGGCCACGGTATCGTGGCGGGCGGCCAACGGACCAGCTCTATTTAATCGAACAAAGGCATGGCATTTAGTAAAAAAAATTAACCAAAAGATTGTACTTAATCCTATACGAATTCAGCATATGGCAGATATGTCGGGCGATATCTCTGCTGCCAAGGGGTGAGTTGACTATATAAAATGCCAATATTAAGTCCAAGAAAGTCAGGACTGACACAAGCCACACGCCATGCGCAGCGAAATGCCTCGCCATCGTTTCCCGAAATCGGACAAGACTTCCAACAAAACAAATGAACAGACCGAATTAGACCCCGGGTTTGAATTTGGAGGGGCTCTCGGGGCGCTTGCCATCATGTTGGTGTTCCCATTGCTCATGTATTACATGTACATTGGAGCCACCTTCTATGATGGCCGGGCCCCGATGCCCGTGGAAGGTGAAGGTATCGGGCCTTTTCTATCCCACCTGGTCGATCTCGCCTATACACACGCTTTCCCGCATCGGAAAGCATGGGCTATGTACTGGGTCTTTCTCATTCTCGAAGGAATCGGATACCTGTACCTTCCAGGGGTATATGGGAAAGGAAAACGTCTGCCTCATCTGAACGGGAAACAACTGGATTACTACTGCTCCGCCGTGTCCTCCTGGTACATGACGATTGCAGCCGCATTGACTCTTCACTTCACGGGTCTCTTCCGACTGGATACGTTGATCACGGAGTTTGGACCGCTCATGTCAGTGGCTATCTGTTCCGGATATCTGGTGTCAGTGGTTGCATATGTGTCAGCTCTCGCCCGCGGTGCAAGCCACCGCATGACGGGATCACATATCTATGATTTCTTCGTGGGTGCCGAGTTGAACCCTCGTCTGTTTCGGTGGCTGGACATGAAGATGTTCTTCGAAGTCCGCATCCCCTGGTATATATTGTTCCTGCTGTCCTTGGCAACGGCCCTCAAACAGTGGGAGGACTTTGGCTATGTGTCCGGGGAAGTGGCGTTTATCTTGATGGCACACTTCCTCTACGGCAATGCCTGCGCCAAGGGGGAGGAGCTAATCATCACCAGCTGGTAAGCCCTTCAAGATCGCATTGTTGTCTCGTGCTGACCGGTACACAGGGATATGTTCCATGAGAAATGGGGCTTCATGCTCATTTTCTGGAACCTAGCGGGCGTTCCAATGAGCTACTGTCACTGCACGCTGTATCTGGCCTCCCATCATCCGTCCACATACCGATGGTCCCCGATGGCTCTGTTGGCTCTTGTAGTCATGTATCTTTTCATGTACTGGGTCTGGGATACGTGCAACAGCCAGAAGAACTTCTTCCGGGCGCAGGAGCGAGGCGTTGTGGTCGATCGCAAGACATTCCCTCAACTTCCATGGAAATTTGTCAAGCATCCCCAGACAATTCGGACAGAGACCGGAGATTCGATCCTTTGCAGCGGCTGGTGTAGGTTGTACCTACCATATTTTCTCTTGCGTAGCTGACAAACTCTAGATGGAATGGCCCGCAAGGTCCATTATACATGTGACTGGTTCTTTGCCATGTCATGGGGCTTAATCACTGGGTTTAATTCGCCATTCCCTTGGTTCTATGCCGTGTTTTTCTCGGTGATGATCATCCACCGCGCTCGCCGGGATATCCAGCGTTGTCGGGAAAGGTACGGAGAGGCCTGGCTGGAGTACGAGCGGCGAGTTCCGTACCTATTTATTCCGGTAAGTTAAAAACCATTTGGGCCGAGCACAAGCTGATGATAAAAGTATGTCATTTAATTGGTGAAATCGTCACCTGGAAGCTAGCCTTAGATTTAGGTCGAGTGTGTCAAATGGTTTAGAGTAGTTACCATCGTTGTATAAACGATGGCCCATTCTTAACGGAACATATCATTCAAGTAATTCGAGTTCAGCATGTCCATCACAGATCGTCCTGTTCCAATAAAGTCATTTAGAAAAATGGAAATGTCTTCCTGGTTCATTGAATCGAACGTATTCTCTGGCCACTGAACATCCGGCAAGGCAATATTTCCAGGACCATCGGTCGTCACAGGAACAACCAGAGACCCGTCCTGATGGTGCTCTAGTCCGGTCACGGTCTGGCGCGTGTCGACAAGAACCTGCGCGGTCTTCGCGAACGCTTCGCAGATAGAATAGAGATGCATTGAGCCTCGAGAAAGACCTTTGACGAGATCCAAAGATCGGACTGTATCCTGCAAGAGGGCGAGGTCTGTGGTACTTGAAGTCACGACGGCATGTGTAAAAACAATAACAAATGGAGCAAATGATGGGTAGAGTAAAATCCTAGCTGGGTCAGTCACAGGGACAGAAAGCTAGGTCAGCCACTAACCAATTCACATATTCCATTTGTTTATGCGTCTGGCGGCCTCGGAAGAAATCGAAACATTTGAGGTGGCTTAGCAACGCCATTGTCGCGGTCTCGTAACATTGGGACGATATTGCCATGGCATCGTTGGGTCGAGATTGGGCCCGATAAATAACGGTCATTTCGGAGTAGGCAATGAAGTCGGCACAGGCTGCCATGCCATGCAGAGAATCGGCGTACAGCCCTGAGCTGACATCAATCTACAGCAGCTATCAGCCGAAGGCTCAATTAATCAGAGATGCAGAACACACTGCAAGGAGTTTGTCTCGAACGGCAATCAGGTCGAGCGACAACTGCTGTACCGCTCGGCTTCTTTTCTCATCGGTCCCTGTGCTGGCGGAGATGGAATACAGTTGATCGAAGATGCGCCCTTGAATTGTCGCGAATTCAATGGTAACGAGGGCCATGAGATCCCATGGACGTTGACTAGGGTTACTGGAAGGTTTGATCAGATCGGCGTCAATATCATGATCCTGGAAGTGCGAGGGGAATCCCAAATTTAATGAAACATTCTTGTCGATCGTGTAGAGTGCCCAAAAAACATGGCGCTTTGCCTCGGCTGCAGACGACATGTCACCCTTCAGCGTGGAACTGCGATGAAATCCCATTGTTTGGCACATGTTAAACGCTAGTGATAGATACGTCCAGCAACGGTGAATGTCGAACTCTTCTTGAGCTTTGATTACCTGTGGCCTTTAGCGTCGAGTCGGGGGTCCTAAGGAAGCCTCTTACTCCAAGCCACAAAGCCTGAACCTTTTCCAAGGTTGGTGTAGTCACCATATCGTAACTGTTCAGGCCTAAAGAGAAATGACGCTCGCAAAATTCCATACTCGAAGCAAGGTCGAACCGCGCAAGGTCTGGATGTCCTTGGTATAGATAATCCCGTATAATGTAGTAGAAAAGACCGTGCAAGAGCGTAAGCGAGCCGGCTGGAACTGATTGGAGTGGAAAGTAAAGCGATTGGCAGAGAGACTCGATCTGCAGCAAGTCCCTACACGAGTGGCTAACCAGGAAGAATGGGGGTTGGGCTATAACTTGTCATTTGGAGTCGAAGTAGTACAGGGAAAAGACGAACCTTTGACGGTCTTCACTACAGAAACCGCAAGGTCGACTGGCAGTAGATGCTCCTTCGATGCAGAGAATGCAGCGACTTTGTCTGCCGTTGTTGGTTGATCCTCAGATGTGGTAGGATTTCGATTAAGACTGTGGGTCAAGGTCGAAAGAGCAGCAGATACATGGTCATCAAGTGGTCGCCCTTGCGACCCAGCGACCGCGGAAAAAGCAGCGTCTTTGGCTAGAATTGACTCATGGTGAAATGAGGACTGCCCTTCAAATGGTGGCACGCCCTGAGTTGAGGACACAGGACGAGGCACTGCTGCATGTGATGGTGACTGATTGACCTGCCTGAGAGATTGCTGGATCGCAGCCAGCTGCTCCTGGATGGCATCAAATTTGTCTTCACTGTATGTGGTCAGCCATTGGAGCAATGTATTTGGAGCGAGATAGTACTACTGATATTGATCGAGAGCACTCCGTCGGGGTTCCGAAACACTCTGGGTTACCCCTGCAACTTTACAAGGGATTTTCAAAGCACCACAGCTAGAACAAGGAATAACCTTGTCACATTTGATCTGTCTTTGTTAGCCCGAGGAAATGATAGAGTTTAGATGATCTACCTTTCGTATTCGGCAATTGTCACACTGGTGTTGATCAACTCTTTGCTATAGAATGGGCTGGGGAATGGGAGCGACCGAACGTACGGCACGAGGACGAAAGGAGTTTCGTGAGAGAGTCCTTTCCGCCATGATATCCGGAAGTCCGAAATCCGGAGAGAGATGTTAATGAGATGATCACGATGGATGTACGTTGACGGAGACCAAAATCCCCGACTGACAGGAAGACGTGGATGTCCCGAAGGGGAATGGCGCCGTTGTCGGACAAGTCACTGGATACGGACTAGCGTATCCCGTACTCGGGTTGCCTCGGGAGATCGGTCGTGACTTTTTTTTTTTGTTTCAGGCACGCTCAAGATCGCCAGGATACAGCATTGCACTCAAGTACGGTTAATTCGCAAGCTGTGCTTGTATGGCATCTAGCATATTTTATTCAAAATTGATGTGATTGAGTGAGAAATTGCGTTAAATCACGTTTACCGGCTAGATTCCAATGGATCTTGGATTTTATCAATAACTATAGTAAAGTACATGAAATGCCCATTAATGCTGACAGAGAGTAGAGCCATGGGTTTTAGACAGCTGAATGTTTCCATGTTGATAATTTCCATGTTGATAATTTCTCATAAATTACAGTCTCCATTGACGAACAAGCTCGATCAAGCGCTGCACACGACGCAGCATTCCCAACCGACCTGTCTTAAAATCCGCCAGTGCCAGACTGACAAACAACACGGCAATTGTGCCGAACCGCGATGCCAACCTAGAGAGCGCACTCCGACGCTGGAGTTTCCTCTCGTCCTCCAAACTCCATTCTCGCTTCAGTCCCATCCCATCCCGCACGCGCAGCCACTTCAACCCCTCCGTAGAGTACGGCGGCATGACGAGCGAGGAAACCTTGCGGAATAGCGGTCGTGGTCGAGCGATGGTGCGCATGTGCGAGAACGTCTTGAATCCCCATTCTCCGTGGTAGTAGCCATGGCCAGAATCTCCCACGCCCCCGAATGGAGCCTCCGGGATGGCGACGTGCACCAGGACGCCGTTGACGGTGACGCCGCCGGATAGAGTGGAAGAAATGACTATCCTGTCAGCGAGAGGGCTCTCTAATGAGAGAGACGTCCTTACCGTGTTCGACTTCCTGGTCATCCTGACTGTAAATGTACAAGGCCAGAGGCCGAGGTAGACTGTAAGATTAGTCAGCCATAATCCCGAACCCATTGAACAAAGGATACCTACTTATTGATAGAATCGATGGCCTCCTGGGTGGATGCACGCACGACGGGACAAATGGAACCGAACAACTCCTCAGACAGCAGAGGATCAGCCATGTCCACGTTGGACACCACGGAGAGAGGCAACTGGCGCGGAGAGCCTCCTTGCACTGGCGCGTCCGTCTCGACGCGACCGCCACTCTTCTCCAGGAGACCCTGCAGACGATCAAAGTTCTTCTGGTTCACGATCCTCGTCATGCCATCTGCCCCCTCGCGGAAGAATTGATTGAAGTGGAAGGTCATGCGCCGGATCAGCTGCTCCTCCACTGCGGGATGAGCAAACACATGGTTTACGGACAGACAGATCTGGCCGGAATTCAAGAACTTGATCCAGGCAATCTCGCGCGCCGCCGCCTCGATGTCGGCCGTCGCCGTGACGATGGCCGGACATTGGCCTCCCAGCTCCAACGTCGTCGGCGTCAGATGTTTGGCCGCCGCCGCTGCGACGTGGCGCGCCACGCCGACTGACCCGGTGAAGAAGATATGGTCGAACTTGCGCGCCATCAGACGGGTCGTCTCAGCAGCGCCTCCAGTGACCACGCGGATGGCCGTAGGATCCAGGTACTGGGGGATCAGGTCGACTAGCAGGTTCTGGGTCGCCACGGTGACCTCGGAGGGTTTCAGCAGCACGGCACATCCGGCGGTGATGGCGGCCATGAGGGGCTGGATCAGCAGAGAGACGGGGAAGTTCCAGGGCCCAACGATCAAAGCGACGCCGAGAGGCTCATAGCGGATGGTCGGGCGCAGCACCTGGTTGACGACAAAGCCGGCGGAGGGCGCCTGGTCGGCTGTCCACTGGTCGATATTGCGGAGGTGCTGCTGTAGATCGGTCTTTATGGCGCGTACTTCGGCAAAAATCGATTCAAAGGCGTGTCGGTGCAGGTCCTGGTGCAGCGCCTGAATGATGCGGCCCTCATTGTCCTCCAGCAGCCACCAGAGCTGCTTGAGCTGCCATTTCCTCCAGGCGATCTCGCGCGTGCGACCGGAGCGGAAGGTAGCCTGCAGCGTCTGGTAGACTTCGTCGACTTGCTCGTCGGAGGTATACATGGTGATATCCTCTGGATCGAGTGCCCTATCCTCTAAACAGCTTGATAAATGTTCAATGAACAGAGGGACATTCGCGTTGCTGCGGGGACACTCCTCGATGCTACCCTTGCCTGCATGGCAACAACCTCGGTCCGGGTCATTATTGGTATTTGTCATGTGTGCCAGTTGTTCAAATGATCCCAGTATTTCCATTAAAGAATTGCCATATATTACTCCGTAGATGGTGGAGCAATTACGTAGATCCCCGAGGTAGAGATATTAATGATATATCTGGGGTTGCATTAGGCCTCGACTTCCAAATTAGGAAATCCATTCAACAAGCGCAACAATGGACTAAATTAACAGGTCCTGCCTCTCCGTATTGGGTAGTTAAAATATATATTTTGAGACGGAATCATTACTGCAGCTCAAATCCGGTAGCTTATAACCTAAAAAACAATATTAATTAGAAGCTAAATATCCAATCCACATCGATATAAGAAACAGAAAAATAAAAAAGAAAAGAAAAACGAATAGATGTCTTGACTGGCGTTATTAGCACCACACTCTAACCAACTGAGTTATGGAACCGTTTGTGTACTGTGATTCATCAAATTGCTATAGAAGGACAACACGGTAATCACGCACAATACGAGATAAAATACAGAATGCTACAAGTATCATTAATCATAACCCCCTCTCCGCCAGGGCCTTCTTCAACGTCTGCTGGAACCGTCCCACATGCTCAGTCGACAGCATTGTGTAATGCGCCCCGTCCACCTCATGGAAGCGCAGATCCTCGCGCACGTAATCCGCCCACCGGTTCAGCTTCGTCTGTCGATACTCTTCGCGCGATCCGGCCACGTCGCTCAGCGGGTCGCAGAAGAAAACGTCTAGCGTCGCCACACTCCCCGTCGGATCGTAGTCCCATCCCATGCGTTGCAGTGAGAAGGCGACGTCTGTCCAGGTCTGTAGGTTCGATGGTGTAAGGCCCAGCTCCGCCGTGCGCTGGGCGTCTCCTTCGGCGAACACGCGAGCCACCTGCACCGCAGGTGCCTGCCCGCGCAGTTCGGTCATGAGAGCGCGCGATCGCTCTTCGGGGATAATGGCGCAGAAGTGCGCGATGTGGAGGAGTCCGGCCGTCCAGTCGAGCCGGCGCATGCGCTGCTTGATGTGCGGCGGCAAGTTCAGGCACCCGAGGAATTGCACCGTCTCGCCGTCTGCTTCGAGCCGCTGCGCGATCTGGAAGGCCAACATGCTGCCGTATGAGTATCCTGCCAGGGCGTACGGGCCCCGTGGTTGGCGTGCACGCATCGCCGCATAGTACGTCGTCACCAGCTCCTCCAAGTTGTCGAACGTCGTCTCGCCGCGGTTGAATCCACGCGGCCGCATCGCATAGATGGGTCGCTCTGGGAAGTAGGGTGCGAGTGCCAGAAACACGAGGATCTCGCCAACCCCCGGATGGAAGAGCCATAGCGGCGTGTTAGAGCCAGAGGGCTGCAGCGTCACCACGGGCTGGTACTCCTCCGTATGGGCCGTCGACTGGAAGCGCCGGATGGCAGCCACCAGCGAGCGAATGGTCGTGTGGGTCATCACGGTGATCATGGGCAGTTCGTCAATGCCGAACGCGATCTCCGTCGCGCGCTTCAACCGGATCAGGTCCGCCGAGTTGATGCCTGTGTCCAGGATGGGCGTGTCGATACCCAGCTGCATCTCCTCGCTCAGTCCCAGCGTCTGCAGCACCAGGTCCCGCAGTGTCCGCTCCATCTCGTCGCGCGGCGCCACCACGCTCTGGCTGCGGTACTCCCGCAGGATGCGCTCGTTGGTCTCTTCTTGATCGCGGTAGACGCCGCGGGCCAACGCCATTTGGATCTTAGTGCGAGACAACTTGCCGAGTGTGGTCTTGTCCAGTCGTCCCGGCGGCAGTGGGAGCACGCGTGGCCGAGCCGAGGTGAATAGCAGGACAGTGCGCACGATGGCATGCAGTGCGGATATGCGAGCTTCAGCGTCCTCGCTACTGTACTCATGTTGATAGACAACATAGACCTCCTCGGCGTGTGCTCCGTCCGGTTGATAGGAGAAGCAGGCCACGAAGGTCGGTGCCACGCCAGGGATGCATGCCTGGTGGATGGCGATCTCGATCTCGTGCGGGAGATACTTGACCGAGTTGATGTTAATCAGCTCTTTCAGCCGCCCCGTCAGCATCAGGTGACCACGCTCGTCGATGGTGGCGAGATCCCCTGTCTGGAACCATCCGTCTTGAGTGAAGGCGGCACGTGTGGCCTCCTCATTATGCAGATATCGTGAGAACACGATGGGCCCGCGTAGCTCCAGGATGCCCGGCGCGGTCGGGTCATGATTGCCGGCGACGGGCGAGATGCGCATCTCGATGCCCGGCACGCACGTACCAAGTGACCCGATGTCGCGCCGCGTCTGTAAGTCAACGACGGGAAACTGGCGGTTATAGATGGATCCGGCGCAGGTCTCGGTCATACCGAAGCCCGGGGTAATGACGTCGTCGTACTGCAACCCCAGCCGGCGCAGATGCTCGGTCAGACGCAGGCCAGTGTCCACCGCGTTAGGTTCGCCGCCGGATACCAGGTAGCGTAGATGACGTAGGTCGATGTCTTGCGTCTCATCGGCAGACGCCGTGTCCAGGGCACTTACCAGCTTGCGCAGGAAGAAATCCGGCGCAAAGGTCATGGCAACGCGATGGCGCGTCAGGAGGCGCAGGAACATCAGCGGGCGGCTGAGCGCCTCGATGGCGGGCATTTGCACCTGGTCGACGCGTGCATATAGGGCTCGCAGATGGGTCTCCATCAGGCTGCCGACGTGATCCAGGCCGACCCAGTTCAGAACTGCACCGTCTTCGTGCTCGGGCATAGCGGCGAGTTTGCCACGAATGGAGGCGAATATCTGCTGGTGCGTCAGGCAGACAACTTTGGAGTTACCGGAGCTGCCGGAAGTCAACATGAGCGCGGCGACGCCATCGAGGCTGTCGACTTTGTTCGCTCTATTAGTGGCGTTCACATATCCATTCATCTTGCGAGGGTGGTCCTTTGCATATCCATTCATCGTATTGTATCCATGTCCATCCGACTCGGCGTCTACGGCCACCACGCGCAGGACGACATTCTCTGCAAAGTCACTCGTGCGTAACTGTTGTAGCGTCAGTACCAGTGGATCCTTCAGCACGTCATGCAGATGCTGGAAATGCGCGCACCGGGCCTCGCTTGTGTTGGCCAACGGCGTCGACAGGGCAGGCACACTGCCGGCCAGCAGTGTCGCCCAGAACCACACGATATTGTCTAGATGGCTTTTAAAATGAACCAGGGTCACCGCCCCGGAGCGAAACTCCGGGCAGCCACGCAGCCAGGAGGCCCCCTTGGCGGCACGATCGCGCAGCTGCGCATAGCTGAGCCGCGTGGGAGGGCTCCGGTTGCCATCTGCATACACCACGAGGCCCGTTGGCGCCGCTGCCGACTGATGCAGCAGTGTGACGAGGTCGGAGTCAGGAATAGGTGCCATGGGGGGGTGACAGCGGCGAAGAAGGCCCAATGATCGGCATGGTATGACATGCATTCCATAGAGGAATTCCCGGGCCAGTTATATGCTACACGCCCTACAGAAACTCCTGAAGGGGCCATGGCGCTCAGTCTGGAGTACAGGCAAGCCAGACGGGCGCCGATCGCTCTGTAGCAGCAGGGGGGGGGGGGGGTCCACTGCTTTCAGCATCAATCAATCAATTACCCTCGGTGAGTCTGTTGGAGTCTTAGCAGCCTTCCGGAGAAACTTCTTCCCCCTTTCTCTTTATCGGACGGATCGGAACTTTTCTTAAACATGCATCATGGACAGGCTCGTGGCTGCTCCTTACACGTAAGTCCCCACGTGTCCATTGGCTCATTGGGCTGCGACCATCTGCGGGATTTTCGCATGGTTGCAAGAAATCCTTTATGCATGGCACCGTAACGTCAGTGTGGGCATCCTGCATCCCCCTGCTTAGCCGAGTACTAATTCTATTGGCCTCCGGCGTGGGTCGCACAAACGTCGGCGAAGGACCAGTCAGTAGTCATAGAGCACCCCCTTGGCACCGGCATCGGCTGCACGAGAGCGGCCTAGAGCGGGAAGGAATGGGTGAAGTTGTGGGCGGTGAAAACAGGATTAGAGTTGCGTCAGGATCGTGCCTCTTTGTTTCTAGGGAAATTCCATCCCGATAGTCCCTTTGCGGTCTGCTTAACCGGACTTCGTATTCATATACTTTCTTTGTCTAGATTGGGCTCGTATCCTGCGATCGAAGCAGTCTCACTTTCGAATGCCCGGCCTCCTTGCGCATTAGCCGGTTGCTCGGGATGCAAGTGGAGAGCCCCCTTGCGCCATAGACGGCTAGGATGAGGCCCAATCCCCTGATTACGCCAAACACGCACAAAGGATGGGCCCTGTACACATGGCTCTGGCCCGCCCCTCCACCATCAAAGGAATTCCTGGTCGGCAACTTTGACGATGCCAAGTTGTCCAGATGACTACGATCCATTCTACCCACTTGTGTCAGAGATGACCATGCTGGTGTCTAATTCCTGTAGTGTCTTTTCTGACTGTATTTGCCAGTGCAGACAGCGAAATCATTATTCGGAATATTTCACAATAGTCGCCTGTCATGAATCCGCTATGCCATGGAGAATGTACAGATATATATATATGTAGTTGGGCGGTTGCAAGTATGCTCCTCTCTCGTATAGTTGGTGGCTACCTTAATCCCCTGGGTGTATGCAAACGGGAGGGCCCTTGATGCGACGTCGCCTGAATGGGACAAGCAGCAGCGGAAACGCCATTGCCATTGCCATTCGCCATGTAAGAGCCAAGCACAGGCTAACCAGTAGTATGGGAGTCAGAAGACAGCACCTTCACTAGCTATACCTTATTTACAATCAAAACAGAACCAGGGAAGATACGCTAAACGATCAGCCCATCCATGAACAAAAAAAATCTCTTGTAAGCCTCGTGGATTTCTCCGGGTGCTTGTTCAGTGTATATGTATCATCAAATCAAATCAACAGTGAGAGCCAGCATGTGCTGTCCACCGCGACCCTATACTCTGTACACGCTAATCCATTCAATCAGTCTAGTCTCCCCAACGCTTGGAGAGTGGAGACTCGCACAGATGTTGGCAACCACTCCACAGTCAACATCCTTTGTACAGCCGTTCCGCCCGGAATAGACCAACCGTCAAGACCATCAGCCCTCCTATAGAGAGACCCTTGGTCAACGTCAAATATTTGTTCGAATTACGTAGGCTGAGGTTTCCTCCCGTTTGTAATTTTCTTGGGCCACGAAGGGATACAGTTGGGGTCAACAGTCTGGAATCTAGAGATGCAAGTCTACTATTAATACTAGGTGCTCCCCAGGAGCTTCATTGTACAAAGGACAGTAGGACCGTGTCGGGTGGGGGATACGTCACTGTTCATGTGGCCTCTTCTCCTCAAGCGTCTCGGCATATTTTCTTTGTGCAATACAAAAAAAAAAAAAAAAAAGGGCACGGACCGGTGGGGAAAAGTGACCTCGGGCGCTCCTTAACAAGTGCCATTCGACGAGAATCATTCTGTTGCACATTCCTGATGCGAATCCCATTGGACAAGGCTGCGCTATTGGTGTGTGGAGGGATTGCCGTTTTTGCTCCTTTGATGCTTTATAATACATGGCCCATCACGTGGTTGGGATTGTTGGGATTGAATGAGTAGCATCTCGCCGTTCAGTTCGCACATGCGATAGGCTGTTATATAGCCGTGTGCAGTCATACGATTTCAAAGAGGGAACTAAGCCATGGTATTATGAATACACGAATTCGTCGTCGCAACGGAGAACCAGGGCGTTCGCAGCACCAGGTCCCAATAAGCTAAGCGACTGGACTACCTTCTGGGTATCAGCTCGGAAATCCGTGGCTAGAACTATTCCGTTTCCCAATCACAGAACCAACTTTAATATTCGGCTAATCAATCATGTAGCTCTCATGGAAGCCAGGGGGTCAGAAAGGTGGTCAAGACACGTGTGGAGGTACAGGCGTGGGCAAGAAATATACTGCGGGCGCTTTGTCGGGACGTGTCACCAATATATATTTCGTGGGTTGACTTGTATGGCGGTCAACTGAAGCCATGACTGTGTGGGACTCAGGCATCTGGACTGTCTACGTGGGATATTACCGCGCTGATGTGGGATAATACGGATATGAAATGCGGGATTGGACATTGGAGTGGATCTTGGAGCTTTTGTTGCATTTTGGCCTCATGTACTTACTGATCACCGGCCCCCCGGCCGTTGACGACCCTTGAAGAGCCCTGAAGAGGAGCTATAATAGGGTATAATGCAATCTCTCTCTCTACATGTAGTTCATGTTGAGGGGCATCACGGTGATTTCGGCTTTGCCTACTAAAGCACTGTATGGGATATGCTGGCATATGCGGCGAGACATCGGATTTACCCCATGGTGGCAGTTGAATGGACGACGGCAAGAAGTCCTCTCATAAAGCACTAAAGGCCGAAACCGTGGAGCTCTTCGTATGGAGGGGGACGGTGTTATGGTAAACATATAGTGTGTACGTTAGAAAGGTCTAGTACACGTATTATTAGCATAAATTTATTAATTCTAAATACCTGTCTCATCGCATGACATTTTACTTACCAATAGCGTGTCAAGCATGGCTGGCCCCAGATACGGGTGCGAAGTTTCGAAATCAACGTCCTCAGACGTGAGCACAGACGTGAGCAACGGGATGGTTTCTAGTTCGACGGAATGTTCCCCCACAGCCCTCACAGTTTGACTTGCGAGCAACCAACGACGAAATGGGCTGGGGTAGATATTGTTAGTCCATCCGAGACTCAAGCGGCATATTGTGTGAAACTACCTACCTCCTTGGCCAACAGATGTCGAAACAAACCCCAGACGGTCCGTCAATCGTAGTCGCCCATACAAGAAACCGGTATCGATGGTGTCATCCAAGTCGTCTATCTCTGTTGAGTACGAGCGTCAAAGTGAGCCATTGAGTTGGGTTTCAGCTCTTTTATCTCCGCATATGAGGCGGGGGAGGGCTAGCTTTGACGGTGCTTTCTGCTCGAGTGTTCTCCGTAGAAGGCGCGGGCCTTTATCGAGTGCCAGATTTGTTAAATCGAGCGCAATGGCTACATGGGTATATGCAGTTGCATTTGAGTTTGTGGTGGCGGTCTTCGAGGCATGACAGAATTCGTGGCTCCCTTTGATGTACATGTGGATGAATTACAATATGAGTAGGATGATGATGATTATGGTGGTGAGATGGGCGTTCTCACCGCCCGAAGACCAATCTAGCCTAGCGCCCCACGTAGTGGGTCGTTTGTTGCCTTACAACCCCACATCGTCCCAAAAGCATCTACTATCGATCTTACAACAGACATAACATTGGCATTCTAATCCCACTCAGGTCGCAATGAAATTCAGTGAGGATTCCAGTGATTTGGCTGGAAGCTCTGGTTTCCCACAGTCGGTGCTGCAGCAACTGATTGACGAAATCTCACACTATGACCTTGAAGATGCTATCAGGGCCATTGTTGAACTTGTGCCAGATCTCAAAACTTCGATCTCCCCGGCAGGAATGCGGTTGATCACCCATCCTGCTTATGACGGTTTTGGTAACCTCGACACCCTCGGAAGACTATATCTCCAGTGTGGAAGTCGTTGCACTGCACAGCATGCCACATTCGACACTCGTCTGCTACATGCCACCCTCGACCCGATTATGGCTTCCCTTTATAACGCGAGCGAAGACGAACGCAGAAGTGGTATTAATGCAGGGACAATAATATTACCTGCAGTTTCAGAACGCGGTTGTGCCTGTTGTCGAGGGGACCCAGATGCTCTCATCCTGGCGGGATTCGTGTATAACGAGGCACTATTCTTCGAGGAGGAGGAATATAGGAGATTCTGGGGTGATGAGGAATCAGTTGGAACAATGTATCAGTGGAATGATGGTGTACGGTCAAGACCGTGGCTTCAAGCTTCGAAGGAACAGGTGGAGAGAATAAGGCAGCAGAATGTAGCACCGGGCATTCAGGCTACGACATAGAAAGGTTGACTACTACCTTTGCTCGAGGATTGCACTCCTCGTTTTACTTTTGGGGCGAGCTGACAGGAACAAGGACCTCAGCTGTGCAAATGGAATGGCTATTTGAGGGACAACAGAGTCCTACATCTATTTTCTCAAGGAATGCATCATATCTCTACTATTATGAAGTAGTAAAACTGTTCCAAGCCCAAACCAAGGACCGTAACTTGGCACGAGCCTTGAGGGAAGATGGAGTTCTACATGAGGAATATAAATAGCAAGTGGAAAGTCTCAGGATCCTGGGTTAACCTAGCTACGGCACGATCAAGTCTTTGAAAGCGATAAAAAATAAAAACAATACCAATATTTAAAATATATCAGCAGACTTAAAACACCCCATATCTTACTACGCGTCCTAAAATCGGACTGCGGAACGTACGTTTAATTCCTACGGGCAGGGAAATCCGACTTTTTGTCGTAGAAACACCCAACTTATTTCACTATAACTAGTTAAGAAAAAATAAGGAAATACTTAAACTACATTTATCAAACGCACAAAAATAAGTATTGTACTAATGTAGTAAACAACGCCTCATTTTCGTCGCAAACAACCTAAACATCCTAAACATCCTATGCATCCTTAACATCATTCAGATTTATAGATAGACTAGAGTAGCCAGAGCGGATTTATTTCGGGAATTAATAATATATATTCAAAATCTTCTTGGTAATTAAGACACAGTTGAGGCGACCAATTATCTCAATATCTAATAAACATTCGTGTATCACTCACTCATAGCAGGCTAATTAATGGCATACCAACTAAGCGGTGTAGGAGTAATTACAGTGTAGTAATTAGCAAACGAAGGAAACATTACTGATCCACAGATAAAGAGCGTAAGAAGGCAATATGGAGTGGTATGCCAGTCCACACAGAGAAGGTAAAAAGCCCATAGGAGGCGGTACACCAGTCCACACCCAATTAGTTGGTGAAAGCAGCGGAGCCACCGAACGGTCCAGAGATGGCAGTGTTGCGAACGCGGACAATGCAGACATTTCGAGCGCTGCCAACGGTTCCCTGGCACTTCGTACCGCTAGGCACTTGAACCTTGACCTCATAGTCCATCGTGCTCGAGGTGGAGAAGCCTGCAACTCCGGGAACATCCTTAACAATCTTGGCCGACTTAAAGGCCTTGGGGTCGGTTCCGCCGCTCGTGGCGTCAATATCGGCCGTCAAGGGACCGGCGCCGTCTTGGTTCACCTGAACATGTTTAGTATAGGGAGCCTTGTTGAGGAGTCGACGGACATACCTGGTGATAGGTCATGGTGATAATACCGTTGTTGTCGGGAGTAGGAAGGCCACTAGAGGCTCCTTTTCCAGCGTATTGTTGGGCACCCTTCTCCTTGCTACCATTGCTGGTCGTTGAGCCCTTTCCCATCCCTGGCATGGAGCCAGCGACGTCATCGACGGCAGACTGGGCATCTGGAAAACCGAGTTAGCTTCAATGTTTTTTTATTTTTTATGATAGATCATAGGTATTGTCCTACTCTTAATGGCACCTCCGAACGGGGTCGCGTCGGCAAGGTCCTGGGCACCTGGAAGCGAGTTAGCCAAACAAATATCATATACAGAGGAAGCAAAAGTATATACCGTTGAGGACCGCGCCACCAGCATTGGTAACGACACTAGCAAGATCGTTGACCAGTTGACGCTTAGAGTTGCTGTTGCTCCCAAGGAAAGTATTGATGATCGTAGCAGGATTAACGGGGCCACCGCCATTGGTCCGGCCCAATGGGGAAGCCTTGCTGTTATCCATCTCCGGGTCTCTGATGATGGCGGTGTCCTTTTGCGCGCCACAGGCTGCAGAGGGACAGTCACGCGGTACTCCATCCGAAACTAGAATCGGTAGACAATCAGTACTCTATCAGGGCGGATATGCATGAATAATACGGACCTGTCAGGCCAGGCATTTTCACACCGTTAGCACCATGGATAAGGGTAATGAGGCCGTGAGCGGCCGCTTGGCTCGCCAGGAGCCCGGTCACAGTCAAGACACCAGAAAAATGCATATTGGAAAGAGTGAGTGTCACGCAGGTGAAACGAAAGAAAGTGAAGATTGAAAATACAAATTAGGGAGTGACTATTGGTGGATCAGAATGTGGAAAGGATGGGTTCTGAGAAACAACCCGGAGATCAACTCGCTCTTTAAATATTCATCGAACATGCCTCAATCATATTTTTATGGATACATGCAGACCACCTTCTTTTTTCGCTGATCTTGCATAGGAGACTCGGTCTGGTGGGGCCTAGGGTTTCGTAGCGTGCCAGCGACCGACAAATTAGATGCCCTCGATTCTGGTGTGAAAAGCATTGAAGATAGCAATTGAGAGTCGAACCGACATCCGAACCATGAAACCGTACCGGTGAAGTCTAATTGGGGAACCGACAAGGTTAGTTCACAATGTCTGAGAGTGAAACCCAAATACGAAGTGGTTAGGTAAGTCTGAAAGTTGAGTTAGTTGGGTCAGCTGTGAATCTTAGCTTTTCCACGAACCACAGTTCTCACGATATGTCTTGGCGAAATCTGGAGCTCTCTCAGGAACGACTTGGGCGGCTGTTCTCACGCCCAGCACTCTCAATCAGTCAATCTATGTGATCCTCAGTTGACGACAGTGTAAGTGAGCAAGGGTTAGCAGTAGAGCGCATCGATGACATTGACTACTCCGTACTATTTCGCCAATGCGCCCATGCGCCCATCCTCCCAGTCCCCCAAACCTGGTTTTCAGTCTCAAGTCGGCCGCTGTTTCAAGGGCATTTAGCCGGGGTGTACTATTCCTGATCTGTTCCTTGATCCATTCGTGGTGATGGTACAAGAATAGAAACTTAGGTTTGGTTGCGATGGAGTAGGGGGTTCGGGGTTCGGAGGGCGGTGGGTCATGATCTCATCCCAATGTTTGGCTGCCCATGTGACCCACTGGCATGTGACCGCCAATGGGTGGCCTTGTAGCCTCGCTTGTGCCTGGCGATCAGCAGGCTTGAAACATCGTCTGGCCCTAGCCGTCATCAGTCAAAGTTTATCCAGGCAAAGGGGCGAGCAATGGCAGACTCTATTATGGGCACAGTCAGTCATTTCAGTAACTGGACTCGGATTCCGGGAGAACCGGTTACTTTCTGTACACAGATGTCATCTAGGCCTCGATCGGCGTCTAGTTCATTGTACAGTACAGAGTGCACAAAAGGTCGATCATATCCCAGAAGGCTTTCATACCCACTAATTGGTTCGTCCACTCAAGGCCAAGTTCAAACGATGGGTCGGACCTTCCTTTGGGCTTATCCGTTCATTCTACCAACCATATGGGAAAAGACGCTGGCATTCCATATTTCACCCACACCGCACTCAACAACAGTTCAATCCGGATCGGACTCGGAGTTGACACTCCTGGAAAGTTCATCGATGAGATCTGTCGGTAAAACTCTATATAGCCTAGTTATGGATACTAAACTTTGTGCCCCTGGCTGTACCTTATCAATCCCAGGGACAATGTCTTAGACTGTTGGTACTATTTATTGCACCCAACTTCTATTTGGATGTATATAGGCCAACAGTAGGTACACTGAAGCCTGCCTAACTCATTTTTGAATGCTAGATGCACGCCTCCGTAGAGCATTCTAAGCACCGAATCCACAAGGAAAGTAGCATTGCATCCATCTACTCTCTTATCTTGAAGTGGATGGCTTAACAATAGATACTGAAGCCTGTCTGGCTCATTTTTGGAAGTTAGAAGCACGTCCTTCTGGAGTATTCTATGGCCACAAACGGATATCCCTTGGAAATCGACCAGTACTGAAGATAGGAAAATATGAAAGCAATCCCAACGTGCGATATGGACCCCCTTGTACGGAACCTATCTACTCAACCCAGTTCATTTCATTTCAATTCAAGGTTCCATTCACATGTGCAGCCCATCTTTTGCCGCCGGTGTTGCACCTCGTCCCCTGCTTTACCTTATTAGTATGATTCCACGCCTTGCGAAGTTTTGCCGGGCCAATAGATTTTGTTGCTTGTGTTGGTATGGGCCCATCTACACATCGTCTTCAACATCTAATTCCATGGCAGTAAGTCTTCTCCATTCGGTCTTTCGGCCACATTGCCCTCGGTTGGAGTTCAGGTTCAACTTAACGTGTTGAAATTGGCCGACCTGTACGTGGCACGAATTTGCCAGCGCAGCGAGTCACTAGTGGGGACCTAATCTATTGCTGCCGGATTTGTTTTATCCATGTATATGTTTCCTTTCTTAGGCTCGAGGAGCCTGGTAGACTCCATTGCTGCGGTACGCATTTAATCCCCGGGGGTATCAGATTCCTGGTATTTGTCAGTGGAGGTGCCAAGAAAATGCCCTCTACCTCGTGATGTTGTCTTAATGTGAAACAGAAATGTCCTTCCACAATAATAAGTTTCCTTTCACCTGATTCACCTGATGAGTATCTCAACGTCTCTGAACAAGACAAGTATCAAAGAGTGTATAACAGAATGCAAATTGGAAGCACCGCTGAAATTGATGGCGTGCACGAAGCGTGATAGCGCCAGTTTGTTTTGCAGAGAAGCACTGCAATGACATTGATGGCCTCAGGCGGTACCTATCAGGTGTGCCTTGAATGTGCCCCCGTGACCTGTAAACAAATACCTTGGCTGATCAATCTGCTTGTCCTGACTAGATACCATTCCTTGTTTTCTTTTTACTTTCTTGCTCCCTTCACATTCTTCTCTCTACACATCTCACTCTCATGGTCTTTATCCAAGATTTTTATCATGGAAGTGTTCCTGCACAACCTCCCTGCAGATCTTAATGATCATGGGGTTGGGTGTGAGTTCCGTCCATTTATGACTCAGTTGCAAATTGTTGATTACGTGTATGAAAAGCCCAAAAAGGATCGGTTTGGAAATATTACCTTTCGCCATAAACATAATGCAGCGAGATTTCTTGGGACTCATGGCCAAGAAGATGTTTCAGGACCGGTCCTCCCCCGTCCCAAATCCAGGCTGCGATATGGGAGGAACCGCCGTCGGCCTACTTATCTACCTGCTCCGCGGGCATCTATTTCATGCTTGCCGGATCGAACTGCCCCATTGGACAGGGTTGGGTGACCCAGATGCTCGCCTGGAGGGCGACTATATGTTGGACTGGGTTGAGAAGGTGGCAAGAGAGGATATCACGTACGTGTATTCTACTGTGCACCAACTTGTCAGAAATGACTTTGGTAGCTCAATTCGTGGTAAAGGACTCAGTTATATGTACGAGCAAAAAGAGTCTCAGGCACTCCGTGCGGTTTAAGGGATACCATGCTTAACGCTGAGGGGCCTAACACAGTCACAGCGATGTATCCGGGAAGTGTGCTAAGTTAGGCTGCACCTGCCGCTTAGAGAGCTGCTAAGCAGAACAGAGTTTCTAAAGACCGTCAGAGGCGAGCATTTTGACATTCGCTGACAATTTCAACCCATTCGCGTATCTGGATAATGGAGAGCTGGCATTTGAGTGGCAGGGAGGAGACGTGGCGTATTATCTCACTTAGGCGAGAACCAGTTTTATTTATTTTCATCCCGAGATTAGTACATCTGCTTGACCTGTAGTTCCATGGCTATTATTCTGCAGGATCATACTCTCCCACTCCATTGGTGGGACAATTACACAAATATCACGCAGGGCTACCCATAGATGAGATATATCGGGCTACTACCATGATTCGTGCGGAGACGACACGACCCAGGTCCACATGAGAATCCCTCAGATTCGATGCACCGAGAGTATTATTATCTAGGAACAAAGCCTGTAACGTGCTGCACTATGGCAAGGTCATATCGTCACGTCGGTACATCGCTCCGGCCACTACCTTATTGGCCAGCTCTGACGCCGGAATGACATGATTTAACTTCCAGTAATATATCTCCTGTATAATCCCGATGCAATCTAGCAAGAACCCATGCATCGACTCCAACCAGATGGAATACAAAGGGATTTCCTTGGTGTGGCCGAAATCAAGTAACGCCGTATGTTTTTTATGCGGCATCTACATCGGCCACGGCGGAACGGATCAAGTCTTTGACGAATGCCCCAAATGGCAGAACCACAAGAAGAAGCAAGGCTACGTATTTGGGTGGGCCTCGGAACTGAACAAGAAGTACTGGAATCAACAATGGGTATGGCACACTTTATATCGAGTCGGTAAACGCTCCCGTCCCTTTGCAAATTGCCTGGTATGAAATGTCGGTAATACTAATTGGACAGTCACAATCCATGGCACGAAATGCCACGTTTCCGGGGTGGCTATTCATGGCAAATGGAATTCAGATTATCTGTATAATCCCCTGGATGAGCACCAATTCTTTCTCGGAGACCCTCGATCAATCCGGGACGAGAAGACGGAATTTGTACCCAAGAAACAAGTCCCGTATGGCTATCCCATGCACGACCGTTGTTGGACCCTGGCGATACAGTCCCCGGAGCAGCAATCGATCCTGATGCAGCCCGAATCTCTGAAGCGATTCCTGCGCGTCATGAAGGAGGAGCTGAAACACGAGCATCGTACCAAACCTCGCCCCCAGCTGAGCCCTCGACCGATTCACAACGCCGAATGCGACTGGTACCGTGATCCCTGGAAGGTGCCCGAGGTCCTCGACTTGTTTGCGCAGCTGTCTGTGCCGGACGCAGAGACGACGCCAAATGATAAATCGCGAGGAGATATCATCACGTTCCCGCGCATCCGCCCGCGAGTGGCTAGTCGTCAGATCACCCGCCGGTACTGGGTCAACACGGCCAAGATTCAGCCTCCCCCAGAGGTGGTCCTCCTGATCCTGGATCATCTCTCGACCTGCACGGAGATCCGTACTTTGATGTGGGCATTTCCACACTGGGCAACCGTCATTCCAGAGGGTTATTGGCGAGTTCGGTTCATCCGCGAGTTGAAGCTGGAGCACGATGAGGTTCCCGGTAAGGATGCGCTGAACTGGAGACGGGCGTACTACATGGTGGATCGACTGAAGACGACCTCTGGTGGACTGCGAGTCCGGACGTGGATCGAAGCCGTGTTGGAAAGAGCGAGGATGCGATTCGCAAATCGATCGAATGGTCGGAATAGATAGATATAACGAAGTGATAATCTGATTGCACTAGGATTGAAGTGCATTGGAAGATCCGCTCATTATCCGAATAAGATTATAAATAACGGTACACATCTAAAACACAGTAGTCATCAATATAACGCCTTTAGTAGAAACAGACCAACTCCAGTCGTAGACATCCGTAGAGTATATGCAAAGTATTAGGAGTATATTCTAAACCTCTTCATTACCACGAAGTGAACTATTCGAGTTCCGCGACTCTGCGCCCGACTGATCCACACATCTCTGGTCGATCTCTGTCCGCCGGGAGTTCGCTCTTGAATGAATTGCCCCGTGCTTTGTGAGCGAGACTGTAATATTGCGATGGAGCGGTCTTCACCCCATGCCTGCGTCTTCGCAAAACCCACAACCAAGCAAGTAGCGCAATCAGCGCCAACCCTGCGACCCCTGCGCCTACACCAATTCCCACTTTGGCACCGACGGAGAGGCTCGAGGCTGGGTTGGCCACGGAGATCTCCGTTGTAGCTGCGGACGAGGAAGTAGAAGCCGAAGTTACTGCTTGGGACGAGTTGGATGAGGAGGTCCTGGTGGGTAGATCCGTAGCCATGTGGTTGATCTGGATCAAAGGGGCCTTGATGATATAACTGGAGACGGTGTAGGTGGCCAGCATGGCGGAGGAGGAGGCGGTGGTGGTGGCTGTGACGGTGGCAGGCACCCTTTGGTAAGAGAAGCCATTGCTGGAACCGGCACTGCATTGCACGGCCGGAAACGAACCACTAAAGTAGACGGAGTGGCAGGTTTGCGCCTGATAAGGACCCGGGGTATAGTCGCAAGTATATCCCTTCGGACAACAACCTATGGCCGTCTCGCCCTCATTCAACGAGAACTGGAATTGGAATCCCCCCTCGACGCCCCCCGTGGCCGAACATGCCGACACCATCCCCGCAGGACAGTGGACTCCAGGCGAGTAGAAACCCCAGCCATTCAGGGCAACTCCCGTGGATATGGATGGGTTGGCCCGGGGCGGCCAGCAGTCGATGTTATCCTGGACTCCTTGGTAGTTGAAGGCATTGTTGCTGCAGGTCTGAGCTTGCCAACCCTCAGAGCACCAAGGGCAGGCCTCGATGGCGACGCTACATGACGAGGGATAGGTGAAGGTAGTCGTGAGGGGACCAAGGTTGGTTCGTGCCGACGTCATTGATTCATGAGAGAAGACCTTGATTTATTCATTAGGAAGATGAAAGATCTAGGAAGGATCGATTCGAAAGAAAGAAGAAAAGAAGAAAAGGAACGAAAGAAAGGAAGAGAAGAAAGGAATCTTTCGGCCCCCAGACTGAGGCAACCTATACGAGCATGTGTGGGGATTTCCCGGTTTAGTGCTGTGTTAATGTTCATTTAGTGTCGAATGGACGTCTTTCAGTGGATAGGAAATGCCTCTAGGTGGGCCTAAATGGCTCTAAAGATCCGTCCAACTTCAGCGAATTTAAACATCAGAGAGCCACTGCAGAAAGTCCAGCAATAGAAGCGATATTACTCAGAGTAGAAGCTGACTATTCTGGCACAACTAACCTGATTAGGCATAGTAATGTTCACATAACCGACAACACCTAAATCTTTTTAGGAAGGTGAAAGAACTACTGACCGCTCGGCTGTCCGCCTACCTATACAGCCATGCATAGCGAGGCTAAGATAAAAGTATTCAGACTCTAGCTTGGGAAATAGACAATACTTTATCGCATTTTTAAGCAATTTAGACCTTACAGAGTCATGTATGGGCGCAGTCATCTACGCCACTTGATATCTTCGAAATTGGAAACAGCGGCAAAATTCTGGGAAAGTGTTTGATTTATTGGGGGGGTCTGAAGTGATTGTATTCAGAAGGATGTTCTGCCCAACCCCTCAGAGAGATATTGGGCATATATTTCACATGATGTCCCAATCTGGACTAGTTTTTCTGACAGAATGTTAGAGTAATGTACATATTGTAAGTAACCAGAAAGCGAGCCAGCCACCTCTGTTTTGCATATAAACTGGCACTTTTTGCGTTCCCAATATCTCAACGAATACGTTAAATATACTATGAAAGCTGATTCCTACCAATTAAACATACACTACCCAATTTTTGTCTATGTTATTTAGAGTTTAAAGAGGTTTTCTAGCCTATAATACAATATTATTTGAAGTACAATGTATTTAACGACCTTTCTCTATAACTAAAGGACTACTTATTATGTCGACCATAAAATTACGCGTATTCGCAAGTATCGATCTTTCATTGATTAGGTCTCTGGTTCAACTAAACTACCAAAACATCTCGCGTTTATAAAGGCGAGGTAACAAACGAAGAATGTAAGCTAACTCATATAGGAAATATGCTCGATCTGATGATGTTGTATTATCAACAACATTTGACCGAGATAGGTGCTGAATAATTAATATTCCATAATTGCGACATGCTTCTAGACTTAATGTCTGTTTCGTGTTATTCTATCAGTTAAATCATAGATTCCCTATTGATATGTTATTGTTGAGATATTAAGATCGAAAAAGTGCCATTTTATATACAATACAGAGGTAGCTCGCTCGCTTTCCGGTTACGTGTAATAATCCTCCTACTGCTCAGATAATACATGGGCAGCCCATAATGTAGGCTAACCCTAATCAACTTGAATGTTATCAGAAAGCATTGGTAACTGAAGTAGTACCTCAAACACCTATTAGTCCACCCCATTCAAATTTGATGAGGTGAGATCAGCCCACGTTGTATCCAAGGATCGAAGTATCGGTCAGTTCCATCACCTTACACCGTGCATGCAGGACAACTCAGACCGACTTCTCCCTTGCATGGAGAGATAAAAGCCACTCCTATACATACCGTGTCTCGTCTTTCGATTTCCGGGGATCCCCTTGCAGTGTATCCCTCCCTCGATCCAAAATGGTCAACCTGACGACTCTGAAGCTACCGAATGAGCCCATGTTTAAGGGCCTGGTATGGCTGGCTGAGAATGAACCGGAGCCTGCCATCTTCGACTCTCGCTACGGTGTAGAGGCCGATATTGTCCAGCTACTTGCAGATGTACATCAGGTCAGACAGCTGCTGTATGAGACCCTCCCGGAGGGACTGTTCGACACGCAGGGAAGAATCTGTAAAGAGAAGCCGTTTATCGGTGTGTTGATTCCGACAAGCTATGATTTCATCGTTGCTGCCGTGGCGATTTTGGCTGTGGGAGGGGCTATTATGCCACTGGGTGAGTTAACTCTTCTGAAAGCAAACAGAATAGCACACGATGTGTTATTATAATTGAAGAGTATCTGACAATAACAGGACTCAATCTCCTGTGTGAAGAATCATCCGAGCTACTGAACAGATGCTCGGCAACTGGCATTGTCACCAACATGGAACATCACTACCGTGCCCTGCAGATGCAAGAGCATGGAAGATCCCACAACAAGCACTGGCCCATTATCCCCATTACAACTATCTACGGATCACCCGCTCAACGAAAGAATATCAACATTCGACCGGAGGTTGATCCCGCCATGACTATTACCCCCAACACGCCCAGCGCGATCATTTTCACCTCCGGAACCAGCGGTCCCCCCAAGGGCGTAGTCCATGTACGACGGCTGTTCAATTACACAACGCTGCGGACGGAGCCCAAGACTTCTCTCTGCTATCAACCCGCCCACTGGGTGAGTGGCTTTCTGCTTCTGATCTGTCGGCCCCTTTGCGGACATCGACTGGTCATCTCCAACAGCAGTTGGGGAGATCTGTGGGAGGCATTGCGCAAGGGGGGAATTCATGGGTTTTGGGGGGTTCCTACAACGTGGGAGAAAATGAAGACTTATTTCGACGAGAATATAAAACCGCAAGGGCCTGAGATGGTGCAGGAATATCTCCGGGGCATCGAGAGTCTTGAGACTATTCGAGTTACTGGGGCTTTTGCCACCCCTGAAGTGAAAAACTTCTGGAAAGACTTGTTCGGACGACCCATGGAGAGCGGATATTCGACGACCGAACTTGGGGGAATGGGAATCTCATGCGTTCCTGATACCAATCACGAGATTGAGGTAAGATACACAGTCTTGTGGACGCAGTATCCAACTGATGTATGGTAGCGCTGTATCGGAGAACCGCAGCCGGACGTTACAGTTAAACTCTCGGACGGGGACTCGGGGGAGCTGCTGGTCAAAACCCCGCCCATTTTCTCGCAGTACGTATGCCATGGAGAAGAACGAGCGGTGACTGACTTGCCAGCTACTTGAACGATCCTGTCGCGACGGAGGCAGCTTTCGATTCGGACGGCTACTTCCGAACAGGGGAGTTTGTCCGCCAGGTTGGGACGCAATATGTCCTTGATGGTCGGTTTAAAACGGACTGTAAGCCACTCTACCATACTCCATACGTCATTCTCACTTTGTAGTCATCCGAACCAAAGGACATCGGATTTCCATTCTGGAGGTAGAATCCCAACTGATAGCGCTTCCATACGTATCGGAAGGATACGTGCTGGAGGCAGCAGATCGCGACGGAGACCGCGTGGCAGCTTTGATCCGTCTGCGTCCAGACGTTTTGAAGAGCCCGAGCGTGCGACAATTGCGCATCGATCTGCACCGCACTCTGTACGCCTTCCAACTGCCCACGGCGCTGCGATTCCTTCGCGACGGCGAGGACGTGCCTCGTACCGACACGGGCAAGTTGATCCGCAGACGCGCAGCCCAGACATATTTCGCCCCCCGGGAGGATTACAGCTATCCAGATGAGGTGGAAACGTGTGATTGGCACGAGGAAGTGGGCGATGGGGTGAAAGCATGGGACTGGGGAGGGAGACCGTATTAGTTGTAAGTCATTTAGAAAGAAGAAGCAATAATGCCTCTTACAAATTCTATGGTCAAGATCCACAGTATTAGACAGAGTATACCACACTATAAGCATACATTTTCGACTGCTAACTACAAGCAACTTCAATCTCAATCCTCTGGCATAAACAGTATTAAAATTAGCCGATCCAGCCCACAACATCAATTTCTTCCCCGTCGCCTGCAAACACCAGAATGATCAGCAAAGCAAACACAACCATCCCAGTCATGGTACCGAACCTGTCGTGCTCCCTGATCATTTGCCCATTCCACCATGAAATAACTCACGATGAATCCCCCGTGATACGACCAAAGTTATTCAACCCGGCAACATCGCCGCGTGCTTCGGGGTAGCTGTCAAGCAGGTAGGGCGTTGATGGCTACGGTGACGATCAGGATCCGAAGACGTAGAGATCCCAGCTTAGGGCAGGCATGTAATGGTAAGTGCCCTTGAGGGAGAACCTCAGTAGAATCAACCCGGCGATCATGAACGGGGTGGCGATTCAGATGGCCAGTACTGGTGCTTCGGGTTCTAGACGACCGTGGATGTGACGTGCCGATATGGAGCCGGGTAGGTCGTGGAGCCAGTGGCCGTTGAGTTCGCCCAGTAGAGCGGCGACCACGGGAGTGAAATAGAAGAATCCTAAATATAAGACACCAGGACATATCAGAGACGAATGACTCGAGCGGAACAAACCTATCTGCTTCGGACCAAACCATACAATGGACCCAGAAAGATAGACATGGGGGGTGTTAATCCCGACGACCCAGGCAAAGGTCAGAAGAGAGTACATTACCGAGAAAACACGACGGGTTTCAGGATAATCATTACCGGACGCATAATCGCATCCTTGGGGCTATTCTTGATATATCCCGTCCTCAACCGCTGGACACCCAGCATGCGCAGGAACTGGGCGCGCTGAAGGCCGGAATCTGGACTGGCCGTCCATCTTCAGATCAGGCTGTGCTGTCTTCCGATCGTAGTAAGTCTCATCGACGTAGAAGATGACGGCCAGGAGATGCAAACTGGTTTAGATACTGTAGACGCCAAAAGCATATTGCCAGTTTTGGCTGTTGATGATGAAGGCGGCAAATAAGGGACCCAGATAGGGACCTGGTGTTTCCACAGACGGCATCTACTTCCTAATTAGACAAAGGGTTGGCCTTTTGGCTGATTTATAGCTCCCTGCGCATCACTTCCCCTGAATTCCACAACACCAGTAAGTAATGACACACTTGCTTAAGGCATAGATGGATGCAAGGGTGGTCTGGGATATAATAATTATAATATGTGATCTACTTTTTTAGTTACACTTTCTAATTCTTTGGCTCCCTTCAATTGTTACCACCCATGAACCCTCTGGTCCACAAGTGCATTCACTCGCCAGCGATCTTGTGTTCCCTTTCTCTTCTGGCAACATCTCAGCACTGCTAGTACTTTTTCCCAATAAACTCAGCCGGATCTACTGCAAATAAAAGCCATGTATTTGCATAAACACCATTGTCATCCTCAATCTCAATAATGTTAATCTGTAACACCTCAGGGTTGGTATCATCAGGGCAAGATGGTCAAATGTTACACCATAATAGTCAATCAACCTAATCAGGTTAATGGGAGGGGAGTGACTAGCCATAGGGATATCAGGGCTAGTTGCCTCCTCCAGTAGAGATTAATGCCGACTCACTCATCCAGACCCTTCTCCGGCATCCAGCCCAAGTACTCATCACTCACCACCAGATCACCCGGGACTTCTGGACAAGCATCCCGTCCATATACCTTTTGATACGTCAACCGTGCTAGCTCCGGCGTGCTGCATTGCTTGTTAAATGTTTGGCTTTTTTGTAGATTTTCGACAGATTGGCCCCCTAATATGCTTATTTATAAAAGATGTTCCAGTATAACCAGCTGCAGGATAATTATCGAGCTACAATAAGTATATATAACCATAGGCTTCCCTGTTTTTCCATCGGCCACTTGCTCGAATTGCTTCCAGTACTCTGCATAGCGTTTACTATCCCAGCGTATATACTTCTTCTTACCAAATTCTGTCTATAGCCACTAATTAATAAATGCTTGCTTTAACATGCTAGAGTAAAGAACATAAAATTTGGATTAGTTTGGGCCAACACGTTCAAGGATATCAGGGATTGAGGGTGGTGGATCTGGTCGAGGAAGGTCAGAATTAGATACTACGACCGCAGTTTGTTGACTACGGAGGGATTAGATATATAAAGCTGCAACTCAGAAGAGAGACTAAAGGGTATATAGTCTATGCTATTCCCCTTGTGAATTAAGGAGGAATAGATATCAGAGAATTAAGATCTTTGGCTGGTCATAATAACAAAAGGGGAGGGGTGACAGACAGAGAATAAAGATACATAAGACTTACAAAAAATATTCCGATATGTCAGAGCTAGCAAGAAACGGGGGATTCATTTAGGGTGGCCCTCAGAGGGTGGAGGTTCCAGATTTGCTCACCCGCGGAGGGTAAGTCCGAGGCCTAAGTATGGTCTGTACCCCTCATACTGCACCATACGCAGTATTCCCAGGCCTGAATTTTTATGCCCTGAAGAATGGAGGGGTCGTGGGCCCCTATTCTATAGTTCCAAGAGTGGATCCTACCGACTCTTGCACAGCCATCCTGCCGCCTCACCTACAGCTCGTTGTAGGTATGCAAACGGTGAATTAAACTCCACCGAAGAGTTAAATTCTTTACTGTTCGTCAACGACAGCAAAAATAATTTCTTAGTTCTTGGCGGTTTTCAGCAAGAAACAATGCGCACTTTCTCCACATTTAGTCGGCTATAGATTTGAAGGCTAATATTATAATTCAATTAATATTTATTACCCGACCAGAACGAACTAAAATGCGTACATATTCATGTATACATTATTTCGTCAATTTCGAGGGCCTGCTAAATTTTTCTATAGGTCTTTGCTCTTTTTCACCAGCATAATACATGCTTATGAAACATACATCCCTGAATCTTCGTCAGAATTCAATCAATGTGCCATTTTTAATGCGCTCAACTGCCAATAACTAAAAGCTGTTTCAAACGCGCCAAGCTTTCTCAGGCTGTACCTGTACCTGTAATATACTATATAGAGCGTTAGAAGGACTGATCTGTCGACCAGGCAACTTTGTACTACCTTTTAATCAAGCAGTCTAGGCCACACTAGCGCGTAGACAAAACTGGCCCACTACAAAGCCGTACTATATCAACTAGTACTTTTTGAGTTAACACAATTGGTTGCGCACAGCGGCGTCACCAAGAGACTTATTGTTGTATGTTTTATCGCCCTGATGCGCTCGAGGGTCCCCTAGAATTGCGGGAACCACCGACAGACTAGTGGGGAATCAAATGGAAAATCCTTAGTCATATTCGAATATATTTGAATTCGAAAGGCTGTCAAGACATCCCGCAACATTTACATCTGCTTTCACTCGCATCTCAGCCATCCGCTATTATTGTAAAAATGTAAGATCCTCCCCTAAGTTTATTTTAGTGTGATTAATGTTAGAGTTATATTTATACGATAGATAATAAATCTCTTGGATTATTTTAGTTTCGGTGGTTTGAGTCTTCTAATATTTGACATTCGATTCCATACCTACGTCAGACTGGCGAATATTAAGACGGGCAAATTTTTTTTGAGCATGCAGTACTTGGCATTTGCCCTATCTTTTTCTAACAGGGTAGACTGGGTTATGATTATGAAAATTAAAAATACGGCTCTATTTCGCAAGCCATGATCTCGGCATCTAACCGTCCCGTACGAAACAGGCGCTCTAAATCTCTCGGTTCAAGTAACTATTTGGCTGATACAAACAACCGTCCAACTGATGTACCAACAATTGAAATCACAAATAGGACAAATGCAACCAAACATCTTCAATTAAAGATACCAGGCTCGGAGGTAGGCCGAGCAAAAGGTTCGGATAAAAAAGAAGACAGGGCTGGAAACTTTGAGAGATACCGCGGAGCGTTAATCCGGCTATTTCTGCAAAGACAAGATAAAATTATTTTTGGGCTGCCAGTCGGCTCGTGGAATATGATATTCACTACGACACCCATCTTTATATTAGTGCCGTATTCGATAGCCACTCTTTCTTATAGCAAGGAGCGCGGAGCTTACAATCGGTTAACGCGATATTAACCTCAGATCTATCAATAGAATAGTCATGTCAGTGCTATGCTCAACGGAGAAGATTATCCGAAATAAAAGCTTTACTACTCACACATCCGCAAGTCAGTTCGCCTCCTTCTCCCTCTTCAATAAAGCATCCGGTTTTGATGTCGAAACAACCCCCGTTCGGAAGAGGGGTACACTCTTTCGGGCATTCCACTTTTTTCGTCGGCATGTCATCATCCGCTGCGCCCACAGCGATTGCCAGACTGAGGATGAAGAGGCCAAAGAACCGCATGGTTGAACTTCGGCAAATATCTGGTGATGGATGGGAAATATGTGTATTCAATAGGTAGCACAGCAGGATGAAATAAACAAAAATAAAGGGCAGAATATAGGGTATGGGTTCATTCTGACCTTATAGCTTCCTTTGTCCCTTAGTCTGCAGCTAGGCTGACCGTTACGATGGGACGGGACGGGACGGGAATGGGATATTCCCATCCCATCCCATCCGGCTGGGTGGGCATAGAAAAACGAGAATGCCGTTTCCCAATTATCCTATGTCTAGTGCCAAGCCTATTAAAAACAGTAATATTTGCAATATAATACTGTAACTTCCTATTAGAGTTTAGTAACAGTTAGCAGTAACAACCATTTAAATATATATATATATATATAAACCTCTGCCTTATAGTTAAAAGTTTTCTACAGTACAACTATAATATGCCTAAAATCCTGCTAAATCCTACAAAACCTATCTTTATATTCTAGTTCTTTTACTAATAGTATAGTAGAATAATAATGCTTACAGATTTTAGAATATTTATAACTAAGTGGTGGTAATAATATAATAGTCTGCAGTCACAGTTTGTATTATTAAATAACGGGATTCCTATTCCTATCCCATTCCCATCCCATCCCGTTGAAGTTAGTAAACGGGAATCCCATTTCCCATTTAGAAATATTATGGGAATCCTGTTTTATTTAGGATATAAAACGGGGCAAACAGGATGCCAAGAAATTTATGGGATTGGACGGGATGGGAATAGTACTACATAAAACGGGACAACGGGATGGGAATCCCATGGGAATTTCCAGTCCCAACGGACAGTCTATCTGCAGCGGAGAGCCGTGGGACGGCCAGATCGGCTAGATTTCGGGACGACAACACAATTGTTTTATGGTGAACCCCATACACGACTTTTGGACTGGTCTAGTACTGTAGTTTCTGAAAGACAATGTTCTTTATAAAATGAGCATAATTGTGTAAAAAACACCAAGTGGGGGACTGATTCAGGAGGGGCCATAGATCAGCACTTTCCATTAAGTCTATAAAATTCACCGACTAATCAAATCGCCATTTTCTAGGTAACATGGCTCTTCGGGAAAATTATGCGAGTGGCAGAACCCAACACCCCTGTCTGGATTACATCGACCGTCTGTATCCAAGAGCTTGCTGTCGAGGAAACAGTAGAAGGAGCTGAGCAGATTAGCGTTACTAGTTTCATTTTCAAAAGGGAAAGTTTGGCTATAGTACAGGACCGGAATTTAAAGGCCAAGGGTCTAGAACAAAAGAAATAATAATTAAAAATAACTGGGCTTAAATTATTTACTGTATTATTTATCGTGTGTTAAATACTAGAGAGGCACAGCATACTCCAAGATATAGAAGCTCATGTTGCGCAAGCTGCTTTCAGGGAGTATACTATTAAGGAACGGTATTAGCAATACTGTAGTATGATTAAGCCAAGCCAGAAAAATTAAAATAAAAGAAAAAGAGAGAAAAGAAAAGAAAAGAAAGCTTGGCTTGAAAGAGTTTGAGGCTGAGGGTTTAGCAAGACACAGTGTCTAAATTAATTAACTGCCATATGCACCATGTTACATGCTAGAGACTAGACACATCATAGTTCAAGACAGAGAATTTTCATATTGCATATGCCAACTAGCGGCCCAGAAATATTTTCATTTCGTCTTCGCGGAAATAACCGGATTAAGGCTCCATCACATCTCTCGCGGCTTCGTCCAGGACTATAAATTCTCTTTTCCATGCCTGCTCGTGGTTGATTCATTCCACAATCTTTCTTTCTCCATCCAAAGGCGGTACATTGGGTCTTTGGATTTAGTGGCATTGCCTTTTAGAGCCTTACGCATCATGTTGCTCCTAGGCTGGATAATCAGCGGCCTAGCTGTCTTAGGCGCCGCTATACCCTCCCCACTAGGGACAGAGAAGAAAGGCCGGGGGCCTCTCGATATTCATGTCCCTCTTAGGCACGAATGCGCTCTGGGTTATCGGTACTCCATGTATATGGGGGGATGTCATAAAGTCCTTGAGGTATGTTGCAGCTAGGGCTTGAATTGTGGCAATGGTCGCTGACTGTAAACGGGTACAGGCGAGAAATCCGGAAGCTCGCCCTGCCCTTGAAGTTATATCACACCTACAGCAATGCGCCCAGGGATATGGATACGTAGAACGGATCAAGCAGTGTCAGCAGATCATTGGAGTGAGCACCTTTTTCAATGGTGACTAAGAACCCGCCACTGACTGACATAGTATGTGCTGCCAGCGCGGCATTTGGACCCCTTTACAGCACCATCACGCATTATCCTTGGTGCCATCGAAACCTTCGGAGAAGGCGTCGCTAGCTTGATCAAGGGCAGGCCCTGCCAAGGTGTGTCGAAAATCGCGATTCCCGGAGTTCATTCGGTGATCAGAGAACTGCTCACTAGCAGTGAAGGAAAGCTGGTTATTGAAAAACTTGAGCGAGAAATAACTGCTTTTTTGAACAACCCGGGGATCCATGAAACCTGGGAATTTCTGAATGAACCTCTAACTGATATCCCGGTCATCGGGCCGGCTATCAAGAGTATTGGAAATGCAGAGGCTTGGATTTTTAAAAATATTGTACCTGCATTCGCCCAGGAGAAATTGAAAACATGTATCGACGATGGTCTCCGCCATCCTACTGATGACCCCTTCTTCTTTATCCTGGGAGCAGCGGTCAACATGGTTCAGCATCCAACCATTCTGGACCTTCTGCTGGCCATACCAGGGGTTGGAGAGATGTCCGGCGCTGTTAAAGCTGCCGAGGAAGCGGCGAAATTTGCAGAAGCTGCCAAAGCTTCAGGGATAGTTGAAGAGGCAATAGAAGCAGAGAACGCTGCCGAACGCGCCGCTGAACTTGCCAAAGCAGCCCGCGGCACCCAATATGAAGGCAAAGTTGCCCAAGCGGCACACAAAGCGAAAGAAGCAGCCAACGATGCACACTATTGGGTCGAACATGCTGAAGGGCCAGGGCCCAAACAAAACCCCAAACAGAAACCCAATCCTGTGGAAGGGGACTCCAAACCCATCGGTGACGCTACAGCCGTCGAAGTTCCCCATGTTCCTAATGAAGGTGTGAAGGTCGTGGAAGATGCCGAACTCAAAGCTTCAAACCAGGCCGAGCTTGACGAAGCTCTCGAAAATACATGGAGCAAAAGCGACGAGGCCGCGCAGGCAAATTGCAAACGGTCACCGGGACTTAAGTGCCTTAAAAATTGGGGGAAACCTGAATATCGAGTTTTTGATGACGTCCCGACGCTTCAAGACCTTGTGGGAAATATACAAAAATACGGTCAAGTAGAGAAAGGCAATGGCCTCTTTTACAGCAGTCTTGACGGCCAAAATGGGGTTAAACTATCGACTGAACACTACAAGAACTATATCCAGAAGACCACAGGACGTAAAGGGTTTGCCATTGATCGTGTGACCGATAAAAATTGGTCTCGGGCTCAAATGAATAAAATGAAGACACCAGCAATGGTCGACCGGTTTGGACGTCGACTCTCACAGGCCTTTGCTGAGACTACCCAGGGTGATGTTTACTTTTTTACAAGATCAGAGTTTGATGGCACGACATTTCCGGCGACTTCCGTATGGGGAGGCTGGGAGTACCCGGCTCTAACAAGAAATCCACGGGTAACGAAAATCATCCAAGTGGACCCCTTCAAGAAGGGGGATTTAGGCCATACCATCTGGACTCCTGACAAAGGCCCCTCCCCCAACGCTCCGAAGTCGGGAAACGTGGCTTAAGGAATAATTATTGGAAGGAGACCTGTTTTTTTATCCCAACCGATCATAGATACCGCCAACGGGAAGCCTTCCTTCGAAAAGATGCGCTCGGTACGGCAGGTCATTGGAACAATACCGAAAATGAAAATGCCTGGAACAGAATGTGTTTACTGCCGGCAAAAAGTTTTAACATTTTCGTACTGATGGTGGTAATACAAAACAACCGATAAATGCTCGACATCTCAATATACAATGGTCCAATCAAATCGCTCAAAATACCGAATCAAATACTCTCTCAGATCAATCAAAATAGAACACTCGAAGCCATCGAATCTGACACTTCATCTCGTGTTCTGACTCTCCCTACCAGCATTTTAAGAGCCCTTGTCAAGGGCTAAGCCCGTAGAACCTAAAGATAGGCTATGTACCAAGAGGAATCGCTGAAGAAAGGAAGGAAAGAGAGTAAGGGGAAAAGAGAGCCACGTGTTGGGGGTCATCACGGGTCAATAGGGACTGTAGGCTGGCCGTCGGGACTGAATTCGGGATCCCGGCCGAGTTTCATTTTGTTTTCCGTCCCGTGCCAAGTTTTTCGGGAAGATATTCCCATTCCTACTTTGAAGGCCAAGTCCCGTTCCCCGTCCCATTTCCCTTGGGAATTGAGATTCCCATTACGAAACGACAATTCCCGAATATAGTTTATAATCATTTGATTTAATACTGGCCTAATTTAATACAAGATTCGAGGGATAGATTATTACTGGGAGATTTATAATAATAATATATGAAGGGTAACAGATTAAGGTAACAGTTAACACCTTTAGTCACTTTAATTTCAGCAGCTTAACGGCTCAACAATAATTCTTAAAATACCAAGTTCGGGCTGCTGGCGGATGTGTTAAACGTTGGGGTCGGTAATAATGAACCGATAGAAGCGCTAAGACCAGATTATCAGGCTATCAGCGTTGGGCCACGAACCCGCCAATGACACCCTTCAAAAAGAAGGGGCGAAGCTAGATAGGCCAAAAAAGCCTTCACAATGTCTGCAAAAACTATCCCATATATTTTACTAGTGATTTCAAATTTCAATGGCCTTTTCAAATTTCATTTCAAGGGTCTGAAATTTCAGTCGATTTCAATTTCAGACCCCACCCCTGTTTTTTACCCCGCCATGCACACAGATCAAACATAGGGCCCTTCATCAGCTTCTCTAGGTTGAGCCTCTGCCATCTCAACGTAAGGAATCACATTTCAGACAATGAATGTATAGCACCATGAGTTAAATATTTATAGCTGCTCTCTTAAACCTCACAGAATATAACAAGACCTTAGCGATGATGAGAGCTATAATGTAGTTAATTAGACCGCAAGAAAGATTTAACCTCTTTCTATGTCTCGCTCGCGTCAAAAACTTATAATATTGATACAATCATTTCCAATTAGTTTCCTATTAACTGGTCCTTTGGATCTGATTCAGCCTTCGGCAATATGTCTGGGAAAAAAAGAAAAGTATTGCTTTCTGAAGTAGAGTCAGCTAGACAGCCTCCTGTGCCTGCACAGGCAGATAACAAAGATCACAAAATGGCAGTCTTCCCTTCGCTCGAAGAGTACCAGATCGGTTGGATATGTGCCCTTCCAGACGAGGCGGCTGCTGCTCAGGAAATGCTTGATGAAAGCTTTGGGACCCCCGAAGAGCAGGACAGCACGGGCTCTAATATATACACGCTGGGCCGAATCGGCAAGCATTTGGTTGCGATTGCATGCCTGGGAGGGCAATATGGGACGACTTCAGCTACCACCGTGGCTAACAACATGATGCGGACATTTTCCAAGTTACTGCGGGTTGGATCAATGGTTGGGATTGGAGGAGGAATTCCTTCTGCAACCCATGATATACGCCTCGGTGACATTGTAGTTAGTTATCCTACTGGCACGTGTGGGGGTGTGGTCCAGCATGACATGGGAAAAGTTGGTGAAGATGGGAATCTTACCCACACTGGGTCTTTAAACAGCCCGCCCCGGTTATTATTAGCTGCGGTCAACCAAACAAAAGCAGCTGCTTTTCGGGAAGACCCACATTATCTTTCTTATATCCAACAAGCAATTCAAAGGAATGCACGGACACGCCGACACTTTAGTCGGCCAGACGAACAATCTGTGATGGTTGCCTGACCGAGTGGGAGGTAGAAAGGGATAAACGAGACAACAATGAGCCACAGCTACACTATGGTATTATTGTGTCAGGGAATATTGTGGTAAAGGACGGTAAAACACGGGAGCGATTGCGGAAAGAAACAGGTGCCTTATGCTTTGAGATGGAGGCAGCAGGCTTAATGCAGGACTTCCCTTGCATTGCCATCCGGGGTATCTGTGATTATGCTGATTCGCGCAAAAATAGGCAGTGGCAGGCGTATGCAGCATTGGCAGCTGCATCCTATCCAAAAGAATTACTCAGTTATATCCCTCGTGCCCAGGTGTCAAAGGAAAAGCTGGTGGCGGGGATTTGCAGTACGCGACACTTGCAAGAAATTTATTATTGCTAGATTAGGGCTCAACTGACTTTACTCTTTCCCAGCTACAATCAGGGAACAGCTTAAAAACTTCAACAACACCACTGATAACATCCACCAAAAAATCAATATGGACTGGTTAAAGATTGCAGAAGGGGCGGCATTTGATTCATATGCAAACCAGCATGAAAAATGTTTTCCCGGAACTAGGCGTGAACTTCTCGACCAGATTGAAAAGTGGGCAGGTTCACTAGATGGGAAATGCATATTCTGGTTAAATGGCATGGCAGGAACTGGGAAGTCAACAATTTCACAAACCATTGCACACAGTCTCAGACAAAAGCAATCACTCGGCGGGAGCTTTTTTTTCAAGCGAGGTGAAGAAGACCGAGGGAATGCCAGAAGGTTTTTTCCAACTCTTATGCTACAGTTGGTGGCTATATTTCCTCAATTAAGGAATAGCGTACAGAGGGCAATTGAGGATGATCCCTACATTTCAGAGAGGGCGCTTGGAGAACAATTCAATAAACTTTTCCTGCAGCCGCTTCAGAAAGTGGACTCTGATCAGGCTGTTACAGCAACTATAGTGGTTGATGCGTTAGATAAATGTGAAAGGGAGGGCGAGATAAGAGCTATTCTCCAATTATTACCACAGGTACAAATATCGACCTCCATACGGATCCGGTTCTTCCTAACAAGCAGACCTGAACCCGATCCGCCTGGGTTTCAAGCAGATCAGCGGCAATCACCAAGATGTGGACCTTCATGAGATCCCAAAGCCAATGATCCAGCGTGATATCTCGTTATAATTTGATTATAAGCTTTCTCAGTTAAGACAGGAGCATTCGTTTCCAGCGCTCTGGCCGGTGCATGACCATATCAAAAGCTTGCTTGATAGGCTGTGCCATTATATATTAAGGGTGCCACCATATGTCGATTTATTGGCGAAGCAAATTGGAATCCTCAGAGACGCCTTGAAGCAATACTCGCAGACAATTCGATCTATATTTCCAAAATGGCCAGGACATACATGCCTGTTCTAAAGCAACTGCTTCTTGGTCAGGATGGGTGGGAAACCAAGGAGCTGATCGAAGACTTTAGACAAATAGTCGGAGTTATTATTATCCTAGCCACTCCACTCTCGATCAATGCCCTCAGCAAGCTTCTATTCAAAAAGTCAGGGGATGTTAGGTATCGCTTGTGTCGGCTCCACTTAGTCCTTAACTTGTCTGACGATTTACATAGTCCGGTCCGGATTTTGCATCTATCATTCAGGGATTTACTTCTGGATCTCAGGACAAAACAGGCCAAAGAGAGTGAAGAGTTTTGGATAGATAAAAAGGCAATACATAGAACGCTTATAGATTATTGCCTTCAGATGATGGACCATGGTCTCAGGAAGAATATCTGCAACCTGTCAAGTGGTGGGACCCTACGCAGTGAGATTGATCTACAGTGCATTGAGCGTCACCTACCACCAGGATTACGATATGCCTGCCGTTACTGGGCAGACCATTTGATCCTGTGCCATAACCCATTTAGTGAGTTAGCTAAGGCTTTCTCATTTCTAAAAATACACCTCCTTCACTGGTTGGAAGTAATGAGCATTTTGGGCCTTTTATCTGCAGTTGTGGGACTAATAATACGATTACAGTCAGTCGCTCAAGTAAGTCCTCCTCCAGCCAAGTGGACATAAGGATACTGAGAAAAATAGAGCAAGGATCATCCTGAAATCTCGGATTTCTTTTATGATACTAGACGATTTATCCTTAAAAACCGACAGATAGCAGAGATCCCCCCACTTCAGCTTTATTCCTCAGCTCTGATGTTTTGTCCCAGACGCTCAATTACTAGAAATGTATTCAAGAGTGAGCTGTCAATGGAGCGCACAACTACAGACCCTTGAGGGCCACTCTGATTCGGTTTGGTCAGTTGCTTTCTCCCCAGATGGCAAGCTGCTGGCATCCGGCTCCAATGATAAAATTATCAAGCTCTGGGATCCCAGAACGGGCAAGATATACCAGTCTTGAGGGCCATTCTGATTCGGTTCGATCAGTTTATTTCTCCCCGGATGGCAAACTGCTCGCATCCGGTTCCGTTGATATAACTATCAAGCTCTGGGATCCCGGCACGGGCGAGCTGCACCAGATTCTTGAGGGCCATTCTAGTTGGGTTTGGTCCGAAAAACACATTGGTCTATCTATACTACATGGTCAGTGGATATGTTTTCAAGATGAAAGGGTAATGTGGCTTCCTACAGAATACCGCCAAACGTGCTCGGCGTCAGATGGTAGTCTTCTTGCTCTTGGCCATAAAAATGGACGAATTTCCTTGATCTCATTAAATTTTTTGTCAAATAAGCGTGGATGAATAATCTTGTCACATTCCCTTGTATCTTCTAGTCTCTTTTCCAAACGAGGGTCCAAGATAGCCAAGAATTTATATTTTGTCTCCCCTGCTACTAGAATATCAGACTTATTTCTACACTCTTCTGGACTACGGATATTGATATAGTTGCCAGATTTAGGGTGGGGAGAGAGAACCGTCACTTGCCCCAGAATACCTCGCCTTCTTCCTCCGTGTGCATTTTTCCCCTGGGAAGGCTGTGGATGTGAGGTTGGTTCGAGGTGACGGGTAAGCAGCGTCGGGATATGGAAAGAAGCTGTTTGTGGGGACCGTGGAAGAGGGGAGGGAGGCAGACAATCCATGGGAAGCAAGCTGTCGATCAGAAAGTGTAGGAGGGATTCTACTCGGCCATCTGGGGGATGAGTTCCCCAGCGGAAGATTGATCTTGGTCAGCGTGTCGGGACCACCGGTTGATCGCGCTCGGTGTCATTCCCCTGAATCACCTCCATTCCTTTAGATAGTAATTGAGTAAAAGTATAGTCGAGCAAGCAGTCAATACAGTTGTTGTTATCCTCCAGATTCTTAGTAAGCTACCAGCGTGCAGCTGGTATAGTGCCTCCCACTCCTTCCATTGAGCGAATGATCATAACAAAAAATAAGATAAAATTCTATAGAAAGTTATACAGTCGCTTTTCAAACATGATCATTATTAAGTCTACAATTTTATATACATAAATTACCTATCCTGCATTATGAGCTACTCTAAAATCCGCAAATTTTCTAGTAATCAACATATGTCAATCTGGGAAACTATAATTTATGACTTTGCTGACCATACTTAGTGATTTAGATAGAGCTAGCAGCTCTAGCACGGAACAGCCTAAACTCAATGTCCAAAGTGACTGCCTGGACTTAAGAAAAGAGAGGGAAATAGGGTAGATTGACGCTTCTAGGTAGTTCTATCTTTCCATTAGATTTAGGAAGGAGGCCTTTTGCATTCCTTTGCGATGAGCTGTAGTTTTCCTAGCGCGTACAAATTCGGCAGTATTCAAGATATCCACTAAAATATTATCTCTGTTGATTGGCAGGGTGGGCTCTCAACCTTCGCATATTATTACTCTGGAAATGTCTCTTGGGGTCTTGACCATGTATATACTCTCGCTAGACTATGTTAAACCAAATTCACTATAATACCCACTGGTCAACACTAATGATCCACGCTTGTTTACAATTCGACCCGCGTAGGTCCATCCAATTCTTTGTTGATGATCTCCTCGGCAATCTTTTCAGCCAGCGCATCTAACACGCCGAATAGTTAGCACAAAATATGCCGAGATGAGCGCGAGCGACAGGTCAATGGACATACAGATTGCGCTTTGAATATGACTGGGAGGGAGGAATGGGAGAGCACTATTATGGCATCAGTATTGCACAATCCTAGGTCACGGAAAGTACACCAAAACATACGCAGCATCCACAACTCTTACGCCATTGACGCCAATCACCCTTGCCTGGCTGTCTACAACAGCTTTGTTCTTAACCGCATCAGGATTGCCCATCGCACACGAAGACCCGGCGTGGTAGAAAGCCAGGCCATCTTGCTGAATGAAGTGCAAGATCTCCGCATCGGACCGAACCGAAATTTTGCCCGGGTAATATTCGTCTCCGAGGCGAACAGGCACCAACTCCGGAGACTCGAAGATCTCTCGCAGACGCTTGAAGGCAGCAATGGCAACCTGCTGGTCGGTAGGAGACCCCAGCGTGTTCGTGTGGATGACGGGCGGATCGTGGGTGTCGGCGGACCGGAGAGTGACGTTGCCCAGAGATACGGGGGCGACAAGGGCTGCGTTGATGGACGCATACTGCTTGCTGTCTTTGGGCTGACGGCCCATAGGATCGTTGAAGTTGCCCAGGTACATTGGAGATACAATATACTGGGATTGGTTGTAGGTGAGCGGTGAAATATTGGTCTACAGGACAGCGGCACTTACCTCCACTTCCGGCCAATCTTCCGGGAACTCTGCCAGGTCCTGAAGGGTTTCCGGCGTAAATGCGTCACGGAGATGATCGGGGACCTTTTCAAAGGCACCAAAGTCGCCCGCGTTCGCAGTCAAGGGCCCCTGACGATGCTGGTGATAATCACCGACGTAGAGCCGAAGCATGTAGAACGCATCGTTAGCCCATTTGGTCCATGTGGGGACGTCGACAGGGTACGATACCCCAAACCATACGTGGTCGACCAGGTTCTGTCCCACGTAAGGACTATCATGAATGATGGGAATATCAAGGCTATCCAGAGTATTTGCCGGACCGACGCCCGAGACCATCAGCAGTTGAGGGGACTGGAAGGCTCCAGCCGATAGAATAACCTCCTTGTCGACGGCGAGCGTATGCTCCACGCCAGCCATCTCTACCACAACTCCCGTGGCAGTCTTGCTGTCGTCGAAGAGGATTCGCTTCGCCAATGTTTCTGTATAGACGGTTAGTTTGGGGAGATCCTGGAACTCCTTCAGATATGTGTTTTCAGAAGACGCCCGCTCCTGCGTCTCGGGGATGGTTGTGAGCGCAAAATACTGTGAACCGATGATCTGACCACTGTTGAAGTCGCCGGCATCGTCAATCCCCACGGCCTTCATAGCCCGCTGGATCCAGCTGCAAGGTGTCAGCAGTTTCTCCAGTGGCAGTCGACTTCAGGAGAGTGATGATTATCACCTGGAGATCGGCGACGCCCAGTTGGCGTACGTCACAGTCAGCGGACCGCCGTCGGGCGAGAACGCGCCTGGATGATATCCGGGGGTCGCATTGGCAGCTCGGTGATTGGGATCCGGGGCTGTGAAGTTCGTGCCTTTCTTGAAATACCGTTCGAATTTAGACCACGCGTAGCTTTGGTCCCCGACCTCATCGGCCCATCTCTGAAATGCGCCGACAGGGGCTCTGGTGTATTTTCTTAACAACCGACCAGAATAATAAGTGTGTATGGGAAGGCCGTACCTCTGGTAAATCATCGCACTATCATCACTCAGCACCAAAAATTTTCCAATAGGGTTTGTAACAGCTGTGTCTTACTTGCGTGCGCTGGAGCCTCCCATGCATTTCCCACGGGGATAACCGAAGACTCGTCCCCCCATCCCTGGCTGGGGCTCAACGATGAAACCCCAATCATTAGCAGCATTATTTGCGAAACCAAAGGCTGGAGTGGATGAGATTATTGGCTCCGAGTCCTCGTACCAGCCGCCAGCCTCGACAATGGCGACCTCGAATCCCGCCTGAGCCAACCTTGTTCCTACTGGAATCCCCGCAGTGCCTCCCCCGATGATCACATAGTCAAAGGTACTGTTTCGTGCCTGGCCGTGGAGAAAGGCGCCCGCCAGGACAGGGAGAAATGCGATAGAAAGAGGCCAGAACATCATTCTTAACCGAGGAACTGAGGTAGGGTTTGGTGCGAATATGAAACACGATAATATTAATTTATGGCCGTTACGGATTCAGCTACGCGACCCATCCCATATCCATCCGGGTCCAGGTAACCATCCATCAGATACGGCATTCACGTTCTCCTGATATTGAGAACTAGCTCCGAGGGCATGTTGCTCTGTGAAATGGGAAAGACGCACCTCACCAGTGCGTTCGGAGTTCGAAGCAAAACGAACCACAAAGCCGGAGACAAAATCAGATTTAGCTGGCGGAGACTTACAAATCATGCCGGGATTGCGAGATGTGCCCACTTCTCCGGGGCTAACGAACCATCGGAGTTGGACGTCGCCGGAGAACCGAAGCAGCCATGTCGACCACCAACATGCGGTTGCTAGAATCGGATCCTTAGGAAACTTGTATTTTTCGTATCACCTAAGTAAATCCACATTTATGGGCTTTTCTCCAGAAATGCTACTATTAGTTATCCCGAACTTATATCAAGCCATGTCTCGTCGACTGCCAGATCAGAATCGATTGGAATACTATACACTCCACGATAGATCGTCCCAGTTGCTTTTTTCTTCATTTGAATAAAAAACAAACGAACAGGCCTCGATTATGGGTTCCATCGCGCCTACCATTGTCCCTCCTGGAGGCCTTGTCTTGGTCACCGGTGTGAATGGATTCCTGGCTTCTCACCTCGCCCTCAACCTTCTTGAACATGGCTACAAAGTTCGAGGCACTGTGCGATCTCAGGAAAAGGCTGACTGGATTACCGACGCTATGAAGAAACGTTATGCAGAAGCCGCCTTCGAGACAGTGGTGGTGCCGAATATTTCCGTTCCGGGGGCATTCAGTGGAGCGATTCGGGGCGTCGATGGCGTCGCCCATGTGGCCACTGACCTGTCCTTCGGTAGCGATCCTAACAAGGTCATCACGCCCATGCTGGAGGCCCTTCGCAACATCCTGGAAAGCGCCACCAACGAACCGAGCGTCAAACGCTTCGTGCTGACCAGCAGCGCTATTGCTGCTCTAACTCCGCAGCCGGAGAAAGAAATCCACGTCGACACCAACACCTGGAACGACAGCAGCATTCAGCGGCCGTGGCGACCCGCGCCGTATGAGCCCGAGCGCTGCTGGGACGTCTATGCCGCGCTAAAGACCTCCACTGAGCGCGAGTTCTGGAAGTTCATCCAGGAAAACAAGCCTGCCTTCATCGCCAATGCCGTCCTACCGGATTTCATTGTAGGCCCGATCATCCATGCCAAGCAGAATGGCAGCACCGGCCGCTGGGTAAAGGAGTTCTTCGATGACCCCATAAATTACTACAAGCCGCTGCAGGGCTTCATTCCCCGGCACTTTGTAGACGTCACCGACGCGTCTCTGCTGCATATTGCAAGCTTGACGCACAAGGATGTGCAGAATGAGCGGCTGCTGGCCTGTGCCGGCCCATTCAACTTCAATAGTTGGTTGAGCGTGTTCCGGCAGATTGATCCTGCGAAGCCGTGGCCGGCCGATGATCCGGATCAGGTCCATGATCGTAGCACTGTTGATACTCGGAGGTCGAAGGAGCTCTTGAGGCGGTATTCCAGACCTGATTTTACGCCGTTCTTCGACAGTGTGCGCGAGAACTGTCTCAATAGCGACCCCGAGTGGAAGCGGTCGAACTTTCCCTAAGTGCAATGAAATGAGATGGCTTATGTACTCGAATGAACGCTTTCACGTATGTTTTCTTCGTACTATGTGTTAGATTCACCAGTAGGCGCTGAGCGCTCATTTAACCCCGAGAATCTCTTGATTAGAAAGGACGACTGTATCATGACTGACTCAGCACCTAGGCATTTTTCTGGCATATTGCTAAATCTAGTAGTATCGTGGTAATCGCATTTACAGGCCAACAGCCTAATCCATTCACGGAAAAGCTATCTCAATGCCATCTGTCTGCCCTGTCCTCCTAGCTGTATACCACAACATGTGCCACGAAATAAATCAAACTATTGATACTTGCAGTAAATATTTTTAAACAGGTCTAGGGTAAAGCATAAGACTATAACAAAATATGAAGAACTGGCTCTCTCCCCATTCACCTACACGCAGTCTTTCAATTAAGCACTCTGGTGTTGGTGCACGGCGGCAGCTTTCTTGGTTTTCTTTCGGTAGTGATCCTTGATCAAGAAGACGAGACTCATCACCAGACCCAAGCTAGCCAACCCTAGCTCGAAGTAGAACGCACCACGATACCCCTTCTTCTTGTCGCCATAGGTGTGGCCCCCGTTATTGACTTCTCGCTCCACCGTCCCCGCAAAGCCCAGCCCCAGCGAAATACTGTAGTTCACGATGGTCATGACCACACTCGCGCCGATGCCCTGGTACTTGGGCGGCACGGCGTCGGAGAAGATGATTGTCGCGGCGGGGAAGGACGAGTCCATGCCCACGCAGATGATAAGCACACTCCAAAAGAAGTTGCCCCAGTATATCTGATGCGTCGGCATGGTGGTAATGAGGATCGACCCGATTAGGTACGCGACCATGCCGATGAACATGACCCATGCTGCCGAGACACGACCGAGGAGCTTGCCCACCGCGAGGGCTGCGCCAAGTCCCGAGGGAATTACTGGGCTGTACCAGGCAGCTAGGAGCAGCGGGCTGACGTTGTTCAGCTCCATAACGAAGACGGCGGCATAGTACACCCAGATTCCGAAAGTCGCCCAGCCACAGGCAGTGCAGACCAGCACAAAGGCAATATCGGAGTTGAAGGCCGCAAGGGGCAGGATTGGTTCCTTCGACCAGCGCAGTTCAACCCAAAAGAAGGCCGCTGCAAAGATGAATCCTAGGATGAGGCACACATATACGTATGGTTCTTGCCAACCGAACCCGGCGGCTTGATTCCACGCGAAATTGATCAAGACCAGAGAGGTCACGCCGGTAAAGCAGCCTGGAAGGTCTAGATGCACGATCTTTTGGCAGACCGTCAGAGTTTTGGACGTGCTACTCATCGGCTGAGGTGGTATTGCCCAGACAGCAAACATAGCCAGGCAACCGAGTGCAATGGCCGCGCTCCAGTATGCCCACGGCCACCAGGCCAGAGCAAAGAGGCCACCACTTGCAAAGCCGGATATAGCACCAAAGGGTGCGCTGCCGCCGAAGAACGCAAAAGCCATGTTCTTACGGGGTCCGGGAGAGTACGACTGGCCGAGAATGGCGATCGCGTTGGGCAATGTGACGGCCGGCCCCATTCCCTGGAAAACACGGGCGAAGATAAAAAGAACCTGCGTGGAATAGACGGCTAGTCCACAGACGAGAGTCCACAGCGCGTACCAGCCCATGCCGATGATGAACATCTTCTTGTGTCCAAAGTCGTCCCCCAGCCGGCCGGCAATCAGGACAAAGGTGCCAATGGTCAAGCTGTAGCCAGCCACAAGCCACGACAGTTCGTTGCTGTTGGTGATTCCGTACCAGTCCCCAATGATCCGAACGATGTCCATTGTTTGGCCCAGCCCGAGCTGATTCGTGTACATGGCCGAGCAGATGGTCAGGACGAAGAGAATCTGCCGAGACAGAGGGAGGGTATCTGCGATATAGACATGTTCGTCCTTCGTGCCCTTCCCATCTTCGAGGGTGGGAATATTTTCGTCATCTTGCCAGTCGTATTTGTTATTTCTCTCCTTCGATATACAGCTAGGGAAACCTAGGAAGACTCACCTCTTGGGATACCTCCCTGAGAAGAGACGGATTTGGTCTCGCTGCAACTCTGGTTCGACTCCATAGCCATGAGTCTTGTCTGTTGGCGATAAATGATGCAAAGAATGAGAGTGCAAGAAGTAGGATGAATTACCTCTTTAATATCCAATACGGACTTCGAAGCCCAGCGACAACGCACCGGATCGACCACCGAGCTCCGGGGCCCACGACCATCCAACTCCGGGTGGCAATTTAGGGGAGGACCGCCCGGAGTGGGGCGATCTTAGGGCTACAATAAAACAGCGGCCATTCGTCCACCACCTGGATTCTCGGTTCCATGATACCCTCCACTCCAACGCAATATGAAGATCTTCCATTCACTGTCCTGTTTGCTCTCGCTGGTCCTGATCAACAGACCCGCTCAGGCCGTCCACCATCCGAAGCATTCCACCTGGATGCTGGAAAGTGTCATCGCGCGAGGCGAAGGAATCAACCCGGCCGACGGCCTATTAGGAGTCATTCAAAAGGTACAGCACCGTCGTAGTCCCTTCCCTGTGTATGGTTGATTAACACATTCACGCACAGGGATTATTTCAACAAGCGCTCCGAGCAGCCATCGCCCAGTCTAGCGACCCAGGGGAGATCGCAAAATGGACGGATTATCACCGTCGCAGCGTGGAGGCCAATATAGAGGACCTCCTCAATGCGACGGCGTCCTCACGCAACCTGTCACTCGATCGATTATGTGTCGGTCGTTCGATTATGTTCGTGCCAGCCATGCATCCCATCATCAGGTGTGAATCCCGACTGACGTTACAATCTCTGTCCGTCCAGCGAGATGGATCTTGACGGGCCTGTCCATCGCAACGTACTCAAGGCCCTCCGCAAATCCCTCGACCTGCAATCTCGCAACGAGAACTCTGGACTGTGGTACTTCGTCGACCCTCCGCCTCCCTACATACCCTACGGCAATCTCTCTTACAGCGATGGCATGTATGGCTTCGCACCCTTTGCCACCTTGTATGGCTTCACTTATGGTGACCCACACGTGAACCTCGATTCCGCCCTGCTTCAGCTGAGCCTTCTCTACAATCACAGCATAGAGCTGTCTACGGGTCTGATTAAGCACGGCTATGATGCCTCGCGAAAAGCTCCTTGGGCCCACCCAATCACCGGAGCCAGCCCCATTGTGTGGGGGCGGAGTTTAGCATGGTATCTCATCGGGACGCTGGATACCCTGCAGATCATCGATTCCAAGTATGAGGATCGCTCTGAGTCAATGCAGAAGGATGAGACCGTCCAACTCATCCTCGCAATGTTTCAGCGTCTCGCCCGAGCGACGGTGAATGCGATCCAGGACTCCGCCCGAAAGACGGGTCGTTATGCCGTCTGGCAGGTGATGGACCAAGCCGGAGAGCCGGGGAATTTTGTCGAAGCCAGTGCTAGTGCCATGGTCGTGTATGCTCTGGCCAAGGGGGCGCAGCTAGGTTATTTACCGAGTTCCGGCCGTTCGCCATCTTCGGAAATAGTTGTGGGACATGGCGCATCCTCGTATCTTCGGATCCAGGGCACGATGCGGCGTTCCCATGACCAGGAACAATACCAGGGCGTACTGGATCTTGCTCGCGCTCTCTACCAAGATGTGATTGAGCATTTTGTTGTGCGGAGGCAAGAGGACAACCTGTTGGATTTCCTCGGGACAAGCATCATTGCCAGCTTGCATGAGGACAAGCCGTATTACGAGGTGCGTTTTGGTCCCCTTTCGCACTCCTATGTCTTCTGGCTAATGTCTCTCGTTGCAGTATTATACACATCGAGCTGTCACTACCAACAGCTTGATTGGGACGAGCGCGTTCGTGCTGGCCTCCCTAGAGATGGAGCAAGCGGGCATTTTGTAGGAGTAATACAATATGTAGGGTTAATAATAGGGTCAACTGATGAAATAGGACAACTACTTTGTAAGATTGGGGCCATGCCGTAATGTCAAAAGTTCGTTCTTACATTTCTCCATCCATTCCAGCAGAGTAGTACATTATCAAACGGCTTTTTGGCCCTGTAAATCCCATCTCACACGTCCGACACCTCCCTGCCCAACCATCCATACCTCACGATAGTCATCCGCATCCGACCAGACAAAGTTATTGACAGTGAAATTGATCTGCACACGCGCAATCATATCCCCATACTCGTCCATGACACTTAATCCATTCCCGCTCGCTGTCACCACCCATCCATTCCAGGCTACCTTGAGACCGTCCGGCACTGTGCCGATGGCGTCGTAGTGGATAGGACGCTTGTTGACAATGGCGTGTCCATGATCGATGAGGTCGAACTTGTAGATGGTGCGCTTGCCGGTTGTGTTGAACAGCAGGCCGGCCACGCCGGGACTGGGCAGATCGATGGAGATCGGCGCCGATTGACCCGCAGCCTCGGTGTCGGTGATGTAGATATGTCTTCGGTCAGGACTCATGGCGATGCCGTTCGGCGAGCGCATCTCGTCATTGACCACGGCCGTGGATCCCGTGGCCGGATCGAAGCGATAGGTGGCCGACTTGAGCTGCGGCGGGGTATCGGCCACCTCCAGCCACCAGGAGTAATAGGGAACAGTGAACCAGACAAAACCGGTAACGGGGTCGACAATGACATCGTCGCAGTCGGTGAAGGTGAGACCGTAGTAGTTGTTCAGCAGCGTGGAGGACTTATTCGTCCAAGGATCGAGGGTGACGATACCGGGCCGCTGTTTGTGTTTCTCGCTGCTGCCGGCGACGGAGTAGTAGATCAGGCCGTTGTGGTAGAACCCGCCGTTGGGCACATAGATGGGGGGATCCGCCTGGAATTCAGACAGGGTCGGCGGGTCGACATTTAGATCAATAACGAACTGCTCTAGCATGGGCGACAGCTCCGAGAAGAAGATCTTGCGGAGACCGGGCACGAACGTCGGTGCCTCATGCAGCGCCCACCGATTGACGGAAAAGACGAAGTCCACGCTGGGGTTCTCGCCGAGCAGTTTTCGGCCACGTTCCTCGTCGAAGACGACAAAGTCCGCTTGTTCTACCTGCTCCCAGGTGGTCGATTTGGCTTGGCCTCTGCCGCCTTTGAATTCAATGTCTGCCAGGTTCGTGGCGTAGGTGCCGTTCGGAGAATCTCGCCAGAAGGGATAGGGAAGGTTGGCTCCGTGTTTGTCAATGCAGACTACGCCTGGTGCGATGCACTGGCGAACTAGACCGTCTGTTGTTGCGGTGTATGGGGAACGATGAAAGCTGTCGACCAGAGGATGCTGTTGCCCCAGCTCGTCACGCCGTTGCAGGACAACGACGGCCAGCGCGACAGCAGCATTGAGTGTGAATGTGATGATGAGCTTCATCTTCCGGTTAGCGTGTAAATGCTGGTCGATGGAAAGCCTCATCTTCATAACCAAGGGTTTTTTTAACTTTACATGTACTAATTGTTTTGATTTCGGAGACGGATGGTCGTCATCCTTCTTTCTCCGACGCTAAGGGCAAAGTCGTCGGAACACCCGTTCTTCGGACATGCCAACCTGGGTCGCCGAAACTTGATGGTAAGACTGGTTGAGGCTTACATAATAAATATCGTTTTAAGGAGGCTGCTAAGGTCCAGATACTCGAGGTACTAAGTGGTGGACGTTCATCTATATGAAGATGGTATGAGATAGGCGAGGTACTAGACGTAGACAGACACGCAAGTGCCTGGCGCCTCCAACATGTACATGGCATACTGACCTCTACAGGGATCATTAATCCTATCATGTGTGGCACAAAATTTCCCCATTATGACTGTCCAAAAAAGTAGGAGATTAGACTGGCCAACGTGACTTTGGCAACTACAGTTTTAACCAAGTATAGACATCACGATAGGGGGCGGTCAAGGAGCGGTCATTCTATCTACGTTTACCAAAACCGCACGTACAGAATGCTTCAACTAGTTCATTGGATCAGGGGTTACATTCAGTTACTACATGCCTTCCACATGAACGTAAAGCAACGCCCTGGTCATAGCCAATTTGGCTCAAAGAAGCCCTCCACAGCGTCTCCTGGACTGGGCTTGAAGGCGGTTTGCTAAGTCTTCAAACTCTTTAAAGTGCTCATCTTGGTTGTCACATTTCCGAGCAGAATCAAAATCGATTAGAACCGCCTTTGAACTCTGCATGAGGAAATTGAATCAATTTGTATACCATACCTGATTCTCAAGCTATGCAGCCGAGACAATGCCTGCTGGCAGGGGGCAAAGTCCTGGAGTCCAGCATGTCGTGCATTCGTAGATCTGACCAAAATTCGTGCTATACCAATTCACAGCGTTTTCATCGCTAGAGATGTTGATAATATCTTTCCGATATCCAGATAACCTACCATCATGGATATCCATGACCTTGCCAATTCACCCCAAGATGGATGTGATGTTCAAATACCCTTCATTATTTGAACTATCTTCGTCCACCGCAGCTTTAACGAAACTTTCCGCCAGTATTCGCCCACATGGATACAACATGTTTCCGTATATATCACAATCTGTTTTGGACCATTGGCTGTCGACAGGTCCATGTCTCCGCGAGAGAATGCATGGCATCAACACTATTTGCACCTCCCGCTCGGGCAGGTGCGCTGGATAGTCGAAGGTCTTGGACGAACAGTCAAGGCGTCTCTAGCCACTATTTATCTCCTCCAATACAGCTTCAGGGTCAGGGAGAGTATTCAAGGGTTCATCGGGAGGGCCACGATTTGGAGTTGCGAGTCTGAACCCAGAATCCAGAAGCCTTTGTGTCGCCGCTTGATAATCTTCGTCTCGCACTACGAACATGTGCGTCTACTCCCAGGTTATGTCACATAATCAGCAACCAAAGAGTCAAATTACATCGCTCGACATACGTCAACCACAATCAGCACACCAAGGTAGGCTAGTGCAAGAGGCTCCCTGTGATGACCGGCAGAGGATGAAGAGCACGTAAAGCTCGGACACCGCCAGGTTCTGCGCACTTTCGTGCGGATTCCTGAACATTACGTACTGATTGGGATATTTAAACTGTTGCCGAAACGTTGTGAATACCCTTGGCTCTTCGTTGTGATGCCGCGTTCGAGGGCCAATGTAAAAGATGCGATGTATCACGTTCGGGGGCCCAGAATGGACACCCGTTTTCTTCTTTCCTCAGCTTATCCTTTATGTAATCAATTGCATGTAGGCCCATGCGGATCAAAATGGTGTGACTACTAGCGCTGTAATTCGTAATGAATCTTAAATACACAGCTGCATCAGATCCCCGAATGCGAGGGAGTAGGAAATCTCATGTTACCACAGCCTGATCAGCCCCGTCGCCAATATCTCAATGGCGGCCAGGGCCATGACGGGCTAAGACGCGCTGTGGGCGATCTTCCGTTTGAACGCCTGCCTTCTTAGTTGCTCGCAGTCCTCAACGACTGCGAGCGTCACCTCCTTGGCCCTCTCGTCTCCTTAGTGTCTAATGATACCAAGACAGCCGTGTTCTGCGCATTCTTGCGGCTAAGCTGAGGCGAGCGTAGTATTTGTTATGTAAACCCCCACCCGAAGATCAACATCTTCGGAGATGGATTGTTCTAAAACTGTTTACGAACTAGTCTGATTGACAACCTTCACTTTCCAGATTTAGACCCACCAAACACTGAGATGAAATTCCCACTCCGCGTTCTGCTAATCATCGTCACCCCCACCCTAACGTACATACTTTCTTAGCCATAGCGTGCTACTGCCCGCACTCGCCTTAGTTTTTCAAGAAGCTCTCAAAGGTTCCATAGCTGTAGTGATACACAGTCATGTATGGCTTGCCCTTTTTGAAGGAGTACGAAATCCATGCGAGGGCGTGGTTTGTGTTGGCTAGATCCTCGTCCGGGCTTCAGGGAGTGAGTGTCAGGGGGTTGGGAAAAAAAGGGGGGTGGGGGGTGGACTCACTAGTACTCGCACAGGTTGGCCATGTATGAGTCGGCTAAGCCTATCCAGCCCATGCGGCGGAAGAAAGCCTTCAAAGCATTGGCAACCACCGTGTCATTGTACCCAAATACCGGGAAGTATATCTGGGGTTCCGGGATGGGATTCCCTGGGCAGAGGCTGAAATTGATAATGAATGGCAGGCGTTCTGCGGGCGAAGTACCCAGCTCGTGGAAGCCAGGAGGGCCTTCGCTACGCCCCTCAGTGATTGGCAGCAAGTCCCATAGCTCCTTGAGTAGCTCCAGGCCGGCCAATGTCTGTGGGTCATTGCGCCTTCCTCCCAATGTCCAGTCGCTGGTAAGGGCATCAAAGTCCCGCTTTGTCTCGTAACAGTACATTTTAATTCGTGATTCGGACGGCTGAACAAGATCACATGAAAAAAAATGCGCAATAAGGGCAGAGCCTTGCGCTCCAGCCTCAGAGGCGCGCGAAGCCAAAAATTCTGTTAAAGTTGATAGCGGTATCTTAAGTTGGCCGTCATGATCGACCTTCCGGATAGCGTCAAACATCAGCCTTTCCTTTGATTTGTCGGTGACAACAGATTTAATTCTGGGGCAGAAATAGGCTTTCAGTAACATATCCCCGTTTGGCTCCATGTCGGCTGCAATGACACTCTGCGTACGGAATGGGATGGTGGTGTTGCGGGCCATTTTGGCTTCTTCGTCCGAGACAATAAGATCCGACCTGAAACTATTGTACCATTCCAGATGGAGACCTGGAACAATTTTTCCAAATCTGTGCAATGTCTCAGTGATCGCCTTGGTGTTAAATAAATCTTGCTCGGTGCCAGCAAAACTGCCAATTGGCTCGAAGGCGAAACGGACGAGAGATTGGGAAACATTGTAGCTTAATTCGAAAGGAAGTCCATAACGGGTGAGCATGCTCTTCCAGCTCACTTGGGCCCCTGCCGTAGGATACGCCCCCAAGTTGGGAACAACAAACTCGCGGTGAAGGCACAGAAATCTGTACTGTGCGTGTACATCGTAGTTAGCATTGATAAGCATTTTGGCGAAGAGCGGCGCTGTGGTATGCCACCATTTGGCCTCGTCGTCATTGGCAAAATTGAATGTTCGGCTGAGAATCTCCAGCGGCAGTAAGCTGGCAGCCTGCTCGGAATGCATCTTGAAACAGCTAGGAATCTGTCAACTTGGATCAGGATGTCCTAGGGGGATCTCGTAGACTTATTTAGGCTTCTGCGTGGGTGGATGTGTGATCTGGCCTCCAATCTGGGAAGATAGTACCCAGCTCAAGGATCGCTCGTACACAATTCCGATACACTCTCATGGAAGCTAATTAAGAAATCCCCACCATAAATACTAGATCTTATTCCTTCTTGTCAACCAATGCCATGCGGGGATCTCCACCATATGACCCACTCGGACAGTTTCTACACAATTGCTGGATACCGCTACTTCCACTATATCCTTTCCTCTGTCAAGGGTTAGACCTCTTATAACCTAATATCTAGGGTAGATACAAAGGAATCGTCGAAGAGGAAAAGAGAAGAGAAAACAGCGATGAGACGATTGCGAAACAGACAGGGGAAGAAGTCACATGGAGTGTACTAATCAATATACTAATCAGAAAGAAACACGAGGGCTGAGGGGTTGAGTAGGCTAAGGGGTTCTAGCCCCTCACATCCTCCAAGCTTTCTGTCCGATTGTGCAACACCGTCGTCATCGGGCTGTGAGTGCTGCATACACAACTGCAATACCCCTGCCCGGAAGGACTTTCCAGTCTTCGAGTTCAAAATGCACGTCGTATTCCGTGGGGCGAGAAGCCGCAGGTTAGACTGAACATGAAAGCTCGGAGGAGGGGTGGCAACAAAAGAAAAACAAAAAGAGGAAATGAAAACTGTGTTGGATAGCTCAGGTAATGCTAGATCACAGATTTGGCAACATACATCCCGACGCATATTCCACATAGTTACGTAGTCATTGCTAGAGTCTCTTAGCCCCGGAGCTCCTTTCTGTTCCCTTAGCGTCTCGCATTAACATAAATTCATGATGTTATCTAGACAGTTAACTGTCTCAACAAGCACTTCAAACACGACGGAGACAAACAGAGTGTACCGAAACGTGACGATGAGTCGACGGCTCCGTTTATGAAGCTATCTATTTTCACGTCGGAGACGAGCGTCATCAAACTCTTTGCCGACTCTGAGATCTTTGACGCCATCCCGGAGTCGGAGAATATTTCCATTGTCGAGCTTTCCAACGAAACAGGGTGTCGACAGGGTCTCCTGGAACAGTCCGTCAACTTCCTAGTTACCGTGGATGTCTTCTCAGTGATGTCTAGCCGCATTGGTCATACGAAGAACTCGATGCGCTATTGGACCAAGAGTTTGACGTTGGCCTTCCCCCCTGATCTATTTCTCTGATACCTTCCTCATCCTGCCATCCATTGGCCGCGATTATTCCAAATTAATGACTTCGTGGAACCAAAACGAGCTGATCGCGTGTGCCAATTGGCATAGACCCTCGGTTATCCCCACAGCACGAGCTATGAGGTCCCCGAAACAATGTCCCACATATCGGGCCTACTACACCGTGCTGTGTCCAAGGCTACGGAACGAATGCTGATCACAAGGATGTATGATTTCTCTTGGGTTGTCGCAGCGGCTCGGAGCGGGGGAGTGGGATCCAAAGCATCATTGTGGATATCGGAGGTGGAAGGGGACCGGTTTTCCGAGCATCCCCCAGTAAAACCCGCACATCCCGGCAGCTAAGTGCGTGCTTATGGACAGGGATCAGACCATAATTGATACGAAGCACGATGGTGACACGATCTTACGCCCAGCCTAGAAGATGGTGGGAGAGTTTCTCTGCGAGCAGCCCATTCAAGGTCTGTTTCTGATATCCCTTCTTCATTATTGCATGCTCACATAAGTTAGCGCACTCGCACTGAGGTCTCTGATTTATAACATTCGGCGAGCGCTCTATGATTGGCTTGATAATATTTGCGTCAGCATTCCCGCACCATTCACCATTCGTTCTGCTTGAGCGGTAGTCTCTAGGGTCTTGGAGTCGGAGCAGCTGCTGTTGACCCCACTCTCCATCCAGACTGCTCTCTTAGGCGCCGCCTGGATTACCATCGGTGGAAAGAGACGTACGGCAAGCATGTTCCAGGATCTTGCCTCCAAGGCTGGGCTGAAAGCGAGCAGAGTCTACAAAGGCCAGACATCCGAGACTGCGGTTCTGGAGTTGGTACTTCTGTGACGAGATGAATAACGCCTAACTATTTCTTTGTTTCTGCTTTTGATATGTCATACATAGTCCCTAATTTAGGGCTATCCATCAACATGCTGTAGGACTGTGGCTCCTCTCAAAATCTGGTAGTATAATTTACTTGCTACTATTATATATTAGCCTTTAAGCCACTCAAGCCAACATGCAACATCCCCCTTGACACAGCGACTGAGTGTTATCTGAATTTGGCGCAACCACTAATCTAGGCTCCTATAGGTAGTAGTCCATAAAGTATTTTCCTGCGTAGTATTCATGTTGGCTGTTTTGTCCCTCTAGGTAAATGCACAACATCAACACCGTCGCGCCCTTCCAAATAGGGCCGCGTCTCAGAACGATGTTCCTCCTGGCCCTCCTCCGGTGCAACTTCCACCTCATTTGTTTTCCTAATCTGCATGCCGCTATCTAGCATATCCCTCAGCAACTCGTCTTTGCTATTTGCCCTCCCTTTCCCCCTAGAACGAGAATACATCGCACTCGATCGAAGAGGACCTAGCGTATGATCATGTCCGGCAGTAACAGGGGCGAAGCAACTGGAATGGATATACTGTAGCATTGGTCTGAGAGTAGCTAGGCAGCCTGTAATAATACCACCTACAAACTCAATATTACCCCACAAGCCTGCATGCAAGTTATCCCAGCTGTAGTCCTTGGACGTCCATTGAATAATAATAGTTTTGCCGATGGAGCCTCCTGCGACGCTGTTTGGGTTAGAGATGACGAGCGGGAAGGAAAAGAGGACACTCCTACAAGAATCCTAGTGCAAGTACGATGCAGGTAGCACATTTCTGTTTCAGACTCATCTGGAGACGATAGACAATTATAAGTGGGATTGCGGCCGTCATGAAATCCGTACCAACACCAACTCCTTCAACAGTAAGAACCAGAGCCAGTAGAGATAGTGAGAACATACCGGAAGCAACTTTGTGTAAAATATTAATGGTAGTTGAAGTCATACATTTTGGACGGGAGGGGTCATTCCAGTAGCCCTGGAGTGGAATACATAGGACCAGATCGAGGATGACAGTGGCACATGTAAATGGAACAAGTATAGCCAGGTTAATCACCACGAGCCATTTCACCGTGCGGTTGGCGTGGTACACTATGCGAAGTAGAAAGAGGCAAACGGAGACTTTGACCATCATTGCACCGATGAAATTAAGAGAGGTGTTTACTATACTTAATTTAGATATTGTCGAGTAGTTAATCGGGTCGATGGTATCCATATGTCTGCTTGTGTTTAGAACAGATTTCTTTCCCTGGGCTAGACGGGGCTGTACCTGCCAATGCCAAGCTACATGCCTATTTATTATTAAATTGCATCTTCAACGGTATGACGATGCATACTGACCTGGATAAGAATCACCTCAACTGCACCAGCGGGAATCGCAAGTGCCTACCGATGTTAGATAGTGGGACTTTTCTGGATACTCCGTAGCCCTACATATGCAAGTAACATACTCCTGACATTATCAGCCTATGATCTCCACACAGCGTTGATGTCTTACCAATCATCCCAGCCTAACGATCCAGGGCGCAGTTGGGTTCTCACCAAAAAGCGAGCGGCGAGAACGAGAGTTGCTACCCCAAAGAGTGACCAGTGTACACCAATAACGACGGCCTGTCTGGAAGTATAGCCCATGACGGATCCACGAGAGAGTACGACAGAAGAAATATGAGAGATTTGGCTAAGAAAAGCCAAGGGAGAAACGCATCCAATGAAAGTGGCGCAATACTAGGACAAATCGCGAGGTAATAGTATATTAATAATTGCAAGATGGGCATTTTATCAAGTCTACATGAACAGGTGAATGTACAATCATAGCTGCTCTACCTAAGTATTTCAAGCATCCATTTTTTTTCTTTTGCCCTCCAGGCTGCGCTGATTAGTGATTACTCCGCACGGGGGGAACGAAACGGTGCATGGTTAGGTTTAGACTAGTTTCGGATGTGGAAGTTGGGCAGGGATGGTCTGCAACTCCTCGTGTTCGAGGAATAATTTTCCTCCTCTTAGCCATCGTGTATAAATAGAATCGTTCTATTTACGGTGTCAGATCTACAGCCCCAACAGTTTTGTAACCACTAATGCATCCGATTGTGCTTGTGAAGGAAGGCTTGCAGTGCTGTGGTAAGCCCGAAAAGACGAACTGTTATTCGGATCTAACAGCTTGATGGTTTTTATGCAAGATGTACCTCAGTGGGATGCCATTCCAACTCTAGAAGGAATCAATTCTATATAGGAAACTCCACTGCTATACTTAACTGCGAGGTAACTCAATATCAGAGAGAATTCATTGGGCTTTAGAAAATAAATAGCACCAAAAAAAACAAAATCGAAAGGAAAGGAAGGGAAATTGGATATATACGAATCTCAACGCTGGGCTGCTAGCCAACCCCGATGATTCATGGTTGCAGCAAAGACGGGTCGCCGTCACAATGGCCATATTGGCGTGCCGAGGAGGTGGACAAGCTAGCCCTATGATGCCTTTCTTATTAGCCATAACGAATTCAATAATACACCAAGACTGCTTCGTCCCTGCAACATAGAAAATACATGTTGGGAAGGACTTGTTCATCATTGTGAGGTCGCACCATGTAGGTATTTCCTGATCGTAAGGTCCCTGTATATTGCTGCATGGGCAATGCTGTGCCACCTAGTGGCTCAGGGAATTCTACTGATCTTCAGTCACCCACACCCTCTTCCACTTGCAGGTAGTAGGATAGGAATGATCTAACCGGTAAGTACGTGAAGATTTACATGCTTTATCAGAACATTCTCCTCTTCAGATACTTGCCAACGCACTTCCCTTCTCTGCCGGTTTGGGGACGACCTACCGGCAGTGGTACAGAAAGAACCCAGGTATTCAGCCCAGACGCACTTGAACCTCAACAAATAAGGACATGATCTCACTATATTTATGCTAAGTGTACCTGCTCTTCGTATCGGGGCTAGAGAGGAAACGCTAAAGGGAAGCCGAAACCAACGTCATATTAAACAGTGCCTAGAGGCGGCTTCGCCCGACGCCCATCATTCATTCCCGTTGGGGCAACCCTAGGCTGAGCCTGGGGAACTAAAACAGAGCACGTTCTTTAATTTGTCTATTGGGGAAGCACCAAAAACTGTTACGTATACTGTAGTAAGTTCACCATGTCTCAGGAGAAATAGTCCATTTTCTGGCAGTAGCGGCATCACTTATGTGATTTGCGGGATTCAATTCTTGTACTGCTTTCGCAATTGGAACGTTGCGATCCATTAGTATGTAAGTTGACATTCGCAAGAGCAAAAAGGTCACTACGTGGGGGCGGTCACTGCATCGTGATCTACGTTATCAGTATGGTTTTACGAGCCTTTTTTTTTTTTTTTTTTTTATTTCTCGTTCGGCTTCCTTTTGCTTGATGCAACCCCAGCTTGCATCAAGATGGCTCGGAATAGATCTTATTATTCAATACAAAGCTGGCCTCGACAGTGACCCCGGATATAGATCTCCTTACCTATCTATCTCCTCTACAGGGCGTGCTACTTCAGCTGTGAGCAGAGTTCAGAGTCCCTGTCTCCCTGTGCCTGAATCTCTTATGTTCTTTTCGTTTCTTTTTGTTTTTCTTTTTCTCTTTTTTTTATCTTTCTAATTTCCAATTTCTATTTTATTTTTTCTTTTTCTTTTCCCCCCTCTCCTGCCTCTGAGTGAAGTGCCCACTAACTTAAAAAAAAAACAAAGCGTGTGGTAGCCACCCCTTTGACAGTCAGAGAATGCATTCCCTTGTCAGCAAGCTCCTTATAATGCTGATCTTCTAGGCCTGTAGGGAACTTTCGATCCAATCATTATTCTGGAGGCTGATCCTGGGACCCAAACCGAACATGCTTGTCAAGCTTCGTACGAGTAGCGTCGAGTTTCTATTCGTGTCAAAAAACAGATGATTTGGCATGCACAATATCGTATCGCCCCACCATGTCTTCTGCCTCACAGCTACAAAAAATAAAATAAAATAAAAACCATCTCATTGATGGAGTTTCACACTAGTAGCCAGCCACTCCGCGCTGTGGAACACTTCAAATTATGAAGCACAGTCGAGAGCTCGTTAGATTGAGCCTCAAACGTACGGATGAAAGCCTTACAGATGTTATGTATATAGACTCTAAGTCGGTGTTACTTAGGGTCTGCATAGCTGCACACTATGGCGGCTGAGTTGGACGTTTAATTGCTTTTTTTTTAAAATAAAAAAAAAAAAAAATTTCCATACCGTTAGGCGGGATGGCCAGATAAATCGTTCAAATCGTCGCACTAGAATATGACAATCACTCCCTGTATACGAATTCTAAGTCAACCTGAGCGGCACAGTACGCAGGTCTAAGAGGGAGGCATGCAATATGATGACGTCCGACGTAAGTCCATTCCTCTAGCACCCAAGGAGGACACAGCCGGTCGAACAAAATAATTGACTACATTGTGTATCTGAGAAATAATATATTTCACTCGCCCAGACCAAGGGAGCATCATGAACGGTTATGATGGAAGCTTGAGATATATTCAAATACAACGTTCTGTGGGAGATGAGACTGTGTCAACATTATGTATTTCTGTTTTATTGCACATCCTCAAACAAATCAATAGTCGCACTTTGAATGCGACCGCACAAGAAAAACGAATTATAGACTGATACATCAGGCGCCGTTACAGATCATTAGTTTCTGTGTAGAACGACGGACATGATCCAGGAAAGACCGAACCACCGTCAAGGCTTGGACGTACGACAGACGCGGGTCACAAAGGCTTCGATAGCTGGTCGTCAAATCTAGCTCGCAATAAGTATCCCAGGCGTCCACGCACTCTATGACGAATTCGCCCGTCTGCTCGAGATGGAGACCACCCATAAACGATCCATTGGCTCGGTGAACTTCAAAGGTCTGGATGACCTCTCGGACAACGGTTTCGACACAGCGTGTCTTGATCCCCGACGGCGTGGTTTTGGTATTGCCGTGGCAGGGATCGCACATCCAGACGGGTCTGTGGCCTGCTTTTCGGACCGCTTGGATAAGCGGAGGGAGCAACGTCTCAACCTGATCGGCTCCTAGCCGAGTGATGAGGGTCACTCGACCATCCTGGGTATCCTGCCCGTTTTGATGGCGTAGTATAAGATCCAGTAGGTCAACCAGTTCCTCTGGGCGCATGGTCGGTCCCACTTTGATTCCGATAGGATTGCGGATCCCCCGGATGTATTCAATGTGCTGTCCATTCTGCTGGCGTGTCCGCTCGCCGATCCAAAGGAAGGTTGCAGACGTGTTGTAGCGGCCATGGGTCACGGCGCTCTCATACGGTAAGTGGAGGGCTTCGTGCGATGTGAAGATGGCCCCTTGCCCAAGCTCTTGCAGGGTATCAGTGGGGAATAGGTCCTTTTCGGGCGAAACGACGGGATCGCATGACGGGGGGGTTGGTAGTGACGGGCATGCTCTCATAAGGTCCAATGTCGCCCGAGAGTGGAAATATGCCTGCAGTAGTCGGTTGGGATCGGGCGTGCGCTCCTCCGAATGGAACCCGTTGATGTTTTCGCCCCGGAAGCTGTAAACACGGGAACCATCGGCCAGGGTTTCGAACGGACAGGATCGCGGTTTGGCGTACTGGCCGGCGATTCTTCCCACCGTGACAACGGGCAGGCCCAAGGCGTCCCTGATCAGCCGAGACTGTTCATGAAGCAGCCGCACCTTCTTCTTCACGACCAGTGGCCTCACATCCTGGAAGTTTTCTGCACAGTCGCCACCCTGGAGGATAAAGGCTTCTCCCCGAGCGGCTGCCGCAAAGTGTTGCCGGCCAAGTTCAATCTTGACCGTACTGACCAGGGGCGGTAAGGAGGCGACGGTGTTCAAGACTTCTTCGAGTGCCAAGGGGTCTTTGTATTCAATATCCTGCGCAATCGCCTGACGCTTTTGCCAGCTCTGTGGTGTCCAAGTATCCGACGAGTCCAAGCTCATGTTGCTCTGGCTGGGCCGAAGCCCTTGCCCTTGCGGGAGTTCTGGGCTCAACATCTCGATATCTAGGTGTAAAGGCGCCGAGAACGCAAAAGAAACGATGTGCCGATTTACTCTGGCTAATGATATAAAGGCAGGGGTTGGATTGAATTGTCTGCCCAGCCGTCCCGTTCAATACTGAAACAACGAGAGCTCACAACAGTGGAATTAAGAGGCAAGGCGATTCTACAATACTACGTCCAGCTTTCCCGAGGCCTTCGAATTCGTCTCCGTATTTCATCTGGCAATAAGCCAGCCGTACTCACCTCACCGGTATCAGAGTTCGACTGAACGATAACAACCTACCCTCCTTCCCTCGTGTTTGCTGGTGGTGCGTCTGTATCACAATCTTTGACTCGTGTGGCGTTGTCCGCTCCCGATACCAAACCTCGTCTTCACGGAGTTCTTCACGGAGTTCGCAGCCGTTCTACCGTCCTTATCCGTTTTTATCTTGCTGGGAACTGAATCCTTCAAGCATAAATGGCCGTATCAAACCATGGGAGACTTGGACTTGGCGGCATGGACGGCAAAAATGCGCAGTCAGACACAGCACTGGCTCCGACGCTTGCTCTCCTCCACAGGTCTTCATCGTTTTGGACCGGAGCTAGGCGTTGCCCGACACCACAACGGAGCTAAATGGAGGCCACCTTTACGAAACGACAGCGAAGTGGTGCTCACAAGATCCACCAACAAAGGAAAATACCGGAGTTGAGTCCACTGCAAGTCTCCTCAAGCCAGTTCTCATCACACGTGGAGTGGTATTAGGGTGAACTACAGTGTAACCACAACTATAGAAGTCCTATCAGGATCGTCATAAACTCCGTGTGGTTTCATCCGGGCTCTCCTTAGACTCACATGTTGCGACGATAGAAGTTGTGGACACTGGTGGAAGGCGCTCCCTTCCCCTTCACATTGTGGATATCCAGGGTGGAGGTAAACTCGAGGCAGCGGTCCAGTTCTTGTTAGGATTGGTCTCTACAACATCTTGAGCCGTATTTAAACCCGCCCCATTCATTGCCCCGTTGCTGCGAGTAATCACTGGAAGAACAGGTGCCACAACTTCGATACTAGCATACTTCAACGGCTGTTACGAATCTCGCTATTGTCCGGGAATTCCACCTTCGGTTCTATTTACTCGCGCCGCAGTATTGGCCATGATCTTTGAATCCAAGTATCCTCTACCCTCCGTGCCTAAGACGGATGTATTCAACTACATCTTCCACCGGGGCCGACGACCATATCCATGGAGCCGAGTACTCTATCGCGTCGATCAGACTGGTGACACCCTGACACTGGCTGAGCTCGAGGAGAAAAGCCGACGCTTCGCTGATATTCTTCGCTCGGAATATGATATCATGCCCAGAGATGTAGTTGGCATTCTCGCCAAGGACAGGGTATGTTGCGTAACCCTTTGTTCATTTCTCCCGTAGCGGCTAATCTCGTAAGCAGATCCAATATCCGATCGCATATTTTGGTGCTTTGGCCGCCGGAGCTACGGTGGCGCTCATCCCTGTGCAACAAGAGTTGTCCGAGACGGACATTGCGGCTCGACTATTCCAGTCGCAAGTGAAGCTACTCATCACCGACAGCGACCTGCTACTCCTGGCCGAGGTGTCCGCGAACTTAGCCGGTGCTGTTCGCCTGATCACGCTTGATGACAGCCCTAACCAACTATGGGCATCACTGGAGCGCCTTATTCCACGCGGCCGCCCTGATGCTGACCACTTCCGACTGGAATCGGAGGCCAGCGCAGAGGATTCTGATGCCTTTCTGAACCGCACCAGCGGATCCACGGGGAATGTCAAGTCTGTGTTAACCAGCCACGCCCATTTCATCGCCACGATGGAGGGTACTGTCGGTACGGTACCAGACAACACGGACCCGGACCAGGATGTGTGGCTCTCTCCCATCTCACTGGGATTCTTCATTAACGCCAAGCTCCACATGGGTCTCAACATCCTTCTAGGAATTCCCGTGGTGCTCATGAATGGTCCTCTCGATGAAACAACCGTCGGTGTGATCGACCGACAAAAGATCAGCTTTCTCTTTATCACGCCCCCCATCGCAGCCCGCCTGGCACGGGCAGACCTGAAAGCGTCCGGGGTCGACGTCAGTAGTGTTAAGTGGCTCCTCACGGCTGGCGCCCCCATGCACGAAAACCTACGACAGACTGTTTCTAACCAATTTGGGGGCGTTCACCTGGACCTCGAATGGGGTGCGTCCGAGACCATGCTCATTGCGATCCAGCGGGACGATGATTCCCGCCGCAGTGGCTTCAGTGGCACGCTGGTGAACGGAATGCAAGCCAAAGTCATCAGCACGAGCACCGGTCAGGAACTGGGGCCGGGCGAGTCTGGCGAGATCTTGGTGCGCAATCAGCTGTGCCGATTTAAGGGCTACAAAGACAATGAGGTCGCCAATCGCGACTTCGACTCCGAGGGCTGGTTCCACACGGGAGACTATGGGTACCTTGATGAGAACTGCAACGTATTCATCATGGATCGGATCAAGGAGCTCCTTAAGGTCGGGGGCGGTTATGGGACGCACATCTCTGCCGCTGAGCTGGAGGGTGTTGTCTTCGAGCACCCCGCCGTTGCCAGTGTTGTGGTGGTGGGCATTCGCAACGACTTCACCCAATTGGATGAGCCTACGGCGTTCGTCATCCCCAAGCGCGAGGATCATCAGAATCTCCAGCGCACCGAGCAGCTGGAGCAGGATATTCTACATTTCGCCAACCAAAAGCTCGCTGGGCTTCGGAAGCTGACGGGTGGTGTCCAATGTCTCTCTCACTTTCCTACGACTGGTTTCAAGATCAATCGGAGGCAACTCAAGCAAATGCGCCATGGGACGCGTAATAATGTGGCGACTGGACTGTTTCCCTCTGTTCCAAATTATGTACAGTCAGTTTGATAGTTGCGAGAATTCTGAGGATGACCTACGGATACCCCATCAACAATCCACTTGTTCTGTTCTGCGCGAACATCACTCCTTCTACTTCTTTTCTGTTGACAGCAATGGATGAGAAGATGCATGTATGCATCATATAGGAATATCACTCTGATTCTTTGATAGGTATCTGTCATCAGTATTCCCGTTTTCCTTTCTTTACAAGCTACTTAGCGAACGAATCCGATAGTATTGCATCCACTGCCTGTACATACACACATACGTGACTGCCATCGCGTCGGTTCTGAAGCACAGCTTCCTACGTAGCACCTTCACCATGAGAACGAAATGGCTAACCCGCGCGGCCCATGTCGCATAACCAAGTTACTTGGTGTTCTCCAATACCATCACATATGCTGGTATGTAGATCACCACTATTTATTGCCCGAATGATGCTTGTCGTCTACGATCTACAGTTGGGCTCGTAAAGGGTGATTTGGCTATGTAAGAGTGCGGGACCAACTGCAGGACCGAGCGCCTCTTCGACGCAACGCCAATGGACCCAGGATATGACCTGAAGATTCTATTCTCAGGTCTGCTCGGTATCGGGGATCCGGTCCGCTACCAATGCCATTGCGTACACGACAGCCCCGCCAAGCCCATCCCCTTTTAGACGATGACCTCACTTTACCGATACAGTTCTCTCGGACGAATTCTCTCCCATATAATTTTGCCTCACCTTTCTTAGTAACCTCGGTCCCCGATGTATCAGATAGCATATCGTGTTAATGAAAGGCTCACCCTAGTGTAAAATTAGCGTCTTGACCAATAATAGAGAAGTATATAATACATATAGTACGTACCGTAGTGAAATATTGTGAGATAAATGCATAAGCTCCTGATTTGGGTCCTCAAAGCAAGAGGGTTAAGCATTATTATTGGCTGATCTGATCTATGAAATGCTGGTGCGGCGCTTCACTCAGAACCCGTCTGGGTGCGACTACCACGGTGCGACTCGCGCCAACCACGAGCTGCATATGAAGGATCCGAAGCATAATCTTCACGTTCACACCATAGCCAGGCCGTCTCTTTTGATTTACGGAGAGTGGGCTCGTGTTGGCTAGTGCTGACACCGGAGATTTATTTGTGCTGGTTATATCGACCACTATGGACATGGTTTGGTGGCAACATTCACGACCTCGTTCTCCGAGGAGGGAAGAGGCCTCCATCCGGAGTCTATCGGAGTACGCTGGATGTTGGGTGTTTGGAGCTGGTTCTGATAACGGCGTCGGCGTAACATGTTGCGAATCATGCTGATCAATCGTTCTGTTGCTTACTGCTCTTCATGTACCCCTCAACGGAATCCCGCTCCCACCAAAAAGGGGAGCCAAGAAAGACTACCATACGGAGTTGACCTCGGAGGGCAGAATGCTGGGCTGCCCCGTACCACGGCGGAGCAAGAAGGACTGGCTACTTTGATTCCAGCTCCTTTCAAGGCGCCCAATATCAGATCTTTTTTTTTTTTTTAAAGAAAAAAGGGCACGCCAATATATAACCCATATCGAGACAACCCTTCGAGCAATGATATACAGGCCATATCGATCAAGAAAAAATCCACAAACTTGTTAGTATCGCCGTGTACCATATCGACCAGAAATGGAGGCTCCTATGAAACCCACTCCCGCACACCTTTCGCCTCCTGGAACCCAGATCAAAGACGAATTTAGTGGGACGGAAGGAGTCTACCTCCTCCCTCATCACCACGAGGAAATCAAGCGGTTACAGCGTCAACACTTCTTCATCAAAGCCGCCACTGATGATAGGTTGACCACTGTTGAGCTGCCCACCGGGGCTAGAGTGCTCGACTCTGGCTGCGCCGATGGTGAGTTTTGCCCGCAACCCCTACGCATTGAAAAGAAGCAAAATCATTGGAGCAAGCCAGCAGACGAATCCATCTAACACTAGCGGGGGCATCGACAGGGACCTGGCTCGCCGATCTGGCTGGCACGGATAGGCCCGATCTCGAGCTCTACGGAGTGGACCTGAGCCAGGCACAGTTCCGATCGGACCCTCGGCTGAAATTGCGGGAGCATGATGTGCGCCAGCCCTTCCCCAACTCCTGGGGTTGGAAGAACCGTTTCGACCTGGTGCATCAGCGGCTGTTGGTCTGGGGTATTGGCGCGGACGAGTGGCCGCGGGTCCTCGCCAATTTGACTGACGTAGTCAAGCCCGGTGGAGTCTTGCAGCTAGTGGAAGCGGAATGGGTCCTCAGCTCGTATTCCGACGAACAGGTGCAGCAGAAGAAATTGGCCAAGGTGCAGGAGTGGTCGACTAGCTCGTGCGGGATGGAGGTGCACATCTGGAAGAAGTTCCCCGATCTCCTGCTTCCCCTCGGCTTCGAGGATCTGAAGGTGGAAACGTTCGATCTGGGTTACGGAGCGACGTCGAAGAGGCCCGAGGATCGCATCTGGACGGCCGAGCTCCTGCCCCAGTCATTCCGCCATCTGGCTCGTAAGATTCCGGGTATGTCCCACGCGTGATGACAATCCCAGTCTTATTAGTATCATGCCATCCATGGTCCTCCCACTGACTGAGTCGTCGCCACTGTAGCGGACGGCATTCCAGGCGTGGCCCGCACCCCTGACGAGTATATCGCGTGGTTAGACGAGCTGGTGGTGGAGATGAAAGAGATCGGCTATACACCCAAAGTACGGTGGCTGACGGCGCGCAAGATCTGACGTTAGGGCTTCCTTCCTACGGACCGAACCGTTCTCCAGTGCAAAGTTTTACATCCTGAAGGAACGGATGGCCGGGAGGCTTCTTTTGGCTGTGGATTTTGATACTTTGGTAGGTGAATATACATCTGTCATCACTGTGGTTTTGCTTTTGTTTCCCCTCATGTGGTAAATAGACTACGCGTTGTGACCTAAGGAACCCAGGCAGGGTTTCTGATCCATCCCAAAGTTTGGTTTATTATTAGGAACTAAATCGCAAGTAATAATACCTCAACAGACTGGCCTGCCAGATCCGGAGCGCCTTTATTGGCCTTTATTGGCTGGGCTAAGCTGATATCAGCCGTGATATTGTCCGATATTTGGCTAGTACTAAATAGGAAAGATAAGGGTTTGGAAAGGTCGTAACTGGATGATTTTGAGCTGGTTGGACTCTTCTTGATTATTGATAAATACGATGGTTGATTATGATTGTTCTTGTTATGTTCTTGTTATCGAGTTCTTTTTTTGACCCCTCCTAGTCATATGATTGATCCTTGCCTCGAGTTGGAACCGTTTTAATCAGCATCTGTATGTAACGTTAACATCTGCAACCAAGGTTATTTATTTAGCCCAGTCAGATGTGGCACACGACCGAAAAACGAGGCCTCGCCATCTGCAACCAACGTTCGCGGGTGCCTTCGTACCCCCGAATTCCAATCGCTTCCAACACCTCATGTTAAAATAATGCTAGTCCATATAGGGACATCATGTGAAATATTCGTGACACGCGCGGTTTATTGGAAGCATGAAGGAGTCTGGGATTCAGGGGTACGGAGGCACTCACGAACTAGGCTAAATACATAACAGATGCTAACTAAGACAGTGCAGACCGGCATCCGGAGCAGAGGGATATCCCGATGTTCCAACACGGTTGATCCTGCAGATGAGGGGTCAACTTAAATACCGAACACACAAGAATAATCATCAATATAGAGGTTATTCAAGCCCTCATAGAATTGCACTGTTGAGCTATCCAGCTCAATTACTTAGAAACTCCCACACCTCGTATAGCCATATTACTTGACAGATACTCATAATAATACCTAGGTACGGTCGATGTAAATTTATAATAATACAGTTATAATTGAGTTTAATGTCAGCATGATCAGCACGCACGTCATGGAGAGTGGCGTGACTCCACGCTTTCCCATACGTGGGATGGCGTGGAAAATTCGCTTCAGAGGCTCGACGTACAGTCTGCCTTTGTACCAATTTCCTTTCCTGGTCTTCCATCTAAGATCTAGAAGACAGGTACCCTCCTCAGTGAGATAGACAGAACATCCGGGATCCTCTCGGTTCCTCGGGCTCGCTTCCTGTTACACGTATACGAAGGGATGACACTTAAAACCGGACACGCCCACACTTGGTTGGAATTTCCCATCTCCAGTCCCCCCTCGATGCCGCACTTCGACTATGCCTGGATCCGTGCCGTCTAACGAGGCTCACCAGTGTGACTCCTGCTTCAAATTCTACCAGCGACGTGTGTCTCTGCCGTTTGTCTTGTCTCCGGCGTTCTAGTATTTGGAGCTGATATGCAGGCCGACGGATTCTAGGTGACCTCCTCTTGCGCCATCGGCGGCGGTGTCTGCGATCGAACAAACCCACGATGCGCCGCAAGGCGTGCAATGCCTGTGTGCAGGCCAAGACCAAATGCTGCTATACGCAACCGACCTGCTCGCGATGTGCCAAACGGGGCATCCTTTGTGAGTATGCGTCCACGGCCAACACGGTGACCACCGTTCCCTCCACCTATTCTGCATCCTCCTCGTCTACCTCGGCACCAGAGAATCTTGCCCGACCCGAAGAAACCCGTATGAGCACGACCGATTACCCGTCGCTCTGGAGCCGTCGGAGCCCTCAGAGTGGTCCCGGTGCCGACAGCTTGGACTCGTGGAACTCCCAGAACCTCTTCTGGTCCCTGGATACATTCGATCTCCCATCGTTGCCCTCCCACGTGGTCTCCGAAGGGACCCGGGGCCCGACGCCGGCGATCTCCACCAGCCTTCCAAGCCTCACATTTCCCTTGCCCTCGCCTCCGTCGCAACCGCCGTATCGGACGCTGGTCGAGGAGACGTCCGTGGTGCCACCGGGTCCAGGGATGCCCGACTTGTCCTGCCTCGCTGGTCCTGGCTCGCGCGATGCCTACAACTCGCCGCTGGCATCGGTGCCCAGTCCAGATGGGCTGGGAGGGCACCCGTCCAACAACGTGCGTCTGCTCCAACAGTATCCGAAGCTCTTGCTGCAGGATGACTTCTACTGTCCCTTTCTGCACCGCGCCCTGTTCAACGAGCACGTGCCGGACATGACGATTCTGCCGCACACCTCCATGGCCATTTGTTGCGGCAGTGCCTTGGAAGCTAAGGACGGCGTGGGCTACATCAAGCGCGCTATGGACGCGCAACGACAAAGCCTGATCGAGTCATATGTAAGCCCCTGTGCCCCGGTCGGAGCGATGACCGCCCAGCGCGCTGACAGAGACCATCATCCAGCCCACCTACCATTGCGTGGAACAGTGGGACGCTCTCCATGCCATGCTCCTTTATGAAATCCTCGAAATGCGGGTGGCGCCCGTCGACGAATCCGAGAGTTGGAAACGGAAGCGTCGCATGAATGGGCTGAAATCGCCGTTTCTCTCCAAAATGACCCAGTGTTTTTCCCGGTCCTACCTCGACGCGCACGATGCGGCGCTCCTGCCCTCGGCCGATCTCAACGGCTCTTGGGTCAAATGGGCCGTCACCGAAACCGCGCGCCGCACCATCTTTCTCGCCAACATCGTCAACTTCTTCAGCAACCGCGATCTCGAGTCGGAGAGCCAATCACACTACTACGAGCCCCTCAACGACGAGCTCATCATGAACATGCCTCTGCCTTGTAATCAAGCGCTGTGGAATGCCCGCACCGAAGACGAGTGGCTCCGGGCCACACAGATGGTCCAGCCCGCGTCGCCCAAGAGCTTCGCCGATGCGCCCGACGCGTTGTCTCCCTTTGGTGCGGCTGCTGGTGGTGGCGCGGCCGCGTGCCCGCACATCCCAGTCGGAGAGCAGGTCTCGAATCAACATCACCAACCGTCACTCAAGTTACTCTTCTCCAAGTTTGCCAAGGACTATCTCCGGGCAAATTTCGCGACGAATGCGGGGTTTTCCGACTCCGACAAGCTCCGGTCGTTCATCATTCTCTGTGCGCTGGAGCAGTTTTCATGAATCCGAAGGATTGCTCGATAGAACCTGCGTTTCTTGCGGCCATGGACGGGATAGACTTGATAGTTCCGGATGGTGTACTGCGATTGTAATGTAACGCTGACGATTTACGCGGTCTCTGATAGCAATGACGGGTCATGAGGGTGTATTTATTATTGAGTTTGCTTCTTCCACACTGGTTTTCTGATTTACACATGGCTCTAACACTCTTTCCGGCCAGCAGAACGGCAAACCGGGTTGAAAGGCGCTGTTATGATTTGTATCTGTTCCTGCATTAATCCTCAAGAAATCCTCCATCAGTAAAGGAGAAACTCGATTTCCATTGAAGCCATGTGCCATTCATAAGTTATATCACTGGTCCAATTACGAATCCGAACACGGCTCCTTGATCAATCCCAACGACACCCAACCGTAGCTCGACCGGACCACATTTATCTCACGCCGACACACTCGCAATTGCCGGCTGCGCCCCAGCAGCTCGGTTCTCGACGTGCTTCTCGTCCTCCGTTAGACTATGCCCTGCAACATGCAACTGCTTCACGCGCGCCTTGACATGCTCGCCAGCCACCACAGGCTCGAACTGGGCCGGGTTCGTCGCTGATACCAGCACATCAAGGGGCTTTACCAGCAGATCCAGGTTGAAGTGCCCGAAGAAGGCAATCGAGTAGCGATCGGGGACCTGGTCAGTGGACGAGCCGTTCCTTGTGGACGGTGGCTCCACGACCCGGTGCATGGTTGATGGCAGAATACCGTTGAAGAATCGGGAGAGAAGATCGCCGACTATCGAGCCCGTAATCAGTGTCTCACGTTGTCTCTCTACACCGGACACCTGAGAATGGATGGCTCACCGTTCAGGACCGCACAGTCATCCTTGCGGGGAACATACTCGTACTGGCCGTTATTCCGCAGCACCTGTAGCCCCTCGCCCGAGTCGTTAAACAACAGCGTCATACATCCGTAGTCCGTGTGGGCCGCCGCGCGCACCCTCGTCCGGAACGACTCCGGCTCCGTTGCTGGATAATGCAAACAGGCAATAAAATGATTCTTCTCGCTGATAAACGGATGCAGCGTGTCGGCAGCAAGCCCGACCTCCTCCGCCAGGGCGCTCAGAAGCTCGAGAATGACCCCGTGGCACGAGTTGAAGAACCGAACCAGATCCACTCGCATCGCCTGCGAATCGGCATCAGGCAACCACTGATTGGGTTTCACCGTGTCATCGTCACGGTACATGCCGAAGAACTCCTTTAAGTCCGAGGTCTGCGGATTGTGCGCCAGCTTGAGCGGGTTGGAGTAGCCCTGGCTTGGGCCACGGCCCTTGTCAAGCTTGCCGAGGATTTGCATCTTTTCGTCCAGCGGCTTCGCGAAGAAGCGCCGGGAATGCGCGAAGAGTTCCTCCAATGTAGCCTGGTTCACCCCAGGGTGCTTCAGGTATGCAAAGCCGGTGTCGCGGAGGGCCGTGAAGAGTCGACGGCGCTCGTCGATGGAGACAGGCGTGCGGCGGCTCGATGCATCCTTTTCGCTGAGAGCTGTGAAGTCGATGACGGGCAGGTCGACGGTATCCTGGCTGACCATAGTGGAGGGCGCGTTGGTGTTGTACAGCAAGGCAAGTTTGGTCGGTCTCTTCGAAACGATTCAATGTGTTTTTGAAAGCGTCATGACGACGACTGGAGACTAGATATAGTTTTTTGGGGCTTCATGCGGCTGAACATGCGCATCGTCTGACTCGAAACATGGTCTTGGAGGGCGTAATCCATTTCTCCAGGCTTATTATGGCTGTCGGAGTTTGTGGTTGTAACGACCACGAACTCCGACGGCGTGAGGACCACCATCCACATTTCTCCGGACTCTGTGGGCAAAGATGATGGAGCCACGCAACATGGCGGCGGCCTTTTTCCTGGACTTGCTTCCTTCCGTTTCTCCAGTCGTTGGTATAACTACGCAGCGCATGGTACGATGCGTCCGAGCCTCGGTGCCTTTCTGATCCTCCTCCTGATGATCTTTGGCAACGACATGATCAGAGCTACAGCCATGAAAGCCACCGCAGAAACCGCATTTCGCCTGTCCGGTCTCTGTGCTGGAGGCACAAACCATATCAACATCGGCCAGAGCATCGCCGTCCGGCCTGACGCCGGTGCGCACGATAAGGGTACCCTTCGCGAGGCTTGGGGCCTTAAATCGGGTGTATACACGCCCCGCCAACTGGTGGAAGGGTTTGCGCCGCTGCTGGACACAGTCGTTTTCCGTCTCGGTCCAGATCCGCCCAACGCGAGACCGGCACGGGCTCAACTGCTTGACAACCTGGTCGCCAATCTTGACTCCAACGCCCGGGAAGCCACTCTGCGCCTCCCGGATACTGATCTCGATGACTCCCGCCAGGAGATCGCCGAGCAGGCGAGACGCATTGGCCGGACGCTCGTGCAATACGCCCGCAACCAGACTGGCGGACCGTTCAATCCCGACCTCTACCTTCGCAGTCCCTGTGAGGGCCATCTTCTCATCCCACCCAACGTTGACCTCATGTTTGGACGCCGCAGTCAGCCGCATCTGATGCAGCTGTTCAATGAGTACATGCATCAGATGGTCCTCCTGCGTGACGCCCTGCTACCCTTCAAGAACTACGAGGACGTAGCCATCCCCGTCGACGGCCGCGCTGCTCGAGGCATCCGACACCTCGAGCCATCCCGGTCAGAGTTCCTCACCCACCTTCTGACCAAGGAGGTCACCCAATCAGCAATCATCAAACACGCCCAGGCCCTCCTCGCCCCGGGCATTTTATCTTCTTCTAGCCTGACTTCCTCCCAAGTCAGCGCCGGCTACGGCTTCCAGTATGCTCACGGCCTGGTCCTGCCCGCTTTCCTAACCGGTGGGCCGACTCCGTTCCATCTCCTCCAGTATATACCAGCCAAGCTCGTGGATGGAACCACTAAAGACGTCATCTTCGACTACCGAATCAAGGACTACTATCTTGCGCCTCGCGTCGAGATCCCGGCGGGCACCGAGAAGACTCCGACGCTCCAGTCAGCGGGATACCCCGAGACCAACGGTTGGGGCACGCCAACACTCGGCGTACAAACCGCCAGCATCGGGATCGTTGCACCGACGCCCGATTCGACCGCATCGTCTCCGACTGTTCGGCAGCTGGAATTGCAACTCCAGTTTGAGAACGGCAAGTGCGTGTCCGTCGATCTAGGACAGGTTGCACGTGGTCATCGCTACGCTTATCAGGCATCTAGAGACGGTGAATCCACGATATCAGCCAACGGTAAGCACAGCCCGACGTCCGCCGTGATCCATGACGCGGCTTCCGTCCTCCTGGAGACTGGGCAAGGAGATGGCCTCGTTACAGCCCAAAATGGCGGTTTCCATGTCATCCCCGTGCAAAACCCGGTCGTCGCTCTGGCACTTCTGGGGAAGATCTACCCGGAGAACGTGGTACTTCTACCGGAGTCGGAAGGCCTAGTGCAGGCTGAGAAGGCCGGGAAAGGACTAGAGCCAAAGTTTGTCTTTTGGGGGGGCGTGGAGCATGGTGGATTACGGGGCAAGTTTTAGTTCCGGTGTTTCACATCGAATATCATTCTAGATCTTATTCCCAGGCTCTTAGATACGATCTTGTCATCAATTCAACTGTGCATTCAAAATGGAGCTGAATCTATTAGCTAAATTCTACTTCCTCCACCTCCCTAGCGATGCATTCGAGTGCGGATTTCAGTGATCCACAAGAGGTCAAAATCCAATCCGCCGGATTTGTCGAGGGTTGAACCCGTAGTAGTAGTAGTAGTAGTAGTAGTAGTAGTAGTAGTAGTAGTAGTAGTAGTAGTAGTAGAATTCACACTCGGATCTGTCCTCTACGCTGATTCCCGGAGAAGGTCGCACTCTGACGACCGGGCCATCGGTAGGCTAGCTAGATACGCATACGTAATAAAGTCACAAGATCAAATTCAACCTCGCTCCTGACAAGTATATTTAACCGCTCTGTATATGTTTCGTTACCAGTGACCATGCTCCACCTGCACTCTGACACATTGGTCGCCGGTTCCGTGCCCCGTGTTATATGTCTGTGTTGTGTCCCTGCAACCCTGAGGGATTGGAGGTATAAATGTCCCATTTTAAGTAAAATTCCGATTGCATATTGGAGGCTCGCACCTACGGGCTCTGTGGCGCACTTATAATATCTTTCAAACTTCTAGATTGGCCGAGGAGTCGTGTTTGTAGCATAAATATAATTACCCGTTATGTCAAACCAGTCGTAGCTAACATAATATCTATATACTGCCGGTCATCAGTGATCCGGCGGCCATTCCACAATATTCTTGACCGTAGATCTGCATGCCGGTTGTATAAGATTAGGACATGTTAAACGGACTGCGTTACATACACATGGGCATGGCGTCGTGTCCAATGGCACTAAATGTTCTCAGGTAGGATGCCAGCGCAATCCGACCTGTCTATATTTGCATAAGTACTAAGCTATATATACAGTGGAGGCCCCTATAAAGTTCCAGCACCTGCTTCGTGAGCTCGGGCAGTATCTGTTTAGTCTATACGCCTACCCCTTCTGCTATATCTTGTACACCCGCTCACGCAGGCATCGACGGCACATAGAAGCCGGAGTTGCCTCCTCCATAGAAGTTGTAGACATCTGTACGGCTGCAAGCTTGGTATAGCAGTCTGCGCGCTCGTTACCGGGGATGCCTTTATAGCCGGGACGATTCGTAGTTGTCGGTGAGCTCGTAACCGGATTACCACAATGTGCCCCCCATATTATTCCTTCTTCCTTTACTGAGACGTAAACTAGCCACCATATTCGGGACAGAAATACTGGAATATTATGAGGAGCAGTTGCGAGTTGCTCAATTCGGCGTGAAGGCCTACAAGCCCCATAGCCTTGATTTCCAATCCAGGTCGCTTCCAGACCTAGTCGAGGGGCAGATAAGTAGTTCAAGTGGGACTTGAACGTGAAGTACACTTTCATGTTGCATCTGCCCGATGAAGGGAACTGAATTTCTTTGCCGCGTTCCGAAATTTTACCTGTCGGAGGCATTGTTTGACGACCACGCGGATACGAACAAGGCCATTTTCGAGACTAAACATGAACGACAAGCCCCTATTTTTCTCACTCTCACTGATCAGAAATAGGAATGCATTTTTCCAGTTCCATCTACTGCTCTAGATGGTATTTAGTAGTGAGTATTATGACCATACTGTACCAACAACTCCGACGACCTGGTCCGGAGTGACGTCCAATCTGCTTTGATTTACGAATAGGGCTACCATTTTGCTCCGAATCTCTTTTCTCCAGATCTTGCTCTTAAGACCCTGCTCCACTGGATGTATACCATATAAACCATAAAAGGTTCTTTAGCATGGTTCGATCAGACCCGTCGAATGGAAGGGATAATAGTTTCTCTATGTATCTCAAGACTTTACCTCTATCACCAAACTACAAGACCCGATGGACAATTGTAGAATCCCGGTTGTTCACCATGTCCTGCAAGCGGATAGGACACGACTCATGGGCTGTTTCCGCCAGAGCAGCCTCATGAGATGCCACAGTGTATTGCCCACTTGTTGCTGCCAACTCTCATGCTCTGGAAAGGTCGCATATCCTCGGGAAAGAAAGGAAAAGAAAATGGTCGACTGCTCACGTGGGGGCCAAAAGCCACGGGGCTCACGTGCCCAGCCATTGGCAAATACTCCAACGTTCATCAACCGATCATCAACTGACAATGATTCCACCTTCCGGAGAACCCCCTGATATCCATCTACTGGACCATGTCGAGGAATCCCCCCAGCCCGATCGAGTCCACCTCGTTGACGAGAGACCAGAATGAGTTCGACCGGTAGTCGTCCGGCGAGAGATCCACCAACGATCAATACCCTTCGCCCCAAGATCCCCCAATCAATTCATTAGATCTCCGTTGTGACCCCTGCAATAAGTCGTATCCGCAACGTAGGTATCCTCCCTTTATTACCTATGAAGCGACTCTATAAGGAAACCGGATCGTCCTGACCTGAACAGGGGACCTACCGAGATCGACACCGGCATCGATGCATCATAAAGTCGGGCCAGGAACGCAAGTCCAAGCGGAAATCGTGCGGCAGCTGTGCGAAGAAAAAGCTCCGGTGCTCCTTGACCCGCCCGTTCTGTCTGCGATGCGCTCGATTGGACATCCTCGGTCGATATCCCTCGTCCATCCAGCTACGGAGCCCTGGGGATGATTCCAGGAATAATAATAGCGATGATAATACATTTCCCACAGGATCCCTCAGCACAGAACCATCGAACTTCAACATGGCCTCTGTGGATAGCATCTCCGACCCATCTACTGCTGTAGACATGAACGATGCCCAACCAGATCATGTGCAGCCACTGTTGACCAGCCATATGTCCCTCGAGGCTCCATTACCCGCCTATTGGTGGGGTGATGGCGACTTCTCCGGTATACCGAAAATGGACCATGCATTCGCGGATAACCTCTTCCCGTACCCCCATGCAATGGGTGCTGCGTCTTTCCCCGGGAATGACAGTTTGGTGATTTCTTCGGCCATCCTGCCGACAGAGAGTGACTTCTTCAGTGGTGCAGCCTCGCTGCGCAGTGGATCACTGCTCGGCGCTTCTGTTCCATTGCAGGATGGCTCCCAGTCGGGATCGCTCTCCATGACCCAGCAGAGTCAACGTATGACAGACGAGGAGGTGAGTTCTCTGGGGCGGACGGGTCCGTCGCAGTCGTCAGGCCCCTCGGACAGCGTTTGGCGCGGCACTTCCCTGGAAGTCGATGGGTCGATATCGAGCCGGCTGATAGCGCGTATCTACAGTCCGGGTCACCTCATCTTCCGCCACTCCTTCACCGTCGGGCTCGGGCGACACATGCGCAAAGACCCGAGCAGTCTGTGTCAGTAGGCGCAATGGCATCTGCGCGAATACCCAGGTCTCATCTTTGACTGGGACTTCTGGTCGCCATTCGTGCATCACCGACTGGACCATTGTCCTCTGGGGGGGCATGGTGGAGCCTATGGCCAATGCCTTGGCATGTGTTGAGGCGTATGCCAGTTCCGCGGGGCCGAACTCAGGCTTTGTCCATCGCATGATCACGCTGGAACGCGAACGGCTGGTACGGAAGTTCAACACATACACCAACACCCCCGAGACCTGTCTGGATGCCCTGCATGCGGTTTGTATTTACCAGACCTCGGGCCTCTTTGGTGACCAATTCTTGCCGGCGGTCATTAAGAAGACACGCTTCCCACCGGACGGCGAGGGACGACCGCAGGATGAATTCGTGAAGGCGGCGGAAGGCCAGAGCTCATTTCTCTTAAAGGTATGTCTCCTCCGCGGTGGTTTGCAGACGAAAATAACTCCTTCAGACGACCCGGCGTCTGGACCGTCTCCACGCGAAAACTATGCATATCCACCACCAGGACAAGAGTGACTGGGACCGATGGAAGTTTATCGGATCCCTGCGTCGCAACCTGCTCTTCATGCACATCATCAACGTGTTAGAGTCCAAGACGCGGAAGCTGAACGAGACGTATTTTTAGCCCATGGGAGACGAGATGACTTCGCATTCCATCCGCCCCTTGGCGCATGTGGCGGGCCTGTAGCGCCGATGAATGGTCGCACGTGTTTTGGAGGGACTTGGATTACAATACATCAATATCTCAAACGCACTGATACTGGCCCAGACCTGGCAAGAAACTAGTCTATGGATTTAAAAAACATCAGATAAGCTGTCAAGACACTCTACTGACGCAGGTGGCTATAAATATGCTGTTGTCAGGATATGATTGGCTGCCTGCATTACTAACTGCATACAGATTGCAAGCCTTTGCAGTCTGTCCTCGTTCTGGTCAAAATACGTCTCGGGATAATAGCAAGCATACCTCCATATACTCGCTGTTACAATAAAGTTCAATATGGCTCCTTTGTTTATTCTTCACTGTCAAACTGTTTAAGAATTCCGTGGGTGAAAGTTTACCCGCTAACAAGCACGTGACTTCTATCTACGTCACGCGTCTTTCCAACTCCAAACAAACGGCTATCACAGCCATCTACGCCAATATGCCTCCCCACGAAGGATTAGTCCACCCCAAACAATATGACATCAAGGACAGCAATGTGGAGCTTATTGGAACTGACCTGGACCATCGCGTCAAGTATAACTCGGCCGCATCCGAGCCCGCCTGGAACAATGGCAAGGTGGGGCAGGAACCCGGACTGCTGATCTGGCGCATCGAGAAATTCGAGGTCGTGCCGTGGCCCAAGGAGCGGACCGGCGAGTTCTACGACGGAGACAGCTACATTGTGCTGCACTCGTACAAGTTGGGTGATCGACTCGCCCATGACATCTTCTTCTGGCTGGGAAGCAAGACCACTCAGGACGAGGCCGGTACCGCCGCCTACAAGACTGTCGAGTTGGATGAGTTCCTGCATGGTGCGGCGACCCAGTACCGCGAGGTGCAGCATCACCCCTCGGAGGAATTTGTCTCGCTGTTTCGTCGCATCACGATCCGGTCCGGCGGCGTGGCGTCGGGATTCACCCATGTCGTAGAGGAGAAGCCAAAGGAAGTCCTGACACTGCTGCGCATCTTCAAACACCCAGGCACCGCCCGCCCTGACTCCTTGATCGTGTACGAGGTGGAGCCCACGTGGAAAAGCCTGGACGATGGTGACGTCTTTGTCTTGGATAAGGGTGATAAGATCTGGGTCTGGCAGGGAAAGAACTGCAGTCCTATGGAAAAGGGCAAAGCCGCGCAGGTGGTGCATGATCTGACCCAGGCCAAGCATGTGGATGTGGAGGTACTTTCGCAACTCGAGCCGAGATCCAAGGTTATCGTGGATCTCCTGGGAGGCAGACAGGTGGATCAACTGTCTTTCCGTGCACCGCGGCCCTTCTCATCCGTGTCCAGGGCCAGGGATGAAGGCAGTGATCCCCACTCTCGCAAGCTGTTCCGGCTGAGCGACGCATCAGGACAGCTCTCTTTTGATCTGGTCAAGGATGGGAAACAAATTAGCGCATCAGATTTGGACGGAAACGACGTCTTCCTGTACGATGTCGGTGACCGACTCTGGATCTGGCAGGGTTCGGGAGCCAGTGCCAGCGAGAAGGCCTTATGGCTCAAAGTTGCACAGTCATATGTCCGGTGGCTTCAGGACACTCAAGGGAAGTCAGAAACGCATCTCTCTCCGATCTCCAAGGTGGTGCAAGGCCACGAAAATCCGGCGTTTCTGAAAGCCATCGCCGTCTAGGCTTATTATGTTATACTCTTAGAGTGAGTCGGATATGACGAGGATTAATGGATGCAAGAATGTTTGGTTATGTGTCACATATTGGGCTACGTTATACTATATATACGATGGGATGGAGCAAATTGTTTCATGCCATCAAGATATAGATTTGTTATCTTTGGCCTGTTTTCTACGGATTGGTTCGGAAGAAGGATTCCATTATCAGTTTGAGATGGACTTCTTTGGAATACTCACGCAGCACATGATATGCCTGGGTGTGTTGAAAACTATCCCACAGACAATATCAAAAAAAAGGTATTCCTTAATACAGCTTCGCTGAATTGGCCCTGCATACATGCTAAGGGAACCGCTCCTTCCGCCCCTGCAATCCCTAGAGCCACGCAAGTCACTGAAGTAGCTATGCGTATGAACATGTTTGATCAATTTTTGTCCGGCCCTGGAGATTGATTAGCTCGTGCAAAATAGCTTAGATCTCGTCTCGTCAAGCTCTTGGACCATCGGTCTGGGCTAATATGCTAGACACCAACTGGAAAGAAAAGAAAACCATAAACGGTTCTGGGAACGTTGTAATTTATATATTATTTCTGATTCAAGCCAATGTGATTTTATAGTTTACATATTCCAGCTCAAGAATGGCCCGCAATTCGGTCGGCTAAGTGACCTCCATTACTGTTTCATCAACACGGTCCCAGAAATAGTAGCGACTGCCAGACTAGAACATTACCTCGCAGATTCCGGTTTCGAGACACTTGGTGGCTGTGACGCGTCGAGGGTTAGCAGGCCAAATCTCATAGCTATGCGTTAGCGTCATTATTCGGGCTTTGCCAGTTCCCTTCGTAGTCGATTTCCTTAGGGTCAGTATTCCATTTGTCAGGAATGCTGTTGAGCTGAGTCTATAAGGTCAGTGGTTTATCCTCCATGCAGGTATTTTCAAGCTATAGGATAGTGATATGGCTGTAGATGCTGGGTGCAGGTAATACTGCCATAATTGGAATAGATGGTCTACACAACCGCCACGTCACTAAGGGTCAAGAGAGTGCTCACATGCTGCCAACCATGAAAGAGCCTCTGACCACACACAACTAGTCAAGGAGCCCTGTGAAGTCTTGAATTGGCATACATGAAGTGTGATGCAGGTTAGTAACGAGACTATTGTAGAATGTAAGAACATCAAAACGAGCATATACACAAAAGTTGCGTTTCTAAAACTTCATAACACCATATCCCGCAAACGTACAGTATTCCTGCTTATCTAATTGTATTTGGATTGTTGGAAAAGCAATAGACTTTATTATCTCGAGGCTAGTAGTAACAGCACCGGCTCGTGTAACCGAAACAATAGCTGTTGTACCATGTATATCGACCTGTCCACCCAAAGCACGACAATAATTTATGCGTAATTTTGTAGCTCAACGTGAAATATTGGGCGCAAACAAAATTAATATTTTTCACATTAGGGAAATCTGTACCTCTGCATCTCATTTGGCCATCCTAACTATCGGCCTGGTTCTTGACCACCTCAATTGACATGTCTGACCAAATTCCAGTCGTCAGATAAAACTATAGAGAACCACCATCATGTACTCTTTGCACCCAGACCGATCCTACAGGTCCAACAGCGTCGCCACCAAGTCCGCTGGTTGATCGAAAAAATCAAACATGACGATACCGAGTCGCTGGCCCTTGTGCTGCTGCATGAAGGAGATGAGCTGGTGGTTAGCACCTCCCTGCGGAGTTTTCTGCGTACCATTTCCCAGTGCCATGATACGAGGATAGTCCGGTGGTACATTAGTATCATACTCGCTCGAAGCGAATGTCCAGAAGAGACTGTCGGGGTGCTGCGTCGCCGCCTTGACGAGATGAGATGTGGTGGCATTTAGCTTCCACTGAATGTTAAGTGCGGCGCTCGAGCCCAGGCCTGCTCCTGTCTCGTAGAAATCCCCGATGAACGCCGTAAAGTTCTTCCGCTTATTGTACAGGAGCTCAATATTGGGTGAGTTATCCGTCCAAAGGCGTGGTGGGAAATGCAGCCCCGGCACGTGTGCCACCTCCTCGGTCGGCAGATCGGCCATGTCAAAGCGCCGGAAGAGGGTGATCTTGCCGCGCGCCTGTCCCAGTGTGCCCAGTTCATTCTGCATCGGGTTCAGGTAGTGACGAGCGGGCATTGAAGTCAGGATCTTGTACATGGCGCGCTGCACGGAGATATCATTAGTGGCATTCCGTGCTGTGCCGTCTTCGTACTTCAGGGAGAGGAAGAGAGCCTCGGTGGGATGGTGATCGAGCCAGTGGTAGAAGCCAAAGAACACATCTTCAACAGTGGCTGTCTCAGATTGCAGTGCCGCCCCATGGTAGAAGACCAGTGTGGAGCTCGTAGCGTCCATGGCGAAGCGCAGGTCGAACACACGGATACCGGCGTTGAGCATGTCAATAAGCGAGCGATCTTGGCAACGATACCAGTCTGAGACCTGGAGGGACTCGCCATTGAGGTCGGTGATGGGCCGCAGCGCATCCTGCGTCGCTTGCGAATAATTCCATGTAGCACTGTCATGCGTTCCCGGCAGATTCATGCGCACTACGGGTGTCGAGTCAGGATAACGCTTCATCCAGTGCGCTGTATGCACCGAGGATGGCATATATGGGCCAAAGATTGGGGAGGCATCTTTCAGTACTTTGTCGAGAGCCAGATGGGGGAGGATAGAGCAATGTGCTAAGATAGGCAGGCCAAGGCCAACAAAACTAATCATCAACCCTGCGTGCATGATGCCGTTTTTTCTTTTATTTTCTTTTTTCACTTCGAACAGTTGATACTGAAATCACAGGCTCTACAAAACAGGAGAGAGATTCAACCCCTCTATATCGGTCGGTCTGAGGAGGTGGTTTCCGACAGTCTTGATGGAACGGGCATCACTAAGCAAGGACACAACGGGTTAATCTCCACCACGGATACATACAACGATCCGGTCGAGCCACGTGGGATTCAGTTCTCCACCATCCATTCCACCTGTGTCTGATTTTTATCGAACATCTGCAGTGACCAGCTTGTATCCGTTCTTTTGCGCCTGTGCATTCACATCATAGCCTCTTGTCGACAACCTTACGTTGTGGAGAGCGGCGTACTTGCTTTGTTTTGGCCCTACAGTAAATTTCGCCCTATGCAGATGGAATGGTTGACTTCCCGTATATTTAATTATAATGTCCCAATATCATACATAAAGCCAGAAGGAGAGGGGAATTCTAAACATAGCATTATGGGAAACCCTTCTAAGTCCCCTAGAAGGGTTTGTATGGCTGTTCTTCAACTTCTTCCAGCTTTTTGACCGCTCGCTCGACTCTCTGCCAACAAACCATTGGCCGCTTACTTCCCATCAACCTTTTCCCTATTTTTCATCAACAAACAGTAATGGGCGACTCACAAGACGTCTCATGCCCCATAAACCCTCCTCTATCGACGACTGAACGGACCGTCTTCGGCACCCGAGGATGCGTTGTCTACGGCTACCCCTCAACTGGCGGGGTTCTCAGAAAAGAGGCTGACCTTCTCGACATGCTTTTCCTATCGCTCCCCCGCTCTCATGTATCGCAGCACTCACCCAGTGCCGACGAAGAAGACAGGTTCTGTAATCTCATGCGACGGACTGGTGCGATGTGGTGGCCGAGTAAGGAGGATTGGATCGAGGTGCAAATGGGCATGAGGGAGATGACGGAGGAAGAAGAAAAGGTGCTGGTGTTTGGTTGGCCGACGGATGGAGTGGGTGTGTGGGTGTTGAGGTTTGCGAGTGCCCGGCAACTCCCAAGAGATTTTGGGAGAATGAGTTTAGCGATGAATATGGAGGAGAAGATACAGATGATGAGAGAGTATGGCGCTACGTTTGTGGAAGATGTCACGCAGGTGGAGGAACTTCATGATACATTTTGAGGCCTACTAGTCTTGGGATGGGTACTTGTGGAGAGGAATTTTAATATGCTACATGTAGGCTGACCGTTGGGAAGGGATTTTTTATAACTATTACCAGAGACTGTTACTTCATTTCTAATATATATCAAATGGTTTGTTTATCTCTATAAATCTGGGCTATTATAAACCTTATAATATAGCCTTTTAACTAGTCTAATATATATTAATTATCGCCCTCCTTACTCTTCGGAGGGTTCGTGCATTAAAATCAAATGCTCCTGCTGCCTTTAGGGTAGATAAAAATTGACCATTTTGAAGCGCATTAAGAGCCAGGATAATTCTCCTATTATAAGAATTATCCTCCATTTGATAATGTGGATAGTGTAGAGTAATTTGACAGTTTTGGTGATACTGCGGGGAAAAAGTCGGACACTCCGTGTCCGATTACGTTAGTACAGTAGTATAAAACAGGTTTATTAGAAGAACAACTCTTGATTATTATTATTAGGTGTTGGAAATCAGGATGCCTAAGGCACCTTCGTATATCCTAGTCCCGCAGCGATGTGATATATCATATTCAGGGGCTAAGGGACACGTAGACATGAGGAAGCGTTTGTCTACGCTCTCTCTCGTAGATAGAAGAATATACTCACCATGCGATACTAGATCGCACCGATAGTTTCAATATACCATCCAGTCACCGCTATCCTAGCACCTCACGACATAGCTTCTTCCCCGAGATTCTCAACATTAGGCATAATACTGCGATATCGCTCATCACACGGCCGGTTAGGTAGGGGACTGGGTGAGGTAGTATAACGCTATAAGCTGTAGGAGCAGGCGAATATGGGAAGGAGGCCCCAGGGGCCACCTTGATGGTGGGCACTGGGGAGGACAGAGGGAATTCTATTGAGTTTTGTAAAGGAATGTATTGCCTAAGCTATCCTTAATAGTGTCAAATAATATGGGTGTTGGTGAACCAGAATCATGTGACCAGATCGGGGTAAACCCCCGCGGAGCACACAACAAAAATAATCATATAGAAATACCCAAGAATAATCAAGAAGAGCCCAACCAGCTCAATTCGACCTTTTTACCAATCGTACTATAATTCCTCTTCGGGACTAGCCGAATATCTGACAATAAGTCCCCGCAATCCGCGGCGGGCGACCCCCCTCCTGCCGCCCGAATCCGCGCCAAATGAAACTCTAATTCCCATTGAGATTACCGTATGGACGGGACTTGAACCCTTTCGGGATCCCGAATCCCTCCCAACGGCCAGCCTAGTTTTGTTTATCTTTTCACGACTAATCTTCTCCCGTTATCTCCAATTTAACGAAATTTAATTACATAAGCCCATAATGGCTTTTCCACCCCCTCTGGGCTCTGGTCCATTTTGCGCCCAGTCGCCGTTTTAATTCCTTAGATGGAATTTGAATGGCCAATAAAAAAGAGTTATAAGGTACTCTGTACAGTGTTATTTATAGTAAAACAATCCAGAATTAATTCTTAACCACAACTACCCTTCCAACAATTACTAGTGCTAGTCTTCCGATGTCGCTGAATTTTCGGTGTTTCCGCCAGGAGCGTCTTCTTGCCGAACACAAGCTAACATCCAATGTGTTGTACCATCACAAGTCCATAATAACGTACATTAGGGACAGAAATATTTCGACTCCGGTGACCTAGCTCTTTCTATGGCCAGTCAGTGACTGATAGTGTAATTCAAACTAGCACACTGACCAATCTGTGTGGGAGAATATTGCATACAAAATTAACTAACAGCCCCCTTTATCACCAGACCAACGTTGGAAATCTTGGGAGTGACAGGAAACGAGGTCAGACTTTTTCAATGGATAATAGGCAGAAAATCATATTGTTGTCTAATTTTTGGTTTTACAGTACTACCTTCAGGCTCTCAAACTTCCTTTATTGAGGTCCTTCTAGCATCTATGTCAGATAATCTTGTATCTAACATTCCCAATATCTTAGGCAGAGAATCGCCCTTTAACGCAAATTGCTACACTGTATCTATAGTAGGCCATTTTATAAGATTTGCAACCCGCCAGGATATTAGGATCTAGTGACCTGCAGGTTAAACTAACAATAGCAGGGTTATATTAGGCCTCCTTGAATTCACCTAGTGTTGGGACTGAATATATTAGAAAAGTCTGGCCAAGTGGATCTGTTGGAGCTAGCCATCTGAAGTCATTCATTCAGTCTTGATAATGTGACTGTCCGATTCCTGCTTCGGCCTTCGAATCGGAGGAGGAAACCTCGGGGCTTGAAGCTTCAGCCAGCGAAATTTGAGATTGTCAACTGCCCCCACAGTTTGGTCAATCGACTGGTACTGGTAGGGTAAAGCGAATAGTCACTAAGCGAAAGTATTTGGTTTGCTTGAAGGGGCGCCAACCTGTGCCACAACTTCTTCATCTCGTAAAGTAAAAGCAATTAGGCGATTAACAGCGTCATGTTCTCGCAGATAGTCGTTAATCCACCGGTCTACAGCATCCACATCCCAATCTCCCCGGGGAAGACGAAGTGAAGGAACACCGCGGACAATATTCTTAACCTTGCGTTCAATAGCCCAAGGCGTACGTTTGTAACCTCGACGTAATAGTAGCCAGGACAGTGTTAGAGGGCTAATATATCTGGAGGAAAAATAAAGAGCAATGACGATTTCACTACCTGACCAAGGCTCTGCACGGATTGTTCATACAACATGGAATATTTAATGACACAAAATACCTCATGCGCGTCTATTGAATTTTCCGCTTCCCGAAGGCACACCGTTATTTAATGGACCGGGAATTAACAACCGATCACATGCGTTTGAGCTAATTTTAGGGCATGAAAGCCCTGCAGAGAATATCCATCAAAAAAAAAGAAGGGGATGGGGTTGGCTGGAAAGTTGCCCCACTGCGAAGGAATGGGAAACATGACATGCACCCGCGCGATCACAGGTGAAAGACAGGGAAGATGGTGACAATTTATATTATGAGAACTTTGGCTTTAATCCGAGGAAACCACATGCAGCCTGCGTTAGTTGCTCTCATTGTACTAATTAATTAAACCTTAAGCCCCAATCAAAGAACATAGGGGTTGGTCCGGAGAAGCTGAAAAATTCTCAATCATCTGACACAGGTCCTCCAACAAGGAAGAAATTTGCCCTTCCGAAGCAACATGAGATCTCACGTAAACACGCAACTGCAGGTGCTGCTTCTCGGGGATCGAGATTATCCATAGCGTGTCCAACGGGTCAAATTCGTTCTCGCCCCCATTCCAGACTCCACCGTCCCCACTGAGAGGTTGATGTTATTCTCGATGTTCTGATGTTGATAGATGTAACCGAACTGGGTGCCCGAGGCCCACTCCGTGCTTTTTTTCGACAATATCTCGAAGCTCGACAGAGTCGTAGCGAGCAGTCTGAGCCTTCTGATCGCGGACATAATGAAGGAGATCTGTTACAGACCAGTTTGGCTCCAAATTCAGTCGCATAGGATGAAATTAAGGCATGGCCCTATAATCTGATCGATGTTAGCTAGTGGCAGACTGCGGGCGTTGACAGTTTGGCCGAGCACGAGGGATTGGCTGTAGTGGGCCTTAGACAGGGCAGCAGCCACTGATGCCATGATTAAAGTCGCGTCTGTAAATGCTGGTGGTGGCGAAGGAGAACGGATACCTCGAATTTGCATGAGTATTGCGTCCTGACGGATTCCTCCATCGAGGCTGGGCGGCACAGTCATGAATGAGCTATCAAGGTATGTTCTCCAGAAGTCGAGGGCTTCTTTGTTAACCTGCTGACGGCGGTAGTACAGGAATGAGGAAAAGTCGGTCTCCTGCGGGGCGGACACAAATTTCGTTGGATCGTTATACGCAGTTTGGATCTGGTCGCATAGCAAGGTAGGCAAACCCCATCATACTGTGCGTGGGAGATGCGAATGCTGAAGATATGCTGCGACTGAGGAAGGTTGGACAAAAGAGTATATCTCAACGGCAGTAGTAGAGTGCCGGTAGTGGTGGCGCAGTGGTAAGCGCACCAAGGCAGCCTTTGAAGAGCAGGATTGGTCTCCCTCGCTTTTTGGACATTTACCACCTCAGCGTCTCTATGGAGAGACACCATAACACGGGGTAATGGAGTACCCCAGCCTTTTCACAGGTTAAAGTGGAAACAATCACAGGCCTATCAGGCGAGGCTCAAAGTTCGCCCGCAGGAAGCTTGGAACATCACAATGGAATTACAATCATGTATTTAGAATAGTTAGTTAACCTGCATATCGCCGAAGGCGAGGGGTCAGTGTATGAATACTACTACTACTACTACTAGTGTGGTAGAGTTGGTAGTAAGCTGTTAAAGGCGATATGAAATTTTATACAAAAACACACAGTAGGTAGGGAACTGTTGCCCTTACATTTTCTTTCCGCTGCTGTGCCCTCGCAAGCCACGATACAGGACATCTACGGCCAGGGATTCCTCAGCAGTTAAGCCTATGAGTTAATTTTCATGTCATCGGTGACCAACTAAGTGCCAATGAATCGCTATAAGCCTATCCAGCAAAAGTAGGTATTATTACATACATCAAGCAGCTGATTCTGTGGCTATTAATGCAACTATGGGATGACTTGTTGACATGATCGGTATAAACAATCATTGGACAAGTTTCACACCCAGTAAGTGGATAATATTTACTAAGTCTTCCGCTCTGGAACACACTAACTTATATCTAAGGACCAATAATGTTGTATTCAAAGAACTCCAGTTATTTTACACTTGAATAATGCTAAGAAATTAACTGGACAAAACATTATGTGATCGTCATCGATCTACTGACTTTATATAAAGTATGGGTATTCAGTTGCCTAAGGATTTAAGTATTTGGTTTATTGTTGAGGGGGTAATTCATGGACCCTAAGATCGGTTTACCCCGTTCCTATAGTAAATTACAGCTGAGCCATATTCATTATTGCTAACAGGATGCACGAATGTGTTGTCCATAATTCCTAGGTACATGGAATAGTTGAGCATAGAGTTGGCTAACAAGCAGGGAATGCATAATTGCTGAGTTACACTGCATATATTAATTCAGCTGCAATCTGCAGGTCAGGTATAGATATTTGCGGCCATGCACACTATTACACTAACCTTCAGCTTTAGATTTTTTATTTATGCCTTGTTAAAGGAGATAGCAGTATATTCGTTTCTTTTCTTCCCATTCTAAAGCAGTATATCCTAGCCATTTTAATCTTGCACAGCAGAGAGATAACATGGGGATGCTTGGTTACTGAGGGTGGCATATTTATAAGAATTATTGGGAGAGTTTGGTGCCGTCCAGTTAGTATAACTTAATGACTAGTCCGTAGTGAGGGGTTTTTGAGTGATTTTTGGTACTGTAAATATCGAGTGGGCCCGCAGCAAAGGGCACAGGGTGACCTTGGCAGGCGGTCTCTTACACCGATTGGATGCCTAGTCTCAGGGAAAAGGCTTGCTAAGGGCCGAGCCGGGCTGTCTCCACAAGTGCAAGAGGTGGCGGCATCCTCAGGGAAGGCATCACCACAGAGTCAATCCAAAGCTGCTGGGGGATGATCCGATAGGAGGTTCTAGGATCCATAACTAGGATTACCAAACTCAGTAATGCCAAACAATTGTAACGAAGAACCGTGCCCCGCGGGGCTTAGATTTACCTCACTACCTTGTTATTGTATGCTGCTACCCCTCTCTAGGAGGGTGACGTAGATAGCTTGATAATCAGGCTCATTATAATTTTATTTAATTCTGACGAGCACTGGGCATCTTTCGCGAAGGTATTTCGTAACTGATTTTCGCGGACCTGAAGGCTGCGCTAGCAGTCCGACAGACTTCCAGGCCTCGGAACCGAGAGATCACCTTATTACAGCGCAAACGGTAAGCTGAATTTGAGGTGCCTTCCAAAGCATCCACCAAGCTGTACTAGCCTTTCAGGTAAATTACACTCTTCTCCTCTGCAGTAGAGACAAGGATAGCAATTTCTGCTTCGATTCTAGTTGCCACATATTTGTAACCCTCTTCGCGGGAAAATACCCAGTCAAGGATACCCATGGGGTCACAAGCGTAGTGTGACAAACAGTGCAAACATTGAGACAGCCCCGGGGCCTCTAACATTCTACGTTCCAAATCCAGACACCTACGGTGTTGTGAACTCAGGGGAAATGGGGCGTAGGGAGCTATTCTATTAACTACAGGCCAACTAGCCACATTAGGAAGTAGATGTCCTTCGGTGGAAACACTAGGAATCATAGTATCTCAACCAACTGAGTCTCTTGCATTCCTATCTAGGTGCTCAACTAACTAAAGGATTGAGGGGTAGAATGGATCGGTAGATATTTCCGCACCGCCAAGTCGGGCGGATTATAGTGTTTCCGTAACAGAAGTATTGGAAGAGAAGTTCTATCTATTAGAATAACAGAAGAGACTTGTATGCGTTATTTTAGGTATCTTAACATAACATTAGTGAGAGATATTCCACTGGTAAGAAGGTGCAAGTCGGGGGAGAGAATAAGACCTATATAAAGCCAGCAGATGATATGCACAATATCCTTAATAGGGAGTCGCTCAGCAACCTACTGGCTAAGTTTAAACGGTAGCCACAAAATCACTCAAACCTGCATTAGAGTACACGTCACCAGCATTCACTATCCCTGTTATACGCCACAGTGTAGACCTCGCCAAATCGCGGGTCGGGTTTCGACCCTGCACTCAGAACCCGCCAAGAAAAGTAAATGACGGTATTATATACCATCATTACACAGGTACTCATATTGGTTTTACGAAATTTCATATATAATTCCGTAATATATGGGCCTTTCGATTCTTGGTGGGTTGTTAGATAAACCCATTGGTACTCAAAAAAGCAATATGGCGAGGTCTACCACAGATTATTCATGTGAATGGTTGATTCTTCCTTCACTTTTCATGGCTGGATCAAGCATAAATAGAGCCGATGATACCTGCCATAGATGCACCATTGCATACCAGTATTAGACACCAACACTTAAGTAGAAGTGTTCCGCAGTATTTAATCAGCCCAAACGAACCCGTTGCCTAAATTTGGTATATTAGTAACCAAATCTTTCGTTCCAGTCTTTTCGTTGCATATGATGTGCTAACTGGAGATTAGATCTAACCAAGCCGCTATAATGGCACACCATTTGTCTAGTGTGGCCTGGGGACCTAACAGGCTTGATATCTTTGGTATTGGTACCGACAACGCCTGCTACCACAAATGGTGGAACGGTTCGAGCTGGGGTGGATGGGAATCACTTGGTGGAAAGTTTAGCAGTTCCATTGATGCTGTTAGCTGGGGGCCTAACAGAATTGACCTTTTTGGTCTTGGCATCGACAACATCTGCTATCACAAATGGTGGGATGGGTCTGGCTGGCACGGCTGGGAGTCCCTCGAAGGGGTTCTTACCAGCAGTATTCGTGCAGTGAGCTGGGGTCCCGATCGCCTAGATCTTATTGCTCGGGGCACCGATAATGTGTGTTACCACAAGTGGTGGAATGGTTCAAGCTGGGGCGGATGGGAGTCACTAGGTGGTGTGCTGAACAGTGGCATTGAGGCCGTTAGCTGGGGACCTAACCGTCTTGATCTGTTTGCGTTGGGTACCGACAACGCTGTCTGGCATAAGTGGTGGGATGGAAACAGCTGGGGTGGATGGGAGAGCCTTGGTGGTGTCGCAACCAGCCCTGTCTCGGCAGTTTCCTGGGGTTCAAACCGCATTGACTTCTTTGTCAAAGGTACCGACAATGCCCTCTGGCACAAATGGTGGGACGGCAGAACGTGGGGTTCCTGGGAGTCCTTAGGTGGAACCCTGTCTAGCGATGTCAAAGTTACTAGCTGGGGCGATCACCATCTGGATATATTCGTGCGCGGGACAAACAATTCCTGCTGGCATATCTGGTATAATAGCAAATGGGGCAAATGGGAACAAATCGGCGACAATACCTTGTTCAGTGCAGTTTCTGCTGTCTGTTGGGGACCTGGCCGCATAGACCTTTTTGCAGTTGGAACGGATAAAAATGCCGGTTTGCATCAGGCATGGGACGGTAAAACTTGGAGCAAGTGGGAATCCCTTGGAGGAGTCTTGCTCAGTCAACTTCGGAATTATTAAATTGCTCTCCGTAAGGATTAGCTCTTGTTATATCCGATCGGGCATTGGCCTACCTACCAGTCTTATCATTCATTGATCGTTTATGCCCTTTTAATATGATCAGCATAACATATTCCGCCAAAAGTGTTGACCAAGCAAGCTGTGTAAAAAGGCCCGCTATCTATAGAAGCAATAGCGGCGGAATCCGACGATGGAGACAACTCGTCAGATGATGACATTATAGTGCCCCTCTTCTCGACTGCGTGACTCTGGATATCTAAAGCATTAACATGTCAAGGAATATTAACAGAACTTCTGGCCGTCCAACAGGTAAGATATTCCTGTCCAATAGTTCGAAAGATTTACTAATAGAGGTACATGGATCAAGGAGTCTCGGCTCCGCGCCTTCCTGCTCTTGCAAACCACCTGTTTAAGTCGATGTCGGGGAAATACGTCGTTAGGAACGAGAGAGAAGATCTAAAAAGAATCAATATCCAACTCCAGCAAAGGTGCGATAAGTAAAGATAGATTATTACCAGACTCCGGAGTGATTTAAACGCAGGCGTGCAGTAAAGAATAACAGTAAATATACTGCAAACAGATAATAACTCGCTCCGGGATCAGTATAAACGTTTGCTGCAGGCGAATACTTAGACCTAGGGCTTGGTGGAAAGACCACGGCGGCTTGATGCTCTATCTTAATAGCTTGTATAAGGCTGACCTGATAAATATAATAGAAATAATATTTCCGCGATCAAGCTTAATAACACTGTGGTAGTGGCAGTTATTCTGGTTATAATAGACCATACTCTATGGCGGGTCGTATAATATTCATAACCCTGTTAACTCGGCCAGTAGCCAAAAGGATTAATATAGGCTTGTTAGGTGTGCAGAGAGTAGATCAGGTGTATTTTAGCAGGGGCAATCTATTAGGTAAAGTTCCTACATAAGCAAATATTATAAAAGCCAGAGGAAATCGGCACTTTGTTGCCAACAGAGCCAGCAGTTCAAGACCACATAACGCTGCTGCAGCCCCGAGAGGCAGGGCGTTCTGTATTGTCTTATTAGACATAATGCCTCCTGATACCTTACCCAGCCAATAACAACCAGGGAAATCCAGACACGAGGATATTGTGCCAGAAGGGAACTGTTTGTATACCTGGAAGCATGCTCATGTAGGGCATCTGAGTCACTGAGCTCCTGGCAGGTGATGGCCCTCCAGGAACGTCTACCAGAGCCGCAACTTAGTTAACAAGGGTAAGAGAGCCCGAGAGCACAGCATGGCCGAGACATGGCTGGTAGATATAAACTAGAATCCTTCTAAATATTAGACTTGGATTGTAAGCCTAATTTAAACAGAGTGTGTTTTTATTAAATATAATAAAATATATAAAAGGGACAGTGGGCTTTTTATTCTTTAATCTAGGCTCTAGTAAGATAAATTATACTTAGTGTTAGTATAGTGGATGTATATATAACAGATAGTATTATCTAGATTAGAGATTTAAGATTTAAAAAATCTATTTAAATTAAGCAGCAAATGCCTGAAAAGACTTCTGGCTAACTAGAATCACAGCTCTGTATTTAATAGCGCCTTAAAAAAAGATTAGTGTACTCCAGGTTTATATACTTTTTTATATAGTGTTAAAATTTCGACATGTGTGTTAAAGCCTTTTATAGCTAGTGTTAATACTATTTTTTATAATTGCAAATCTGTTATACACAGTGCTAAGCTCTTTTATATTTTATACTAATAAAAAGTCTATAGCTCTGGAGCTGTGTTTCTAAGATAATTTATCCTTTATAGTAGCTATTTAAAAAATCTACTATAGGTAGGTGTTAGGAGCGCTCGGAAGCGCGATAGCTAGATCCTGTCAAATAATATGGTCTTTGGTGGACCAGAATCATGTGACTAGATAGGGTAAAACCTCCGCGGAGCACACAACCAAAACAAAAAGAATAACCAAGAAGAATCAACATAATCAAGAAGAGCCCAACCAGCTCAATTCATTCAAATAAGACCTCTTTACCAATCGTACTCTATTTCCTCTTCGGGACTAGCCGTATATCTGACAGATCCTTAGCTAAGATGCTTAGTCAGGTGCGAAGTGTTTATATTCGCACCCGCGGGCCTGAACTCTTGAAGGCCAGCGATTAGTTCTGCAATATACGTGGTCCTATCTTCTCTCCCATATAGACACTCCCTTTCGCACCGTAGCGCCCCATTCAGCTCGTTACCAACCCCCACGCATAACAGTAGGCATGCATCCGGCCCACCAACTTATAGTAAATAAAACTATTTTAATATCTACCTTTAGCCGGATAGCAGCTTGTTGGACCTTGCGGTAATACGTGTTCTCGAGTCCCTACGCCCCATTTCCCCTGAGTTCCACAACAATCTCCAATCAACTTGGATCCGGATAAAGGGGGTGCCGGGAATCCAATTAACTTGGACCCGGAGGAGGGAGAGGGGGTTGAGAACCCGATTATTCTTTAAAGTAAGTGATTTTTTTGTACATGTTTCCCTGCACCAAAACCATCACCAGCATGTCCCAGCCATACGGGCCCTGTGTACGGCACCTAAGCATGGCTTGCACCTCTATGCGGTGCTTAGGACTAGTAACCGGAAGGTGAAACCAAGCAAGCCACCTGATATGCCAAAATTTCTCACCTAGGTGTGGTGGTAGATTCTGGCGGCAATATAATTAGAAATTTAGTTTTGATCATTTGGCCATATCCGTCCGCCGTAATCCCGCCGCTCTACGCTCCTGGAGGGGATTCTGACCTGAGGGAACCGGTACCGACCGTTGATCCTGCAACCAAGTGCTTGTTTCAGTCGCCTTGGTCCCAAAGTATCATATACGATGGTGAAAATAGTTTGGGTCCCTTTGAACAGCTTTATAGGAACATTGAAGAGTGCCAGCGTGAAGTCAATCCCGGATTCTGGCATATGGGCGAACCAGAATTTTGCTTCATTCACAACGCGCACTTGCTGAGCAATAGTCTCCTTACAGCTTTGTTCACTCAACTCCAGTATTGACACACGCGGCGCAGCCAGATTAGATGGTTGTATTATACTGTTATGCAATTTGTTGACGAGATTGTAGCTTGACTGCTTGTGTGATTTTTCATTATTATTGTAGTTTTGGGTCCAATCCACGGCCTCGCCAACCTTGCCCATCCCTTCTTGCAGACCGATCTATATGTCCAAGAATTGCCACCTTGACCTTCTTGTCTTCTGCATGCTTCAGACCTAGCTCGGCTATCTGTTTCAGTTTCTCTCGACGCGCGGCCGCATCACGTGGAGGAATTTGATCCCCCTGGCATCGCCAGCATCCTCTTTCGGTTTTGGGGCTGATAGGGGGTTCACCTCAGCTATATTGTATCATCAGCACTGCTTAGGTTCAGGCTCATGACAATCAAGGCTAAATTTGATGAGCACTCGGGACAAAAGATCCTCATATCTGGACCGTAAATCGGATTGTTCTTGTTTCAGAGAATCATATGCTTCGTTCCACAAAGGAGCAGGAGTGGATTAAGCATCTATAATATCTGTAGCTTGCTTTTGGGTTGGATTCAGGGCAGCAGTAGCCTTTTTCCCAGTCTCTCCTGCAGAGCTGGCCTTTATATCGTTCGTCACGTTTCCAAATATCTGAGCATCAAATTGTGGCGGAAATGACGGGAAGAATCTGAAATGATAAGCTTAGTTCCCTATAACCCTAATACAGTACCGGAGCGACCGGATGCGAGACACATGAACACCTTGATATGTCTTTATCTATCGCCGAGGGGTTTGACGGTTGCAATAGGATCCCCAAGTAGGCACTGTCATATTTAAAAGGGGGGGCTGATATAACAGACAGAGCCTCAGTGTATCTATCGGGCATGCAGAAGATGGGTCGGCTGGAGACGACATAATAAATCAACCAGACATCTAGGGGATTAAACGAGGCCAACAAGGTCCTACTGTTAATAGAGTTTCTTATTATTTATTATCTACGATACAACTTGTGCTGACCTGGAATTCAACCTGCTGATTAACCTGCAGGACTGGGGTGATTAGAAAGTTGAGATAGCTACAACTAGCAAAATGAAATCTCAGCTGTTCAATATGAGTCATGCAGGAGGAGAAAATCACACTCATCATGCAGTACTCCACAATGATGACACCGATACAATCCCTCAATACTCCGTACGAATCTTGTGATCAACACCCCGCAGTATCGCAAGAATCTCCCCCCATACCTTCTCTCTAACCATCGCCTGATCGGGATCAGTCACTATCGGGCCCGGGCTACCACATCTATTAGCTTGGATTCTCAATTCTGCCGAGCAAAAGGTAACTCGCTCTGCAATAGCCTGATTATCCAGCCACTTCCCGTGTGTCTCGACTCCCTGCGTCACCGCATGCAATAATGTTTTGCTCCCTTCCTGGACCGTCCGTGCCGCCAACGCCTGCACCAGCTTCAGAATCCACGGCACCTTCTCTCTCGTCAGGAGATCTGACTTGCAGAACCCAGGTGCCAGGCAGTTCACCACCACGAGTGGCTCTCCATGCTGATCGCGAGGCACTAATTGGGCCAGCTCCATAGTGATGAAGATATCCATCAGCTTGGTGACCCCGTACCGCTCCGTGGGACCTCCTGCAGCCTGGGCCCTCTTCCACCGCTCCTGGTTGTTCAGAACAGGAAAGATGCGATCCGCATTCCGGTCGGGGAATTTTACGGATTTGTGGTTATCGCTGGCGAGGATGGCCAGATGCGGTCGCGACGAGGGATGTTGCTCCCGCGTGCGCAGTAGCACCGGCAAGAGTTCCAGACTGAGCAGCGCCGTCGAGAGTACATTGACCTGGAGCTGTCTCTCCCACCCATCCGGGGTCACCGCCCATTCCAACGAGGCGACTCCTGCGTTCATGATGGCCATATCCAGACGGCCGCCATCCTGAATGACGTATTGTCGAACTCGAGCGGCGAAGGCTTGCACACTGGTGAATGAGGACAGATCCACGGGCCATACCAGCACTTTATTCTTGTCCGTGCAGCTGGTGCTCGATTCGATGTTGGTTTTCGCTACTTCGCCTTTGGCGAGAGATCGAACGCCGATAATCACGGTGGTGGCGCCCAGAGCGAGGGCATGTCGGGCGGCTTCCCGACCGAGACCAGTGTTGGCTCCTGTGATCAGGATGGTTTTTCCATTGATAGCAGAAGAGGGAGGGAGGGTTAACTTTGTGAAAAGGAGGCCGTATAATCCGCTCATAATGATGATGATCCTGAGGATGGATCGAAATCGTTGCTGTGTGGATTTAGTACGCGCTATCAGTATCGTTTATACTTTGGATCTGCGAAGCTGAAGTGGTCAGAGACGGAGCAATGTCTCGCCGATGTGTATAAAGGACGGGCTAATGCCGGTAAGCCTGAGAATGAGCATACTAGCTCACCGTATAGACCAGGGTGATGAAATACCAGTATTTACCTTTGTCTTGAAGCCGCCGATATACGACGCCCAGATAGGGTTGTAACGAATTGTTGGTATTCGCTACGTCATATAGATTATTATGTAAATACTTAATTGATCGATATTACTCCGGAGTAAGTTGTCAGCTGAGATAATAATAATGATTATGCCACGTCAATTCCGTCCCTACAATACAAGAATAGATTTGGTGAACAAATCCTCTTATATCCGGACCAGGTCTTACCCCCGCTAACTCCGGCCGTGGACCAGTCTCTATTGTTTCTCCCTCTTTGTTGCTGTCGATGCGGATGAAAATTCTATCCGTAGGCAGACCGACCTATTTTCCACGTGTCTGACGTGACACAAAGCCAGGAAAAGACATGGCTCGGGGGTGTTTGGCAGGGATGGCACGCGATTCCTCCCATCCGGGCGGAGGTGGTACCCTCCTGCACTAGTATATAAGCCATCCTGCACGGAAGATAGAGCAATGTTCATCCATTTTTGTTACGAGAAACCTTAAGTGGGATTGCTAGCACTGCCTACATACTGCCTGCTTCAGCCCAGCCATGTCCACCACGACTGTGATCACTGCCCCCGCGGTGGAGCTGCAACCCGGCAGTGAAACGCCGCCAACCGATGCTTCCGAAAAGGAGCACGGCTCCTCAGAGGCTACTCACCAGTACGAGAGTCCTCAGGGCCCGCTGCGAGATGTTCATGGCGTTGCTTGGGTCCTTGTTGGTAAGTACATCCATTGAAAAACAAGATGAACTAGACAGACAGAGAGACACAAAAAATATCAAGACTGGAAGAAAGATGCTAAGATCGGATAGTGATGTCGATTTTCTCCTGTGTCTTCCTCTTTGCACTGGACAATACGATTGTGGCAGATGTCCAGCCGGCCATTATCAATGAATTCCACAACTTAGAAATGCTGCCATGGCTCTCAGTAGCCTTCATGCTGGGAGCAGCTAGTACCCTGCTGGTTTGGTAACAACGACATTGGATACACGGGGACTTCCGGCTAACCCCTCCTAGGAGCAAGGGATATGGACAATTTAACTGTAAATGGCTCTATATTATTACGACGGCCATCTTTGAGGTGGGATCGGCCGTGTGTGGCGCCGCCCCGAACATGAATAGCCTCATTGTGGGACGTGCAATCTGTGGCTTTGGAGGCGCAGGCATGTACTTGGGTGTGATGACCATCCTCTCCATGTTGACAACTCCCACGGAACGACCCATGTATCTAGGCATGACGGGGCTGGTGTGGGGTACAGGCACAGTGTAAGCATATCCATTCTATCACTAACGATCCCCTGTTCTGTGCTGACGGTGGTCCAGTCTGGGACCCATTATTGGTGGAGCGTTTACAGATAGCGCTGCCACATGGCGGTGGGCTTTCTATATTAATCTCTGTATTGGAGGCCTTTTTGCCCCTGTCTTTTTCTTTATCATACCCAGCGTTGACCCCCGTTCGGGGGTTCCCATCAAGGCGCGGCTGGCAGAAATTGACTGGCTCGGCCCGATTCTCTTTATTGGTGCCTACGTCTCGGGCATCATGGCGATTGCGTTTGGTGGTGCCCCCTATCCCTGGAATGACAGCCGCATTATCGGCATGTTCGTCTGCTCTGGGGTGCTTTTTATTCCCTTCTTCCTCCAGCAAGCGTCCATGCTGTTTACTACCTATAGTGGTCGGATCTTCCCCTTGCAATACCTCAAAAATAAGGAAATGATTCTGTTATTTATCGAGACCGCCGCGGCCGGCACTTCTTCTTTTGTCCCTATATACTTCATCCCCTTGTACTTCCAGTTTGTCCAAGGAGACGGTGCCCTCCAAGCCGGGGTGCGCCTTCTTCCGTTTATTGTTCCCATGGTGGTGTTCAATCTGGTGAATGGGATAGCCATGAGTGCGTTGGGGTACTATATGCCATGGTATCTTCTTGGCGGGGCCCTGGTTCTGGTGGGCGTCGTCCTACTGAAGATCACCCAGCTGTCCACTAATGTGGCCCAGATCTACGGTGCTCTAGTGGTGGGTGGGATTGGGACTGGGGTCTTCTCGCAGGCTGGGTTCTCCGTGGCCCAATTTCTGGTCCCGGTGGAGGAAATTCCCATGGCCGTCGGCTTTATGGCCTGTGCCCAGGTTGGGGGATCTGCGATCGCCCTCTCGATCGCCAACACGGTGTTTTTAAATCGAGCAACTGTCCAGATCCGGGATCTCCTTCCGCAGGAGTCCTTGGAAAGTGTGCAGGGCATGATCTCAGGCGCGAATTCGGCCCTCCTGAACTCGTTAGATAAAGATTTGAGAACCGACGTTCTCAGTGCGATTGTGAACTCGATCACAGATGCCTTGGTGTTGGATCTGACGGCCGGATGTATTGCGGTTTTCCTGCCGGTGTTTCTACGACGGACCAAGATGAGCCATACCTCAGGTGCTATAGGGGGTATGTAGATTCGGTATTGGCATAGCCATCGGACCGATTCCGTCCTGTGAGAATGAGATGAGCCGAGATGATTCGTTCTATATCAGAGCAGCAGCCGCGTGATGAGAAACCTCGGCAGCCACGCAGGCAGTCCGATCATAGTATGTAAGAATGCAGTCTGACCCTCAATGTATGGTGAGATATGCACCTTGTCAGAGGATATCTGGGCAAAATGCTTTCGGCCATGATGGGGCAGTTTGAACGCCTGAATTTCTCGTGGAGACTGAATCAAAAGGTCCAAGATGTTTCACTGCATTAGAAGCAGTGCTTGGCCAGGTGCAGACGCTCTGAAATTATTAGCGATGATAGAAATGATAAGCCATATTTCCCTGGATTCGGTTATTGCAGTTATCCTACGGTCTGGCCCCCAATATGGAGCCCTGTCGGGCTCTCAGCCGATGGTGGTCAGACAAAAGTGGGGATGGAGGTGACAGGCGGTGATGGGGGTGTCATGTCGAGCTCAACACCAGAGCCGCTAGTTCAGAAATTCTACCGATGTAGACCGGAAGATGAGTCTAGCTTGATACCTAGGCCAAAGTATCACTTGACTTGCTTATGAAGACTGGATGTGAGAGTGCCTGATGACGAGTAGTTGGTGACCACTTTCCATGCTGAACTGATGGCGCATTCTCAAATTGATGGACGAAACTGATTAAAGGAACGGATAACGAGTACATGAAGATGAAAAGGTGCGTGTGGGTAAGAAGAAGGGCATGGGAGGTGGAGGGGACAGGGGTCTGACATCCCTAGAAAGGGCCTCTGGCCTCAGGCAATCAGATACCCCTGACACAGGACAGGACAGCCTGTAACAACAGGTTCTAGGATACAGACTGTTAGTCCACTATTAGTCTGACCGACATGAGTACCATGCGTCATAATAGCAGGACTGGTTGGATCGAGCTAACTTGTTAAATGCTGCGATACATGGAGTAGATATATAGTGAGAAACAGAACGGTTATCAGATTAAACTGGAAGGTCCATATACTGAGCAAATCTTATAAAACATAACAAAAGAACTCTCAATATCAGCATACGTCCACACTACATCCACGCTGTATCAAATCCTACCGCTTCCACAATTTGCACAGCATCAGCTAGAATGCATCTCTTCCAGTACCTAGTAAATTAATAGCGGCTTAGTGCACCTTTCCCTTCTATACGGTATAATCAGTATCTCTCCCCTAAATTGGGTGTGGAAAACACTTACCCCGAGGAATAATGAAGCCAGAAGAATAAGTGCAGAGCCTGCAATGGCAGGCAGGTAGACCATGTCCAAAGCCTTGAGGATTGCATGGGTGACCTGAGCCTGTTGCTCTGTTGTTAGGTTGTCCGAAAATGTGCTCCCCCCCGTCCCCGACAGGTACGTGCTGATACTTTCCACCATATCTGGCGGCACCACCTCGGTAATGTACTGCTGGCCCATATTCTGATAAATAATACCCGCGACGGAGATAAAAAACACAATTCCAAGTCCCTGACCCACGCTGAGAATGCCAATTGCATCAGGGCCAAGGTACCCTGTATTTCATGCGTGGGATTTGGTCCTGGGATTTGCATCCATGTTCCTCCTCTCCACAGTCGAGTATGCACGTGCAGTTGGCCTCGGGGGGAATCGACTGCGCACCCTTCTCCTGCTTTTTCTCGCGCCGCTCGTTGGTCCCGGGACCGTATTGGTTGGGATTAATTGGGCGCGTGATGAGGTACTCTGGGATGTGAAGAGGGATTGATATGATTAGGATTGAAAATGGAATTTGGAACTGAAATTGGGGATGAGGATGATAGGGTTTGTTCTTGGACAGATATTGATACATAAGGTGCTGACAACTCTTTTGTTGGTTATGCCTTTTTCTTTTTTCCTCCTTTCCCGTCCTCTTTTTTTTTTTTAACAGGTGCCTATCATACTTGATTGGAACATCGGGTTATCCCTCTATCCCTCAGCTCCTGGCCCTGGTCAGCTTTGTCTTAGCATCTGTATGTAAGTGTCAAATAATATGGCCGTGGGTGGACCAGAATCATGTGACGAGATAGGGTAAAACCCCCCCCCCCTTTTCGCGGGGAGCACAACAAAATAATCAGGAAGAATAACCAAGAAGAGAAGAATCAAGAAGAGCCCATCCAGCTCAAATCATTCAAATAAGACCTTTTTACCAATCGTACTCTATTTCCTCTTCGGGACTAGCCATATATCTGACAAAAATTAGTCTATCGGTGTGGGCACGGATGATATTCCGCACCGCCAAGCCGGGCGGATTATAGTGTTTCCGTAACAGAATTATTGGAAGGAACCGCCGCGTGCCTGATTCCTGGTGGTCACTGTACCGCTCCATCTTTCCAAGCGTCAAACTTTCGGCTTCACCTACGGTCTTCAACGTCTCGAGCGTCCGAATGAAATTGACTAATTCTTCCCCTGAGTCACGTCTTTTACAGTCAGGGACCAAATCCACGTAAAATATAGATCAATAATTTACCACAAGGAACGTCCCTATATGTATTCAATCAAGCAAAAGACAATCTATTCGCATATTAATATTTAGATAATTTGGTTAACATGATCTTACAGAATTATAAGAGACATAATACGGAATAAATGAATGCCCCCTTGCGAAATAAACAGGGCTGTTGGACCTGCCGTGTGCGAAGGAAGAAATGTGATGGTACTCGCCCTATTTGCTCGGCATGCGAAATGCTTTCAATCACTTGCTACGGATACGGTCCGAAACCGGACTGGATTGACCATGCTGAAAAAGAGAAAGCAATGGTGGACAGGTTCAAACAGACTGTGAAGCAGACGTCGAGAAGGAAAACTGCCCCTAAGCTTCTAAATAATCTAGCTAAGTTGACCAAAATAGCGCCTAGAAATTTAAATGGGATCTCTTATTCTTCAAGCCCAGGATCGAATATCGATCAGCATGGTTCTGGGCCCTCATCCGGTCATAGCCCATCTGCAGATCAAGAAGCCAGCATGCCACGAGGCGAGTCATCAGCTGTAAGTTACTTGGGATCGGAAAAAAGACAGATTATGATGTATTCTACTACTAGGAACAGGCATCCGAAAATCTGAATGACGACATGGTCCTATTCCCTATTTCGGCAGATGAGTCTGCCTCTTTGATGCACTATCTGGACAATGTCTTTCCACTACAGTATCCCATGTACAGACCTAGCACTCTGATGGGAGGAAGGGGCTGGCTATTAGCCCTTTTACTTCGAATGAAGCCTCTCTATCATGCGACACTGGCGGTCAGTTTATACCACCGCAGAAAAATTAACATTACAGACATTGTTCATCATCCGTGTCGAGTGGCTGTATTGGTTGAGCAAGAGAAGCATCTTGAAATTTGTCTCACCGAATTTCAAAAGGTGTTGAGATCAGCCAATAAATGTCTTAAGAATATATCCTGCGCAAAACTCGGGTATCGCATTATTGCGTTGGTCGTTCAATTGATATTCTTCGAGGTATGTTTATCCAGATTTTATCTAAAAAGGACTGTCTCCTAGGTTTCTGTATTGACAATTTCCAACCGTGCAAAGTTCTTTACAGGCCAGGGCAGTGAATGGAAAATTCATCTCCGTGCAGCAACAAATGCGTATGAACGACGCTTTCGAGATGGACTAGTCGATTTTGGTCTCGACCCAAGGTCAAAGACTATCATGTGTGGCAGTCGACTTCTCTCTGAAGACGATGGCGCGGAGGTCATGGAAGAAGTTATGATTTTTAAGTTCTTTACCGGGACAATAATATGGCTCGATATCATATCTTCCATCACTGCCGGAACAGCACCACTTTTAATGGTTTACCATCTCCGGGATATTGCTTCGAATTCATCTCAGATTAGGCTTGACGAAATTATGGGCTGCAAAAACCGGATAATGTTACAGATTGCTCACATCGCTGCGCTACATGAACACAAGACCAAAGTTCAGCAAGAAGGCCACTTGGTAAATACGGGGCTTGAAGAAGCTGTTAGTGACATCAGAAGGGAGATTCAGTCTGCTTTTACCCAGGCAGCCTCAGAGGGGTTCAGCTTTCCAGACAGCAGCAATACTGGTATGACATCAAATTCGACGTTGGCGTTAGATTCGTGTACACTGGTCACACACATGTTTTCTCGCATGGCGTCGATTTACCTCCACCTGGTTGCATACGGCTTTCAAAAGCTGGAGTTACTGGACACAGATATTTGTACAGCTATGGGAATGCTTTATACGCAGGTCCCTTCCCATCTTCTCCGATCGATGGTCTGCCCACTATATGTGATTGGGTCTGTTGCAAGACAAGAAGAGGAGCGCGTATTTTTCCGAAATGTCTTCTCCTCGCCGCCATTGCAGGATCCCCTGTTTGAGCATCGGGCGAAAATCTTACCTGCTTTAGAGGAAATCTGGAGAAGAAGACAGTACACGAATGGGTTGACATGGGGGGATAGTTTGGAATTAGTCCCCAATCTCCTGCTCCTCTGAGCACGCTGCTGGTTCCGATATTTTACAATCTTATTTTGGTGTTCCCCTGGTCAAAGTTGTGGTTCATGGCATGATTGGCCATGCAACTGTAGAGGTTAAATTAAGGGATCCATGGAAGACAAATCCAACTCTGATTATTACAGGCTCACAAATTTCGCACAGCAGGAAAAACAGGGATTATGACGTCAGTTTCTTGCTGAGCGCGCTGCACATTCTGATTGGTTCCTGTCGGCGGTACTTGACGGGTGCTGATTGGACGGTGTCTGCGCTTCACTTGGTGATTGGCTAACGCTGGTAATAAGTGGGGCAATACCAAGAAGTAAAGAATGATAAATAATGGCGAGATGGAAAAATAATGAGATGCAGCAGCTATCAAGCAGCATGCTCAGGTTCGGATTTGTAATATTGTACAAATGCAAACTCAAACTCACCATGCCGAGAGGTTTCGAAAGGGTTCTAATCACGATCTTGCGGGACATGCTACTTGATTATTTAAAACCGCTACATCGTCTGTTCTTGCTCAAATAATTTAATTATCAATTACTTTCAAATACATTCATTGCACTGCAGAACAGAGATGCAGACTATAGTCATCCTCGGAGGCTCTTTTGCTGGGGTGGGCACAGCACATCGCATCTTAAAGCAAACCTCCAAGACGCGGCCGTCCGTTAAGATTGTCATCGTGTCACCCAATACTCATATGTACTGGAATATTGCTGCTCCCCGAGCCATGCTGCCGGGGCAGTTCACCGACGAAAAGATTTTCCAGCCGATTGCCGCTGGATTCAAGCAATATTCGGCCAATCAATTCGAATTCATCTCTGGCTCTGCCCGCAGCCTCGACCCTGTCGCCCGAAAAGTGGAGGTTTCTACGGGTCCTAGGGAGCAGGAAACAGTGATAATTGATTACGACTTTCTCATTATTGGGACTGGTTCTCGAAACAAGGCGGATGATGACGATGTGAACATACCATTCAAAGCGCTGGGTTCAACCGATGCAACAAAGAATGCTCTACATATCCTACAAGCGGTAGTGAAAAAGTCAAAGAGAATCGTTATTGTCGGTGCTGGTCCGACTGGTATTGAGACTGCTGGCGAACTGGCTTTTGAGTATGGAAAGGAGAAGGAGATTATTCTAGTTGTTTCCCCTTTCTTCGTGTTACTGAATATCTTGCTGACTATGAATAGATTGCAAGTGGGCAGACAGTCCTTGAAGGAGCCATACCCAGTGTGTCAAAAACAGCGCTAGGTATGCTTCAGAAACTAAACGTTGATATCAGGCTACGAACAAAGGTTACCAGCTCAACTCGCACGACACGAGGCGGTGTGGATCAAGTCGAGCTCAGCCTTTCTGATGGGACTGAGTTAACTGCTGATATTTGCATACCGACGTTCGGTGTACTACCCAACTCGTCATATATTCCTAGCAAATACCTCGACGCAAACGGGTTCGTCAAAGTGGATGAATATTTCCAAGTTAAGGGCCTAGAGAATCAGCATGTGTGGGCCATCGGTGATGTTTCCAATCTCGAACCACCGCAGGCCCTTTTTGTTGATAAGCAGTCCGCTCATCTGGCGAAGAATATAGTCTTGATCTTGAGCAATAAGGCCCCAATCCCATATAAAGAGGCTACACGTGGTAAGATTATCTCTCCAGTTGATTAGAGATTGCAACTTCTCGAGCTCTAATATACTTATTCTTCTTGCAGTCATCGGTCTGCAGATTGGCAGAAATGCTGGAACTGGGCATTTTGGAAGTGTAAGACTGCCGAGTTTCTTAGTCGCCTTTCTAAGAAAGAATCTGCTTGTGGAGAATCTAGGGCCACTTGTCAATGGTTCTGCATTTTAATCGCCTTTTTTGTTTTCTCTCTCTCTCTATATATATTTCTTGTCGTAGCAGTCATCTGATAATACATACATATATACGTCTATATATAACCTTTTGTAAAGGCTACATAGAGCCCATTTGCCTCTCGGGCTATTGACCCCGTTGACCCTATTGTTCCTATTGTCCCTATTGTCCCTACGGGCCATGTTTGTCCCATTGGCCACAACACGTGGCTTTCCTCCCTTTTCCTCCTCCTCTCCTTCTTCAACGATTCCTTATTGTACATAGCCTGTTATATACGTTCTACGGGTTCAGTCCCTGAGACCTTTATTCCGTCCATTATCTATCGAAAGACAAGCGAAATATAGCAAGAAAAGGAGAGAAAATTAGAAAAATATACGCAGAGAAAGGAGGATGGATAAAGATAAAGTCCCAATTATCATTAGTCTTGGCCTACCCAGTAACACTACGCCACTGAACGCTAGAGCTTACATCTTCTCGCATACTATGACATTATGAAACGACCGATAGTTTAGAAGCACCGGCTTCCTGATTTGCGGTAGCTCAGGCAACGGTGATGCAAAGTTATCGAACGTGGACCTACTTGCGAAAAAGCATCAAATGGATCTCGATTGTGTCACGAATATCTAAATGATAACCCTGCGGGCATCACTTCCACATAGGAAAGGCCACGAGAGTAGCAATACAAGACTTACTTCCTGCTAATGCAGGACATTGTCTGGGGTTTCTTGATAATTTTGGTTGCATGTAGTTGTGTGTATTAGCATCATAGAACTAGGCGAATTTAAGGCTGAAAAAATACTGGAAGAAGGCTAACAATGATCAAGTAGACTATGTGAGTAAGATCTATTCGCTCCTCTGTAGATACCTAAAATGTAATATTAAACTATATGGAGTTGAAATCGTTGAAATTATTAGTTAGAGCATGATAGGATTATCTTCATTCCAGAGGCCTCCTGTATGAATATGGTTAAAGCTTCCCCTACATTTTAAATGGTTAAATATAATACACGGCTTCACGGATATAATTCACTACCAGTAGTGCCGAGAAACTGCATACGCCCTAAGGTGCATATAGTTCTGATTTTCATTAATTAATCCGGATCTTTCCCACCCCAATAAAAAACCATGTCCAATAGTGTTCTAGAACAGGTAGTCATAGTAGTTTTTCTATTTGCTATGTGTTGTAGGTAGCGGCTAATCCTATTAACCTAGATCTGGTAGATCCAGTATTCTCATTAATACGAGGCCGATTTGTGTATGAGCCAATTGCGCAAGTGCCAGTACATTATTCGACCATACAAGTTTGATTTTAATTTAAGATTCCACTCTAGCGAGTACCCTGGCCAACTAGTTGGAAGTTGATGATGCTGAGAGGTAATTCTCATGACAGGACTATTTAACACAGATAATTAATCCGAAATTGTGATCTACCAGGTGGTCGTCTTTCACCGTCTGCAGCGCCTCAGTAAGTGCATAATCATGCATGATCGCGTGTTTGTGGTCGATAATGCTGTTCACACTTATTCCCCTCTATGTGCGATGGGTGTGAGCGCAGGGATCCAGTAAGTGCTTCTGGCCGGCAGTGTGTTCAGTTTTGGTCTGCTAGAAAAACAGAAGATTCTTATAGTCTCGGATAGAAGCTAGACGGGGTAATTAAGGGCCAGCTCAACCACGAGATCTTGTGAACCTATGAAACTGAGCAGCAACACTTAACGGAGTCCTGCTGGGGCCAGAAGCCGAGGCCTTGAAGTACCAGCCCTCAATGTCTATCTAGCGGGCCGTAGCATTCGCTTCACCACTCCATGTTAACTTGTAAATTAACCCAGATACTTGGGGCACTGGTGCCGGGAGAATGTCTTCCAGATATTATCGTGTTTAACTACACGACTGTTAGATCCAGTAGCACACACCTCTGGGATCAAGTCTAATGGGGGATGGTCTGTTATTTTCTGAGCTGGGGACATCTCTCGGCCTTCCCAGATGGGGCTTAATCAGTTTCTGTCGAGGCATATCCTAGAGGTAAGAGATGATCTTGGAAAATCGGCCTCAGTTTTCGATCCCTTTCTAATTCACTGTAGTGAATGGCCCAGTGTTGAGTTTGCTGACTTTCCACGCCTCTCCTTTCCCACGGGCGAAACCACCGGTTGAGACTACAGGAGAATATATGTTCTCAAAAAAGCACTGTATGATGAGCTTCAGATCAGCCGAACAGAGGGAGGGCTTGCCATTGTGCGACCTGACAAACATATCGCATGGACCGGTAACTTGAAAGATGTGGATGTCCCTCAACATTATTTCAAGCAGCTTTGTCGACAAGAACCCGAGTATTAGAACGATTTTGCCTTAATTAAATAGCTGTCCTATACATCGCAAGGCTCTTAGTACATCGCAGCGAAGTAAATGCATCAACAACTGCTTTCCACTAGGACATGAGAGTAGTGACGACTACAAATCTGCTCGGGGCCCACAGAATACAAACACGTACGTATCTCACGGATCCACTTATTTATGATACTAATAGTTGTTAGATGGTTCATAAACTGAAAGGCAAAGTAACCAGCCCACAACTCAGGCAAGGCACTGGACAAAGTCCAATCCAACAGGAGTAAGCATAGTATGCTGCTGAAACCTAGCGCACGCCCTTGCCTAACGTAGGATAGCATTCCTTACTGGACCCCTATCCCTCTGGTGGATCACCGCTGATTGATCAGAGGAGAATCTGGCTGTAAATACTTACTCAGCTTCAGATTACAGCGTAAATTGATTACGCACTTCAAGCTGGAGGTCCATCTATATATACATATCTTTCTCCCATCCCAACGGCAAGGTGTTCCATGGTTCTCATAGTTTATAGCGCATACACTTCTACATCGCTCGAGTGTGAAGGGCTTTAGGCAACATGTTGTTTTCACAGAGTTTATGGCTCCTTGCTGCCCTGAATCCCAACCCTGAGGGACCTGGGGAAGAGAGACGGTCCGGGAGGAGGGAATGCACCCCTGATGTCCGGCCAATTCGACGAGAATGGTTTGTATAAGGCGTCTTCCGTTAAAAAACATAATATGCCTCCCTATGCTTACAGTACGAAAGGGGCTCTCTTTCAACTGACGAGAGGCTCGATTACATTAATGCCATGAAATGTATGCAAAGTAAGCCGCCAACCTTGCCCCAGGACAAATATCCCGGTGTTCGTCACCGTATGGACGATTTCACTGCGTAAGTACACATTCACGGTAGGCTGCTTCAGGCTAACTTCCTAGAACCCATGTTAACTACACCCTCTCGACTCACATCAGTGGCATTTTTTTCGCTTGGCATCGACACTTTGTCTGGTTGTGGGAAAAAGCGCTGCGTGCAGAGTGCGGATACAAGGGACACCAACCGTATGAGCTATTTCTACTACCGGCGTCATTGAAAATATCCGAAATTCTAACTGCACCAGGTACTGGAACTGGGCCCTTTCCGCCAACAATCTATCCGCCAGTCCCATTTTTGACGGATCCCCTACTTCACTATCTGGAAACGGTGACCCAATCAAGCAAGACCCCTTGCTTCGACTGCAACCCACCAATATCAGCATCCCGACTGGCTCCGGTGGTGGATGTGTGACTAACGGCCCTTTTGCTAATATGACCATCAACCTGCCAGACTTACCCGTGGCAGGGGACGACAAACTCCCCCCAAATGCCTTTGATTACAACCCCCACTGTTTTACGCGGGACCTGAACTCTTACGTGTCCAGAACATTTACCGGCCAGGCAGATGTGGACCGGTTGCTGAATTCACCAACCATTGCCCATTTGCATGCCAACATGGACTTCAGTGCCTGGCCCGAGCTGAGAGATGCGCGAATTATGGGTCCCCACGCTGCGGCGCACCTATCCCTTGGGATGACCATGTACAACTTGTGGACGGCACCACAGGACCCGTCATTCATGCTCCACCATGCCCAGGTCGATCGTGTCTGGTCCCTGTGGCAGGCTCGAGATCTGGAGAGTCGCCGGTGGGCCATGAACGGCACGAGCACCATGAACAACAAACCGACGACTCCGGAGGTCACCTTGGACACAGAATTGGCCTGGGGGACGCTCAGCGAGAACAAGACCATGCGGGAACTGATGAGTACCGAGGCCTATCATCTCTGCTACGAATACGGTGACTGAGTGTGAAAGCTCCACTTTCTCTGCAATCCCTGGCGCTACGCTAGGAGACTAGCCTGCCTTTTGGTGATCATCCTAGCAGCCTAGCGCCCTGTAGGTACTGGTCAAGCAAGAGATTAGCTGACTCAACCAAGCAATCTTCTCCAGACCGGTTCTTTACTCTTCCTGGCCTGCATACCATTAAATTTCTGAATATTACTATACAGCTGCTTATAAAAGTTATACAATTAATTACCGTAGTGCAGTTCAGGTGAAGGGATATGCAGGGAGATATAGATTAAACACCAGGAATCACAGTATCTCAACCATCTGAGTCTCTTGTATTCCTATATAAGGTGCTCTACCTCTTCGGTACTCAACTCTCTAAAGTATCCGGGGTAGAATGGAATCCTCAAGTGGAACCCCGCACCGCCAAGCGGGGTGGATTATAGTCTTGTCATAACGATATTCATATAATTGTAGCTGCAGTGGACGTTAGTCTCTGTTAATACGTTTCTAAATATATGGGTTTTTTTGTGAGTGACTATGCGTACGCTGACTACTATCGTTTCTACGGAAACTTGTGGTCTTGCTCTTTCCGTTTTCGGCCCGACTTAGCGCCGCTTTTTGCTCACTGATCGATCCGACAGCGTGATTAAGAAGATGTGATAGATTTAAAGTGGATAGTTTTATTGGGTTGTCTTCATGGCCACTAGGCTTCCGGCTCCGCTTACTGAGGGGTTTTTCCCTCTTGCAACTGCCTTATGGGAGTCAATTGCTCGCCTCTGCAAGTAGTCGTCATCTCTCACGCTGTCAAGTCTCAGTTTTCCCTCCTGCCTTCCCTCTGTATATAGATTATAGAGCCACTTCAATATACAGACATTTTGCCTCCCCTATGGGGAGCGTGGACGGGGCCCTCTCTGACACTACGGACTAACTCGCTTACACCAAATAGAGCAACGATAGGAGACCCAGTAGCGAAACCATACACACACTGTCCCTCTTGACTGCGAGAGGTCACCAATGAAAAGGGCTGTTTTGTATAGAAATAAAAATTCGTCACTTAACTATGGATTATGTTATAGTAGTGGCATTGCTTGATAAGTTTAATTTTCAACCATGGATAAATTTAGAGTCAAAGTGGCGTGTCGCTTCGTAGCTACAGTTTCTATACTATATCAGTAGTATGTGCAGTGCAACCTTTGATAGAGTGCAAGAGACTCGGTTTGTTGAGATACTGTGATTCCTGGTGTTTCCAACGATAACATCTACTTCCTAGTTCAGATAAGGGTTGGCTTGTAGCTGATCTATAGCACCCTGCGCATCACTTCCCTTGAATTCTACAACATAGTCTAATTCTACCCCTCCAACTTGTTTACATCCGTTTTGTTATGAATATGGGATCGGCCCGAAGGATTACCCAAACGATCGGCGAAGTCCTCGCTTATATATGTCTTCCCACAGACGAAATTCCTGTATACTAACTAAGTTCGCTCATCAAATTCAATGGCTTAGTTCACTCTATTCAATGCCAATTCCTCTGACCTACTCTAGATTCACAACACGTTTGAATGAGGTTTTTGGGATATGCAATATTCTCCATGCATTTCTCCTCGCTTGGTTATGGGCAAGTGTATAGGTTGAATTTAACCCATTCTAGATTTATTATGTTCCCATGTCTCCCACGGAAAGACCTGCGGATGCTATCCTTCCGCCGAACTCGACTCTTGACGGGGTTCAGAAATATGTCATTGCCGTGTTTGCTGCCATTGCCTGATACAACGCTATTGAGTTAGTCATACTTTGTCTAATTATCTTTAAGCGACACCGGAGCACCTCTTTTGGGGCTTGCTAATCGCCTCCTCTAGCTCCATTCCACAAGCCCTAGGTTTTATCTTCTTTCTCTTCACTCCGGGCATTTCCCCTTATATCGCTGTTACTTTGATCGTCCTGAACTGTATTGCATGATAACTAGCCATTCATTTGTGCTATGGCCGCGACTGCATCTTGTCGTGCAGGAGTCAAAGCTGCTTCATGCCATCCTGATCATGATTGTCATGGATTCTGTCATTTCCATATTCCCAAATACTATATTATATAGGTTTCTGTTATTCTGACCATCTCATCTGAGCCGTTTCGCCGCGGGTATAACATCATGGAACGCATCCAGGCCGTGGGTCTAGCGGTCCAGGAATCAACTATTTCATGCATCTATGTGTCGGAAACCACAAAAATATTATGTCTCCGGCTCGACGATTTCATTGTCGTATCCTTCAACTACTCTTTTTCTCTTTCTTTCCTTCTTCAACGATTCCTTTTTGTAGGTAGCCTATCCTATAAGTTTTACCGGCTCAGCCCCTGACGTAGTGCCTGGTGCAGACCAAGTGCCCAAACAAGCGCCCCCACGGTGCAGTAACTGCCATATTTTAGGCTGTATATGTTTAGGATATCCCAGCCAGGGAAATAGTTAATAAATGCCTTTATTATATGATTAAAGGCTTTAACTTTAGGTCCGGATTAAAAATAGTTAAATGCGGTTTATGGCTAATGAAGTTTAGTCTCCCCCAAGGACTTCATGCAGATTGAGGTCTTTCCTTTCGATCCCCACTTGAACCGCTAGTTCTTGATTTCTTGAGCTGCTGAGGCCCTTGTCAGTTATCTGACTTGGGGTTGGATACCTGGAGTCCTCAAGGAATCAATTATTGGAGAAAATATGCAAGGCACGGAAGAATACAAATTGTGACCCGAATGCCCAAAAGCTGAAGCATCGGCGGAAACCATATACTCTGCCAGTCTCCCTAATCCGTATACCTAAACATACATTGGCACCGCACATGGAGTAGGAATGATTAGCACTCTGACAAAGGTTGTGATGCTCATTTAGTTTGGGAAAAAAACAAAAAACAAAAATCTTCTGGCACATCTGCAGTCCTATCCTGAGGCGTAAGTGGTAGGGTCGGTTAGAAAACATGAAAGATGTAGTAATGTAGATATTTGACTATATTTCAGGTTGAGACTGGTGATGTTCCGTTTATATCGAGCCCAAAGCAGTGCGCAGAAGTTGCTAAATTTCTGGTTGTGGGATGCTAAAGATACTTAGCATGTCCACTTTCCCACGGGTGCTCTTTCTCAAACGTGCGTACAAGCTCTTCATGTGTCGCACTACGCGGTTTAAGGCTGAAGTTAAATGGAACTGGGTGGCTAACTATACCAGGCCGAGTTTCCCATCGAACAGGCACTTTTTGGCCATCTTTAATTTGGTGGGAGATATTAAAAACAGCCAAGAAGTTAGCAATTACAAGATAGAGGCTCGAGTCTGCTAGAATACGACCTGGGCAAATGCGGCGCCCAAAGCCGAAGACGAAGGCTTCCGGGTTGGTCTCAGGGGTGTAATTCTCACGGGCCAGGAAGCGTTCCGGTTTGAAGACCATTGGATCGTGATATAGATCCGGGTCGTGCGTGAAGCTCCTGCGCATGTTAGAGATTATTTCGTAGAGGCATGTTGAGATATACCAAACAATTGGTAATACCTGTGCTCCCTTTGGGATAAAGTAACCTTCACATATGTCATCCTCAGTGACCTGGTGCGGGAAACCAATCGCTCCAACTGGGTGCCAGCGGAGGATCTCCTTGACCAATGCATTAATATAGGGGAGTTTATCCCGATCTTCGAACCGAGGCAGTCGATGGGTTCCAACTACGCGATCAATTTCCTCCTGGGCCTTCTCTTGAGCCTCAGGATACAGAATCATGGCAAGAAATAAATATGACATCGTGGATAATGTCTGCATGGTTGTTAGTACCTGTTTGTTATTTATTTCTCTACACACTCATACTGTTTCAGCTCCCCCAGCATACAGCCCCGCGGCACTCCATTTGATAACAGACTCCTCCTCTGATCCAGGCTCGACATGTCCTGATCTTAGTAGATTAGAGGTAAAGGAAGGCTCATAGTTCATTTCATTCATCTGTCGTTTCACAAACTTATATGGCTTGTTTAAAAAGGCGGTTAATGACTCTCTCCAGACCTTTGCAGTTTTCTTGAACTCGGCACCAGGAAACCAGGCGGGAAGATATTTCACTACCGTTGATAAGCTCGATGTTAAAGAACACAGCTTGGGTTCCTTACATATTGGTATAACATCCACTAACCAAGCACCTGGTAGTGTGGTAAGAGAGAACTGCTCTAGAGTGGTATCCGCAAGGTCCACCAAAGGATCATCTTCATGTGGTTCAATAATATAACCGTAGCCTAACCTTAGTATAAGGCCAGCAGCCTGCCTATTATTATTTAGAACCTATAGTTTAAGTTGCTTGTTGTGTTTCAACTTACTTGCGGAAATGATGGAGAAGACCATCTGGGTCTTTCAGTGCGCGAAGCAAGAACCGCCCGACTTCCACATTCTGAATATTATTGAATCTCCCAACTGCTGCTTTGGAGCCGATCTCGCGGCTGATTGCTTTGCGCTGGGCGCGAAAGGCGTCATTGTGGGGTAAGAATAAAAGGAAGGATTTCCATCCTACTCTGCACTGCTGGTGAGATTTGTATTGAAAAAATAAAAATAAAAATAGTAATAAAAAATAGAAACACTCACAGTTCCTTCGCAAACTCGAGATGTGGACGGGATGAGTACTTTGCAGAGCGCTTTCCTAGGAGTTCGACTGCTAGTCGGTGGCTGTTGAGGACAATAAATGTCTGGCTAAATATAGTAATAGAGCTGATGGGACCTACAGGAAGGCCGATTAGCTCATAACAGCTATTGAAAACGAACTAGGACCGTAGCTGGAATCTACCATACCGTAAAGATTCTTGAACTTGGCAAAATGCTCGTATGCCAGTGTGGGTGGTCTTGGAAGGTCAATGAGATTCCCAATAATAGGCCAGGGTTTGGGACCAGGTGGGAGCGGTGCAAGGGGCGGTTCGTGCCGCGACAGGAAGACCCGGAAGGTGTATACCGCCAGGAAAAAGACGATTAGGCTGCCGGGTACTGAGTAAATCATTTTGCTACAAGTGATTAGAGGCCTGACAGAAGGAAGGAAAACAACATTAAGAACAATGGAGTAGGGGGAAAGAGAAACCTGTACCAATATATAATCCGCGCTATAAGCGATATGAAACAGTTCTGAAAACCGGAGCGACAGGGATTGACCAGTGTATATTATAACAATCTAATATCGCTGGAGCCTTTAAGAAATGTTTCAAATATAAGCTTGAATACTTCTGTATTATGGTTTCCAGTGTTGTTGAAGACCTAAGTATTGCCATTCACCAAGTCCAATATGTAGTAGAATAGCTAGAGCCTTTGTGACGGGGATTTGTTTTCATAGGCCACTTGCAATTTCGGATTGTAGTCCCGGGTCTCCTGCTATTGTTCCGGATGTAACAGGCAGAAACGCAGTTTAATGAAACTTAGAAGTGGAAAGGTAGGTCATTTCGGAACCTACAGCCTATCTATCGTATTCAAGGGCACCCCCAACACAGGTTCTGCAGGCCAATTAACATGCGTAAGCTCGCATCATAAATTCCTATCTAGCCACGTAACACTGCTTCGTGGGAATTGAAGATACAGTACACGTAGACTTCCAAAATTCTGGAGCTCCGCTAGAATACTGTCGACTGCTCGTTATCCCGCTAAGCTGTACAAAGTTGGACAAAGTTGGACCGAATAATAACTCCCGGAAAGAGAGCCGGGCCGGACTAAATTCCTGGAATTTATATGGTCCTCTTGCTCACTGTCACAAGTTGCTTCAAGTTTGCCTGTAGAGGCGTGTCGTGAGGATCTAAAATTTGGAACGTATTACGAGCATGGCCAACTTCATACAGCCAGTATCATCTAGCCTTAAGGATGTGTGGGATATGTCTGAAGCGAGACTGTGTAATACTAGTCTAAGACATAAGTTCCGTCCAGTATTGGACATATGGGAGAGGTGTTGAATTTCTGGCCATGGAATCCTACTCTACCCTGCTAGCGTGGACCATTAGCGAAGGTAGGATTGCCGCATGTATTCCACCTTAGCTTCAGGGCAGAGTCTCAAAGTATCGGCCCGTCTGTGTGATACAGCAGTTAAGGTATCTTGCTTCAACCTGTGTCTTCATGGTTCTCAAGTGCATGAGAAAGGCTATAGTCTTGGTCTCGTTGATTTGGGGAGACTTTCTGTTGTCCATCGAACACCCGGGTCTTGCAAGGAACCAACTTCATAGGTACGGCTGTCATCCAACCATAATATATTCTGTTTTTAAATCGTCTACGCTTGGGCTACAAGAACATGGGCAAGAACAAGGCAGGAGGTGTTTAGCTTCTCATTACCTCATTTATTCCTGTGCATACAGTGTACAACTCAATTTAACTCCGCGGAGAATGTTTGAGGTATCTCATAGCCCTTGATTTACAACATAAATGCCAACATGTGATTTCTAACAATATAACTTGCACAGACTCTATCAAGCCGCATAAAAGGCACTCTGGAGGTTATGAAGACTCTAATGCGATCGGTAGCCGTCCATTTCGAAGACTCACTAGTAGCTGAGAAAGCAACAGGAAGAAACAAGCCAACGGAAGGACATTTGTCGTATTCCCAGCCCAGGACGAGGGCAGAAGGGTCTGGAAATTCGCCATCATATGACACGCAAGTCGTTTACAACCTCAACGGGATTCGAGGCTGTTCAAACCAGAAGGAAGCGACGATAGACGAAGTATTACAACATAGCTGCAAGGAGGCTGATTATGTCAATGACCTCGCAGCTCGGTGCCTGTCGGGAGAGCTAAGCACACGACAGTTGGAAGCTATAGCGAATAGCTGCACTCAAGCAGTCAAAGTTCGACGAGAAGTGCTGAAACGGAAGGTCTCTGTCGCAAAAGGACGAGAAGCAACAGATAACGACTTCCTCGACCATTGCCCCCTGACGGGATTTGAGTATGCCCACGCGGTGGGTGTATGCTGCGAAAATATGATTGGACATATTACCATTCCCGTGGGTATTGCCGGCCCGCTGTTGATCGATGGTATTGAAGTATTTCTTCCTATTGCAACTACAGAAGGGGCGCTTGTCGCAAGCATCTGTCGGGGATGCAAGGCCGCTAATCAAGCGGGCGGGGTGACTACGGAACTCATCGGCGATGCTATTACACGGTCAGCTTGCTTGAAATTTCCTAGCCTGGAAAAGGCCTATTCAGCAAAGACTTGGTTGGAGACCTCTGAGGGTCATACGAGGATGCGGACAGCTTTCCGCCAGACTAGCAAATATATTGTCCTCAAGGAGGTGCAGGTAAGCATTGTCGGTGAGCTTCTGTATCCCCGGTTCGTAGCCAGTACCGGAGATGCAATGGGGATGAATATGATATCCGTCGCCGTTGAAAAGGCGCTAGTTGCATTGCAAGATGCCGGATTCCGGGATATGACCATCCTTTCTTTGTCCGGAAACACATGTACCGATAAAAAACCCTCCGCAATGAATTGGGTCAGAGGTCGCGGCAAGCATGTCGTTGCGCAGGCTCGGATTCCTTCGCAGGTCATCCGAGATGTGCTTCGGACAACTCCAGCTACATTACTGGAACTTAACGTGGTGAAGAATCTGACTGGGAGCGCAGTGGCTGGCACCCTTGGGGGCTTCAATACCCATGCAAGCAATATAGTAAGCGGAGTGTTTCTGGCTACGGGTCAGGATGTGGCCCAGGTTGTGGAGAGCAGCAATTGCATCACCACTATGAGCGAGTACGTCTTGAGCCAGTAATCATTTCTCCATTCACAACGGATGTTGACATTTCCGGTCACAGGGTTGAGACCGACTTACTAGTCTCTGTCACGATGCCATCGATCGAAGTTGGCACAGTTGGTGGTGGAACCAATTTACCTGCACAGGCCTCTATGCTGGAGCTGCTAGATGTTCGAGGGACTCACCGGTTGGGTCCGGGTCTGAACGCTCGTCGACTCGCCCGAGTGATTGCCGCTGCGGTTCTGGTAGGAGAGCTGAGTACGTGCTCGGCGTTGGCAACTGCGGATCTTGCCAGCGCCCACCTCCGATTGAATCGAAAGCGACCGAGTAGGATGAATTGTGCCACCTAAAAATGGTAGCAAAGGACTGCCAAGAGGTCTGCGGCTGATGAACATGGCACACCCTCACGGATTGCGGGTGATAAACTTCGGATTCTATCTGTCCATTGGAAGAAGATGAATGTATTTACATTAGTGAGATATTTGGAGTCGGTGATCATTGGAGCTTTAGCGCCTCTTCTGAAAATATATGCAGGCTGCTCTCGACATGGACATTAAAAGTTCCCCATCAATGCGAATTTAGAAATGTTCTGCGACGATTAGATCATTAGAGCTGTTAGTATCTCGTTTTGCATGGTTGTGGTTATCCTTTGCTCTCTGTCTTACAATTTCTATTGTTTAGTTTGCACCAGTGTGGTCTGAATGGGTGGCCGCATGCTATCTCATGCAGTGCTCTATCTGATCAGAAGATTATACCAACTAGCAAGGGATACGTGGTACCCTAAAACCAGGCTTCCAACAACGCGCTGATCACTCCATAAAGATGCCTGGCTAGTGAGTGAGTGGTTAACAAGCTGGTTACGTGTCCTAACAACCGCGGGAACAGTAAGCAATAAATCGGCGGCTTTTTCAAGATTGATAAAGAATGGAACAAACTGAGTTTCAGCTGCCCCTACCTCCCACCAAAGCGGTACCTCTTGCCTTGATTACCAACTGGATTACCAAAGATGTTACTGGATTGACACTGAGCCGTTGGGGTTGTTACACAGACGGCTTCCGGGCTGCAGTGGCGTAGCCCGGCTCATGTTGCAGATAAAAATATCCGCCAAGAGAACTTTCATGCAGTACTGCCGTTAAGTAATATCCCGGCTGGACCAGCTTCATACTCGGCGTACATGATGCGCACGGGCTTGGTATTCGCACTGCATTTGTTTACGCAAAGGACGGTTAGGTGAGAAAATCCTTCCTGGATTGGCAGAGAATGGACTGGCCCATAAACCATAGGTGGCTTGCGGAGTAACCGAAGAACTTAACCGAATATATTCTGTTGTCAGGCTATTCGGTGGAAGGGATTTGTATGAGACTTTGCGCATGACAGCTCATGGGCGGTCTTGAGGTCATGAGCGCTATTGATGTCTCCGAACTCCAAAGAACGATGCGTATTTACGTATACCTACTTACTATATCGTACTGTTCTGGTGTTGATCTCATGCTGCCTGCTCGATTTAGGATACTGGAATGTCGTCAGCAGCAGCAATAAGGTTTTGTTTTGTGCAACATAATAAAGGACGGCTAAACTGTTTCTACTGCTGTACTCTATCCGCCTCCATCGACCAGGATGTCACACGCTTTGCGTGGCCACGTTCCTGTAGACATGAGGAAAGGCGGGTTGACATAAAAGGAGACGCCACTACAGTTGTACACCTGCGGGAGCTGTTTGATTTGAGGACTTCTATATCTCTAATATGGAACTCATGAGCACGCAGCTTTCACACGGCGAAGTAAGCCCGCAACAGGCCATTGAAATGTACCTCGCCGCAAATCCAGTCCAACAACATTTACACCTCCTTACAGATATTCTCACACAGAGTGCGAATATTGATGAACTTGTCGCCTCTTTGATCCAAGGTGCATGGGACTATATCTGCCGTAAAGGCCTTTGGTGTCAGCAGTACGAGAGCCTCGAGGAGTATCGGAACTCCATCAACTTTTCCACCGTCGTGAAACCGGTCCTGCAGCGTCACAAAAGGTCCGATCGCGTGAAGCAACTGAGTGCCCAAGTAATCAGGCAGCAGTGGAATATGCCTCATACCGAAGCGATACCTCTGGCCATGCAGCCCTCCTTCTGGAGCAAACATTTGCTGAACCTGTTGGCCACTCTGAGTAAAATGGCGACGCTGCCAGAGGCCCTCAAACTCGTGGAAGAGAGTATCAAAGCCAGACCGCACCGCGGGAGGAGTCAACCAAACCTGGTTCCTAGTGATATCCAACGCATTCTGAATAGAAAAAAGACGGAGGGTTTGCATACGGCACGAAGAGGTTGGAATCACAATATAAGTTCAATGTGCTCTGTTGAGAGACTAACACCGAGCAGACACTTGTAAAACTATTGCCCCTCCACAACAGATTTCCCCAGATCTGTACCTCTGTGAAATGAACCATGTAGACTGGAGTCACTTAGAAGTATGTGAGGGGAGCGGCCTTAGCAAGAGCAGCAGCGTATATGATAACGAGTCGGTTAATTGGGGCCATGTTTTATTTGATTCTCAATCTACTCTATTACCAGACTTAGATAAGCCGCCAAACCATCAAGACTACAGTCTGGCAAGTAGTGTAGATAAGTGCAATGTGTTAAGAGATAGCTCATGCGAGTGCGCGCCAATTTGCTTACCACTTATTACACTGCTATCCGACAAGGAATTTGACCCGAGTGAACCATTGCTGGCCAAATTGTTGGACTGGGCACGGTCTGTATCATGGGAAAGACTCTGCCAGGAGCACTTACAAGGACTATTCCATCGCACCGTTCATTTTGAACCCCATGGCCCGCAAAATCTTGACCGCAAACAGATAGTTGACCGGTTAGAGCTGTTATGTAGACGCTGGGGGTCGTCCATGGGCGGTGCTCTGGATGCTAACCCGTCAGGTGAGTAATTTGTTCTCCGAGAGCTTTTGGTCGTGTCCAAGACTTACGCTGAGCGAAAGTGTCGCTTTCCCCACCAGTCGCCAGGATGTCGGAAAGTGACCGGTTGTTCAGTCGGTATACAGCAATTCCAGCCTGCTGGCCCACATGGTGGCAGGAGCATGGGGTCGTACAAATCCCTGCCTTCTTTGGATACATGGAGGAATATGGGGTTTTTAAACGAGTGCGGGATTCTTTGCTGAGATACGCCTTCGATGATAAACGACAAGTTATAAGCTACCAATGCTATGAATTAATTCGCCAAATAATCCTGCAAGATCCCGCATACTACGCCCTTGTGGTCACCTGTCGGCCAGACAAAAACTGGAGGCTGATCCAACAACCCGCACACTATTTTCGAGACGCGGATTCATCGGGAGAAAATAAGGCGCCCTTTCACTGGCTTCTGCCCCAGCTAGGTACGTCAGCTCCTGGTGAAATTATAAACGACATCGAGAGTACAATTATGCTTCCTAGTTTCTCGCCAGAGCATGTTCTTAATGTTGTCCCTGGTTCCCACTCTAGTCCCGCAATGTCTGAGGCTACTGGTATCCCAACCAGCATTACAATGCGCTCAGGCGATCTGGTGCTCACAATGCCGAATCTTACCCGGTGCTCTCAAACATTCATGTCGCCTTCTCTCCTTAACTTAAAGCAAACTAGGGTAGATTATACCTCCGAAACCACTGAATCATATTCCGGGAAGACTCGGACACGCTGTGCAGCACCCCGGAACCACGAAACAGAAAGAACACAATATCTGCGACCGGAAGATGCATCCCATATCCCCACTTACTTCCAAGGATGTGCGACAGACGTGAACCGTCTCAAGCCCGCATCTGCGTTGGGGGAAGCCTTAATGGGCCTCCGAGAATGGAATGATTGCACGGTGATCCATCAGCGGAATATCACACTTTGTGCCGACGACGGAGAAGCAATGAAGTTTGTGAATGAAGTCCGCAATCGGCTTGCAAGGGAGTTCCATGAGACCCTGGATCTAATCGAGTTGTGCCATGAGGTGCCTGGTTAGTCACTCATGCAACCTTGGGAAAAAGCACTGATGCTCACCGTCCGTCCCCTAGCTCAGACAGCCACGATGGAGAGTGCGATGGATACGACACTAGACTCGCAGAGCTCAACCAGCACTGCCATGATTCCAGGGACAGGAACCGGAGTTAGTGATGTTGCAGGAATCTCAGATGGACCAAGTGATAGTCAACTTGGATTGGAGTTGCACGAGACAATGGAGCAGGCTCCTGAGATTCTTATACCGGATCTCCTGGACAATGCAGAGGAACTCATAACACAGACCTTGGACAGAATGCAGAGCTAGCAAGGCCATACCTCCATGATTTGTATTCGGTGGGAAAGGTTACCCCGCATATGCACCGTCCAATACCAATATGCCCAATGGATGGGGGCTCTTCAACCATGACCATTTCAAATAGTTCGCACAGAAACCAGTGGACTAGATTGTTGTTGGGTAGCATGTAAAAATTCGTGTGCCATATATGTTCCCTGGATTTTTTTTTGGGTCGCGCAAGCGAGCCTTTACTCAAGCTATGCTTTCCGCTTCGCCTAGAATAAGAGATGTCACCGTGTCAGATCCCTTGATCTAGGAACCGCAATGAAATAAAGTCTTAGCAGTATACTAACGATCAGTGCCAAGTGTCGCAGATGAAACTAATATCACTGATCACGACTTTCGTGCTGCCGTATTGTTCAAAGCGTTGACTGTATATGTACCACAAGTGTTGTGCAGCTGCACTAGGTCAGCATGCGGTCCCTTGTAGAATTAAGCAGAATTTCTCATAGTGTGTCTAAATTGGCCCTATTTGGACCACGCCCGTCTATGGCTGAAAGTAATTCCCGCCTTCCACATCCTATAATATTAAATACACATTTGAATGAACTGAGAACTTCGTCTGTACACTTAGTATAGTATTCCAGAGATGAGTACAATTAAGCCATTCTTGTGGTTGGTTCAACAGCACAGCGTAGTGGCGGAAATTCTGTGGGGTAATTCAGGAACACAAGAGAGAAGCGACATTTTACTCTCAGTATAAAACGTAATTCTCACAACCGAACGGCAAAATTGTGATGCTGCAGGCTACACAGGCCATTGATGGGCATGACAGCATAATTCGCGGCCCATTGCAGTGTTGACTTCCGGTCCATCAACCCGTCCCGGGTGTGGCGACGTGTCGAATTCATTGGAGGGGAGAACAATCAAAGCCATGGTATATCATCACTTTGAGGAATATATATATACCAATTACCCTGATTCACAATTACATGATGAGAAAATCTTCACAGAAGAAATTCGAGGCAGTTTTCCCTGGTACTGACCAAGACCAAGACACGGATTAATTTTGTCATACAATATGGAAGTCGCAATTATCGGGATTGGCCTTCGCTTCCCCGGGCGCGCTAGCAACCCTGAGGGTCTATGGGACGTGCTCATCGCAAAGGAGAGTACGTGGTCGCCAATTCCCCTCGAGAGATTCGGGCCGAAGGCGTCCCGCAGTGAACAGGTAAGTTCCTTCTCAGCAAACCGATCTATTCTAAGTCGAGTAAAAGTCGACTCGAATCAATGGGGGCCATTTCTTGGAGCGGGGCCTTGCTTCTTTTGATGCAGGGTTCTTTCAGGTGGCGGACAAGGAAGCTGAGGTAGGACAAATTCATCCCCACTCCCAACACCAGCAATATGTCCCAATCGATGGGGACACGAAACCAGCATAAGTGACAATAATGCAATAGGGAATGGATCCACAGCAGAGATTACTCTTAGAGGTGTCCTATGAAGCGCTGGAAAACGGTAAGAATTCCTCCTGCGCTTCCCATTTTTATATTGATCCTGGGTGTGTAGCTGGTATCCGGTTGGGGTCGATATCGGGGACCAATACGGCCGTATATATTGGCAAGTTTACGCAGGACTATGACATTCTCCTGGCCAAAGATGGAGTTAGCACAGGGCGCTATGCCGCCACTGGAACCGGACAGGCAATTCTGGCTAACCGGCTGTCATATTTCTATAATCTGAACGGTCCTAGTGTGACTATCGATACGGCTTGTTCAGCCAGTCTGGTTGCATTGCACCTGGCCCGCCAGACTATCCTCACTGGGGAATCAGAGTTGGCTATTGTTGGAGGTGTTAACTTGATGTGCGAATCGAGCACAATGGTTTCTCTCGACGAGCTTGGGTGAGTACTGCCGGACCCTCCATGTTACCTTCTGTCCGGTGACAATGGCCTTCCTTTATCTGTGTAGGGTATTGTCCACAAAGGGCCGTTCATATCCCTTTGATTCGCGCGCCGATGGCTATGGTCGTGGGGAAGGCTGTGCGTCGCTGATCCTGAAACGGTTTGATGCCGCTGTGCGGGACGGTGATCCAGTCAGGGCTGTTATTCGGGGGTCTGGCGTGAATTCGGATGGACGCACCACAGGTCTAACGTTTCCAAATGGGCAAGCACAGCAAACTCTGATGCGAAATGTCTATCAAAATGCGGGACTGGATTCGCGGGACACAGTTTTTGTTGAGGCACATGGAACTGGGACGCCAACGGGTGACCCAATTGAAGCACGGGCGATCCATGAAGTTTTCCGACAAAATAAAGCGCCTCCCCTATACCTCGGGTCGGTCAAGGGGAATATTGGCCACCTAGAGGGAGCTAGTGGATTGGCCGGCGTGATAAAGGCGGTCCTATCCCTTGAAAAGGGTCTGATTCCGCCAACCTGTAATTTTGAGCACCCAAATCCGCGGATTCCTTTAGAACAATGGCAACTTCAGGTCAGTTGGATAGCACTTTGTTTCATTTACAACTAAGATGTTCAAAATACATGATGCAGGTTCCAGAAACGATACTGAAGTGGCCACCCAATGCTGTCCGGCGAGCATCAGTCAGCAGTTTTGGATATGGGGGAACAAACGCCCATGTGATCCTCCAAGGTGGCTACGACTTAAATAAAATGATACCCTTACCTTCTATCCATGCGGAAGCACAGTCGCCCAATAATCAGTCAGTTGAGTTATGCCAGTGGACTTTCGTACTTTCATCTCATGATAGGATGTCTGGAGCCCAGTTAGTCCAGAACATAGCATCCTACGTGGGTTCTCGTCCCTACGGAGACCGAGAATTCATGAGTAGTCTGGCATATACACTATCTGAGAAGCGATCACTGCTGCGCTACCGATTGGCACTCTCAGCCTCAACACCAGCGGAGCTTGAGACGGTCTTGCGTCGAAGTCCTCAGAAAATGAACAAGTCAGTCAAAACCCCCTATCTGGGATTTGTCTTTACTGGGATGGGAGCACAATGGATAGGAATGGGGTTGGAACTTCTGCAGCAATATCCTGTATTTGAAAAGTCCTTTACTCGGGCCGACGCGTGGCTGAGAGCATTGGGGTGTCCTTGGACAGCAACTGGTAAGGATAAATTTAACTCCTATCCCGCCGTACGGCTGGCTGATGTCCAACAGGAGAAGCGGCCAAAACTGGCGAGCAGAGTCTGATAAATGAGCCCCAAATCAGCCAAGTGCTGTGTGTGGTCATTCAGATGGCTTTGGTGGACTTGCTGGCGTCTTGGAATGTTTATCCCACAGCTACCGTGGGTCACTCCGGGGGGGAGATCCCAGCCGCGTATGCTGCGGGTGCTCTCTCCTTTGAATCGGCCCTCAAAGTTGCATACTTTCGAGGCTTGCTATCGTCCCAACTGGCTGAGAAGGATCGTAATGTGGGTGGCATGCTTGCGGTGGGATTAACCCCAACGGCGGCCGAGTCGTACTTGGGCAGAATAACCAAAGGCAAGGTCAGTGTGGCCTGTTACAACAGCCCTTCCAGCATCACAGTTGCCGGCGAACTTCCTGCTCTGGAAGAACTCGAGCAGCAGCTGTCTCAGAACAACATCTTCCTGAGGAGATTAAATGTCAGTCTGGCCTACCACTCACCACAGCTACACCAAGTTGCCGATAAGTGTAGAGAGGTGCTCCAGGACATTCAACCTCAAACAAATGACAGGGTGAAATTTTACTCCTCGGTTGAAGGAGGAGAACTGCCTACCAGTGCCCTTGGGACTGAATACTGGGTGCGAAATATGACCTGTCCAGTTCGCTTCTCAGCTGCATTAGAAAAAATGTATCAAGACTCCAGAAGAAAAGGAAATATAATCAGCATGCTACTTGAAGTGGGACCACATTCTGCACTTGCAGCACCGATCCGACAAACCTTGGACATTCTGAATCCGGGGGACAAACCTACATATGCCTCGTGCCTGATCCGCAATGTAAATGCTGTATCGACAATGCATGCTGCGGCAAGCGCCTTATTCACCGTGGGTTGCCCGATTGACGTGCCCCAGGTGAACGGGCATGGTGTCTCTGCAACATCGCCCAAGGTTTTAGTCGACCTTCCCCCTTATCCGTGGAACCATAGCACAGAGTATTGGGCGACACCCCTTCTGAAGCCTGTTGACTATCCACAGATGGACTTCGATACATCACTATCACACCCGCCGACCACTACTGCCGATTGTGGCAGTCTTCTGGGCAGGTTCGAGTCAAATCCACAGCGTCACTCGTTCACGTGGAGCCGCTCTATTCGCGTATCTGACGTGACGTGGGCTGAACAATATATAATTAATGGCGGCCTAAGCTGTCCTCCCGCTTCTCTGATCTGGACCGTGATCGAGGCATTGCTTAATGTTACCGCAGAAGGCTTGGGATCGAACACAGTTGATCTACGGGATGTTCATTTGGTAAAACCCTTGGTGTTCGAAAACCGGCTTCAAGATATTGAGACAAAACTCGTGCTTATCGATTCAATGTCAAAAGATGAGTCAGATATATCTGCCCGATATGTGTTCCATCTCATGTCAAAAACTGGGAATGAGTTGTGGAGTGATCACCTTCGTGGTTCAGTTGCACTCGCCAATGATTTGATTCTTCACAGTCCGTCGGCTTCTGTCCCTGAAGCAGTATGTAGTGACCCGGTAGATATCGAGAAGTTTTATCAACAGCTCGGTGGTCTAGGGCTGTGTCTCGGACCATCGTTTCGGACATCTATAGAAAGCTCAATATCCGCGACCACATTGAACGCACACTGCCTGGTTGGTCCACCTAACAAGGTGTTATGCAAGACTGAAGCGCTGGTCACCTCACTCCAGAATGTACTGCATGTGGTGCTTCCAGCCTTGATTTCGCATGGTTTAACTCCGGCATGGTTGCTCGGTAACCCAGCTTCTATTGCACATATGACATTACGAACCGGGGCCTGTGATATATTTAGAGGCCAGCAGGAAGTGAGCTGCATGTCGCGCCTGAAAGACAAGAACAAAGTCGAATGTGACATCGTGGCATTCGGGGGAGAGGGACAAATAATATCACAGCCGCTGATGCAATTACGGGGTGTGACTATTATTCTCGCGAACGGTCACAGTCCCGGTCTCGTATCTACTCAGAGCACGGCCGGTCAACTACATAGATCCATCTGCAGTAATACTCGATCTCTAGCCCAGCACCAACAAGGCAAGGAAGTGGATTTACGCGGTGAACCAGACTCGACGATCTCGCACATGATCCATGCTTTGGACAAGGCGGCCTCTTTCTTTGTGCAGTCCTCGCTCGATAGGATTACACAAGATGATATTGGGAGGATGACGGAGTATCATCGGCAACTTTTCGATATGCTCCAGTCTATCCAGAGCCATTCAGAGTACGGACCCGGGGCTTGTAGTGGCCCAGAAGAACAGAAGAGAACTCTGGCTGATGTAAAGAAGTCCGTCTTGAACTGTGGGCCGGAGGGCAAAATGCTGTGCCGAATTGGTGAGAATCTGGTGCGCATCTTTCGACGTGAAGTAGATCCACTTTCTTTAATGTTGGAAGGGGATCTTCTCTCCGACTATTATCGCTCTGCGCTCGGTGTGCCTCGTTGTCATGCCATACTTGCTGATCTTTTGGACAAACTTACTACTACCCACAAAAACCTGGCCATTCTAGAAGTGGGAGCCGGAACAGGAGCTTCCACTCTTGCAATACTTCAGGCCTTGAGCAGGCACGAAGCAGGACAAACTCCACTCTGGCGCTATGACTTTACAGATATCTCACCAGGTTTCTTTGAGAAGGCACGAAGAGCGTTCAAATTATGGGCAAAATATATGAGCTACAGGGTTTTCAACTTGGAACATGATGCCGTAGCTCAAGGCTTCCAACGCGAGACATACGATGTCATTGTAGCGGCAGATGTCATTCATGCGACAAAGAGCATAAAAAAGACCCTGGAAAACCTGAGAGGGCTACTAAAGCCTGAGGGCAAGTTGATCTTCGTAGATCTTACCAATCCCCCGCTGAGGTGGTCAATGGTCTTCGGTACATTGCCTGGTTGGTGGCTCGGTAAGATTCACTCATATCCTTTTCCAATTTCACGCGTAGAGTCAAGTGTTATCTACGCCACAAGAAACTTATAATCGAAAATACTGACCAGGATGGGGTAGGGATAGAAGATGGTCGAGTGACTGGCCCTACACTCACCGAATCCCAGTGGGATAATGTCCTTCGCAAGACGTCTTTCTCAGGGCTGGACATGTCGGAGCCAGACTTCGCTAACCCTAAGGAGCATGTCCACAGCGTAATGGTGTCAACCGCGATAAATAATTCTCCACACAAGTATCCAGCTCGCATAAACGTTCTAACTTACAGAGCTGATAATAACTCACCAATGTCGTTGGTTTCGTCTCTCAAGAAGAGAGGATTTGAGGTAACGACCGGTGACCTAACCTCGGATATCTCAGTTTTCGCGGATAAAATCTGTATTATCATCATCTCCCCCTGGTCAAAACAGCTTTCAGAGACCCAGGAAATGCTTCGGCGAGCGTCTGAAGTAGTGGCCTGTTGCCGTGAACTGCTCTGGGTAACACGCAATGCACAGTCACCAGGAAGCACGCCTGATGCTTGCCTTACAACCGCCTTCGCTGTACACCTACGAAAATGCTACCAACGGAAAAGCATCGTGACATTGGACATGCAAGATGAAGACAGCTGTTTTGAGCAAGAAATATCCGACGCCGTTAACTTTATTCTCGACGCAACCATTCTCAACCCAGGCTGGACAACGGAGAGTGGCGCGGACTTTCGGCACCAGCATGGCCGTATTCAAACGCACCAACGCACTCCCATTCCTATTTCTATTCCTACTTCAGTGGTAGATCAAGTTAATGCGGAAGGCACAAGATTGAGTCTCATGCCACCGGAGCGTAAGCCGGTCTGGTCGAACGCAGTCCATTCCAGTAAGCCTGATGACGGGCTCAGCACCGATGAATTTAACGCCATCCGCGACAGCTTACTGGATGAGTTTTCGAAACACATTACATCTCTTGGGAGCCCTGAAATAGTGGTGAAGAGAGTCAGACAAGTAGGTTAGCACATATCATTATACGATGGTTGAGGTCCTCACAAGCCTTGAACAGTGTCTTGCAGAGACGACCGGTGGAGGCAAAATGACCCGGTGTTTCATGCCTTTAGAGACTGGGCGCCGCTGTCTCTCTGGAAAACTATCCAACTTTCAAGCCCGTTGCTTGTCTATCCTTGGATGGATTGTGGAGATCGTCCATGCTGCAATCCTGATGGAAGATGACATGATGGATGCATCCATTTTTCGACGCAGCGTACTCTGTCGCCATCTTCAGCCAAACATCGGTATGACAGCGATCGCCGATGCGCGCATGTTAAGATCATCCAGTCGCTTTCTGCTTCGACTGCATTTTCAAGATCACCCAGCGTATAATCAACTTCTCCAGCTCCTGGACACCATGGATTTCCATGTTGACCTGGGACAAATTACAGATACCCATCTAGCAAACACTACGTTCCTTGGGTTCCTACATTTTCATCGTGAAACATATAATTTTATTATCTCTCACAAAACAGCCTGGTACAGCTTCTACCTCCCGGTAGCTCTCGCTGCGCACTACCTGCAACTCCCTGTTACGCAGGGCTTAGCACATATTGAAAACACAATGGTTGCCCTGGGAAAGTACTTCCAAGCCCAAGACGATTACCTTGACCTCTTTGGGGACCCTGCAGTGACTGGCAAGATGGGAAACGATGTGCACGAGCGGAAGCTCGCGTGGCCTATTATTGAAGCTCTTCAGATATGTAACCGACAAGATAAGCTGCTCCTGGAGGCTGCCTACAGCGAGGGAAACGTGGAGCAGGTGAAATCAGTTCTCACATCAATGGGGATGCGGCAGGTGTACGCAGAGTTTGCACAAAACTCGTACCAGCAAATTCGAGCCCTGATTGACTGTATTGACGAAAGTCAAGGTTTGAAGAAGGAGGTTTTTGAATATTATCTTGAAATGACGCATCAGCGACAGAAATAGTCTTTGTTATCAGTTTTTTATTTTCTTTTTTTTTAACGTTACGCCGTATACTGTTTGTTCATAGTTGCCATGTTTGTCCCATTCTTCGGTCTCTATCCATCTGTATCTGTACTTCCGAGAATGTAGGGAACCATGTCAACAACTAGTAAATTTTTTGAGAATAATTCTAAGAAAGATCTACCAATGTGTAGCCTTTTGATTCACTCGTCTATACATCTGTTCTCAACATAATTTATGTAACTGAATATTTAATTCCCTTGCAGATCCTACGAAAATATATTGATCTTATTTCCAAAATGATCACTCTGCGATTCGATATATCTTTTTCTTTCTGTAGTTCTAATTTTATGCCTGATTCCGCTTATATCTGATATCTTCCATAACGTAGCCGTCGCTATTAGTTATTATGATTTCATCCGACCCCATAAAAGGGTAAGGATTGTAGCAGGTGCACAATTTTCCATATGTCGCGTGGAGGACGCTGACTGCCGGACATGCTGGCGGCGAAAGCCACGTCACACCACTCAGATCGACTGCAGAACAATTCTTTGACTGTTACTGTTACTAATGCATTTCAACACCGGGGGTTTATGTTATAGAACATTCTATGTACCTGCCACAGAGGATCATCCTGACACCCGGTGTCACAGGGCTACGGGTACCACACTGATCGGAACCATAAATCATTAACTGACACACACGAGTAATAGACTGTCTCTTTGCTATAAATATGCCAATAAGCCTACCTACAGCTCCATTCAGACAAAATCCAGTAGATCCAGAATCCATCTAGTTACGAATTCATCGTCCAACGTTGTCCTTCACTACCTACCACTGCCCAAATTATTCAGACGTCGATACAGCGCAAGATGACTACCTCCACGGAAGTCTATGCTTCAACACCAGAGGTGATCGCTGCAAAGGACCAGCCAGACGTGTCTGCGGCCGAATTCAGAGACATCGCAAAGGTCTGGGTGGATCGGTACCATCTTGACCCGTCGTATAAACATGACATTACCGACATCATCGATTCAGTAACAAAAGATTGCGTCTCTCAGCTTGGGCCAGACCTTGGGCCTAAATATGCAGAAAATGGATGTGTACTGGGGGTCACATTCTACATGACACACCCCAGGGAACTACAGCGCATAATAGGTCTCTTTACGGCCGGATTTCTCAGCCTAGATGACTTGGCCCCATCTATGAGGGAGGACCTGTACATGTTCCAGCCGCGATTGATAGTTGGTGAAAAGCAGGCACGCGGTCCTTTAGAGCTCTTGCGCAAGGCTCTCGCGGAGATGGAGCCTTACTACAGCAAGCTTGCGATGGGCATGATATATGGTACCGTTATAGAGGATATCTTATCCATGACACTGGAGAGACCGGAACGTCCCTATACTGCGGACAAAGTGTCGCCGGACTTTACCTCTTTCTTTCGACGTATGCTGGGATTCGGCCGACCGTACGGCTGGTTCATCATCGCCAAACCTCTCTTTAACACCCCAGTTGACGAAGTGGAGTTGGTGCATTTTGGTGTGATGCCAGATTTGGCAGAATTGGGGGTTGTGATTAATGACATACTTTCGTTCTATAAGGAGTCCGTCGTGGGAGACGAGCGGGACAATCATGCGTACCGGGAGGCGCGCGCTCGACGAGTCTCACTCAATACTGTGTTGCAGGAATTCACGAGCCAGTTGATTGCAACCTTTGATGCGGTGCACGATAAGGTGGCCGAGAATCCGCAGCTGCAGTATGTTCTGGACTCCTGGATGAAGGGCATGATCATGTTCCATTTCTGTGCTCCACGCTATCGGCTGGGTGAACTTAATTTCAAGTCTTAATGCCTCGTTGGTATGGCTTCGCCTGCTTTCTATAATATTATCTCGTGTAGGCTTACACCAGAGTGCAAGTTTTCTGCAATTTCTATCTTCACTAGAGTATTGTGGCCACGAACAAGAATGATATTGATGTTAGTTCCATCATTGGAAAACCATTTCCGAACATGACTGTTGTGTAGTATCATTTAGGCTACCTACCATGCGGTGAATTTATGCCAAAGCAGGACGATTTTTTTTTCTTTTTTTTTTTCTTTTCTTTTCTTTTCTTTTTTCCTTTTTTTCGCTCTTGGTAGAGCTATTGATGTAGGTGCCAGGAGGCCGTAGAAAGTATATTGCGGCACTATTACAGCATATCTGAACCAGAACCCACGTCAGTCCATACATGTTGAGTCCCGGGGTGTCAATTTGACCATTGCACTAAAAAAGATGTCCAGTCAACAATTTAAGAATAATACAGTACTTTTTCCTGTTGACACTGGGCTATTGCGAGCCGTAGGCATGGCTGGCTTGCTCATCCGGGGTTGTCCCGGATGTCGTCAAGTACTTGATTCCAGGAAGCCCCAACTTATTGACACAATCTCCGTTTGTAAATGTATATTTATATACATATATATAATGGACCATTTCATTGTGTCCGCCCCCGGAAAAATCATCCTCCATGGAGAATATGCTGCCTTATACGGAAAACCCGCCATCGCGGCCGCCATCGAACTTCGGTCTTATCTCCTTGTGAGTGCGGCTAGAGACGATCCACGGTCGATAACCCTTCAGTCTGACAATGGCATTGACTGTACTTGGAACATTGATGATCTGCCGTGGCCTCAGACACCACGGGCTCAGAATGACTCTCCTGAGAGCGATCATTCCTCTCCTGATTCAGGGTTGCGAGCCGCCATTCGTGCTTTTCTCCAAACATCGGCATACACTACCTCCTCCAGTTCCGCACACAAGTGCATTGTGGAGGCCTTCTTGTATCTGTATATAGCTCTAGGCTCGCCGCAACGTCCTGGAGCTGTATATAGCATTTATTCACGGCTCCCAATTGGTGCCGGCCTCGGCAGCAGTGCAAGCATTTCGGTGTGCATGACTACAGCCATTCTCATTCAATCAGGGACCCTTGAAAAGGATTACTCCTTGACCCCCAAAGCCCACACTCCCGTGGATCTGATCACTCGATGGTCATTTATTGTGGAGCACTTCTTCCACGGAACTCCAAGTGGGGTAGATAACGCCACATCCACCCGCGGGGGGGTTGTATTCTTTCAGCGGGATCCCAATTCTGTGAAACCAGTCATCACCCCCCTGGCCGGTGTTCTAAAACTTCCTGTCCTCCTTGTTGACACTTGCGAGAGTCGTTCAACCGCTTCTGTTGCCGCAGATGTCGAAGAGCTGTTAGCTGTGTATCCAAAGCTGGTGCACTTGATCCTAAACTACATCCATCTGGTGACAGAGTTCGCAAAGAAAATAATTGAAGGAACATCTCAATGTGAGGATCCGGATAGCATCGTTGAACAGCTCGGGAGGCTACTCCCTATTAATCATAATCTACTCGTGGCTCTGGGTGCAAGCCATCCGCGGGTAGAGCGAGTGCGATCAATCATCAGTTCTGGATACCTTGGCTGGACAAAACTAACCGGTGCTGGCCGTGGAGGGTGCACACTTTCCCTACTACATCCTAAGATGGAGGAGCAATTGTTCCAAGAGACAAAGGACCGGTTGGTGTCCGAAGGGTTCCATGTCTACCGGAGCATACTGGGATGTAGCGGGGCAGCAGTTCTGCAGCCAACAGTGGCTTACGACAACAACGGTAGAACTGCGACGAATGGTGCGTCTGCTGCTCATGAGATTTTAAAGAATCCAAAGATTGAGAACATTGATCTCCATCTCGAGAGGCTATTCCAGGGCAAGTGGAGACATTGGAGGGTCAGTCAGTGAATTTATTCTGTGAAATAAGGCTACTGCTTATTTTCATTTATCGTCTTCTTTTTATTTTATCTTTCCACTTGCCTTACTGTAATTATACTGTAAAGGCTTCTAGGGCGAGGAGAATAAAGAGATGGCCGTCTAGCTTGTGGAAAAGAAGTAAATGAGCTACTCAACAATAAACAATAAACTGTGTTCATCGCATTTACTCTCGCGGCAGTAATAATAGCGCAACAATTTGTCTAACACGCATGGCCATATATTATGCCTTGACCTGATACTCACGCTCAAACATTTTGTTGACCTTGCTCAAATAGTAGGTCCCTGGGATAAGATAGTCAGTCGTGGTAAAAGGCACATAGTCTTTCGCCATGTATGCCTGTTCGCGCAGCTGACAGGTCTGCCCATTCGTTAGCCGCATAGGCCATATAGAACAGAAATAGGAGACTTACCACGTCATACACTACTGGAGGGATCGAGTATCGAGCCTGCAGCCTTGCTTTCAAATCGAGTTTTGCCGCCATTTCTGACAAGTCCTGGCAAATCCTAAGGCTGAACATGGAGCTAATAAGCCCACTTCCGTAGGAGAACAGCGCCACTCTTTTTGGGTTTTTATCGTGGAACGTTACATTAGAGATTAAGCTTGCCAGACATCCATAGAGGCTTGCGGTGTACATGTTTCCACACATGGAGGCCATCTCCAGCGACGGTAAGACCCGACGCTTGAAGCGTTCCGCGCACAGTTTCATAAAGAATCGAGATCGCTCTTTGTCTTCCTTCGACGGATTGGGGGCGAGAGGATGATATTCCGGAGGCACTTCGGCGAAGAAGGGATGGTCAGGATCAACCGTATAATCGTTATAGAGGACACGTGCATGTGCTTTTTCCACCAGCTTGCACGTCGGAGAGTGGAAGAGCATATAGTCAAATTTATCTGAAGGCAGCTGCCATGAGGGGGAGGCAAAGTCGACCACCTTCTCCTTGATTGTTTTCCTCCCCCTCTCAATGTACGCCTTGTAGCAGGCGTCCAGCGATTCCATGTAACATTGAACGGAGAAGTGCCCGTTGATCACAGGATATTCGCTCCGGCCATCTGGTTTGTAGAAGTCATATACATGGGAGGCATATGAACCTCGAAGTCCAGGTTCAACTACGATTGGCGCATTAGGCCCGATCAGCATGGCCACACAACCCGCGCCCCCAGTTGGACGCGCACTCCCCTTCTGGTAGAGCGCAATATCCCCCGCGATCACCACGGCGTCCCGCCCATCCCACGCCGAAGACTCAATCCAGTTGATACTGTTAAATAGTGCATTGGTTCCCCCATAGCAGGCATTCGTTGTATCTGCACCCTCCACATCGGTGTTTCCACTGGCAGTAAGCAGTTGCATCAGCACCGATTTCACCGACTTGGATCGGTCACAAGCACTTTCGGTACCAACTTCCAACCTTCCAATCGATGTGGGATCAATCGAGTACTTGCGAAGTAGAGAGGACAAGGCCGTCAGGGCCATGGAGTAGATGTCTTCTTGATCATCGCAGAAGCTCATCCGACACTGACCTAGGCCCACAGTGTATTTTCCTGGGCTAGCATTGTCGTAGGCTTCTAGACATTGTTGCTCGACATATTGATTCGGGAAATATATTTCGATGGCTTTGATGCCGATGTTTGCTCTGTCGTCTCCCATATTGTTTGGCCTCTGCGCATTTCTAAACGCCAACTAACTCGACTGCAACAGGTGTATTTAAGGTCTGGGTTTGTTTGATGTTCCAGCCCCGGCATGCCTTGGCCCAGACGGTGGACAACACCCGGGAAATCAGGTTGAACCGGATGATCTTCGCTGGACAAGCATTATGTATGGTATATTACTTATCACTCCTTACCGTAGGTAAATGTTCATTGGCGTAAGCCTGTCTAGTTGAGCTACAAATATTAGTGAACATTGCGTATAGCACAATATAATCTCCGTATTAATGAACACATTATACGGCAGGGTAAGCACTGGATTCTCGGCACAACCCACAGCATAATCAGCAGCTCAAGTCGAAAGACCCGCCCGGGAGGGGGACATTTAAAAAAAAAAGCAAACCCCCGACACTTGGTTACAAATCGATACTATACGTAGATATTACCGTGCAGAGTTGACTTCCTCCTGTACTCGGGAACTGAGCAGGGTTGAACGTCTCGTCGCCTCATCCGCAAATATTCCCAAGGATCTTGCCCCTAGTAGCTCAAAAATATCAACGTTTGACTTTGCCTCCGTTTTCAGCCAGTTACAGAATTCGGCTGCGATGAAGGAGTCTACGCCAAGGGCGCCAAGTGGCTGATCGATATCAACTTCATCTTCGTCCGTTCCTAGCAGCCTCGCCATCTTGGAGACCATTGCTGCGGACAATGCATCTGTTGCATCCGCAAATGTTGCAGCACCTGATATTTCTCCCGGAAGATTGTCTGTGTTATTTTTCATTTCTTCAGCTTCCGCGAGGTCGTGATTATTGGGATCGTGACAAGGTGCCGGAGTCGGGATTGTCAAATTGGACGTGTCGCTCCCTGCATTGGTTTCACTGGCCGAACTAAATCCTGATGTTGATTCTCCTGAAGACAACATGGAATCCTTTCCAGGAATACTGACGTGACAGGTCTCTGTTGTCCGGTTTGGGTAGTGTATGCAATTTTTGATCAACGATACCATCGACTCTTCATCCAGATACGGACAATGTCCCATAGAACGATGGCTTTCGAGGCCAGCCTCTTGATCACAGTAACAATCAATGGAAGTGGCCACAAATGGAAGATTGTGTTCCGCGCGGTGCGTAGCAAGTACATCCACATCGGCGGATCGCTGGACTCCAGAGAATGTCACGAAGAAATCTAGCGGCATGTGGGCTGTCACCTCGTGAAGAGCCTTCATTTCCATAACATGAGTACAGAGGTCATCCAGCTCGATGTCCTGCCCACTGTTTAGCCTGAGGAATTACATTGATAATCACTCCAATAAGATTACTTACTTTGTCCATGGTCCTGTCATAGATGATTCCCCCAATGCGCCACTGGTCTCTGTTCCACAGCGAAAGGACGCTGGACAACCTGGAGATATTTGACAAGCAATTGGTGTAGACTTCGACATTCGCACCTGTATGTCGAAGCTGATCCAGTACTGTTCTTCCGTCTGTGCTGGTATTTCTCTCGTTGGTCAGAAATACGAAAGTCCTCGCCCCCCAGTTCTGCAAATATGGTCCAAGCACACTCGCGACACCCTCGGGTTTTCCCACAAGAACATAAACTGTATTCGGGCGCAGGTGCACGGTGTCCTGGTCATCACAGAATAATTTCACATTCTGCGCCGTGGGGTTTCTTTGCTTCTTTCCTACAACCTCGTCCATGTCATTGTTCATGTCTGCCGAATCGACAGGAGAACTGGTTTTCCCGTCATGCGTGGCAGGGAAGTGGATGATCTTTGTTGGCTCCGTCATGTCACTCCCTGGCAACTCTTGTAAGATTGACTGATGATAGAGCATATTTAACAACGGCCTGAAGAATGTATATGTAATATAGCATAAGCCTGCCTAGGAAAGCCAACCCATGTCCATGTATCATAGAACATTTATTTGACATGGTCGGTAACATTTTAATACAGTCAGTCTGACATAGCACTACCCGCAAAACCACCCATCCCCCGGGTACGTAGCACAGTCCGGATGTCCACATGCATACTTTATCGTGCACCGAATGATCTGCCTTTCAGATGGCGAGAACAAAGTGGTGCAGAACTTGGTCACCCCTGGTGTGGCTGGTCTTGCCCAGAATAATCTACATGTATATATATGCGTGTGACTGTGTGTGCAAGCTCTCCACACTAGTCTATGAGAAAATAACCCCGTCGATGATGCCCTTTAACTTATAAACATCGACCATTATGGGAGCGATATTCAGCCGCATCTTTTGTTTTGTCACCGGCCAACCCTTCTACTCCTTTCAATCTCGCATCACGGCAGACAACGTATCCAATCTCTTCCCCGATGTAAGAGCTTTGGATGAATCCGCAGCTGTTTGTTCGCCCGAAGACATGGGGGTCGAACTCAAAGGATATGACCCCGACCAGATTCTCCTCATGCAGGAAATGTGCATCGTGGTCGATGATGAGGAGCGTCAAATTGGAATGGCGAGCAAGAAGACTTGTGAGTTCTTCCACTATCCTACTCTGTAGTTCTCTCTACTTTTGAATACTCATAGCACTAGGTCATCTTCTGAAAAATATACGCAGGGGTCTCCTGCATCGTGCCTTTTCGGTACTCCTGTTTGACTCCCAAAACCGCCTTCTCCTGCAATGTCGAGCGAGTGAGAAAATCACATGGCCAGACCATTGGACAAACACATGCTGCTCTCATCCATTGGCAATCCCGGGGGAGACAGGTTTGGACTTTTGTGGCGCCATTCTAGGAGCTAAACGAGCCGCTCAACGGAAATTGAACCATGAATTGGGGATCAGTCCTCAGCAGGTTCCCTTGAACAAGCTCAGGTTTATGACGAGGATGCAGTACCAAAGTGATTATGATTTGACATGGGGTGAACATGAGGGTATTCTGCGACATGATTTCTTCTTCGCTGAAAGAACCGAAGCTGACTGTTTTATTTCGTACCTATAGTTAGCTACATTTTTATCCTACAAGGTGATATAGATCTCTCCATCAACCCTAATGAAATTCGGGACTATCGCTACGTTACCCGAGAAGAGTTTGAAGCCATGTACAATGATCCTGGTGTGGAATTTACACCATGGTTCAAGCTCATGAAGCAGGCGTGGCTGTCTACATGGTGGAAAGCTCTGGAAGAAAGCTCATTGGATCTTTATGTCAATGATTCAACGCACCATCGGCTGTAGTCGTCCATGACGTGCAGTGTCAGACTATTGTCTGTATCTCAAATTGCCGCCTATATATGTCCATTTCTATTAGTTCTAGCAAGGGATGAGTTGTGATTGAAGACATAAGCGTGTTTGAAAATATCGCGGCATCAATTTTGGGCACATAAAACAATTTATCGAATAATTTAACGATTCACTCTAAGCTGAGCCATTCACTCTAAGCTGAGCCTGGCTGTTTGGCTATATCCAGCAACTGCCTCTGCTCACTTGTGTTTCTCTGTTGTGCTATTGCGACGGTTATGCCTACTATCTCATTCGGCCACAAGCTTACCAGCACTACTAATATATTAACTGGGCACAAAATACTTGTGTATGCTCGATGCGCGGCACTAACCATAAATAGATGTTATTGGGTCGAGGATGGTCTGACTTTCTAACTATAGTAGTCGATAGTGGGCAGCAATATGGGGAAATATACAATGGTTATAGGATACAAAGACCCCAACTGGGTAGTTTCTGGAGCAAGAGGGATAGATTAGTTATGCAGGTGAATCGTGAATCCCTAGTTTAAATAGCCACTATGATACAGATTAATTCCTAGGATATGCTGCAGATACGTCACACAGTTAGAAAATAGCCGGTTGGAATAATGAAGATATCAAGTAGCCTCCTCCAGGTTCTTCTGGAGGTCTCGTTGATATAACTCTCTTAATTCGAGGGCCTTCTGTTCATATGTTCGCTTAAAGTTGGGTGATCGTTCCACCCAGGACCCAGCTGAATCCATATAAATTTTATCTGCGATAGAAGAATATCTGTCAGACCTGCAGCATCGCACTTCATGGTCCATGAGCCATACTAAATGAAGCGCCCGGAAATTCCTTTCTAGCAGATTCCAAGTTTTCATCTAGAAACAGCTGAAAGGCATCTGGAATAGGCAGTAGGAGGGTTCCGTCTATTTGCGCCTTAGCTATTCTGTTAACTGCCATCGACAAAGGTCCGTAAATGGTTACCCCCTTTGGTAGAACGCTTCCCTGAAAAACGACCCATAACGTTTATAACTCGCGTTATTCTTATAGCGGTTGGGGGCACTTAAGTTGAAATTAGCAACACAGCCGTCCCTGGCAGGGTGGTATTATAAATGAGGCATTGCCTGCTTTGACCTGTTGCGAATTAACAGTTCTCACAATGGTACAGATTAAAGGCGCTCTTCCGGTATAATCGTCAAAAATTGCCTAGTTTACACATACACGAGTCCGTGGGAAGAGCCGGCGCTTTGACAAGTCCCGGGTGTGGGAATTGTCAGGACCTGACATATTACCCACGCGTCACGTGGCTCTCTAACAGAAGATTGGCCCACAAAAGCTTCATGTAGATAATTGTTTTCCTCTCTACAGTTGCTATTTTCATGGAATGAGATGCCGTGTTTTCGTATCTCATCTTGCGCGTCACAGGAATGGCGTGGGACATCCTTAATAAAACAACAGTAGAAATTTGCAAAGCGAATAAAAATTAGGATATCAGTGGCACACGTAGGCATTGGCAAGTCTGTTACAGTCTTAATCTTCGTGGGGTCCATCTTCAGGCCGTAGCGGCCCACCATAATACGCAGGAACTGCAAAACAGGGATAGAAATTGTTGTGGAATTCAGGGGAAGTGATGCGCAGGGAGCTATACTATTAGCTACAGGCCTTCAGCCATACTAGGAAGCAGATGTCATTTTAGGAAACAACAGAAGTCGCAGTATCTCAACCAACTGAGCCCACTAAGCGGTTCCCTATATTTTCTGTAGAGGTTGTGCGTTGCTCGACTCAGTTTCTTGGCGCTTTTGGTCCCAGAGTTCCGTAAAAAGTTATTTAAGAAGCTGTTGAATCTTTTTCCAATCCTCTGCTTGTAGAATAGACTTAGAGGGTCCGCTAGAAAAAAGTCTTTGGCCCTCTAGCTTGCTAGAACATGCCAATATAAAGTCAGGGTTAAAAGGCTATATACCAACCACTCTCCACGTGCTTTCAATAATTCTTGCAGATAGTGCTTTCCTCTACACTAGCCAGAATGCGGCTTAGGCCTTGGGATTCTGCAGACAGATTTCCACTTAAGCTCTATAGGCATTTGCAAGCGGTCCAAAGATGCTGACATCAAGCGGCTGCAAGGAATGAGTCGAATGAGGTGGATAGGTGGCCAAGAAGATCTTATTTTTTTTTTTTGACAGTAATCCAAAAGCTTTATAGTAATGTATGATCCGTGGCTATCAAGGATTAGAAGCCACCAACGCCTTCTAGCTTTAGCCTTTCTTTCCCGGTCAAACATCTGCTAAAGCCATGCAAATCCTAGCTCAGCGTTGGTCCAGCCAAATAGTGAAGATGCAAAAAAGCATTGCTGATTTATTGCATCAAAGTCTTGAAAGCCCGGAGTATTGTAGTTTACCAGATACCGTTTGGTATATTAATCCGGGAGAAAGAGAGGTCTGGTCTGCATAAATACAAACAATTGTAGTAATCCATTCCCGATCACCGTCTAGTAGGTGTTGTTTGAGGTCTCCTTATATAATCGTCTAGAAAAGTTTCCCTTGCCCATAGGAAGCATGCCAATAAAAAACCCTTTTCTCATTCATATTATACATATCCTCTAGCTGAATATTGTTCTTCTTGACTTTCGGCCCAGATATTACTGTAGGTTAAATGCCGAATCATCCCGCTTGAGTATAGAATCAATACCAGTTGCATAGCAAGATATACCGTCCTTTTTATACCTTTCTAAGAAGCGGCCAGGCCAGTTCTTTCCTGGCTTTGTTTTCCTTGGCAAAATTTCGTAGCATTTCATGTGTATAATTAAGGCCTCACTCAGATTGCTTATTTATAAAAGATGCAAGCTTTTAGCCTGCTACTTGTTGAGGAATCGCTAGTCTTTATATTGTCCCTCCCTCAGCTGCTGAACTCCGCGGTGACGCCCTGACGGTGTTGATCGGCTGGCAACAAATTGTTTTGTTTAATCTGTTCTCCTGGTCCCAACAAATCGATTGCAGCCAACGAAGCCCCCATTGAGGCCATATTGAGTGATATATAGTAGTTTAAAAATCTACGTTTGTAAAAGTCAGTGAGCAAAGATTTTGTACGGCAGGTAGTGATCTACGTTATAATAAATCAGAATATTTTATTAATCCTATTGTTCCTTCACTTCCCTTTAAGCTATGCTTGATGCTATATTTTATAGTCTTCTTCACATATTGGAGAATGTGTTCTGATGTTTAAGGATAATATCTTTGGTTCTGCAAGATGCTGGCTTAAACAATTAGCATAAAATTAATTATCTGTGTAAAGAACTCGGGGAAGAGTTTTGGTGTGTAATGTCTTGGTATAAGAGGCTACAATATAGGCGTACTTATTACACACGAACCAGTAGAAGTAATTAATGACTGACTTCGTTGTTGTTGACTCTTTTTCTATCTCACGCCGGTAAGCCCCCTCCGGGATTGTGTTAGATTAACATATATTTACTAACGCATATTCCTTTACACTCATCTTCGTTCAACATCTGAGAATTCAACATAGAAATATAAAATCAAAAGACTGCGAGCATATTAAACAATATAAGCAATTTAAGGCGTTTAACGCTTGTTCTGGCAATCTGGTTTCAATAGATGTTGGGACTTAAAGACCTATATTCTTCTCTTTCTAGTTCTTATCCAATCGAAAATCATTAACTAATCGTTCCATGACCTTTGTTGAACTATCTTCGCAAGGCTACCCGCGAGCATTTGATCTCCCGGTGTGTGGACTAGCTTAATATCTTAATATTTAATAAAATCCTAAATAGCATAATATCGAATGAGTATATATGCTTGCTTCGGCTATGTAGGACCGGATTTTAGGATAGCTTTATCGCAGAAGTGGTGCTGATATATAAAATTGTTGGCTGGCAGCCGTACATCTCCTGTTTTTGAATAGAATATAGAGAATGGCGTAGCCTTATTACTTACTTGTTTACTTCCGCAGCGGCGATATATTCTGCTTCAGATAATAATGTCGCGGTAACTGGCCGTTTGTGACTTGACCAACTAACTAGTCCTCCATCATAACATCTAGCCTGTCGGCTAAGGCCCTTGTCTTTTTAGTTATAGTATACAATCTCTAAATAACTCCGGGAGATAGTTTGTCGTCCAAAGTATAAAGCTTCTGCGAACCTTGAAAAAATAAAAATCCATAGTCAGGTTAAAATCCTTATAAATATTAATTCTGTTATACTTGGAAGACAACAATCCTGAATATATCCCGTCCTCAAGGTATTTTATATAGACCGAACCTTCCTTCAAGTCGACCCCTGGATTATTTACATATGACCCTGCTGGACATATCTCCCTGTTAATATTAGTTGGGAACGAATCCCCTGACTTGCTCCCAGGGCTATCGGGCAATTGATCAAACACTCCCAAATCAGTTTTATTGGACTCCATCGCTATAACGGCCACCCAATTGGAATTAAATATCCTCTCTACGTGTGGCCAGGACCGCAGGAAATGCACGGCTTGCCAGCAAGCTTTACTATCTTAACAAGCTATAACCAGGTACCACAACGCGGGGGGAATGTCCATGTGTACACTAACGGTAGGATGCTATGAATATTTACGCAGAATCTGCTCTGCCATGTCTAGCTGCGCTTTGTATTCTGCCGTGTGTTGCTCAAGTGCACAGTCGCGCAGATAAAGGTCCTCACGCACAAGGAGAGACACCGTTGGGGTAGATAAATAAAATCCTCCGCTCTTTCCTTCTTGGGACAAAATCCGGCACATACTGACGCCGGAAATGCTCGAAGGGCTGTATATAATAGTTTAGCTGCAAAATTAGCTGTCCTTGTTTAAGGCTTAAAATATAATAATTCGCAATATTGTCCGACTCCAACAAGAACCAGGCGTGCAGCTGGAGCCGAAACACGGTACTTATAACTTCCATTGCCTATCTCGCCTCGATAATACGCCAAAGCCAATAAACGGTGAGATGCCACCCCGTTGTTGGTGTCCAGAAGGGGTCCAACACCGCACTGCGCCGACTGGATATCCAGGCGTGCGAATGCCGACACGAGCTATTAGTTGATAGCCGACGACAATAGCCGGCCCGAAGCTGTGCCTGGGCCTTGAGCTCTTTTAATATCTGCGCCCCGCTCTGCAGGTGTCTAAATACATGAGTATAGCGTCCATGTAACATGTCCAGCAGCAGAAACAGTAAACAGCAGAGAAGTGACCTCCCGTAGATGCGGATCCCGAGAACTGTGCTGTCAGGCTAAGAGACAAGACAGCCGCGTGGACTGTTCTAGAGCGAATCGACGCAACGACGTACTAAAGTCCTTTCCAGGTAAAGGCACATTGGAGACTTCTACATCCTGGTGCAGGCCGCCTAGAGCGACTGCGGCGTGGTAGACAGCTAGTTCGCAATAGCACAGCTGCAAGACGAGTCGTTTCGATAAGGTCAGAGTCGCAGAGTTGCAGCAGGGTGGGGGTGGTATAAACTGGAAGTGGGAGAAACATCTCCCTCATCAGATGTCGTGGGCCATTAGAACCCGTCTGGGACTGCCTGGGCCGGTGAAACATGCTGTTGAGGCTTGTAGAATACCCTCGAAATGGGTTTACAAGGTAAACGCTGGGGATCATAGTCAACAGACTTTGACCAATCAATTAATTACTTGAACAGTGATGTCCTCATTGTGAGATTTCTCATGAATTCATCATGCAAGATGTCTCTCCACCACTAACTGTGTGATGGCTATGGACATATCTGACGGAGTTCGGGCCCGACTTATGAACGGTACAGGTCACAGAGCGGTTCATACTGTCATCGTCCCAGATATTTGAAAGCTGTATGACCCCAGATCCTTTGACGGGTTCCAGCTCAGAACACCCAGGACTTTTCACTACATCAAACCCAAGCCATCCTCGCTTTAAAGGAAATCAAAATGAAACTCCGAATTATTCTGATTCTGACAGCTGCGGTTAGCGACATCCCATTAGTTACACGTATGACCATCGTCTAACAGATATCTAGCTAGGTACTAATCCTTACGACACGTGGTTCTGTCGATGCCGACGAGGCCGTAGTCTATCCGGCGCAGGTTGATCAATCTTGGGTCGATGCCAAACCCCGTAAGTTTCAATGATGCATCCTGTTAGAACGAGTTGCATTTTTTACCCCTATACATTGTTACCACTCTGACACGGTTGTAGGATCTCTACCAGGCGCCGACGAAGCTGTTGTTTATGTCGCCAAGGTTGATCAATCCTGGGTAGATGCGGAGGCATAAAGAGAGCATACCGGACGTATATGCTGTATTGTCGTGAACCATCCTTCTTTCCATCAAGGTCTGCTTCCACTAACGCAGGTCGAGATTTGTCATCTATAACTGTTGCTCCATGAACACAACGAAATAATTGGAATATCGAGGTTTAAAGATAGCTGATTCCCACTGTTGTAGCAAGAAGGAAGAATCAATTTTCTAAAGCGGGGGGTCGCTTAAAGCTTTGATTTAAATAGGGGTTTGCGGAAGGCCGACCTTATAGTAGCAGACGGCGGCCAATTCTATGTACAAAGAATACTGTATTATCCCCTCTGGCCACAAAAAAGGAATATTCCGAGCTGACAGTACTTTTGAGTTGAATATATGTATACCTTGAAACGCTATTAATTGTATAACGAAAGAGCCTTAATGTACATTAAAATACAAGCGGGTGACTTCGATACAGGCGTTTTGATTTCTACTAGGCGCGTTCGGACCATGGTGTTTCTGTGGCCAGGGGTAAATTATTTGCTGATCGCTGCTGGGCTGATGTTGACTCCGCAAAAGAGGGCCTTTGAGGTGGAGAAACATAATTAACTGTTTCCTTTGTTGCCTCGCGCTAAGCTGTCATAATTGCGACATGCAACGCTGTAATCTCCAGCCACCCAGGTTGCAACTTGGTCCGCCATGCAGGGATTCGTGACAGAGTAGTGTGGTTGTCTGTTACTTTGAGTACTCCCCTAATCAGCGCCAGCCCCCTTGAGTGTCGCACCATACTCTTCCTCTTTCTCTTCTATGCTACAAAGCGACGGCCAAGAGATTCTGTGGTGCTTCAGAAATCAGCATTGAGCGTCGTGCCTGCAACCACACTCTAGACTTGGATCATCATCCCACAGCAATTTTGCAACCCTTAGTCTGGCTCCCGGATATATTACTAGTATCTACCTCCCGGAGTAGTGCCAGTGAATTACAAGTCTGACTCAAATAACCGCCACACTAAACTGGCCACCCTAGCTAATGGGCGTGGTCACTGTGCCAGGCCCGCTGATCCGTGTCAGCCCAACATCGATATGGACAGTTATTTGAGGATGCTTACTCCATATCGTTGCCTTTGAGAGAAGTGAAAGACATTTTGGTAATTTAATTAATATATAAACTTATAACTAACCCTGGCTCCTTGCATATAGGTCTTGTGGAGGCGGAGACTCATGACACCCATCTTGGTTACCCAACCCCATCTGAAATGTAAATTTTAGATTCAATTCTACAACGTGGTGAAATGGGCTGCGGAACGGCCCTGTCTTCCGAGAAAGCCCACCTTCTTGGAACTACAGTAGCTACTATGCTGCTAGGCAGTGGCAGCTCAACAGCCCAAAGGTTAGCTGCTATTGTTCCATGGGAAGGATTCTCGGACGCGTATAGTAGTCATTGCGGCATGGAGAAATCCTATCGAATATATTCTTTGCCCTGGGATATGCCCGTCAGGTTGGACTGAATTAATACGGTCAGCCTAGGTGAGCGGGGCGTAGGAGGCAACCGGTAGCGCGTAGGGTTCTTATTTAGAATCTGCCACGAACAAGTGGGACACAGAGCTGTTATGGAAGTAGTGGGTGCCCAAGACCGAGAGGTCTCACCATTTGCAGTACCTTCAATGCATTCAATATGATGATCCTATTCTTTTTTGCGATATTCGGATTCCTGATGACTCCAAGTAGTATTTTCCCCACAACGTTCAGGGCGTATTACTTTAGTAGACCGTATTAGGTTTCTTGGCCCGATAGGGCTGATTACTTTCACCGGAGAAATTAGCCGGGAGGAAACGGCGAGTATTCAATTGCAGGTTGTTTGGAAACTGGGAAACCCATTCTACCTGGCGCCAAAGCAGCGTGAGGGGCTCGCTAGTTGCAAACGAAAAGGTGCTTCTTTGTTCTCCTCGACTCCGGAACATTCCCTTCCGAGCGACAGGGGGCAAGCAAAACAAAGAAAACGAAAAGTCCTTTTATTAAACTCACATCCTTCCCCTCCCTTCTCCCTGTTTCTCTCTTTCTTCTCATCAATAATCTCACAATGCCCCGTTGCGCCCTCGTTACCGGCTGCAGCGCCGGAGGCATCGGCTCAGCGCTAGTGGAGGAACTCCACGCCCAAGGGCTGAGAGTCTACGCGACAGCCCGCTCCCCAGCCAAGATGAACCACCTTGTCAAACTTCCCAATGTCACTCTCGTCACCCTCGACGTCGTCGACCCGGCCAGCATTGCCGCTGCCGTCGATACCGTCCGCCAGGATTTGTCTTCAAGTGGTGACTCTCTCGACGTTCTCATCAACAACGCCGGCCAATCCCTCGTCTATCCCGCCCTGGACACCTCCATAGACGAGGCCAAGCGTCTTTTCGATGTAAATTTCTGGGGTGTCATCGCTGTCACCCAGGCTTTCACGCCGTTGCTTCAGGCGGCCAAGAATGGCGGTACCCTCGTGAACGTCTGCTCCATCTCAGGCTTCTTGTACGCCCCCTGGATGAGTAAGGATCCTCCACCCCGGCGGTCGTGATAAAAAAAATATCAGGAATAACCTGCTGAAAATTCGCATCAGGTGTCTACAACGCCTCAAAAGCCGCTCTAATGTCTTGGAGTGAGACTCTCCGGCTAGAACTGCAGCCCTTCAACATCCGGGTTATTTCCCTGGTCACCGCTCCGTCGCCACAAATGTCATGTCGCATTCTGGCCTGACCCTGCCCGAAACCTCCCTTTACCAGAAGGCGCTCTCGGATATTCAATTACGTGGCGTCGGGAAGGATGTCTCGAGTAAGAGCGCGCCGGCAGACTTTGCTCGCGAGGTTGTCAAGGATGTCTTGGCCGGAGCGTCGGGACCGGTGTGGCGTGGCGCGATGGCTTCCATAGTGAAGTTTATGTCCAATTACATGCCGACAACCGTTTTAGTTGGTGTCCCTTTGTTCTTTCATTTTCCATTTCTTTTTGACATGAATTGATTACTGATATGTGTTGCGTAGGACCGGGCAATGAGTAGGGGAACTGGGCTGGACAAGCTGCCTTGAAAGAACATAAAAGACTAACAGTTGTATGAGAACTAATACCGACATAGACCCAGATAATATATCTTAAAATATGCATTAATAGCTGCATAGATCTTAATCTTATAAGGGGCAAGTTTTAGGTAGCCCTTATAGAGTCGCACGGAGGAACCGCAAAAACCGCCGAATCCGCAAGTCCGAAAAGTCCGATACATAGTATTTCTATGTAAATAACGCATATTACAATTTCTAAAAAATTGTTACAGGCACTCCCTTATTACACCCATACGCCTCTTATATATTCTTTGCTTGTAGGAGATAAATAGCGGTCTACTAACTGGCATAGTAGCCTGGAGATAGACAGACTGCTTTGTAATTAATCTAGTTAAATAAAATATATACCCACTCCAGGACACATGTCAAACATTGATGGGTGGAGTTAACATGGGAGGGGTCCTCCTGTCTTTAATAACTACCACTCGATCAGCTTAATCACATCCCAGACAAGCCATTTTCATTTCTCGCCCTCCAACCTCGCCCTCACTTTGCCCTCTACATATTTCTACACGGGAACCCATTAGCCCACACGTCCCAACACTGACAATGGCCCGTCACGTCCTTCTCACCGGGGGCAACGGCTTCATTGGATCCCACATCCTAACCCAGCTTCTTGACCATGGCTGCACTGTCTGCTGTGCTGTTAGAACACAAGAAAAAGGCGACAAGATTTTGAGGGACTTCGCCATGCAGCAATCTCAGATATCTATCACAATCGTCCCCGATATTGTCGCACCCGGAGCATACCACACGGCGATACAGGGAAACCCCGCTTTTGACACCATCTATCATACGGCATCCCCGTTCACGTACACGAACGTGGGGAGCAATCTTCAGTTCCTCGAGCCGGCCATCAAGGGGACGTTGAACCTCCTCAAAGCCGTGAAAGACAATGCCCCGAGCGTGAGAAGAGTCATTTGGACTGGTAGCTGCGCCAGCGTGATTGACTACGACAACCTTGTCTCGGACCCAGCAAGGCTTTATACGGAAGCGGACTGGAACCCGGTTACATGGGAAGAGGCAGTGCATGGCGATCCGTCGAAAGCATACAGGGCCAGTAAGCTTTTTGCCGAACAAGAAGGTACGTCGATTGTTCTGGTTGCTGTTAGCAGAGGCAGTACTAAGACGGTGTTCTCTACGCAGCATGGAAGTTTATGAAGGAAGAACAGCCACCTTTTGACTTGGTCACGTTATCTCCGCCGGCGACTTTCGGTCCTTTGCGGCACTCTATCACAAGCATTTGGGACCTGAACGAATCTAATTCTCGGTTGTGGAAACTTTGCTTTAATTCGACCAAGGATGCTCCCGTGCCGTACATGCCGGTACACACTTACGTCGACGTCCGAGTAAGTAGCCCAGCTTGACAGTGGTTTTGATCTAACCAACAATCTGTAGGATCTTGCAGATGCCCAATTCAGAGCCATGATTGTCCCAGAGGCCGGCAACCAACGGTTTTTGGTGTGCGCCAGGCAATTTGACTTCCAGGATGTTTGCGATATTCTCCGATCACACTTCCCCGAACTGAGTGAACGCACGCCGCTTGGGAAACCAGGGACACGCTCCTTACCTGCAGGGGCATATTCCATCGATAATTCCAAGGTGAAACAATCTTTAGGAGTGGAGTTCCGAAGTCTTGAAGAGACCATTTTGGATGTCGCACGTTGTATGTTAGATCTTGAGCGGAACGAAAAGCAAGCCCATGCTACCTAGGGTGGCATCATCCTTGCAGTCGCCCGAATCAATGGAAGCGGCCGTACCAAAACAAAGACAATGATAACTCTCATACTTTCCAGCGCGTAGTCCGTAGTGTTATAAATCTTGACCATGCCTTCCCTGTTCCAAATGTGTCCTGGGACGTCCGAAAACCATCTCAAACATTAATTATCCTGGCTGCGCGGCGATCGTGTACCGTAGAATGGGGTGAGCAGGTTTCCCGAGCCTGCAGACAGCATGTTACGCCGACGGCTCTATTAGCAACGCCAGGCAACTTTGCTACGGGCCGGATTCAAGGCGGGCGGGGTCTGCGCTGGACAGCCCCCCATGCTCCACTACTCCGGTCCAATGTGTGGACGGAGTTACTCAATGTTACCTCCGGTCCAATGTGCGGACGGAGTTAATGTTACCTCCAGTCCAATGTGCCACCGAGTAGGTACTCTCTCTGTGCGCTGCGGTTAACGCCGAGGGTGGATATTGTTATGGGGCTGTGGCTCCGAGGCCTGCATCCTATTGAATGGTTCACGCAAGGAAGGCGGCGCCAGATCTGAGTTGGGCAGCTCCACAGTTTCCACTACTACTGGCTAGGGAGCATATACTCGTTGTTAGCTGGGTTAACGCCGAAAGGAGATGGTATGTTTGTGGTGCTGCGGCTGAGGGTCACTCTTATTATGGACTGCCCGGGATGCGTGTTTAAAGTTGCCCACAGAAAGCGTGTACCTACTTTTGCTGACTCTCGAAGCCCCTTGGAGAGCACGCACGACTTAACCTCTTCCTTTACCCCAATCCAACACAATGTCGGAAACCAGCGTTACCGACACTGAAATGCAGTTTCGAATGACCGCGACTGGCTGGACCGATTCTCCAGAAAGCTCTCGAGGGCTAGAGGTCCACCCCGACGAGGACCGGCGACACGGCAACGCAGCAAGCAGGAACCAACCTGGAAAGTCGGCGTCCGATCGCATACAGCCGTTGACATTGGAATCATCGGCTCGTCCCCCACGAGACATACATGGGATCAAGTGGGTGTTCGCTGGTAAGTTCCGTAGGATCCTCGTGTTCCATAACTCCCACGTTGGATGTGGTCCCTGATAATACGTGTCGTAGTAACGGCCATATTGTCCAGCGTGTTCTTATTCGCGCTGGATCAGACAATTGTCGCTGATGTTCAGCCAAACATCATCGCCGAGTTTGGTTCGATCAATAAATTGCCTTGGCTCTCGGTGTCATTTCTTCTCGGAACTGCGAGCACAAATCTGCTCTGGTAAGCCTTTGCACCGATTCGACCCGGTGCAGCCAAGTTCCCTCAAGCTAATTATGAACCGATATGTGCAGGGGACGGATCTATAGCCAATTTAATTCCAAATGGATCTATGTGCTCTGCGTAGCGATGTTCGAGATCGGTTCGACCGTCTGCGGGGCCGCGCCCAACATGAATGCACTCATTATCGGACGTACTCTGGGCGGCCTGGGCGGCGGAGGAATGTACTTGGGCGTGATGATGATGTTGTCCCTGTTCACGACGCCTCTGGAACGACCAAGTATATCGGCATCATTGGGGTGGTATTCGGTTTTGGCACCGTGTGAGTGCTCTTCTCGGCGAGCGGGGAGGAGACCAAATCTGATTACTGACCATGGCATCTGTGCTCCAGCCTCGGACCGGTCATTGGAGGCGCCTTTGCCTCCAATGCCTCCGCGACGTGGCGATGGGCCTTTTATATCAATCTGTGCATTGGGGGCGCTTTCGCACCAGCATATTTCTTCTTGCTTCCATCCCGTGATCTGCGGCCGGGAGTGACGTTCTGGGACCGGATGAAAGTGGTGGACTGGATCGGAAACACTCTCGTCATCGGAGTGTATGTCTCCGGGCTCATGGCCATCTCATTCGGGGGCACCACCTTTGCGTGGAACAGCGCCCAAGAAATCGCGATGTTCTGTGTCTCGGGCGTTCTGCTCATCGCGCTATGCATCCACCAAGTTTGGTCCGACCCCAAAAACCGAATGTTTCCGGTCCATTTCCTGAAGAACGGAGGCCTGTTGATCCAATTCTTGGTCGGGTCCTCTGCGGGGACGTCGTCTTTTGTGACCATCTATTTCATCCCGCTCTACTTTCAGTTCGTGCAGCACAGTGATTCTCTGCTGGCCGGTGTGCGGTTATTACCATTCATCGGCTGCCTGGCGGTCTTCACCATGTTAAACGGCCACCTCATGGCTTGATCGGGATACAGCATGCCATGGTACGTCATCGGTTCGGTCCTCGTCGTAGCCGCCAACAGCATGCTCTACAAGCTTGATCTCTCGACGTCCAACGGATTTATTTACGGCGGGATGGTTCTCAACGGTATTGGCACGGGCATGTTTCTCAATGCTCCGTTTGCGGTCGCCCAATGGCTGGCTCCACCCCAGGAGACATCGAGCGCCGTTGGATTCATCATGTGTGCTCGAGGAGGAGGCCTTGCAATCGCACTGTCCATCGCAAACACCATCTTCCTGAACCTGGCCCAGAACGGGATTCGCCATCGGTTTCCCACCCTGGACACGACGCAGATTCAAAGTCTAACCTCCGGCGCCGGGAGCCATCTATTGGAGAGCCTCAATCACGCCCAGCAACAGCAAGTCCTCGCAGCGATTGTACACGCGATCAGTCGTGTTTTCATCCTGTCGATCGCCTCCGGCTGCTTTTGTCTCTGCCTGTCGGTTTTCATGGATCGCAGAAAAATCAAGATCGGCTAGCTGTCTGGATCTAAAGGCGCACATTTCGCCTTTGTCTCGAAATGAACATCGGGGCGTTTCAATTTCATACACCCAAAATCGCAGCGTCAGTAACATACAACGGGAACCCCCTTATAGAGCTACTACTCTAATGCAACCACTTCAAAGTTGTTGTGGAATTCAGGGGAAGTGACGCGCAGGGAGCTATTCTATCAGCTACAGGCCAACTAGCCTAACTAGGAAGTAGATGTCATTCAGTGGAAACACCAGGAATTGCAGTATCTCAACCAACTGAGCCTACTAAGCGGTTCCCTATTTTTCTCATTGAGGTGTTCAACTCATTAAAGGATTGAGGGGTAGAATGGATCGTTAGATATTTCCGCACCGTCAAGTCGGGCGGATTATAGTTTTTCCGTAACAGGTGGGAAGTGCGGGTAGCCATGTCCAGGAGAAACATCAGGGATGGCAACTACAATAATATCCAGCACTAGATTCCATTTCCTGGCTATATGTGTTGAGGCACTTTGCAAAATTAAAGTAGGTCCGATGTTTCGAAGGTGATTAGAGGGCAAAAGCGTGACTCCGCTTTTGAAAACCGTTAAGCTACTTTTGTTACGGAAACACTATAATCCGCCCGACTTGGCGGTGCGGAGTATCTGACGATCCACTCAACCCCTCAATCCTTTAGATAGTCGAACACCTCAATGAGAATATAGGGAACCGCTTAGTAGGCTCAGTTGGTTGAGATACTGCAATTCCTGGTGTTTCCACTGAATGACATCTACTTCCTAATGTGGCTAGTTGGCCTGTAGCTGATAGAATAGCTCCCCCCATCCGCCCCACTCCCATGGGAGTCCTACCATGGAGCTAGCAGGCGGCCCAAAATCTCCTACACACAGGACCACTATTTTTGGTCCCCGACACTAGTTCAACAGTGACGGTGCTATTCGTTATACCTAGCAAATCGAGCTAACAGATTACGCACAGTCGCCTCTGTGCTCTATGCAGCTCCTGAAGGGTGACGGCAACGATGCGCGCGTTTTCCATCTATGATGAAGATCCCATTGGCCTTACCCGCATCCTGGTGCGCTGTTTGGTGACTTGGGGCCGCGGAATTGAAGGCATCGAAGAGTTCGGTCAAGGACCATCTAAGCAATTCCGGCCTTGTTTATGGAGCTCTGATAATAGGCATTCCTTTTAGTACATAGTTGTGCCTATGGTTGTAGCTAGCCATAGGAACTCGCGTCGTTTACGGAGTACTTAACCTGAGCTTCCACTTTTAGTGCATGTTTTGCCGTCCAGGTGCCAATTTTTGGAACCTTTGACCACCCTCATGAAGTACCACAGAATACGGCCGCATACACGGATCCGAATAACCTAAAGTCTATTTTACTGCCCCAAGACTCAAAATTGCACGCCGCACTTCAGGGCCGTGCAAGCATTACATAGCATAGTCCGAAGGAGAGGCCAGCAGAGGAATAAGGACGCAATAACTCTTTGTTGAGGTCCTGTTAAATAGAATAAGTAGGTATTTGTACAGCAAACTGGTTTGATGATAAAAGCTTCTATGGCTCAGAGTCTCCGTCGCTTTGTCCTTCTTTGTCCTTCTTTGTCCCTCATCACCCATGATAGTCTCCGTCGCCTCGTCCCTCGCCATGACGCTCTTTGTAGTCTTTAATAGCATCCATGCATCGATTCACAGCCATCTTACATATGCTGTCTTTTAAGATCGAACGGAACTGTTCCAAGTCAATCGTGATCGTCTGCGGGTACCCATGAGGCAAGAGGTCTCCAAAATCCAGTTGGACTTGATCAGCCTGCATAAGGTCTTCAGCAATGCCACGTTGCACTGCCTTTCCATCCGCACCCCGAACCCAAGTCTCCATCCAGACTTCAGAGATCTTTCCTACCCATGTCAATCTCTTATAGGTTGCAGGTCCGTATTCCCCTTCAAAGACCACATCTTTTTTAAGAATTTCTCTCACATCCGAAGGAATCCCTAGTGCCTGTAGTGTATCCAGCTCTTCCTCATCATCGCCATAGATCGGATCTCTCGGGAACGGACAGCGATACGATGGAGTTTCGCAAAACTTCACGATCGTAACCATGGAAACTTCAGAACTGCCCTCCAACCAGAGCCGTATATCATTCTTCAGCTGTTTGTATGTTTCCGAAAACCCGACTTCGAGGACCCATTTAAGCTCCATCTCATTATTTGCGTTGCGTACCCCAATCCCAAGGTCGGGTCGTTTATCGGAACCGGACCATTGACCTCCAAAAGACTTAAAATCCTCGTCAAATAAAGCTTGTGTTTGTCGTCGGAGATTAACTGGAACAGCTGCTTTGGATATCATAATCTCCTCGATTAATATAGAGGAAATAGACTGGTGGATAGGACTAGGCATGCATTGGATAATCAAAGTCGATGTCGATGCATCAAACGAAAAGCGAGGATATCTGGTCAAAAAAAAGGCCAATTAGCAAGAAATCTTTATAGAAAAAAAGGGGCAAGTCTTACGATTCGTCTTTGGAGTCGAGGTCGAGGTCACGGCGCAACTTGTTCCAATCTCCGACCGACATTTTGATAGCAAGTTGTTTCTCATAGTCTTCCAGAGGGCGGCGACGCTCAAAAGGTGCTGTAGCAACGCGTGGATGTGCCCAGGCCTTGCACTCATGATAATATGCATAGGCTTCATCGTATGGCGACTTGAATTTGCTTGCAGACGCCGCAGGCTGTTGCTTATCTCGGGCGTGCATCTCCTTCTCTTCTGGCGGTGTGATCTTTCGCGTGGGATCAAGAGGTTGTCGGTCTGGGAGAACGGGAACACTAGGCAAGGACGGCGGCGTTAAGGATGGTGGTGTTGGGGGATGGGATCTTGGCGACGGCCTTGTGGGATGAGGGGTTGACAGGTCACGTCGTCGACGAGCGAAATGACCTGACGACTGTTGGTGATACGGCAAAGACGATGAAAACGGTGATGAAAATGATGGCTGGGGAGGCCACGGCCTGTTAGACCCGGCAGGCCCCGAGAAAATGGATCCATCCTGGTTTGCTCTTTGTTATGATGAGAGAAAAGGTGTGGCAATAGCAAATGAGGTTCAGATGGAGCAGACAGATCCTGGGTCAGGGCACTGCCTTCGCACATGATGAGATTTGGAGCAATCAGAAACGGAAGCTGCGACTGGTCATTACATCATGTGCATGTACCAATGCGATGTACCGCAATGTGCTCACAACTGTATGGAAGCGAGCTAGTTACTGTTGGCGGATCATCTCGTCCACCGCTTCCTCTTTCGGGTTAGCCCAGGCGGCTGACTGATCATCACTTTGAGAGTTACTCCACAAGGAAGGTGTTGTTAGATATACGACTAGTCCCGAAGAGGAAATAGAGTACGATTGGTGAAAAGGTCTTATTTGAATGAATTGAGCTGGTTGGCCTCTTCTTGACTATTCTTCTTGGTTATTCTTGATTGATTATTTTGTTGTGTGCTCCGCGGGGGTTTTACCCTGATCCAGTCACATGATTCTGGTCCACCAAGGCCATATTATTTGATAGTAGAAAGATTAAGTTACTAGTACAGTATAGACTTCATCAGAGCCCACGAAAGCCCAAGCCCAACCCAACCCACTTGTGGACTGCTGGGCAGGCTGGCTTATCGCAGTAGGAGGGTAGGTGAGTCCAGAACATCAAAAGCGTGCAACACCACTCCACTCACACTGTCGACGACACCGTTTCCTGTTTGCTCAGGAAGTTATTTTCCGAGCCAAAGCAGCAATGAGTGGGAATGCACGGCTGGATGGTTATTGGGAACCAAAAAGTTGTCGCAGATGATCCAACCTATGATCAGTCAGTCAGGCTTGGGGATAACTCATCAGCCAAAGCTGATTGGCTAGCTCGTTTCACTTAGGCCACCAGCATTCAGAGAGGTGCGAAGCGTCCGCTCCAATTACTATGCCCTATCTTCACCTCCGGCTCACCTCCGGCTCACCTTCTGGTATTGTAGAGAGACCAGCTAGGATTGCATACTTTACCACTCAGTCATAGAGGCAAGATCGTGGCCCGTTGTCGCTGAATCAATTACGGTGCCACATCGCGGTCTTTGAGGGGGAAACTGTGGTCTTTTGAGGAACCAAAAGGCACATTTTCACATTTTGATATTTTCTCCTTTCCCATTTCTCAACCCCAGTGCTTGCTAAATAAGTAGCATCGAACCTGTTGCTCCCTCTTTTAACTTGTTCGAACCCTTTATCTCACAATCATTATGGCCAAGACCCCTCGCGAATGATCGAAGGCTTCTAGTACGGAGAAGAAATCAATTCGACAGAAAAGAGACCGGAGGAAGATGAGCCTGGAAAGTAAGTCGCAAGAATATAGCGAGATGTGCGGGGCGGATGTCGGCTTGGGTATACGGATTTGAGAGTCAGGACAAGTATTTATTTTCTCTGCAGACTCATCGGGGGTTTGGTTATTCCTCAGTTCTCAATTAGTATGTCCTTTCGAAATTCTCTCCGTGGCTTCTAGTTTCCTGACCCCTCTAGGGCTCCTACTATCCAAAACCAATTGAATGAAGCATAAAGGTCCTCCGTGTGGCGAAAATATGGACCGATAGACTCTATGACTTCTGAAATCACTTTGTCGAGCATAACACGAGAAGCTAGATGAGAGGATTATACCGCCCGCCTCTGTCAGTGGTAGAAATTCAGCCAGCAGAAGAGTGCTTCTGAAGTTGTGTATCTAGCTGAGATGTCCGGCTTATTGAATTAACTATCATCTTGAGTGCTAGAATATTAGTCTAAATATGAAGACTACGAGTTCCTGTTCTATTCCTATTTCACAGATCTATTGCGAATACCTTCAAGAGTATGCCGCCACCGGGGCCCTAAACCACAGCGTTGGTGGGTTGATACTTCAGGGCAAATTCTCCCGGGGGATTCCCGGCCTAAGTATGCGGGTCCAGGAGGACGACTGTCCCTGTGGAGTGTACGGTCATATGGCAACTATTCCTCAGGCATAAGCCACCCAGAGGGACAGTGCTAGCCCAGGGTAGTGGGCCCCTAGCGGATTCCACTCTCGGGATAGGAATCCCAGGGGGGAACTTGCCTTCGAGTGTCAACCAATGGGATGCTTCCCAATTTTTTGTACCGGTCAAACTCTTCCGGGGAATTGATAAAAACAGAAAAGTAAATGTGCTGCCTCGGATAGTCAGTGAGAGCTCATCGCCAGGAACAAGCTCCTTGGCTGGATTCTTAGGGATAATGCTGTTGAAATGGAGGCTGTGGTAGGTTGAGAGAGCGGCAAAGTCCAAAAACTAAAGCCGGGACAAGTTAATTCATCACTTCCCGGGGCTTCCTAGAGTGTATAAACAGAGATTTTGCTCACGGCTTTTCGGACCACCGCTGGGTGGGTATTAATAGTAATTTTGGTTGAAACCATTCTAGGTGATGTGGCTCGAGGCGTAAGCTCGGGAGCGATGAGATGTAGAAATTCACGAGAAAATGCGGAATCAAAGTTTGAACGTTCCAATGCTTTTGATTGAAGAATGAATGAGAGCATCAAAAGATTTATCTCGTCTTATATAGCTTCAATTTCATCAAGGGAGGGTTTTCGGCTGCTCGTGCTCCTTTCGGTCTCTTCTCGGCATGTTCTCGCGCTGCGGTACCTATACTAATTATATTCAAGTCCACAAAACATATGTACCGGAACGCCTTTGCAAAGATTGAATTAATAATCTGTGTATTAGTCTATACAGAGTTTAGACCATTCGATTGAAATAACCCTTGCCCTTTTCTCGGTCAACTTGCACTACTCCATTTTATTACCTGAGTGTTGGCATTGTATAGCCCCGGGTGCCCCTAACCGGTCAAATCTATCGATGGCATTAGTTGAAGCTAACTTCAGTGCTATCAGGAGCTGCTAGTAAGAGGTGGCTGAATTTCATTGACGTTAAAGCCAAATCCTAAACGCAATAGACACTTAATTTCTTATCTGAAAGACATCTCTAGCCCCCTAGGATCAGGAATTTCCCTTAAGATGAAAAGGAGATACTAGTATCTAATAAGGCTCCGAGCAGTGACGTGAAAGTCGAAATTTTCTTGTAGAATACCTAGGCTCTCGAGCGTACTGTCTCGAGAGGAATCTTCCGGATTTGAGCGTGAAGATTAGTTTGTCGGAAGAACCACTGATTTTCAACGGCAAAAGCCTCAGGCTTGACCATACTTATCTTTTGGTGAATTAGCCAAATCTGAATCATCCTTGTGCAAGTCAATCAACTTACATCGTAGTTCAACACGAGGAAGGGAACCAGTTTTTTGACCTCAAAGATTCCAATATGCTTGCCGAGGCATACCCGTCGCCCAGCACCAAACTGAATGAAAAGCCTTTTTTTAGAAACCTCTGTTGATATTAGGGCAGAAGGACCATACCGTCAGTAAACCATCATCTCGTTTTTTCCGCATGCCTGGGTCACCCTCTAACCATCTTTCTGGCCTCCAAAGCTCGGCATCGGCACCATATGTGGGTTTGTGGCGGTTGATAACGTAGGGACTCGCTCCCACAATGGTGCCAGCCGGGATATATTGACCAGCGATGTGGATTCCTCCCTCTGGGACAATACGTTCAAATGGCATCGCGAAGGGCGGATGAACGCGGAGAGCTTCCTGTATGCATGCATCTAGATATGGCAGGTTATTTACCTCGCTCCAGCGTGGGTAAGGACGTGAGACATTAGCGGCAACGAGCTCTGTGCGTAGTTTCTCAAGAGTTTGGGGGCTCTTTAGAAGGTTGTACATGGTGGTTTTCATGACTGTTCCGACGGAGTCTGACCCGGCTAGGACGTTCGAGATGGTCCAGGCGGTGACGAACCTGCATTTTCCCTTTGTTAGGTTCCGCTAAGTCTTGTTCTTTCTGTATGTAGATATATGGGGGGGGGATTGCCGACCAGGGAGGAATATTTGCATCATTCTTTTGCGTACTGATATATCTATCCAAAAAATCGCCCTTTCCAGCCTTGGTAAAATCACCATTTTCGTTTGCCAGCTTCTGTCTCTCCTGGATAGTCGCACCCACAAACTTCATGATATTAGTCCCCGGTGTGGGTCTGAGTGTGTCGGCTAAGTGGTTCTTATATAAAACTTTGTCCAACCATGGGATTTGCATCATCTGCGACAGTCGTAAGCAACTCCCCTCACCCACCGAAAGTGCGGAAGAAGCCTCACCGGGGCAGCTTGCCTCATAAAATGAGCAATGGCATCTAGCATTCCACCAACGTCCTTTCCCTGCTCTAGAAAACCATATCGTTTCGAGAAAGTCATCGTTCCCATAACATCAAACGCAAAGAACTGCAGCCATTCAGTCAAGTCAAATATTTCACCATGACTTGAGAATCGCCGCTCTAGCTGTTCATCTATAACCTGAAGTACTTCATCAACGAGTCCCTCGAATTTGGATACATTTGACAGCGAGAAGAAAGAGGCCACGGGGTACCTGAGCTTCATGTGGAGATCCTCGTCCAATGCAGTGAAAACATTCGGCAGTGCACCTCCTTTTTTCGTGTACGGCCGCAACGGGACATAGAAATCATTCTATTTGACAGCAGTCAGCTCCAGTACAAGCAAACACGATGCCTTGAAGCTAGATCAATCAAACCTTGACGAATCCCTTCCTCATCGGGTAAATCGTGAGGATGGCGCTCGGATCACTGATCGAGACCATATTAGGACCCAACCGCACCACATCACCATACTTTTGGTGTATTTCTTGATGAATAAGATGCGCTTTCTTCGTAGAAACCCATGACATCCGCGTGAAGTTTGTTAGACTGGCCAAGAAAGGACCTGGGATGTGGCGCAGCCGGAACCAGATCAAGAAGCGCCACACTAGCAAGCTGACGAATGTTCCCAGGAGAAGAGCGGGTCCGCTATGTTGTGGGGCTAAGGACTGGACGCCCCAGCTAAGCTGTGAACTGAGGCCCATTGTTTCAATGATTCTTTTCTCCTCTCTATTTGCCCAACAATAACAGACGGGAACCTGATTAAATGCTGAATCGATGCAAATGCGGGGATTCATGACTCTGATCTCATGGGAGCTCGGCTGAGGCGATTCGGAGTTAGCTGTCCGGGCCGGAATGAAATCTGGCATTCGGGCCCGAGCCAGCAGCCGGGCGTTTAATCAATTGCCCTGAGCTTGGATAAGCAGTAGAGCACTCTGAATCAGAGCGTAGAGAACGAGAGAATGTGTTTTCTATTGTTGAAGAGGTGGTATTCGGACCGATTCCTTCCCAGCGCCTTGGCTACGCACAACGGTGTCAACCCCCGAATCCTCTATCCCAGTAAAAAGAAGAGTGCGGCATCTAGATGAGACGTTGGATATATATCTAGTTAAAAATATACGCTCCTTAGTAGGCTACGCGCGTGTAGCTGGTATAGCTTCTCCTGCCCTATTCCCCATTTCCCCTGTGCACTGTGAACCTTGTCAAGGTTTTCACAGCATCTATCATAGTTTCTATCACTCAAGATAAGTGGCGGCGGTCGACGAAAGTAGTTTAGCAGACACGGAAGGAGAGAATGAAGGACATCCGACATCCTCAAGTACGCATCTATCAATCGGGCGAAATTAAGTTCTCATGCAAAGCTCATAATTGACCCCTATTCATGCCAACTTTTTTGGCGAGTACGGAGGTACCTTATCTTCATAGATGCCTGTAGACGAATGCTCTCGCACTACCACTATCGCCTTCCTCCCTGGAGTTCATGTTCCCGATTCAAGGTTCTGTTTGATTTATTTGGGGGGGGTCTGAATTGATTGTATTCAGAAGGATGTTCTGCCCAATCCCTCTATGAGAGATATTGGGTATATATATTTCACATGATGTCCCAAACTGGACCAGTATATTTTGACAGGTTCCATAGTTGGCTCAGGCCCCGCATAATTTGAGTGGAAAACATGCAAAGCACTGCATGGGAGGATGACGGATGGATCGCCCAAATCAACTACATAAATGCGAGTGAGAACAAGTTAATCAAAGATACGTCTTTTTAGATGATTTTCTGTATGCGTATTTAAGAGCAAGTAAAACCATATATAGGAAGGATGTGAAATCACGCTCCCATCTTCTGCCGATAAGTCTGAATTGCCTCTTCCAACATATTATTCCAGTCAAAATGCCAAATTTTGTGCGATCGATCTTTGATCTCCTCAAAGCAGGTCTCCGCTTTCAATCGCCGCTGGGCATCTGCCCATTCGGGCTGCTGGTACAAGTCACATACTCTCCGGCTACTATCTACAAACCACTGAGCGCGAAAACGGCGGATGCCATCATAAGTGTCAAATGCCGCAGCCACAGCTTGATTGCGGATCGTTGAGCTTTTCCCACGTGTCGAAACCCAGACCTCCGCCAGCAGAGTCGCCAGACACAAAGCGTCCTCTACGCCAATGGAGGCTCCTGCCCCATGGTGCGGGACCGCTGCATGGGCCGCATCACCGACAAGACATATTTTGTCTCGGCTAAAAAAGGGAGCCGGATAGTCATAGGTGTCGAACATTGCCCATCGATCGATATTCTCGGGCAAAAAGCCAATCAATCCGCGGAGGCACGGATTCCAATCAGCAAAACACCGCATTGCCTCTTTTCTCGTCGCAGGGCCCACCAAGCTCGTCTTATCGCTCCATTCGTGAGGATCAGACACAAACGCAGCTACATTGACCATCGTCTCATTAGCGACGGGATAGTGGATCAGATGGGCGTTCGGGCCCACATGCATGTTCAATGTGCGGGCCCTGAACTCTCCTAGAGCCGATAGAGCGTTTCCCATCGACACTAGACCGCGGAAAGCGAACTTGTGACTGTAATGAGGATAGGAAAAGGGCGACCCTTCCCCAAAGAGATGTTGGCGAACACGGGACCGAATCCCATCGGCGCCAATAACTATAAAAATTTACCATTGAGATCAGCTGCCAATTCTTCACCAGATCGAGCCTGAGATAAGGGCATGCTGACCACAATCAAAATCAGCAAATGTGCCATCGGCAAACTGAAGCGTCACCTTGTCATCCAAATCATTTTCGTGAATCTTTTCCAATCGCTTTCCACATGCCACGACCCCGTCGGGTAATATTTTAACAAGTGTCTCCAAGAACTGGTCACGCCGACAGGCCTCAAACCCCCGGATACCTGCGTCCAACTGATAGAGAATCTTGGACGGCTCGCTGTAACCATCAACCCAACGAAGACAATCACGCCCTTCTCCCTGGTGATCTCCGATTGAAATAGGGACAGCACCGCTGGATCGTAGGGCATGAACAATCGCTGGATCAAGCAGTTCCATACATCGAACCGAATTAGCCGTGAAGGCCATTCCGGCCCCAATCTCGCGGAACCCTCGCGCTTGCTCGTAGACTTTGACAGTAATGCCACGGCGGACGAGACCAGCGGCCAGCATGATGCCAATAAGGCCGCCGCCGACGATGCCCACGCTTAAAATCTCCTGTTGCGCATCGATCATGGTCATGGTGAGAGTGGATATTTGTTGGTGGCTTATTGCAATTGTAAATTTCCTATGACAAGGCAAGATAAAAATCCTCTGGCCATTTTGCATTTTAGCCCCTACCTTTGAGTAATTTCCCTCATAACCCGGTCGAAAACGATCTTCTGGGCCATCCAATAGGGGAGATGGTGTCATTCGGGTCCCAATTCAGTCCGGGTCCGGGTTAGTTAAGCCTTCGTGCAGGAATCTCGGGCCCGGATCTGCGCTAAGAACCCTTCAGGGTCGGGAGAGCTTACTACACTCGTCCGTCAATCCGGGGTTATTTTCGAGAGATAGATTATGTGTATGCCGAATATGTGAAACCTGATTAGTACGGAAGTAGTGATAGCGGATTCAATTTGGGAATGGAGAGCCGACAACTTGGAGGCACTGAATAAATAGATATAGACCTGAAGACGGGGTAACCCACTAGACAATATTCTCCTCATCTTCAACAGCTGTATCTCTCGATTCCATTTCTTTCGAGTGGCATAGATATGAATCCCATGGCATCAAATCTCCTGGGCGAGACCGTCCTTCTCTTTGGGTCACAGTCACTCTCTTTTGATGCTAATGCATTCAATGCGATCCGATCAACTCTGGAGAAAGAGCAAGATTTGAGATGGATTCGCCACACCGCTGCAGATCTCCCCAACGCATTGAGCATTGCTCTTCAGTATTGCCCAAGTCTCAAAGACCGGGGCGTATGGGCTTCCTCGCTTGTGCAAGAATTGAAAGACTGGTTTGACTCCGGTGCCTCCCAACCGACTTCTCTGGATCAGTCAAAATTGCCCAATGTCATTCTCACCCCGCTTGTTGTCATATCACATTTATGCCAATACATCAAATATGTCAATTTCGCAAACCAAGGGCATGATGATGATAGTTTATGTTTACAACAACCGGAGACATACGAGACCTTGGGACTGTGCACGGGGCTTCTCAGCTCCCTGGCAGTATCGAGCAGTCGAACGAGATGGCAGCTGGAGAAGTATGGAACAGTGGCCATCCGACTGGCTATGTTGATAGGCCTTGTTGTCGATGCTCGAGATCAATCAACGTCGCATGGTCCATCCAAATCAATCGCCACTATGTGGCACTCGGAAGAGCAGAGGGACAAAATGTTGGAGATTTTGGCTAGTGATCCAGAGGTACGAATCAGTGATTTGATCTCATAAGATTTGAACCCCTGTGCGAGAGAATATGGAGCACTGACATATTGAAACTTTCCCGTGCAGATGTATATCTCGGTCTACTACGATAAAAATCGAGCGACCATAACAACACCAGCCGCCAAATCTGCGGCGATCCAGAAAGTCCTAGCGTCAGCTGGACTGACAACGACAGAAATTGGCCTCCGAGGACGATTTCACTGGAGCGGCCATGCAGCGGAGATCGAGGAGCTGATCAAACTATGTGAACACGACGAGCGATTCCAATTTGCCGAGAAGACCGCTCTCGCTCTTCCAAACAGGTCCTTCAACGTTGAAAACCATGCTCATGAATGGCCATTACATGCGATGGCTTTACGATCAATCTTAGGGGATCCGCCATTATGGGCAGACACAATTGATGCAGTCTATGCATCTACGTTGATCAGCTCATCAGCCAAGGTCGTTTCATTCGGTTCAGAAAGATGTTTACCACCGAGTATCTTACAGAATCTGGAGTCGCGTGTATTTTACATGGACTATGCTGACAAGAAGCTTATACCCTGTCCAAAGAGCGACGATATCGCAGTAGTTGGGATGTCAGTCAAAGTCGCTGGTGCAGATGACCTAGAAGAGTTCTGGGATATCCTCTGCAAGGGTGTTTCGCAACACAAAGAGGTACCACCGGAGCGCTTCACCTTTGACACAGTTTATCGCCAGCTTGACCCGAAAGCCAAGTGGTACGCGAACTTTATCAATGAACCTGATATATTTGATCACAAATTCTTTAAAAAGTCGCCAAGAGAGGCCGAGTCCATGGACCCGCAGCAGCGTTTGCTACTACAGATCGCCTACCAGGCGTTGGAGAAAGGGGGATATTTTCATCATTCTTCTTCAGATAAGCGGATTGGATGCTACATGGGGGTGTGTGCTGTGGACTACGAGAACAATCTTGCTTGTCATGCGCCGAACGCCTTCACCGCTACGAGCCACTTGCGCGGATTCATTGCGGGCAAAGTCAGCCACTACTTTGGTTGGACAGGGCCTGCCTTGACCATCGATACTGCATGTTCGTCATCGGCAGTCGCGGTACATCAGGCTTGTCGGGCAATCCTCAATGATGAATGCACAGCGGCTCTTGCGGGTGGAACTCAGATCCTAACGAGTCCGCTGTGGTTCCAGAACTTAGCGGGCGCGTCCTTCCTGAGCAAGACGGGCCAGTGCAAACCTTTCGACAGTAAGGCCGATGGTTACTGTCGCGGCGAGGGCGTGGCGGCAGTTTTCCTGAAGAAAATGAGCACCGCCCTTGCTGATGGAGACCAGATTCTCGGTGTCATCGCCGGGACTGCTGTGCAACAGAACGAGAACTGCACACCAATCGTAGTCCCAAATCAGCAATCATTGTCAGAAGTGTTTGGGTCAGTCATTGAGAAGGCTCATTTGCAGCCCGAGCAGATCAGCGTCGTCGAGGCCCACGGTACGGGTACATCGGTTGGCGACCCCGTGGAGTATTCGAGCATCCGTGCTTCACTTGATGGGCCTAAAAGGACCCAAAAGATATTCCTTGGCTCGGTAAAAGGTCTCCTGGGGCACTGCGAGTCTGCTTCTGGGATCATCTCTCTTGTCAAGATTCTACTCATGCTCCAGAAGGGGATGATACCACCGCAAGCCAGCTTTGATACCTTGAATCCAGCGATCAAAGCAGCGCCCTCGGATAAAATTCAGATTCCCCGTCAGATTACTAGATGGGATGTGCCTTTCCGAGTTGCATTGATCAACAACTATGGTGCATCCGGCTCAAACGCCTCAATGGTGGTCAAGCAGGCGCCGCGAGCCAATTCGGCCGTCCAGCCCGTCACTGGGGCAGAGCGAGTACCTTTCTGGTTTAGTGCGCTGAATGGAAAAAGCCTCCAAGCATATTTAGCGGAAATTTGGAAGTTCCTCGACGCGAATTCTGATCAGCTATCTTTGCAAGACCTGGGATTCAATGTTTCACGCCAGTCCAATCGATCCCTCCCTTGCAGACTCCTGTTCACCTGTCAGTCTACCAGGGAGCTCCGGCAGCACTTGGTGGAATATCAGAAGGACAACCATCAAATATCTTCAAATGCATGCCCCAAGCCTCGACCACTAGTGCTTTGTTTTGGTGGGCAAGTGTCCAAATTCATTGGGCTGAACCGTCAAACCTACGAGGATGTTGCTGTCCTACGCAGACACCTTAATACATGCAATCGTCGCTGTCTCGCTCTGGGGATCGGAAGCATCTACCCTGCCCTCTTCCAGAAAACTCCGATTGATGATATCGTCAAACTACAGACATGTCTGTTTGCCATGCAGTATGCATGTGCCAAGGGCTGGATTGATGTTGGTGCGCAGCCTGTTGCTGTGTTAGGACACAGCTTTGGGGAACTCACTGCGCTCTGTATTTCTGGAGTATTGTCTCTGGATGATGCTCTGAGTATGGTCGCCGCTCGTGCTCAGGTGATCAAAGATGCGTGGGGGCCTGATAGAGGATGCATGATGGCATTGGAAGCAGATTTGGATGTTGTGCAGAAATTGTTAGTGCAAGCTAATGCCAATCTTCCCCAAGGCGAGTCTGCAGAGATCGCATGCTATAATGGACCCAGAAGCTTTACAGTTGCTGGATCGACGCGGGCGATTGAAGAGGTTGATGCATCTCGAAAGGGGAGTGCAAGCTTTGGGGCGGTGAAAGCTAAGAGACTGGAAGTTACCAATGCCTTCCATTCAACTCTCGTCGAGCCACTCCGAAAAAAGTTGGATGAAGCAACTAGCGGATTGAATTTCCGAGAGTCGCCTACAATTCACTTGGAGCCCGCTACTGAGACACTCCAAGGAAAGCTCATAGAAAATCCGACCTCGTATGTTGCAGACCATATGCGGCGGCCCGTCTTTTTCCATCATGCGCTGCAAAGAGTGGATCGTGCGTTCCCTAATGCAATCTATCTCGAAGCTGGCTCCGGATCCACCATCACGAACATGGCCAGCCGAGCTCTTGGCGGCTCGGGAGGAAGGCATTTCCAGGCCATGAGCATCACCACAGACAAATGGTTGGATAATCTGGTCGACGCAACTATGAGCCTGTGGAATGCTGGCCTGAATGTTCTTTTCTGGAAGCACGCTTTCGTTGAAACGGACAATTATGTGCCCCTACTGCTGCCACCGTATCAGTTTGAAAAGTCTCGACATTGGCTTGAGCTCAAGGAGCCGCCGAAGACGGAGGTGATCGCAGCGGTTTCACGGGCAGATGGACAGCGACCTGAGAAATTGCCCGATACAATTCTGAGCTTCGTGAGATATCAGGACTCCCAGAAATCACACGCACTTTTCAGGGTCAATACTGAGCTTCCCGAGTATCAGGAGCTCATGAAGGCACATCTCATCGTATATACTGCACCTATCTGCCCAGCAACCGTTCAGATGGACATTGCCATTGAAGGTCTGAAGATGTTGGTTCCAAATTTGGGGTCCGACTTTCAGCCGCAAATTCATCAGGTCGACAACAAAACGCCCATCTGCTCCGACAAGATGCAGTCTGTGTGGCTTGATATGACACTTGACGGGTCAAACAAAAACAGCTGGCGCTTCCGATTCTTCGGCGCAAAGCTTGACCATGGTGAGCTGCCTTCGAAAAAGCAAACTGAGAGCGGAGTGACTTTTACCACTGGAGCTCTGGTGGTTGTCCCGATGGAAGACGAGCAGACCCGACTTGATTTCAAGCGCTATGAGCGTCTCATTGGCCATGAGCGCTGCGTCCATTTGCTGCAAAACACAGAAGCTGAGGAGATACTACAAGGACGCACCATCTACAAGACCTTTGCAGACATTGTGAACTATGGTAAACAATACAGAGGACTTCAGAGATTGATTGGTAAAGGGTCTAACTCTGCGGGACGTGTTGTGCGTTCCTACAATCCCAAGACTTGGTTTGACGCGCATCTTTCCGATGCGTACGCCCAGGTTGTCGGCATCTGGTTGAATTGCATGACGGAACACGATACAGCTGACATATATGTAGCCCGAGGGTTCGAGAAATGGATGCGTTCGCCAGACCTGCAGCAGATCAATCGTCCCGACAGCTATGATGTTCTAGCATACCACCAGGGACCCGACAAGGGCTCCTGCCTGTCTGACATCTTTGTCTTCCATCCACTGACCGGTCAGCTTGTTGAGGCAATTCTGGGCTTCCAGTTTATCAAAGTTCCGCGCAACGGGTTGGCAAAGCTACTGACAAAGTTGACCCGTGATGAGACAGCATTGGCCACCAACCCTCAGGTCATGGGACCTGCACCACCGACGCCTTTAGCACAACTTGAAACTACCCAAGTACCTATATCCAAGCCACCAGCCGCAGGGGAGGGCCAAAAGCGCCCACTACCACCAAAGCCTGATGTTTTGCCAAAGCTTGCTTTGATTCTGGCAGATCTCGTAGGGCTCGAACCGGGAGAAATAAATATCAACAGCGAGTTGGCTGACATTGGCGTCGACTCTTTGATGGCTATGGAAGTTGTAACAGAGATTGAGCGTGTATTCTCGTGCTCAGTCTCCTTGGATGATGTGGCCGATGTTACCAATATGAGGCAGCTTGTCCGTACTGTGGAATCTATCGTGGGCACAGGAGCCAGCGAAGCTAGCAACTCGTCTTCAGATAACGAAGATGAGGCCTGCTCGCCATCTCTTGGAGGAACGGAGCTGACTGATGTGTCTGCCAATCCTGCACTTGATTCTTCTGTGCTGATTAGTTTTTTTGCTGAAAGCCTGGGCATTGATGCTAGCGAAATATCTGAGAATGTTCCACTCAAAGAGCTTGGAATGGACTCGTTGCTCTCCATGGAGGTGGGAGGCGAGTTAGTGGAGAAATTTGGTTTGGATCTAGACAAGTCTACAATCCTTGAAGACATGTCAATCAGTGATCTACTCCAGACCGCACCTGGAGCTTCTGCCCCGGTTGTTCCTGAATCTTCTCCCGCTCCTGCGGAGCAAGCTTTGTCTGCGAACGGCTCAACCTTTGATGATGCCCCATCTTTCGATTTTTCAATCGAGAATATCCTGGCTTCCTTCCAAGAGACAAAGGAAGCGAGTGATAGCTTCATAACTGGCGCTGGATGCAGCGGCTATGTTGAACAGGTATTGCCGGGGCAAACCCAATTGTGTGCTCTGCATACTTTAGAGGCCTTCGAGAAAATGGGGTCCTCGATTCGTGCTCTGAGGGCTGGTGATACCATGACTCTCTTCACTCCTCGGCCTGAGCATGTCTCACTCGTTGCACGTTTAACAGAGATGTTGGAGACCCAGACTGGATTGATCAAGGTAGTCGATGGGCCAGGCCTCACCATTGAGCGGACGCAAACTCCATACCCGAGCATATCCAGCGCAGATCTAATGCAGCAGATGCGTCAGAAGCACCCACAATACCAAAATGTGAATGAGCTCATCTTCTACGTTGGCTGTAATCTCGACCGAGCGCTGCGCGGTGAAACTGATGGCATCAAATTGATTTTCGGCTGCACGCAAGGCCGCGAGCTTGTATCCGGCCTATACGGTGACTGGATCATGAACATTTGTTATTACCGACAAATGCAAGATTTTCTGACCCGGTTGGCTGCCGTCATGCCCCCAAGTGGGCCGCTACGGATTGTGGAGATGGGTGCTGGCACAGGGGGCACGTCGAAATGGCTTTTACCCCTGTTGGCTCAACTTGGCCACCCTGTCGAATATACATTTACCGACCTGGCACCATCCCTTGTGGCGGGTGCACGAAAAACATTCAAACAATTTGCGTCTTTTATGAAATTCCGAGCCCTCGATATTGAGCAAGAGCCTGCCGAGGATTTGATCGGCACACAGCATATGGTTGTGGCCAGTAATGCTGTGCATGCCACTGTCAGTCTGGTAGGCTCGGCAAAGAAGTTGAGGAAGTATTTAAGACCAAATGGCCTTCTCATGATGCTAGAGATGGTTGAGCCTCTGTATTGGATTGACATGATCTTCGGTCTATTTGAGGGTTGGTGGCTCTTCGCAGACGGCCGCAGTCATGCATTAACTCCGCCTGCACGTTGGAAGACAGACCTGCAGGCTGCCGGTTTCGGATTTGTGGACTGGTCAGATGGAATTTTGCCAGAGAACAGCATTAACAAGGTCATCATTGCCGTCGCCTGCGAGCCGGATTCAGTCGAAGCCATCAGCAGCCTCGCAGACCGAAAAGCTGCCGTGGAAGGCTTTGTCCACAAATACACAGGTGGGATCGATCTTTCGGTACCAGCTTTGAAAGTCAATCGAGAGCCACTTGGGCATGGCGTCGTTATCACAGGGGGAACGGGAAGTGTTGGGGCCCATGTTGTTGCACAGCTGGTGCAGCAACCTTCTGTCACTAAGGTGATTTGTCTAAACCGACGCAGCAAGCTAAATGGCCGCCAAAGACAACTAGACTCCCTCGCCGATAAATGCTTACTACTATCGGATGAAAGCCTCTCCAAGATTCTGGTCATTGATACTGATCTCGCTAAGCCCCAGTTTGGCCTGTCGCCGGAAGTGTACAACTCTCTGCTTGAGCCGACCACACACATCATCCACAATGCCTGGGCGATGAGCATCAAACGTCCAGTACAGGGATTTGAGGCACAATTTCGCATCATGCGCAATCTGATTGAGTTTGCACGCGACATATCATCTCTGGGTGGCCCCCCTTTAAGCTTCCAGTTCATATCCTCTATTGCGACGGTGGGCCAATATCCGATCTGGAAGCAGGAGATCCGTGTCCCCGAATGTCGCCTGCCCCTCGATGCGGTCCTTCCAATTGGATACGGTGATGCCAAGCATGTTTGTGAGCTCATGCTCGATGAGACACTGCACAGATACCCTCAACGATTCCGCACATCGACGGTTCGACTGGGGCAGGTAGGTGGATCAAAGATTTCCGGCTACTGGAACCCAGTCGAACATTTGTCCTTTCTCTTCAAATCATCACAGACCATCCAGCAACTCCCTGATCTACATGGAACTCTCTCCTGGACCCCTGTAGATGATGTTGCCAGGACTCTCGTTGATCTCCTTTTCGTCAAGACTCCTTATCCCGTTTATCACATCGAAAATCCGGTCGGCCAACCATGGAAAGAGATGCTTCCCATTCTCGCCGAAGGCCTGGGTATTCCACAGGACAACCGCTTGCCCTTGAAGGAGTGGCTTGTTCGTGTACGCGACTTCCCGGAAGATTCATTGGACAAGGATAAAAATCCAGCCACTGCACTCGTCGATTTCTTAGGTCGGTATTTTGAGCGCATGTCCGTTGGTGGATTGCTGCTGGATACTACGAAAAGCCGAGAGCATTCGCCTTCTCTCCAAGCTGTTGGGCCGATAACTCCTGATCTTGCGCGAAAGTTTATCTCGTACTGGAGGAGTATTTCTTTCATCATCTAGTTGTTATGGTTTTCAGAGATTGAATAACTTGTCTTAAACCGAGTGCCTTCTTCCTTTGACTATTATTCAATGGCGTCTTTGCGTTAGGAAATTTATATTCCAAATTATTCTGATGTACATGAAAAAAGAATGTCGATATTAACTGCCTGGGACCTTGGAAAGTAATAATTTTTCTACTCTACTTATCAAATCTACTGCGAAAAACGAAAACAGGATTAAAATAATATGAGGTACCTAAGTACAGCCGCGACATCTGGGGGCAGCGGCTCTTGTGAGCTGAGACCATATAAGAAATGTCAAAATCTCATGCCTCGGTAGACAGGCGTTGACGTACTGAACGACTTCGACTCAGTTTCAAATATTGAACGTGTTGATCTTTATTAAATAGAGGCAAACAACAGATTTTGCTCCTCGCGTGCCCAGCTCGCTTACTTGCTTGCCCGAATCAAGTGAAGTAGAACGCAACAAAAGTACCACCCACAAAGACAAAGAGAAAAGAAAAATAAATCTATTTTCCCTTCATGTATTCATCAAACCATTCCACCGCCTGAAAGAAAGCACTTTTCATGGCAAATCGCACTTCGCGATTGGTGGGATCTCCTCTAACCCCAAAGCCATGGCTCACACCACTGTATAGATTGACTTGGTACGGCAAACCCGTTTCCTGCAAGATCGCTTCCGAGATATGACGTTTCTCCGCTGGAAATATTTTATCCTTTTCTGCTGCTGCAATGGCCAGCGGGCCTTGAATGCCCTTCAGCTCACTTTCATCGATATGAGATGGGTGAGCGGTAAAGCCAACATCTACCCTTCCGGGAACAAGATGGCGAACAACATATTTACCCCCGAAACAATATCCCACTGCCCCAATGCTCTATAGGTTTCGTTAGTTATTGCCAGATTTCAGGTAAGGGGACGGATGGTCTTGCCTTGCAATTGTATTTGGTGAGCATCTCGGAAAGACAAATCTCCACGATGGGATCGACAGTTTCCGGGAGATGCTTCTTGCCCTGGGGGTGGTAGTTACCGCTTCTCCACTTTCCCATATCGAATTCACCCGGCTTATTTAGTGGAACTGCGTCACCGTAGAAAAGATCAGGCATCATTACGAAATATCCATGATCAGCAAACTGATCTGCGATGACTTGGGCGTTGACAAGTCGATGACCGATGATATCGGTCAAGCTTTCCGCCCTGTGTTAGACATGCAATTTACTGGGTGAGAGGTAGAAATTGAACATACATCAAGACACCATATTCTGTTGACAGATCTGGGGGGTAGCTAGTGTAGACTTCGATGTCTTCCACCGTCGAGATTGATCCTCTCGGCTCGCCATTATGTTTGAACCCCTGATAGCAGCAGCTTTGCATGGGATTGGATGCCATGTCGAGCGAAAGAGTCGAGAAGGACTCTCTGGTCTTGGAGGAGTGTAAATGGGTAGATGTTCCAATCGGCACGCTGTGAGAGATTTAGAAGTTAACGAGGCCGTGCTTTACGCCGATCCCAACGATCCCTCATATATACATGTGCGCAGAGTGGCGTTGTTGGAAACGTTTAGTATGTCCGAGGCTCGGGGTGAACAGAAATAGGGCAAGAGCTATCTCTTCGGAACTGAGCTCGGAGAACGGCATCGGCCTAGTACGCGACTTGAGTTTGGAACCAGGGTGAAAGCTTGAGCTTCAAAGCAGGATGAGACCTGGTGGATAACATGGGACCGGATGTGATGGCGAATCGATCCATCCTATTCCACCCTCCAGATGTGCTTGCGCGTCGGTGATCGACAATAAATCCGAATCTTCGAGCGTCTCGGTCCTCATTTCCAAAGTAGTGTTAGTGTATTTGATTGGGCTCAACTGGAATTAAAGAAGCACCACCCGGAGTGGAGTCGGTTGACCGGGTAGGAACAGTGGTCCAATTGCTCCACACTGGTCGTTGGTTCTGTCCTTACCCGGCTCCGAGCCTGTTGTTTGTTAGCCATGAGGTTTTGTTGGATAGCTCCGATAGCTCGGGTTTAGATCCCTGGAAGACGCAATTTCCGAAGTATGAAAATCTTTCCGACGAGAAATATTACACAATCCAGCCCCATCAAACAGCAGTGACCAGGTGCTTATTCCATAACTGCAGCGTTTTCATTTCCCTTCACAACCACACTTATTGACTCCCAGGTGCCGAGCGACACAAAAACGGCCACCATGTCAAAAGATCTCGAGACAGGTGAGCCCATGGCGCCTGTGCTAGATGAGAAACCTCAGCATCCGCGATCGTTCCTCTCGAAAATCCGACTTCGTTTGCCCGGCCAAACAGCTCCCTTTACGCATCCAGCCGGCCAATTCAAGTCCGACGATAGCAATATTGTAGACTTCGACGGGCCGGATGATCCGTATCGCCCTATCAATTGGAGCTTCAAGAAAAAGGCCCTCACGACGATTCTCTATGGAATGACGACTATGGGCGCGACCTGGGCGAGTTCGAGGTATGATTACCCTCTTTCAATCCCCTTCTTCAAATCTTCTCGTTTAACTAACTTTTCAAGTTACTCGCCCGCGGTCCCCGATATCGAGAATGAGTTCCAGATCGGCGAGGTCACGGCGACACTCGGCACAGCACTCCTTCTCTTCGGCTTCGGTCTCGGTCCCATTCTCTTCGCGCCTCTCTCGGAATTCTATGGACGCAAAAAAACCCGTCTTGGTACCTTACTTTGTTTCGATCATGTTCTCCTTCGGGACCGCTACGGCGAAGGATACCCAGACCGTTATGATCACCCGTTTCTTCTCTGGCTTCTTCGGTGGTGCTCCGATCACCAACACTGGTGGTGTGCTTGCCGACATCTGGACCCCCAAGCAGCGTGGTGCGGCGATGGTCGCGTACGCAATGGCCCTTGTCGGCGGACCGGTTATAGGCCCCATCGTTGGTGGAGCGATCGTTGACAGCAACCTGGGATGGAGGTGGACCGAATATGTAAGTACTTTCCTTCCGAGGATATTACATCTGCTCGAGCTAATAATATTTCAAGATCACAGGCATTCTTCAAATCACCATGTTCACACTGGCAGTAGTATTTATTGACGAGACTTACGCCCCGGCCCTGCTGGTCTACAAAGCTCAACGGCTCCGCATAATGACTGGGAACTGGGCTCTACACGCGCGACATGAAGAGATCGATGTTCATTTCAGCGACTTGGCCGATAAATATCTCCTGCGTCCCTTCCGGCTCTTAGTCACACCAATCTGCTTTTTTTTGTCGCACTCTATGCCTCATTCGTGTACGGCATTCTCTATTTAAGCCTTGCCTCCTTCCCAGTTGAGTTCCAAGAGGTCCGCGGGTGGAATGCGCTTGTTGGTAATCTTCCCTTCTTGGGTATATTGACGGGAATGATAATAGGTGCCGGTGTCAACATTCTGAACCAAAAGTTCTACCTGAAAAAGTTTCAGGAAAATGGTAACAGAGCCGTCCCAGAAGCACGCTTGCCACCTATGATGCTGGGATCTGTATTCTTCGCCGCCGGAATGTTTATTCTTGGTTGGACAAGCCCGAAACATATTTTCTGGCTATGTCCTGTTATCGGAGCGGTCTGTCAGGGTCTGGGTTTCTTCACAATCTTCCAGGCTGCTCTGAACTACTTAGTAGACACGTTCACGCGATACTCTGCCAGTGCAATTGCTGTCAACACTTTCATCCGCAGTATCTTTGGCGGCACTTTCCCTCTCTTCGCGACTATCATGTATCGTCGCATGGGCGTTCCATGGGCGTCCAGCTTACTGGGATTTGTCGGCGTTGCCTTGATTCCAATTCCTTTCGTGCTGTACATTTACGGACCAGGGATCCGGGCTCGAGGTAAATGGTCAAAAGGTTCTGTTGAAGGGCACGGTCATTAAATCTACGGGGGTGACAGGGTGAAAAGAAACTGAACCGTTTTCTTTTTCTCAAGAATGATGTCTTGTCACAAGGACAGAAAGAAAGAATTGGTAAATGGTAGAATCGGATTGACTTCGTTCAAGGTTGATGTATTGAGCTCTTCAATGCCTACCGGAAGAGGAACTGGAGGGTCTAGAAAATCTTACTAGGATTATGTTAATATCATTTCTTATTATAGAACCTGTTGAAAGCAACGTGACTAGTAAATACAAAGCTGTATATCACGAGTCCCTTATGTTACCAGGTATATTATAATCCAACAGGTTTTGGAATCTGTTATCAATCTGTTACATATTTTCCGGATACTTATGTTCCCTTACAGCAGGTAGAGGGGCACAGCTCGTGGCCATTCACACTTTAATAGTATGCACGGGTTGATTCAGCAGAAAGCAACCACCACGCCACCTGTAGCTTGGAGACGCCGACGGGATGGGCCCTTGGAAATTTTAGAATTGAGAAATGTGTTTGCATTGGGTTGAGCTGAGCAAGCAATATAAATATGGTTTGTTGAACCAAAAAAAAAAAAAAAAAATCAGCAATACAATACCAACCATAAAGGCCTTTCACCTCATTGCACTAGTTACACGATTTCAAAATATTAAATCAGACTATGCAGTGGTCCAATTTCCCAGAATAAATTACTCAGGTCGTACATCAACAATCTTGAATGGAATTTGGCTTCTCCCAAGGTGGTACAAGTACTTTAAACCCGTACCCCCAGCCTGGGTGATTTTCGTACCAATCTAATGCAGTTTCAAGTTTTATGAACATTCACTAAAGTGATGTGAGAAAGGTCACTCGGGGCTTTTATAATAATACATATTTGATAACGCTGAACATATTCAAATAGTTGAACTATAGGATAGATGACATCTGGACATGCTGGAAAGTGAATCTAAATATTTTTTCTTCCGAGTTGCTGCACGTTCTGTGGAAGGAACAGACTCAGAACTCTAGAACATTGAATCAATGAATACATAATAACGTTGACTGTACAAAAAAAAAGTAACCGGCCTAATATCATCGCAAAAGAACAAATTAACAGAGCCTCTCAAGTGCTTGATTGCCAGAGGGCCGAACAGAGCAGACCTCAAGCATCGGGTGCAATCCTTGGCTGTTGGAGCAAGATGGATACCCACAGTGAATTGATCTCTTGTACCAACGCCCCCACGTCTTTTGACTTGAGCGGTACTCGATGCGCGCCGTCCCACTCCATCACCCTAGCATATCGCGGATCGAAATTCTCGTACAAAAATTTTCGATGTCGGTCTAACGATGGATCCTGTCGGCCATGTACATGAACCGTGGGGATCCGAATGAGCTCCCGTGTGAGGACCAAGTTCGTTTCACCACTTTCGCAATGAATACAAACAGAGTTATCATGCACGCACATACGACCCATCTTCTGCATAATATCTGCTTGCACTGACAAAGGTGACAGGGTCACTAGGGGGCCCCGCGCCGCCAGTAGAATGGCGAAACGGAATCGCGGAAGGGGACCAGAGAGTTGACTATTCATCCCTTGATCAAGGAGCTGTTGTTCCAAAATCAGACTGGCGCACATCTTCGCGCCTTGGCTGAATCCAAGCAGACCCACTACAGGTCCTGTTGCGCCATTACCGTTATCTTTCATAATCGCCTGGAAGATTGACTTTTGCAGCGATTCGGCCATAGTTAGCGGAGCCAAGTTTGTGGAATCAATCCACGCGCGGAAAGGCCCAAAGGTGTGATATACAGCCGTGACATCAGGGCCAGGATGGTATGGAAATGGTGCCTCGGCATAGCACAGTCGAAACCATGGACGGAGGGCTTTTTCAAGGGCGCGACATTGGGCGCGGAAAATGCGGGCATTAGTACCGCCTCCATGAAGGCAGAGGATTCGCGGGAGACGAAGCGTGCTCTCATCTTGAGAGGTATGGTGGAGGCATCGGGTCATGGCAAATTGATAGAAGGTGTGTTACTGGACTGAAACGAGTCTGTGTTGCTTGTTCTGAATATGAATAGGATAATGTCACCGTGCGGGAGCGCCCGTATAATATGTTAAACTATGCTCTGCCCGAGGAATATTCGGTATTCCGCCACTAGGTCATGTCTGAATTTTTTTTCGCCTGAAATTCATTCAGCTCGTCTTTGATGTTTTGATCTCTGTCGACCTCGGAGATACCTACACTAGAATTAAAGTCAAGCCCGAGTGTGGGTCCATAAATCCATTGTCAAAGTTTTTAAGTTTTTGTATTTTTATTTTCAATTTTCTTTAGGCGATTTTTTCCCGGTTTTCGGCTGTAAATGAACCTCGGGGGTACTTACCTGATACTGCATAGTGTGAACACTGAAAACAAAAGCCGAAAGCGGACGGCCGAATGTGGACACTTGGAGGAGCATCAATTGGTGCAGGTAGCTTCGGCTCGGACCGGGTCGGACCCGAAATGCCAGTGGGATACTCTTGATGCGCGACCGTGGCTTCTAGAGCTTATACGTATAAACATACAGTGTAAAGGCCGAGATGGAGATATGAATACACCAATTGAATTTCTGATGACCGCACCCTCCTGCTTTCCTAAATATCGACTCAGCACTATTTGCAATATCCAGAATAGCTCGGGAAGATGGAAACTCTCTACCCCCCTCTCGAGCAGGCTCTGCCCTCGCACCATGACCTCTTCTATGATGGCGCGTGGCAGGCGCCCCTCGCAGAAAGATACCGTGAGACCCTCAATCCGAGCACGGGCCAGCCTATTGTTCAGGTTGCCGAAGCTGGCTTGCCCGATGTCGAGATGGCCGTAGAAGCGGCGCACCAGGCATTTCTTTCGTGGCGCAAAACCACCATTGCCGAGCGCCAGAGCTACCTGCGCCGTGCTGGGGCCATCCTGCGTGAGCACGCAGCCGAGCTGGCCCTGGTCGACGCAATGAACACGGGAAATCCCGTGGCCGCGATGCTCATTGACGCCCAGCGGGCCGCGAATAGTCTTGATTACTTTGCCGGCCTGATACCAATGCTACGGGGAGAGGTCTTGCCGGGCCCTTTCCCCACCGATGACTATTTACATTATACCGTGCGCGAGCCGATCGGTGTCGTAGCGCGCTTCGTTGCCTCGAACCATCCTTTCATGTTCGCTGGCTCGCGCATGGCCTCCGCTATTGCGGCCGGAAACACTGTCATCATCAAACCACCTGAACAGGCACCGCTATCTTGTCTCCGTCTCGCAGAACTCTTGCAGGATGTCTTTCCCCCAGGTGTTCTGAACATTCTGCCTGGTGGACCGGAGTGTGGGCAAGCCCTCACCTCGCACCAACTTGTTAAAAAGGTTACTCTGATTGGCAGCGTCGCCACGGGTAAAGCGATCCAACGAAGTGCGGCGAACTCCATGAAGCAGACTCACATGGAATTGGGCGGGAAGAACGCCTTGATCGCCTTTCCCGATGCAGACATCGACCATCTGGTTCAATCGGTCGTGGCGGGCATGAACTTCACCTGGGCCGGACAGAGCTGCGGATCAACATCGCGGGTCTTCCTTCACGACTCCATCCATGACCAGGTCCTCGCTAAAGTTGTAGAGTGTATCCAACAAGAGTACCGTGCCGGCGACGCGACCGACCCAGCAACCACCATGGGATCACTAGTGAGCCAGGTGGCACAAGACCGGGTGCTCGGCTATATCGCCTCAGCCAAGGCGGAAGGTGCCCGGTTGGTGATAGGTGGTGGCAGGCCACATGAATTAGTCGATACTACGCTTGCGGGCGGGTTCTTTGTGGAGCCGACGGTCTTTGCAGATGTGACGCCAGATATGACGATCGCACGTGAAGAGATCTTTGGTCCGGTCATGTCTGTTCTCCGGTGGCGTGAGGAAGACGAGATGATTCGGATTGTGAACTCTACCAATTATGGTCTGACGGGCTCGATCTTCACTAAGGATCTGGCGACGGCGCAACGTATGATTAATCAAGTGGAAGCCGGTTTTGTTTGGGTGAATGATGTTTGTAAACACTTCCTTAATGTTCCGTTTGGGGGCATTAAGGAATCAGGGATCGGGCGGGATGAGTGCCTGGATGAGCTTCTGGCGTTTGTTACTACTAAGAGCGTCAACATCAAGTTGCGATGAGACTTTTTCGCGTTGGAAGTGACCAATTTTATAGTGTCCGCTTGAAATAAACACTTGTCACATTTGCCCACTGGTGCCCTGTTGCTCCCTTGCCATTTCGGCCGAGATCGGATATTTCTGATCCCTCTTACGAAGATAGCCATAATTGCCAATGCCGACTGTATCCGTGGATGATCGAACAGGCGTCTCCAAGGTGGCTATGACAGCATCTTTGCTTTCAATGGCAGATATAACATCTAGACTTCTCAGCCAAGTTCTGTACGAAGATATTGACGGTCATCTCCAATTTGCTGCGGCGGTGGCTTCTAGTTTCTTGCTTTAGAGACAGAAAATAATAGTCATCATACGCTCACGATTAATTTCAACTTCGGGTCTATACAGTATGACTCTATAAGTATAGTATTAAGTAACAGCCAGCGATTCCGAGCTTCACATGTTCAAGATGATCGATCAATCTTAGCAAATGAAATTTGGGTTCTGAAAATACATCGTACTCCGCGATGTTGGTATTCAAATGTTAATAGAGGTTGCACATGTGAGTGTTCAATGTATATGAGAACATATACTTTGCATGGGTGTCGTATTGTCTCTCAAAAACGTCAAGAGTGGCTTCATGGAAAACTGTGAGCATTGTTCGACATCCGGAAGTGGCCGTGTGTGCGTTTTGAAGGATAGGACTTCAGTTGAGACACAAGAAATATTAAAAAAAGGAATAATTATTAGTTATGGTGTTGCCCGGATCTACGTAGCATTCAAAATGTTCATGATGGCAGAGACGAACTTGAGACATTAAATGGCCAATTGCATGTATATCAAACCCGAAGAGACGATCTCAAGGAGTATTTTAATGGATCAATATTTGTAAAGAAGAGCAATTTAATTCTTAGCTCACTAGAACACTCTGTAGCTTCAATCAACCTTCTATTCTTACGGTCTCAGATACTTATCTCAGATACTTGGCATTGTCACCAAGGGTGTGCGCTAGTCTGGAGTTAATATGTTCACCAACAGATGCCTCCTCTCCGGATCCATCGAGAGGCTTGATCTTTAGTTTCAAGTTGCCGTTTAGAAAAAATGCAACACTATACCGACGCTCCCCAGTAATATAAACGCGGTGCCGCGCACTTCGATAGAAACCACCCGTCCAGCGATGCATAGTATCACCCATATTGATCACGAATGCATTTTCAATCACTGGAACTGGGATCCAGCTCTCTTTCGGCGGATACCAGACCTCCAAGCCCTTGGTTCCAGCCTGTTGTAAGAGGATGGAAACGCAGCCGAAATCGGTGTGGTCACCAACTAGCATAATGTGTTATTACCTTAGCCTCGGAGAGCAGAAACCTGAAAATGCATATGCTGGAGTATCAAGGTCAATGAAGAAACAGCCAATTTGACTCACCTCCAAATTGTCTGGGATCGATGTCGGTCTCCGGAGCGTAGTGCAAAAGTCGCATGGGGATGGACGGATTTATCAAGATGTCATTTAGAACATCCGGTGGGTGACCCTTAGCTTTGTTCAAGCCCTGGCTTAGGATTCTGACGAGTACGCCAACGAGCTCGAGTAACCGAGCCCGATATTCCATCACTGGCTGACGGAATTCCTCATCTGGTAATACTTCAGGCCAGAGGTTCGGACCCGTGGAGAACTTGCCGGCATCCGGATGATCAGCGGGGACTTCGGCGCCAGTAATGAAACACTGTTTTGGTTTTTAAGTCACGACTGAACTTTGTTCATAGTCTGAATAAATTTTGTGGAAGACAAGTGTAAAGTCAGATCTCACCTCTTTGGTGTCCGGAAGCAAGCCTGTCTGGTGTGTTTGGATCCGAGACGGCTCGTAACCCCGGAAAGACTTGCCCAGGGACTTATCAACGGAAATCTTCATCTTCTCCTCGAGGGGAAGATTGAAGAATGCTTTAGCACATTCGAAGATTTGCTGGCGAGCTTCAACCGGAACCCCATGGCCCACGAGATTGAAGAAGCCATACTTGGAGCAAGCGTGACTAACTTCCTCAACGACCCTGTCTCTTGCCTGTTGAGAGGACTCGGGAGACAGCCAGGCGCTGATGTCTACTGTGGGGATTGTTTCGTCTCCAATGTTCATCTTCAAATGTTGCCGGTCTTTCGTTTAGTAGATGTTGCAGTATTGTTCCGCCAGTGCACATACTAGAATATATACCTCATCATTCGTTTGGTTGATTCAACGTTGCATCATAGAATGGACTTACCACGATAACGCTGAGCATCTTCCAACAAATGATGACGACCTCCAGTAAGCCGAGCCTATTATCTCAAACCTTGGAACGTGTCTAGGGTCCATTGCCGGGACCGAATCATCCCCGGGCTAACTAATTTCTACCAAAGCCAACTTGTCCCCGCCGCTCCGAGCCGGTCTTTAGGCCAATCAAGGTCATGGAGCGGGTGTGTATTTTGCGTGCCGAATTCTAGATCAGTCCGGCTTAGCCTTCTCAGAACATCGGACCCGAAACAATCACCCGGGCCCTGTACGATCCGGCGAGAATGATCGGCAAACATCTGACTGATTGAGGAAGTGAGAATTCCGGTCCCAACGTTGACCTTTGTCAAAGACAGTGATGCTCCGGGACCATCTGGAGAAGGAAACCAAAGAGGGAGGAAGGGTGGGTCTACTACAGGGAGGACACACCTACCCGATGGGTAAACGGTCGCAACAGCTTGAGGTGACCAGGGGACGAAAAAGAGAGATGTATCTCAAGTAATCTTCTGTAAAGGTATAGCCTCCTGGCATCTTACTTCCATGGTGAGATGTAGACAAATGTGCATATATTTGAACTATATATGGCAACGGCTAATTTCATAAATAATCGAAGTATCCCTTCTTTGGTTTAAATAGTAACCCTAAGAAATAAATTCTGTCATGACATTCTTATATAACAATATGAAACTGCAACTTTCTGCAGCAAATATATTTTTCAGAACTGCCACTCCTATAGATATCCCAGAGCAATATTGTTCACTTTGCTTATATCCTTCAGTAGATCACACATCTGCTGGACGGCTGGGTATGTAAGTTCATCCAAATCTTGATTGGATTTATAGAACTCAATGCACTTGGCAAGTACCATGGGAGTGAATGGGTGAATCTGAAAATAGGTCAGCGTATTCCCCATTTACCAAATCAATAGAGCATAGAAGGGACCTCGGGACTCTACCTTGAAAGGACTCAGGTGAAAAATTGATATTGAAAGATTCGAAATTTCTTGTGAAGCCATCTGGGCTTCATATTGCAAGGCCAGTGTGGAATTTTGACCATTGTCTGGAGTTTTTCCAAACGATTTCCGAGAGCCATAAAGATGCAAGGCACTCGACTGTGCGATCATCAAGGCGAAAATTTCCATGGGATCGTCCGAAAAAGGTAGGTGGGCGTCTTGATACTTGAACGTCAATGCCTTCAATCGAATTCTGAGAGTATTGCTGAGCGATTCCTTATTTCCACTCAAAGGACTTGGGGCATCGCTGGGACTATCTTCCTCTCTGGGCTCCCAGATGGGAGCGCTAATGCGTCGAATTAAGGTAGCGAAGATAATCGACTCGGCAAACGGCGAAAGCACACAAGGAGTCGTATTCGAAAGAACTGTGCCCAGGAAGGGCATTTCTACATATTGATTGTTATCAAAGTTTTTCTCCGGAGCTGGGAGCCGGACGAAGGCCTAACAGAGTGTCAGATCAATCAACCGGTCAGAAAGGACTCGCAACAAGAGAATTACCGTATAGCCCGAGAGGCTGAGGGGCCATTCACCTCGCAAGCTAATGAAGATATCCAATGAGTATGCAATCCAGAATGCCCGTCGCTTTTCCTCGTGTTCAATCCAATCCTGGTGGTCGCTTTTACCTTGGGGCCGGTCAACCTCGAAGAGGCGCATAAGCTGGACAACGCGGATACAACGGCCGGCGCTGATCCAGCCACGCCGAAAGTTCTCTTTCATGAGGTCATAATAGACAATCAAAATACATGCTTGTGCGTACTCAATCTGTAGTGCAATCGTATCTTGAGCGGTCAACTTATCGAGTAGGGAGCACGTATGCTGGTAAAATGCCTCGCGGAGATGTTGAAGCTGCGTGGACTGGGAGACGACCAATGTCCACATAGTATACTGGAGGCATATCTGTTCATCTGTCTTGGCTGGCGATCTTGTCCATGAGAAGTAACGTTGACGATTTAAAATAGGAACCAGGCGGTGGATCCTATCCAAATAGAGTTGGTCCCTGCAGCATTGATCAGCATTCTGAAGCTTGGTTTTAGACTGCGGTGTCTTTTGGCTTTGACAGTCACATACAGGTCTGCATGCATCAAGTCGGTGATTATGTCTTCCAAAGAAGGGCTTAGTAGGCCAAGTGAATCCATTCCTGCATGGGCCTGAGCGGTCTCGGCATTCTCATTGGGAATCATTGGTGGCAGAGAATCAAGCGGTGGAGGCATAGAAAAGATCTCGGATGTGACATTATCGAGGAGATCAGATCCTATATTACTGAATGGATCTATATGTGGATCCATATGGAGGCAATCTGCATTGAATTTGGATTGCACATCGCAAATTTCGCCGTCGGTGATTTCTGTTTGATGTGTTCATGCTGATTAGCATTTTGAACTCTAATAGTGGCTTTAAACTGATCGGAGCTCTATGCTGGTCATACCTCTTCGACTTTCAGAGACTTTGGTATGTTCTTTCCTTGGACCTCGCTTCCTCGAGTGCGCGGTTGAACGAATACACTCCACTCCCGAGATGAAGCAATTTCTACAACGCGGTTGGTGAGCATCGCATTTCATCTTCTTATTTCGGCAGTGAACGCATGCCGATCCAGGAGGCTGACGAGTCAATTGCCCTCCGACAAAAGTGGAGCTCATTTTGTTTTCATGGGCTGCGAACATGGGGAATATAGAATAGTAAGTGTAGGATTAAAAAGCTTAAGTGCCAAGTGCCAAGTGCCAAGTGCCAAGTGCCGTGCCGATGTGACTGTTTATAAGGAGAGCTCAATGGGCATTGCATAACAGAGTAAACGTTTTGTCATGGTGATTTGTGATTTACGTACCTTTCACGGCGAATAATCCATACGAATTTACTAAAACGCGCAAGCATGAAAACATGATGCCCACATGGCTCTGGGTCCAAATCGCCACAAACTCGCTAATAAAAAGCGATAAGCCATGAGGGGAAATATATTCATAACCTTGCGGCACTGGCCATCCTTCGGCCCCCGCCCTATAAGCTGAGTTTTAAAAGGTTGGATTGGTCGAAAGAATACGAAGAAGCACTGCTGACTTTGGTATATCCACCTCATCCAGTTCGTTCATTGGTAGAATGCTTTCTCAACAGAGCCTCAACAGAAACTCCGACTCCGACTATTGATCTACAGCCATATGCAGGCCCAAAGTGCCGGATGTAACAGTGTCAGGGGTCGCAAAAATCCTCCAAAGCTTGATAGCAAACAGTTTCGCCAGTCTTTCTGCTCCAATGATTTGACCGTTCCAAGTCCCCTCTTCAGGATTCCATTCCCTGCTGAATAACTTCGGTCTCCAAAAACTTTCGAACTCGCGAGGTTCCTTCACTTTTACTTGCTAAACATGATCCTGTTATGGCCCAAGAAAACAGTTTGCACCTGTTTGTCGCACTGATTGGACCAGATTCCACCTTAGGTGCTTGGCCCGTAAGACTCCAAAACTATTTTACAAGAGAGTTATCAGAGGAACTCTACCACGGTGACTTGAAACATCTGAATAAATTGCGTCATGCGACATGAATCCTTCGTCAGCTTCACTAACTCCGACCCGGCTGGAAGTTCTCGATTTGCTCGATCATTCAATGGTTCTCCAACCTACCCCGCTCTCTAGGCTTGACATGTATATTGGATACGCGGCATTTATTAGGAACCTAGGTATTCAAAAGCCGAAAGTAGACAAATTCGGCTATTGCGGATCCGCCACGGCAATGTATGCGTGATGGCTCCGGACCCCGGGGAGGTCAGCCAAGTTAGTGAGCCGAACAACCACCCGATTGGACTCAATCCTGGCTCGGGTAGTAGCTAGGTTGTAGGTACACGCCTGGTAATGTTAGAAAAACCTTCGCACCTCACAGGAAGTTAACCAAAATCTTATTTATAGCTAGTCAGAGTGATAGCCGGTCCTTCTATCGCACACTAGCGTAGCGACAACCAGTCCAGTCCTTTTGAAGCTGACAGCCTGACATCAGTCTCACAGTATGCCTCTGCAAGTAATTGTCGTTGGAGCGGGCATCGCCGGGCTTTGTGCGGCTACTGCAATGAAACAAGCTGGACACCGTGTGGAGGTAAGAAATAATTCGAGACTAAAGCTGAACTGGTCTTGTGCTACCCAATCCGTTTTGCGCGCGCCCTTTTCTCCATTTCAAACCTTAAATTGACAAGGTTATTGAATAGATATTTGAGAAATCACGGTTCCTAAGTGAAGTCGGGGCCGCCGTCATTCTCTCGCCGAACTCCAGCAGCGTCTTGGCACACCTTGGGTTTTCGTTTGAGCGTGCCCATGTGCGTCAGCTCAACACATGGGAGACGGTCGATGGGATCACTCTCGAGACTATGGGCAGCATTGACCAGAGCCGCTGTGAGGAGAAATTTGGTATGCCTTTGATGGGCGTTCACAGGGTAGATCTACATAATGAGCTCATGCGACTTGCTGAAAGCAGGCAAGAGGATTTCAGCCCCGCCATCTGCACGATACGCTGCGGGGCGCAAGTCGTTCGGATCTCTCCGGATGACGGTTTCATCGAGCTGCAAGATGGCCAACGCCATTATGCTGATTTGATAGTGGCTGCGGATGGGCTCCACTCCATTGCGCGTGCCCCTGTCGTGGGAGAGGATGGATTGAAATCCACATTAACGGGATTTAACGCCTTTCGCTTCTTGATTCCAAGCTCGATGATCAGGGGAAACCCAGAGTTTGATGAGATACTCGCGTGGAAGTCTGACGGTCTTACCGTTTTGGCTGATACTTGTGACAAGGTAAATGAGCGCCATATGGCTTGGTATGAATGTCAAGAGTGAGTCTGCCCCGCCTGCTTGTGGATCTGGATCGTGTTTAGTTAACAACCTAACCTGGTAGTGGCGCGGTCCAAAATCTTGTGGGTATTCACCCGTCGACAGCTACCCTCAAGTCAGAGGATAATGAAGGTGCCTTGCTCTTTCTTGTCATCAAGTGCCTATCATAAACTCATGTCGTCCAACAGCCAATAGAAAGGTCATGCTGGAAGAGTTCGGCCATTTCCATCCCAATATTACGAAACTGATGAAGTAAACGCCACTTCCTGTTGACCTATAGATCGACAAAGTGTTCTAATTAGTCCTTTTCCGCATTTATAGAATCGCCCCAGAGATCCGATCTTGGCCACTTATGCAAAATGACCCTCTTCATCGATGGAGCAAAGGCAAGGTCCTCATAATTGGCGATGCGGCGCATGCTGTAAGTCTGAAATGATGAGTCACAAACTCGGGAATCTTTCTGAATATAATGTTAATCTCTTGTAGATGCTGCCCTTTGGGGGCCAAGGCGCCAATCAAGCTATCGAAGATGGGGGCGCCTTGGGGCGTTTGTTTCAAGAACTAGAAGACCCAGCTGAGATCCCTCATCGGCTCGCTCTGTTTGATATGGTTCGCCGTAAGCGAGCATCTCGAATCCAAATTCTATCCACTGTTCGCATTGGCAAGGAGAAGCAGGTTGAGAAAGAGCTCGAAAAGTACGCTGAACCTGGAGTGTTGCTGCCGACAAACTTCGAGGAACGAACCTATCATGATTTCAGGTTCGCTGCGCCTAGTTCTATGCATTTTGTTGTCGGCTAACACGGTGACCCTTAGCTTTAAGGTGCTGAAGCGATGTGAGGAAGTCCTAGCGGCGCCACAACTCCCGAATCTGGGTAGTATCCGTCAGGAGAACTTGCTCGGTTCCCACTCAACAAGAATTCCTCTTGCCTTGTAAGCGATTGCGAGGGACATCAATTACTTAGATCTTCCGTTACATAGTCAGGAATCTCTATATAGAAAATCTAGGTTCATAATAACCAAACTTTGAAGCCGGCACACCGTTACGTATAGTGGAAAGTAGGTAGTCAACTACGAACCCACGGGAACATTTGAAGAGAATCTATCAATCGTGGAGTATCTTTTGGTCCAGATGTCCAAAGAGTCTATCAGCACAGTGGTGCCCAATTGGGAAGGTGGAGGTCTGTCTCACTATCGAATATAATTTGAATTCAAAATATTGTAAATATAACATTTGAAGATGTTATCTTTTAAACGTTCCAAGATTAGGCTTGTAGATGTAACATCTTGAACTCAATCTTAACATTTGAACATACATGTGGTGTTAACATTGCACATGTGAACCTTGGAAGATATCAATGTTGTTAATCGTTAACACATGTTCTAGTCTATGAATAGCTCCGACAGCTCGGGTTTAGATCCCTTTAGGAGGCAATTTCCGAAGTATGCGTCGGTGATTGACAATAAATCCGAATCTTGGAGCATCTCGGTCCTTATTTCCAAAGTAGTATGTGTATTTGATTGGGCTCCACTGGAATCAAAGAAGCACCACCCGGGGTGGAGTCGGTCGACGGTCCCGCGTTCGCTCTATGCACATTTGATATTCCTTAACTCCGAATATTGGACCCGGACTTTTCAAGCTACCGCGCACCTCATTTTTCAGAAATACGGAATAGGATAACCAGCCTATTGGCCATCCTATACCCGATGAAAATCGGTTTTCATTTCCTTGGACGAGAATACCCGAAGCGAAAGGTCTACGGATCCTGCATCGGCTCAGAGTTCTTGGATTGTCAGCCTTGACAGAACGTCATCCATTGCTGTCTTACAAACGTAGTTTGCAGAAAAGTAAGCACTATTTAATTGCGCGCAGTCTAGGCAACGGCTCATTACTTGTTTGTTGCGTCAACGTTGACTTATCAAATGGCTGTTCCAGAGAAAAAGATCGTCTTAATCACGGGGGCCAGTAGTGGCCTCGGCTGGGAAACAGTCAAAACTATAATCCAGACCATCCAGCCCTACCACATTTACGTTGGCTGCCTGATCCTCGCTGAAGGGGAAAATGCGGTCGTATCCCTGCAACGCGAGGTGCCCGAGACTCCAAGCACTCTAGAGCCGATCCGGGTTGACCTCACAAGCGATGAGTCGATTGACCAATGTTTCCAAGCTGTGGAGTCCAAAAGTGGGCGGGTGGATGTGTTGATTAACAATGCAGGTAATACTGTCCCACACTCGGAGACCCTGCAAGGCGAATGTGATCAAGTGTTATTGCTAAAATATTCTCATTCCAGGCATTTCTCTCCAGGCAAGTGACGTCGGCATGCGCGAGGCATGGAACCGATGTTACGACGTCAATGTCACCGGAACCCAGATTATGACTCACACGTTCGTTCCGCTGCTCCTTCGCTCCCAGGATCCGCGTTTAATATTCATCACGAGCGGGCTGTCAAGTCTGGGACCGATGGGTGACGTTTACACGCCGACCCGTATGCCTGTTCCCGCCGGCTGGCCAAAGCCCGAGGTACATCCATACCGGGCTTACCGAGCAAGCAAGACCGCAATGAATATGGTCATGCTGGAGTGGCACTGGCAGCTGCAGGCGGATGGGGTCAAGACTTGGGGCGTATCGCCGGGCTTTTTGGACACCGATTTGGCAGCCAGTTTTGCAGGAATGGCCGGGGCGCCTCCTCTGCTACCTCCATCCGTGGGAGCAAAGCTGGTGGCCTTGGTGGTGGAAGGAAGTCGTGATGCAGATGTGGGCAGGATTGTGCTGAAGGATTGCGGCGTGCAAGCGTTTTGAATTCCACAAGTGGCCGGCGAGAGTTGGGCAACAAATGACAATCCGCTTAACCATTTACGGTGTAGTGCTGGGCCCACACTTCCTCTCATTGTTATTATTATTATCAATCAAGTTTATTGTCCATATCGAGCCCTAAAGCTATGACAGACCGCGAGTCTGAGGCAGGGTCTGCTGCCGCTTGGTTAAACTGCTTTCAGACCTCTGCTCCTATGGGTTCCTGGGCGTGAGCCCCGCGTAAATACAGTCAGATCTAGACTTCATCAGAGCCCAAAGCCCAGGGGCCCTCGGCCACAGATTGGGCCCAATTGGTCCCCCAAACTAAGCTAAACAGTGCAAACAATAGTGGCTTTACAACAATCCAATATCAGTGTTTTTTGGGCCATGCCACTTCTTTTCTCTTCCGGAAATTCAGAGACTAATTGGTATTACGTACACTCGAAGAGACTAGCAACCAACGCACTTCGTACTTCCTTCCCTTCTGATTGTTCCTATTTGTCTCTCCTAGTCCATCATAATGCACTCCAAATGCGAACATTTGAAGATCGATTTGTTTCGAAATCTCTGAAATGTAAATACATTTGTAGCTTGGGGCGGTGTATACTGTCTCACTCCTTAGGAATTTCATCATAACAGTACCCAGACTGCATGTGTTCACAAATCGCAGAATTTATTAGAACCGAGAAAAAGCATCATAGTGGAGTCATTCAATTGCTTGGTAATATTATCATTCACATACCGAATTCTATACTGGCTCAAAAATTACATTCCATACAATCAATTTCATCTATCTAGTTCCTCTGTGTTAGGATTCCCATCTTCATACCCTTACGTACCTAGCACTAGTACTTCTGAGAAACTCCATGGACGCTACGTAACGTTATTCACTTTCAGATGTCTATCAGGCCGTCACAAAGAGCCCTTGAGGAAGATATATCGAATTATAACAATCTACTTCAAGGCAGCCATCACTCCAGAGGTATCAGACCACACTGAACTCAGTGCAAGGCGTGGCGTTCCCTCATTTACACTAGCTTCATCCACTAGCATGCGACAGGTAAACTCATTCGTCACGGCCCTCCCGTTCCTCAACCCTAGCTCAACCTCCCCGATAAGCATCAGATCATATCCTTGCTCATCAGCGACGAAAACCCGTTTGACACGGTGGCGACGAGAGGTAAACAACTTCCAGGCATTAAGCTTAGATTTTTGGATTTCTAGGCAAATCAGAACTACCCGAGATCAATTCACCAATTGCAACAATGAAAGTACCTACCAGCCTCTCCCACGTAGATATCGGACAAGCCAAATGGTCCCTTCATGAGACCCGTTGGGATGAAAATATCCGTGGCGTACTGTTTTCCGGTTTCTGGGTCTGGTGTATCGGCCAGGACATAAAAGTAGCGAATCAAGTCTTGTATTTCAGGTTTTATGGCCGCGGCTGATGGCCAGATGGTAACTTCGGTGATATAGGACATGGTACGAGTGCTTTAATTGGATAGAGTAGATAAGTGAGTAGAGTATCCGATTTTCATAGCAATGGCTAAAAGGGCTGGATTTTATCTTCGAATTAAACTACCTCATAAGTGTAAACCCGAGCCGGGGCTACGAAAACTCGGAGCCGCGGTCCCGAGTGAGACTTTATTAAAGAACGGATCGGGTCGAACAGATTACCTGCGGTCAATGAGAAGGTTCCCAGCTAGACCAAAATACGAATCCATACCCCGTCTAGTAGGTTGTGGTTTATAATTCAGCTATAAAAGCGATATGCAGGCTACCGCAACTATATATATACTTGTACATACATATGTCTTGTACCCCTTCCTAAACGAACTTAGAGCCTCGTCAGGGCCTCCCGTGGCCTATCGCCATTACTGATGTCTTGCCCTCATGGCGCTCAGCTTCGAAATCTTTGGGACGCTACCCCCAAATCCAAGACAGCCTCCACCGTCCTGGTACGCGAAAATTTATCGGGTTTACCTCTTCCCCTTTCTCTAGATCCTCCCAGTAGGGTGGAAATGCTAATAAACGCGTCGCCGACCTTCCCCCGGAGCTCTCGGCGCAGGTCTCTGAGTGCAAGACAATCTAACAGAACGTGTATCACACTTTCCCGCTCGCCGCGGACACATAGATCGTCGTCACGGGAGCGGAAGGCCCTTGCATATATAGATAATCAGCAGTGTTCCGTTCGCAATTGTGTCAGTAACGGCGCTAGATTTCGTTGTAGAGCTCCGTAGAGCCGCTTCGTGTATTTGGACGGTAAAGCGTTGTCGATCTTACGAAGGTGGCCGCCATCCCTTAACTCTATCCATTCTCTCTCCCATGGAGACTGGATCTCCTTTCTGATGTGGGCCCTCTCGCGTGACAGCAAAGGGGAAAATGGGTGCGTTTTGCCAGGCAAGGCCGCCTATTTAGCCAGTTGGTCTGCGATGTCGTTCCCAGGTACTTCGCAATGTCCAGGCATCCATTGTAGCCGGACTGCGATGCCGTGGGTCTTGGCGTTTCTGGCTGCCTGTAGAGTAGCGTGGATGATCCGTTGCGCGGATTTGTTCCTTGGATTCTGGATTGCTTGTAATGCCGACATGCTATCGCTGAGGATGGTGGTGGATCTCAGCCGCACACCGGTTGATCTCCGACTTTGGAGGGCGATCTTGTTGATGATGTTGATAGCGTACAGAATCCCGATCAGTTCGGCGGCATGTACAGACCATCGGCCCATAGGTCCGACCTGCACCTGTAATTTCTCGGTTGTTTCAGCAAGTCGTCGAGCACCGCGGCGGCAGCGCCCAAGTGACCTTCGCGTCCTGATGCGTCGGAGTATACGACAATGTCCGAGTTGGACCGTACCGCCTCCGCCCTTTCCATTGCAATCTCCCTATCTGGTTCAATCTCTATCTCTGAGAAGGCCTCGGTCCGCCACGGCGGCAATGGAGTTGGGTCGATCACTTCCAGATCGTGGAGCCTTTCCAGGTTCAGTGTCTTCAGGGCCTCCGCAAGCGGGAACCGGGCACGCGACCGAACGTTATTCCGTCGTCTTTGGGCCCGAAGTGCCCATATAGGGTGCTTCCGCGGCAAGGTATGGAGTCTGGTGATGGTGTTTTGTGCGCGGTGGCGGAGACGAAGATGGGTTGGGAGTACATGCGCTTCAACGTCGAGCGGCGATGTCGGCACTGCCCAGAAGGCAGAGAGGACGGATGAGTGCTGTTCGCTGAACGGTGCGTAGCTGTCGTAAATGAGTCTTGTCTCGAAGTGGATCGTGCCAGACCGTTGACGCGTATTCAACGACCGGCGCGACACTAGTCTTGTATAGCTGTCGCATCTGCTCGGGTTCGAACTTGTCGCAGCCCTCCCAGCGCGATGTTGACCTTGGTGGCTCACGTGACGACCTGCTGCACATGATTCTTCCATCGCAGTTCGTGGTCGAAGACCGCGCCTAAGAGTTTGGTGGTTGTTGATGATGGTATTGCCGTTCGTGCCGATCTGGCCTTGGCATTGTTCTTTCCTCTTTCTGGTGATGTGAATGAGCTCGGTCTTTTCTGCCGTGAAGCAGGACCCTGTCTTCCGTGCCCACGCTTCGATCCGCGGTATGTCCTCGGATTGGATTTTGGCTAGATGCTCGGAGGAACAGCCGACCCACCAGCGGAAATAATTGTCGATGAAAGCTGATGCACCGCCGTGGAAATCGACAGGTTAGTCGACCAGATCACGTTGAAAAATGCAACGAGGATAGGCAACAAAGGTGAGCCTTGAGCAAGTCCGGCGTTGTCGAGCTGTACCACAGTGCGGTAGTCGTCGAACCCGATGTTGGCCTGCCGTCCGCTCATGAAACTTGCAATCCATCTCCGGGCCACCGCGGGGATGCCCTTAAATTGGAGGCGGGTGTCTAGGCTTGTCTTGTTGACTCCATTGAAAGCTCCCTTCAGGTCAAAGGCCACCAGTGTGACGACTCTCTGTCCAAGCCACGCTCGATCGATTGTGTTCGCTGCTAACATTAACAGGGCTTGTTCGGTAGTGCGTCCGGGGCGTCCCCCGAACTGGGTGTCCTGTAGGAGTTCGTATGTTCCGCGAAGTAGGACAGCCGCCGGGCCATCACTGCCTCTAGCAGCTTGCCGAGAGCGTTGAATGGTGAGATAGGGCGGTAGGCTCCCAGAAGCGAGTAGTCCGGCTGCCCGATTTCCGTAGTACTACGATCCGGGCAGTCCTCCACGTTTAGGGTGGTAGCCTAGGTCGATTGATGAGGCAAATATCCGGGTGATGATGTCCCCAAGACGTTTCCAGAGGTGTTTCCATATTAGCGTTGGGAGGCCGTCCTCGCTTGGCGCCGTTGAGCTCTTGGCAGCTTTGAGGGAGCGATAGATTTCAAGCTTGGAGATTGGTTGCCACGGGATCTCGGTTGGGACGTAGGCTAAAGGTTCCTCCCGAGGAGGTGCCATCGTTGGGAAGAGAGAGTCCATGAAGGCTTGAGCCTTCCCATTGTCGATCACTTCTCTGTCACCTACCCTAGGGGTAGGGATACTGCCCCAGGAGTCTCGCGGTTTCCAGTGTGATACCTTGGCTTTCTCGATTGTTCGTGTCCATGCCCTTCACCTCTCGCTCATTTCATCAAAAAGCCTCATGGTACGAGGGTCTCCCGTCCAAACTCAGCGCAGCTCTCCTGCCATTTGCGCCGCGAACGGTTGACCTCTTTTTATTGCGATTTAAGATCAATGGTAAACATCGCTTCGAGTAGGGGGAATGTCGCAGGTCGGGAGTGTGGTGGTCGACCGCTGTTGCTGTCGCTTTGGTGAGTTTGTCCACGACCAAATCTAGTGCTTCAATCGTGTCCGTTTCCTTCCATGGCCCCATGACACTCTTTACTTCCATTCAGATCTTCTCCCAATCAGCTCGGTCGTAGGCTTTCCTTGTTTAGGCGGTAGGGTTGCGTCGCATTCGCAGGGGCCATTTCGAGTAAGTGGCACTGTGATCTGAGCCATAGTTGTCGTGGTAGAGTTGGCACTTGATGAGGAGGTGGTTGGTCGGTCACAGTTTGGTCGATAGTAGAATTTCTCCCTGGCCAGTTCAGCGACCAAAAGGTCGCCGTGCCCCGAGGACGACAGCCCTGGGGACGGTAGGTATTAAGTCGATTAATTCGCCGGCGTCCTCGATAAATCGAGGCTGGATGTGGTTGCCTCCCCACGCCGGGTGCCCGACGCAGAAATTTCGCATATAGGGTGGTTGGTTAAGCCCCGGAAACTCCGAGCCCGTCCTCGGTCCGTGGAACCGCCAAGTGGACTTCAAGATGACCCGATACCTTGCAGATTATGGGAGGGCACAGTGAGACATGGGGGTCTACACTAAAAAAGGATGCTAACCACCACTGGTATTTCGTCCCAACTCTCCATACTAACCACGGACACTAACTACGGATAGTACCGCAGAGTTTCAGTCTTCGAGATCCCTACACAGCCTTCGGATTTAATGGTAAGGCGCCTAGCCCTAACACCGGAACAACGACGATTATGAGCCATGGGGGCGCAAAAGAGTAGTGCATTAATTGCCACTCTGATTCGACGATTATGGTCATCACTTGGGTCATATCCCAGTATCAAAGCAGGGGTTTAATAACGTGCCGACATGAACAAGCAAAGAAACTCTCCCAAAATCGGTTATTAGGGACGTATCGGATTTAAGGAAAGGTGAAGACCTCATCTGCAGGTATGTCACAAGCAACTTCTAAAATATAACCCCACCGTGGTTGTACACCTCTTATTTTCATCTTCGACATTTCACTTTCTATCATTCTTCCCTTCTATATGCTTTGCCTGCTCAGGTTAAACCGTCTTTCAGCAGAAAAATACCCACAACAGCAATCACAACGCCAACTCGTCAAACATCCACCATGACCGGACAACACGAAGCTGCCATTCTCCCCCAGCAGGGCGGTCCCTTGTCTCTTGGCAAGCGTCCCACCCCCGAGCCCGGTCCAAACGATGTTCTCATCGAAGTCAAGGCTGTTGCCTTGAACCCCTGCGATTATTTCCAGCGTGACTATGGCATGCCTCCTGTGCCTATCTACCCCGCTATCATCGGATCCGATACTGCTGGTGTTGTCACCAAGCTGGGCTCTAATGTCACCACGGTCCCTGGCCCAGGAAGCCGAGTTATTGCCTTTGCCTCATCATTCTACCAGAACGGCTCCCCAGACCACGGTTCCTTCCAAAAGTACACTTTGGCACAATCCGAAGCTGTCATCCCACTTCCAGACAATCTATCCTTTGAGGAAGGCGCGGTCTTCCCTTTGGCCGTCTTGACTGCCTTGACTGCCTGGACCACAATCGGCATTCGGCTCGACACCAAGTACACTCCCGCAGACAAACAAGCGGTCCTGATCTGGGGCGCATCGAGCAGTGTAGGCACGTTTGCCGTACAATCGGCCAAGACACTCGGCTTTACTGCCTACGCCACCGCCAGTCCCAAGCACCATGACCTCGTCAAGAAGCTCGGAGCCCATGCGGTTTTCGATTACAGGGCAAGCGATGTCGTCTCCCAGATTGTTAGCGCCGTGAAAAAGGATGGTGTCAAGCTGCACACTGCACACTGCGTTGTTGATGGAGCTCTGCAGCCAACATTAGACGTCCTTAAGGAGACCAAGGGCAATGCACATGCCAAGGTTGCACACTCACCCCTACTCCCAGAAGGTCACCCTATCCTTGACAACACGCAGATCACTTTCAATTTCCCATCTATGGACGAGACCGCGAGGAGCAAGCACATTGACGAGGTCTTCAATGGGTGGCTGAAGACCGGTCTGCAGTCCGGTGAAGTAATCCCCAGCCCCACTATCCAGATTGAGGGTGGCGGTCTGGGCGGAGTGCACGCAGCACTGGACAAGCTCAAGGGTGGTGTCAGTGGCACTAAGATTGTTGTGCCAGTCTAATGTTGCCTTTTGTGGATGTGCCTTGTGCTAACACGAGTACCTATGGATGAAGAATGCCAATGGACAAGCTCGGTTGTCACTCGCTTTCGATGATTAGCTAGAGCACGATGTAAAATTGAATAAGATTCTTCAAAAATCACAAAGATAGTTAACGTATTTCATAAGCGAGCGTTCCACACAAATCGAGCGTTCCACCCCTCCCGATTTCAACGCATCAATTATTTGAAGCAATTCAACCACCCAAAAATCTGCATTTCTATATAAAAATCAATTACTACATTAATTAGGACATTTAGTAATTTTATGCCCCTGAATACCACAGCCAGAACACTTCGGCGGCGCCCGTACGCGTCGCTCAACTGTAGATGGCCCCGCATCTACTTGTATAGTATCTTGAGCTTCTTGAGGCTTATCTTGAAGCTGCATATGTGCCTGAGCCTCTTCTGTAGAAAGACCCTCTGGAGCAGCTATTTGTCGCTTAGTTAATTTCTTTTTTCGACGCCTTTTCTTATTTCCCGCCTGTAAATCCCTACTCTTTTTAAGTGCCAGAGCTGTCTCATTTATAGCTATTGCATATCCTTTGGCAATCTTGTCCAACCGTACTTGAGTAGTAGATAAAGAGCTTTGATCTGGCCCTTCCAGCATCTCTTTAATTGCAGCTATCTGTTTGTTAAATCGTGTGGTGTTGTAAGGTGTTTTGGATGGTGAATTGGTTGATCGACTTCCTGGAGGTGTTGGAGTTTTTAGCTGTATATTAAGCTGTTTAAGCACACGCTCAGCATTAAGAGGGACTAGACCAGCTGCTGCAAAGCTATTTTTAATAGTATCTGGCTTGTATATCTCTGCACGCGCTTGCTGAAAGGCTTCTAAAAAGTCAAGCTTATCAATATGATTAAAGCCGAGCCGTGCCTGGTCCTCCACCAAACGCCCGTACGCGCGCTTCAGTGGTGCAAAACAGCCAATATCAAGAGGTTGTAAGATATGTGATGAGTGTGCAGGCATACAGATAGGAATAATATTATTCTCACTGCATATCTGGTCAAACTGAGGTGTAAGATGGCTACCATGGCCATCAAGAACAAGCAGGCGATAAGTTCCAACCGTACGACTAGTTGTTGCAGGAATAAAATGCTTTTTAAGCCAGCGTAGTCCAATCTTATCTGTTGTCCATTTATTTTCACTAACTTCAATTCTCCATGCAGCTGGTAAGTCTTTATACCAACTCTCCATATGGACTTTTCCCTTGAAGACAATACAAGGTGGAAGTGCCCAACCAGTAGAGTTAATACACTCAATAGAGGTAACCCATTCTCGATTACCTGGCTGTATAAGAAATGGCTTCCCAACCATATCTGCTCTAGTAACTACTTTAGCAGTAGCTATTAGGCCCATTGCAAAGCCAGTTTCATCAAAATTGTAGATATCTTCTTGCGCAATTCCATGTTGCATTATAGTGATTTGCACACGATTAAACCACTCCCTAAGAAGCTTAGGGTCCTCGCATTTGGCACGCTTATAATTGTATTGACGAGAATACTTTGTCTTAAGCTCATTACGCCGCTTAACAAAGTTGTAGACCCAGTTTGCACCAACCGTCTTAATAGGTGTAGTATCACGGTTGGAAAGAAGAATATTGGCCATTTCTTGTATATGAGATGGTCGGGGAGGAGCTCCGCGTTGTTCTAGTAATAAGATCCATCGTACAAGCGATTCTTCTTCATTTTGAGTCAATTTATGACTATTAGCGCGAATATCTCTGCGACTTAGAGTGCCTTTGAGCCGACGGCGTAAAATTGTGTGGGAGACATTATAAACACGTGCTGCTTCGCGTAATAAGCAAATTTCTTAATTTTTAAAAGCTGATATTGCATGTTGGTACCCTTTTATCCTTCTCATACTAAAGCTATTTGAATTCTTATGTCTATTTTTTGGTGGCAGTGGGTGGGTGGTTAAATTGCTTCAAATGATTGATGCGTTGAAATTGGGAGGGTGGAACGCTCGATTTGTGTGGAACGCTCGCTTATGAAATACGTTAACGTAATCGGTAAGCGAGCGCCGCATGAAAGCGAGCGCTGCACCTCTCTATTCCATATAAAATGACACTTTTTGAGAGTCTAATATCTCAACAATAAAGCACCTAGAGGGCATAAAATTTAATATACAGTATAATATAATAACGTATATATATATATTAAGCAGAGAAATTTTAGGAATGAATATTTCTCCAGATAAGATAAATTACTACTCGTATTTTTTATATTTGTAGTTGTCCTAGTATTTAAAGCCAAGAAAGCTATTTAAAAACATGAAAATACCTTTTAGAATCCATATATATGTTATTGTCTTATAAAGATGTTCTATATCTACTGGTGGTTGAGATATTAAGGTTTCAAAGAGTGCCATTTTATATGGCGTACAGAAGTGCGGCGCTCGCTTTCATGCGGCGCTCGCTTACCGATTACGTTATCCCGTTCTAAGGTGTATTATGTAATTCCTGGCCCATTGAGCTGATGACCTCGGATATTTTCGTAGTTTACATAGCCGGCCATTTGAGATCTCCGTCAATATTTTGTTCGTGTGTACTGCTGGGAAATGTAGGTACTACTCAACTATAGCACTTGAGAATGAACAAAAAGCGGAATCGCAGACCGTGCTCCCCACATATTCTACCAACACTGACTGCTTTGGAAACCATCCATGAAAGACGTGCTACATATTTGTAATCTATAGTATCACAAACAATATTAACAACTCTAGAACACCATTTGAGCAAGGGCCAAAATATGTATTCACATAAACATATATGTATGGTGGCTGTCTGCTCCCACACTGTAGGACGCCCTTTTAGTGTGCAAATTAGGTGGATCCTGAGGTGATTTCCCGCGGCGGAAGATTAGAAGCAACGGTGGTACGAGGGATGGGGAACATTTTGAAAGGAAGAAGGTCTGTGTGGTAGGGGATGTAGCATTGGGGATCGTCTGTTGTCCACCAGAGTTTCGGGAGAGAGCATCTTCTACGGCAAGTTATTAGGACAGAAGTTTAAAAACTAATTTTTCTATCCGGTGACTCAGTTTTTGCCAGCAGAATACAGAATGATATGCTTTAATTCATATTTAAACAGATTTTAATATTCCACTAGGAGAATATATTACTATATGATGTGACTCAGGGGAAGAAGGCAGTAAGCTCATCGAACAGCTTCACACAACCAGTCGCCTAATATGGGGAACGATATAATATCATTGATATCCTAGACCACTATAACTACCATACTTCCTTGGATGGTTGACTCTCGCACCTAGAATACATGCAGAGGATTGAAGTACTCGGGGTGTGAACCCCGCACGTTAGGCAACCACATAAAATGCAGATCACTACTTTATCACTACAAATTATCTACAAAGTACTCAGGCTTGCTTAGCTTAACCTAGAAAGGCTAATAGTCCTCAGCACCACAGAGGGGTGCAAGCCATTGCCGGGTAAAAACACAAAAGCACACAAACTCCAAACGCCATACATCAAACGCCACCCAACGCTGTACGCCAAAAGGGAAGAACACACTTAAACAACAAAATAGCATTCTCTGGAGAAGCACCTGGCGCCGGTAGCGTACGATCACTAGGAGTGTCTGTAGGGCTACAGCACTATCCGGGCTGCCTTTGGTTTATTATCTCTTGGATTATCCTCTCCTCCTGACCGTTCAAAGCAGCGACTAGTATGGTCACGCCATTTATAATTGACACGAGCTCCACCAAAGTGGACTGGAACCCGGCGACACTCTGGGAATAGATAATAGCCTGGCTGTGCCAGCCTACAGGCCAAACACGGCAGACCTACCGTATGACCTTGCGATTGGATCAGGAGGGCATTTATATATAAAGGATAATAGGATAGGATCTGATGCCCAGTGATACACCTCTATATGAACCGGACATCTTGACCTAGATAATGGTGATGATGATGATGATTCATACCCCGACCCCTCGCATAAGGCGATGTGCAAGATACCCCTATCGCTGCTCTATATGTGCATCTATTTACAGCAAATTATTACTTCCCGATGAACTTGGAGCCTCGTCAAGGCCTGTGTTGGCCGATACCTGGTGTTCTGTTCTGCGGCCCTTGTGGCGCGTGACTTCGAACTCTCTGAGATATCTCTGCAAAGTCCAGTGCCGCATTTAAAATACTACTCCCCTGCGCGGCATCTTTTACCTACTCTTCTTACCTTGCCCCGCTCCTCCCAGCATATCTGAATTATTATTAAATACTATTTTAATCTTTCCTCCTTGTTCTTGTCGCAGCCCGCCCAGCCGCGGGCAATTAATTAGTATATAAACTACAGTTTCCGGTGCACCATATTTATACTGCTATTGTCTCAGAAGTCATGTCGCATACCATGCGTCGCAAGCCATAAGTGGCCTGTTCGGAGTTGCGTAAGCAAATAGGGTCGATTCGAGGGAGCGAGCCATAGAACCCCTGAATTGAAGAGAACTATGCCTCGCGAATATGATGATCCTATACACCTTGGTAAAATGGATGGGTTATATCTAAGGTGGCGATCTAACGAAACATCAAACGTAGGGAAGGAAGGAAGGAAGAAAGAATTCTATCGTACAGGAAATGTGGGAAGCCTCTACATTGTGGGATCAACAGTGAATAAAGCAGACTTGGCGCCTCAGGCAGGGTTCGACCTAGGCCCTGACAGCGAACAGGTTATGAGACCCTCTATATCTTCCTTTTAGAGCTGATATCACGTGGTTTTAAACCACCTGCTTTTTATATTTAATTGCCTCTCGAGGGATTGATAGTAATTTTAAAATGGGCCTGAAGAAGGGAAAAGCGCCTGCTAGGGATAAATCCCCATTCTGTACACCTGGACCATCCTCTCCTGCAATAACACGACGACCACCACGAGATGCTGAGTCAAAGGAGGAGGATTACTTTAACGCAGTTAATCGCCTCTTGATCTGAAGTTTTCGGATGGGAGTAATACAGCAATTACTAATGTCGGCACGTCATGTTCGTAGATCTCCGTTATTTGGCCATTTGACACTTTTCAAAGCTCTTTGCTAATACTTTCATTGGACGCTAGTCATCGGCTGCGACAATTCGTGATTGGGGAGGGCAATAATCCTGCTCACCATGCACACTATACCCACAAATATGCGTTCCGCGGCCTGGTCCCAACGGAAAAAGCATATACTGCCCTTGGTCAGGAGAAAACAGAAACTCGACACATGTATCTCGGGCCTGACGCGTGGTGGTAAACTTCTGAATATTTCGCCTTCGTCACTGACTCCAATCAACGGCCAGACAGCGAGAAATTCACCCTCCCTGCCAGAAAAGCCGATGCAGTGAAGGCTTTTGAGGGGTTCAACACCGCCGTCAGGGCCATCATTGACATGCCCCAGAACGAGCTCAGCAAATGGGCTGTATTCGACACTTGTGTCTATCCGGTACCGACATTCATCCGCGGTCGCGTATGTATCTCCGGGGATGCGGCGCATGCGGCTGCGACTTACCATGGTACTGGAGCTAGCTTTGCAGTGGAAGACGCAGCAGTTCTTGCACAACTTCTTTCCACTGCGGACGAGTATACTGAATCGCATGATGTTGAGAATGGCGGTATCTCGAAGCCTAATTTATTACGCAAGTCCCTCGAGACCTACAACTCTATTCGTCTCGAGCGAGCACACTGGTTGGTGGAGACAAGCAGGCACATCGGCAAAATTTACCAGGGCCAGAACGCTGAGGTTGGAGTTGATTCTACGAAATGTGCACAAGAGATTGACTGGCGTTGTCGAAAGATTTGGCACTATGATGTTAATCAAATGACGAGGGAGACGAAAGAGCTCTTCACAAAGCAGTTGGAAACGGTTTGATATGTATTGTATCAATTGATGTGTTAGCCATCGTCGATGTTGGCTTTTATATAGAAACAAGTGAGTTGCATGCGATCATCGATTCTCTAATTATCTTCTGTGCTGTAATTGTCTATCAAACACCGATGATCTTTTGGAGACACAAGGAGATACATGTGCTGGTATATATCATCGTCGGTGAATCATTCTTTACTCGATACCTTAGGGATGGTAAAGCGACGGAAGAAATGCACCGTCGCGAGACGTAGTTCCCACTAAACTCCTTCCCAGCCCACTCTAGACTCTCTAGACTCTTTAGTCTCTTCTGCTTCCGTGGCCGTTCATCTTCAATAAGTACAGCACATTTATCATATTCGCGCGAGGTGCATGCCGATGCAGGCTATTTAAATATGTAAGTCTCAAGGTAAAAACGAGCGGACTGAAAAACACTTACTTCGGGAGCAGCCTCCAAAAGGCATGGAGTCTTTCATCTCTTTCGTGGGGTTGATCCATCTATCAGGGTCGAAACTAAGTTTGTTGGGGTTAGTCCTTATGCATCGTGTGATTCCTCTTTCAGAAAACCTCAGATTGGAAGATCTTGGAATCTCGATGAAGACTGTATACCTGTGTAGAAACAGTGATTCCACCTGGGATGAAATGATTAACCAGTTTCGCGCCTTCGTGTGGCACCGCTCATGGCAACGCCCCAGGCACAGCGGGTATAGTCGCAATGTCTCATCGATGACCCGGCGTGTATACGATAAAGCGCGCACATCCTCGTCTGTGAAATCATCCCGGAGGGTTGCAACTTCAGCAACCAGCGAATCTCGGACGGGGGGGGGGGTTTGCAGACAGCCCAGACCAGGTAGGTTAACGAGATAGCCGACGTGTCGCTGCCAGCTATGATGTTATCCCCCTGCTTCCAGTCTGATCCCAGCCTCTGTCAAACTACCTTCGTGGTGACCCTTGTTGATCAACTTGGTAAACAGGGTGGGCTTCACATCATCACCATAAGTCTCGACAAGCTTCTTGTACCTATGGATAGATCAGCATATCCGCCCATCCTCTTTCCAGACTGAGCAGCTTGCTTGGAGTATGGCAGTGGCACGTATTCAGCGACCTGAGGCAGGAATAGAAAGGTCGTACGGATGATCGTCAGAGTCGAAACCATCTCAAGGTCCAACGAGTATTGACTTTTCTGTAAATTCTGTGTCAGCGAAAGAATCTAGCGGGTCTATCATCTCTTCAAATAGGCTGAGCTCTCCTTTCTCAGTCATCCTGAAGAACTCGCCAAAGCTCAGCTCGCCGCTCGTGTCCGTTGCGAGAACATACCACCACTTAAAGACATCTACACAACCCCGCCTTTCAGCTTCCTTTGCCAGCTTCCTTTACCATTTGATCAACGCATAACTTTAATTTCTGGGCTACGGTGGGCTCATGTTGTCGAATTGAGGTTTCAGACATAGGCCCACCCAGCAGCCGACGTTGATATACATGGAATTGAGGGTTCGTTGAGCTGAAGAGAGTCTTGGGACTAGGGCGACCAATATGTTCGTAAAATTGATCTTTGTAGAATCGGCTGGCAACATTATGAATTCCCTTTGCTTCCTCACTGTCACTGACGTCAAGTTCGTTGGGCAGATTCGAACAATGGGCCCTGACAACCGCTCTGTTCAGTCTTTATCAAAATAGCTTGTTTCTCACGGTAGCACCTATCGTACTGTTGATGTAGTTTCTGGACATAATGTGGCCTATTCCCCGCGAACATTTGCAAGACCAGCCCTGTCCATTTTGAAATGGCAGGGCCAGGGAGATGTGCAAGAGGGCTAGTATAAACCCGATAGATTTTGGTCTGATTCTGGTCAGTATTCAATTAAAGCCAAGTGTCATTTCTAAGACTCACAAGCACAATAACCATAACTAGAATGATGATGGATTGCGTGGAAGATGCATGGATGTACGCCATGTTTCCTTAGAACCAAACGGGATTCGATTTCAAACAGTAGCCTGAGCGAAATTGTTAGAAATTCATCAGTGCTGAACAAACCGCCCCCACATAAAAGCAGATACAGTAAAACTGGGTGATTCACTTCCCTATGCAGTCTTGTCGGGGACATGAAGTGAGACAAGACACTAGGCCTTAGTGTGGGATCCTTGTTTCCGTCTCCAAGGCTATTTTTGAGACCGACTGAAGTGGCTTGAACTGGCTTCGCGAGGTACAAGAACTTGCATGAAGGATCAATGACCAGGATCATGTACCAACCAAATTTCCAAGGGATAATGTATCGCCGCCTTACAATTTGAATCCATCGGTCAATTGTGTTGTGGAATGTCATCCTATCGCTAACATATCGGAGTCTCGGAGTCTCTCGGGGTTAAAATGAACTACATGCCGAAAGATTTTCTAACAATGCAACCATTGCTTTCGTCGTTAATAAGGAGCGGGGGCAAGGGATATTCTTCTGCATGGTGGCTGAGCTTTTGACATTCGGAGCTCAAAAGCGCAGGAAAATGCGTGGAGGTTAGTGCAATTGATTGGCCAAGTGGGTGGTTAATATGATCTGTAACGTTGAACGAAAAATACCTAACTTATTAACCTCAGCTTTGTTACTCCGGACCAATAACTTAAGAGCCCAGTCTTTATAAATGATCCTTGCGCATAAGCCATTATTCACTCATGTAAGAGTTGGGGCGTTCTGGTCACACCAAACCTAATGACACCGGAATATATCCACCACCTAGGGAATTAGGCCACCAGTTTTATTGTAGTACGGGCTAAAATGGTGTGTGCCTGCTTGCATACAAAGAGGAAACCCAGTGTTTTGAAGGATTTATTACAGCTATACTAAGCCCGAATAAAATTAGTCTGCAAGACATCCTTGACATTACAAGCGAGTAGGTGGCAATATCAACCCCCGACTGGAGCCTTAATATCTGTAAGACATGTTTCATCCTGCCGAAATAGCTATATACAGACACGACATCCTTGACATTACAAGCGAGTAGGGATGGATTTAACGCTCCCGTCTATCTTTCTTCTATCTCTTTCTTGACTTCTAATATTAGCTCTGACATTTGGACATGTCAGTGTCCATCTCGGGGTTAAAATCATTGAACTTTGCCAAACACGTCTCCGCCAACATATTGACTACACTTAGATCCCGGAGACTACATAACATGGAATTATATAGGGTTTCAAACGCGGGGTTTTGGTTTTTCCGCCCTTGTGCAAATTCTGCACAGAAGACGAGGGGGATTGGCGTGAAGGGATGTATCTGTGAATGGAGTTCAGAGTTAGCAGAGACGTGCATACGTGAATCATTCGCATTTGTTACTCAGGGGTCTTGTTCTTATACCTTGAAATAGCCATACTGCCCTAGCCTCTGGCATAAATGTAATATTTTTTGAGCAGCCTCCATGGCTCGCTCTTCGAATCCGCTAATCAAGCTCTCGTAATTATACAGTGCGGACTGCATAGTCCTACCCAACAGAAGCGTGGTCGCTTGCGCTGCCATGTTTGTGAAAAGCAGCATAGGGTCTGTGAGCTCACCATCTAAATCATCTGAAACGCAATCAAGCATCGTTTTACCTTTGCTCGTGACGATGCTTTCAAGCCATTGATGTCGGGTTAGGAAGTCTTGAGGTATGCCCCCGTATGCTCTTTCAACGATACATTGCTGCTGGTGTGACAAGCAGCGACCACTGATGGTCATGAGTACAATGCAGGCACCGAATGGAGAAACTTTCTGCACATCGTCGTCTCCTGCCATGAATTCCGACAGGAATTGGGTTTCAACTGGTCGCTCACGTTGGAAAGCTACTTCTGGTGCTGGCAAGCGAGTGAAAATCTGTCATCCGGGTCAACATTAACAACACAAAACGAGTCAAAAGAGGATATCGCACAAATGCTTACCACTTGTTCGTTGAGGGTCAGCGGCATCTCGTTTATGAGATTGATGAAGCGGTCCAGGGAGTACGCCATCCAGAACGTCCTTCGGCGTTCCTCGACATCGCCAAATGAAATACCGGATTCTGCGATCCCGTTGGGCACGTCAATTTCATGAAGCTTCATCAGTTGAACGAGCCTAAAGCACCGCCCAGCACTCAGCCATCCCCGCTCGTAATTGACCTGCATGATTTCATATATGGCCAGAAATAGCCATGCCTGGGCTAACTCAATTGGAGGATCCCCGGGATGCATGTTGAGCTCCCATTTTTCTAACAGTCCCCGAGTATAGATATAAAGGTCTTTCTGGATGTCTTTGAACTGACTCCCCAACCACGCTGCAAGTGTCCACATAGCGTGCTGGAGACAAGTCATAGCTCCTTGGTCACTCATTGGTCGCGCGGCGCGCGCAAAATAACGGCGCTTGTTGAGTATCGGGGCAAATAGATGAACTCGGTCAAAGTACAGGTGACTCAAATCCGCCTTCATCAGTTTAGGCATTTGGAATTCTGTCGTGACGCCAAAATCCGAGGGAAGCTCAAACTGGCCGTCTGACAAGGCGCAATTTGGGATTGGTTGTGGTGGCACAAATGCCCTTACGTCAAATTCTGCAGGCATTGTACTGAAATTTCCCATGCGAGAGAAGAGGTCTGCAGGCTTTGATGGGTCTGAGGTATTAGTGGTGGATGAGGTTGGGAGAGTAGAGGGAAAGGGGCCGTTGATCGGCTGGAAGCCGTGCAAGGCCGATAATCCTTCTAATGGCACGGTCGGTTGTATGATCGGTAGCTCAGCCGATGACTGAGAGCTAGATGGCTGTTCGGCGTTCGCTTGGACTTGGTCTTGAACCTCGTACGATGTAGATTCCGACCGTTGTCTGAGATGTTGACCTTGTTGATTACTAGGGGGGCTTTCGGGCGGGCTTCCCCCCACAGCCATTTGTTGTCTGCTCCATTGATGTTCAAGAGCCGCTGGGATGGGGTAAGTCAGTGTTGTACCAGCGGAGAAGACAAAGGTTCTTACAAATGCGAGACTGCAACGCTTTCAGGTAGCCTTTTCGAGGCCCTCGCGGCCGTCGAGCACTGTTTGGGGTGCAAGTGAGCCCGAGGCTTTCGCAGGTCCCACATGTTGGCCGTACTCTATCACATCGAAGTTTTCTTGCTCGACACTCATCACAGGCAAGGCCTTGCGCCTGTCGATTAGGTCTTTCTGAATCATTTAAGTAGACATTGTATCCTGTTGCATAAATGCGACTTTTGTTCAATAATGGGCCCCTGTTATTACTATATGAAGACCTCGGTTATCGCCATCAACTACACTTATGCACGATCCAACCTTATCTGAACAGGGGTAGTGGCTGACTTGAGGGGGTAGGCAGCCGTACCGGAAGTGACTTAGAATCCGCCCTTTTGGTCGTCCCCCCCGCTTTAGTAAGGCAGGGTGTAAATAATCAATTAAATTCATTGTGATGGTAAAATATATTCATAATCAATTGCCCCAGGAATGATCGTGTCAGCTGACTAGGGACCGACTAATTCCTTCCCTAGTTGTGGAAGGGTAGAGTAATCATATTTCTGTCCAATGTTTCACAATTCCCTGCCCTGACTACAATATTGCGGTTCTCCTTTGTTATTCTTCAACAGTTCTGGATCTTGACAACCGTTTTTTGTTCCCTTAGAACGTGATATAGTATTTTGCTATCTTGCATTTCGGCCGGATATTGGGTGTTTCGGATTATGGCCTGTATCTATCTGGTGTATCTAGCGGGGGCTATACACGTGGTCATCATGTGGGTCTGGTCGTATCATGGATATCCACGTCAGAACTGACGCTAGGCTGGCCCCCGGGGCCCCGCTCCCGTCGACTCCTTTTTGACCCTCTTGTCATACACATAGCCACATGATTCTACTGTTCATGTCAGACTACTATATGCTTGTCAGACTCGGGACCTTGGCAGTAAAGCTTAGCTCCGACAGCCATCGAAGAAACACATGGAACTGGTTGGGCTACAGAAAAGCGTCGCTCACAGTGTTTGACAGCGGCAGGAGTAATAATGTCCACAGGAGAATAATATCAGGAGAATACTATCGTGCAGATGTGCCAGGAAGATTTCGACTTGTATTTTGGGAAGGTGAGGGTACGGTGAGGACATTCGAAGGTGAGTTGAAAATCCTCCTTCAAATGTTGGCAAAAGTACCTGAGTACTGTACAGAGTGTACTGTAGACTCGGCTATTATAAATAGATGATCGAATCCACTAGGCGAATCATTCACATGTGTTGGCAAACCATTTTTCAAAATGACCGATTTTCAGTCGTAAGAATTACGTATAGATTTATATTCCAGGTTTGCTCCTTAAGCATGTATCACCAGCGTTTCAACTAGAACGATATCACATCCATCGCACAGCCGTAGGTTCTCAGTGCGAGTGAGATAGTGAAGAATGGCAAAACATACCCCACTAGGACGACACCACTTTCGGCTACTAGACTTCAGGTCCTCAATGCGAGTGAGGTAGCCGCCGTCCCTTTGAAAACCGACATGCGCGTCTGTTACTAATATATGTGCTACGCCCCACGGGGAAAGACTCCCCGCTTCGCGTTACGAGATCTCTCTCCGCTGGCCGACCGTGTCATGCAAATGTAGCTAGAAGTGTCTCCAGTGACCGTACAGGATACCCCAACCGTAACCAAGCTTGTATTCGCAGTTTCGCAGACCTCTCGAGTACCCGTAGCTGCAAAGGCCTTAACGAGTTCGTCGAGGCTCTCCTCGGTATCCTGCCTCCGGTCTAGGCAATACCACATCCGCTGGAAAGCGAGTCCAATTTCGGTCTCGAGTACGAGTCGAGTAAGCAGACGTTGGATGGTGCGGTTCGGTGGTTGACTGTGTTATCAAATGGAGGATAAGTTAGTTCTTATATAAAATGGGAGAATCTCCTGGCGGTTAATCGACTCAGTGGAAATCAGGAAAAATCGGACACCAAGTGTCCGATTACATATAAGCCGTCCCTTACGAATACACAGAATATCCAAGCTCTCATATAATCATCCATATAAATCCGACAAGTGTCAACACCTTGGCCTTCCACATGCATGATATCTATTACCACAGTTCCAGATACCTATACATTCCTCCTTTCAACGTACTGTTGCCACAACTCTCACTCCTTTTGAAGTCATTCTCGGCATTGCGACATGCTAGTCATGTAGGAAAGCAACATCTCTATCGTCCGTCCACCAAAGTTCCATGCCAAATATCCGCACAAGAGCGGCCGTCATAAGATACAGCTCTGCGCGGGCGAGCTCCACCCGCATTTTCTTCCTCCTTTCCTTCGCTTGCGGCCCTCGTCGCCTAGCCAGCGATCGGGATCAAAGTCATATGGGTCTGGAAAAACAGACTCGGCGTTAGTTATAATACTAATCGGAGTACCAGCGGGCAGTATGTAAGATTTCCGCATAGAACTTGGTGAAGTCACATAACACGTTGGGGTGTAGATAATAGGTTTATGCTGGATGCAGGCAGCTCGAGCGGTGACACCAAAGGACAGTTTATTACGTTCCTCAATAATAGCGGAGAGGTATGGCAGCTTCTCTAGTTTGGTCCAGGACAAGGATGTCGATACTAATTCTAGCTCGGCGCGAAGTTTACTGAGAATGAAGGGATTAGCAAGAAGATGATAAAATATAATATTTAAAGTTTGGGCGGGCGACTCGGTTCCTGCTGGGGTTAGTAGTGCGCTCTCCTGTTCTAGCCGGAGGAAGGTCTTTTCAGAAGTGGTAAATTCGGGTTGTCTAGGACTGATTTGTAGACCGATTCTTTGCCTCCTTGGCTCACTGTGTTTTTCCTTGGAGCTCTGCATTCCTTCACCTTCATAATCCTGACTAACTCCGCGCGGACTCTCTAGTTTCGTTAATAGTGTGTGTTAACTGTGCTGGGTAAAGAACTTACATTAAAGAGTTCGAACATATCAATCAGGCCGGGTGGCATCATGGGGGTAGTTATAAACTGTGGGAGAGATTCAAGCATATCTGGAATTCATGGGAAGTGCTTGTTCACGTTTAACTCCCTTAAGAAGCTTATAACTGTTGTGGCACAGTCTGGCCGCCTCCTCATCTGGGAGTACGTCAGTTTGATGGGCAAATAAAAAATTGACGACGACGCTATTCTTGGTTATTAGCATTGTGCCTACTCCACTTCGTTAAAGGTCATGCTCATTGGAAAAGGTGTAAAAGGCGTCTGATAAGTTAACCGGGGATTTTGTCGCCGCATGCTTAGTGATTAACCGGCATAACTACTTGCGAGACCTTCTTGGTAATCACACCCTCTAGGGAGAGGACGTCGCGCTTACTAAAAAAGAGAGCGAGTACTTAACGGCGTCCTTTGTGAAGATAATAATCGGCCGTGGTCCCTACACCGCCAGGAACTCGTAAGGTTCGCAACTGGTAGTTATACTTGTCGACGTGAGTCATCGACGGTGCATAGACTGCATCTAGGTAGCTGACATTGTTAATGTGGATCTCGTCCGGCGTTATGCGGATTATAGGCCTTGTGTGTAATAATATCTCACTTAGTTAGTACTACTGTGCTTTAATTCCTGGCCCCTCCACAACTGGGAAGGATGGATCATACTGTATTGCTTATGAAGTTCTTGGATTTTAAAGATATACAGCCCCGGTTGGACAGCATCGTGGTAAAATTCGTACCACCAGGTAAGCGAGGCCATTCGTGGGCCTGGAATATGTGACAAGGGATGGAAATAGAGACGCCGGATCGCTCCAACAACTGTCCATAACACCAGAAGAGTATGCTCGTGTTGACCACCTGAATTAGAGTCATAACTATCGTGGGTTTGATGGGAACAGGTTTGAGTAATATCTGATTCTCAAGGCCAGACCGTGTAGGCAATGAATCATTCCTCATTAAAGGGCAAATTGTGGCGTCGTTTATGTTGGAAGTTAAGGTATGCCACAGCTCGAAGCCCCATAACAGGATACAGGTTCGCTCGGGTCGGAGCTCACCTCACGGAGCCAATCCAATAGACGGACAAGGATTTAGGCATACAATAGCAGGAACCAGGCTATAGATCATAGTACCAGCCCCATCCTTCCTTATGTCGAAAATCTAATGCATTTCACTCGGCCCAGCCAGTAAGCCTGCATGAATTAATGTAACGTGGTAAGCCCTAATACAAGCTTTCCTATGGCTGACCATCCCCGGCATTAATACTCAAATATTAGGATGCCGATCATGCGGGATGGACTAATGCTGTTTCTACAAGTGTTCTCGCCTGTAATACTGCCATGCTAGCATAGAGTAGGGGACAAATTCCCGCCGTATCATTTAGGAGGAGCCCGCCTCGGTTTTTGCCCACACTATAATCTTCCTGCCTGTCGATTTCAAGAGTTTAACAGACGCGTAGCAATGGACGGCACGAACCTACGCAACTCCGGCGGCAGTTGTCGCCATCAGTACATATTTTCTCTATTGGGAATTACCATGGTGTATCTGCGCTTCTACACACGAACCAAGTTGCGGTGTTTGTCCATGTTGTGGATTGATAACTGACTGGCCATGCTAGTATTGGTACAACGGACGCTCTAACCTCTCTCCTGGTCCGTATTGCTAACTTGGATAGATATTCGAACTGGTTCTGGAAGCGTTGCTGATATAGGGCGCTACGACAAAATCGTTAGAGGACCTCCTCCCTCCACCAAACATTTCTGGTCCTGACGGCTCTCTTTTCTACGCCGTCGCGACAGGTCAGACTCCAATCCAACTCTAGATATCCACATCTTTCGGACAGCCAAGCAGCCCTAAAAAGGCTTCAATCAACGGACACTAGCTATGAACCACACCAAAGAATCTCCAAATGGGCAACAAGGATCAGGAATAAGAATATTAATATTCACATCCATTGGGTTCCAGGCCACCAAGGAATCTTTGGCAATAACAAAGCTGACGAGGCAGCTACATGGTGGAAAATGGGGGTAGTTCAACACTAAATATAGAGAGGTATTTACAGACAGCTTATTATATATAACATATACGTATAGAAAAATAACAGTTATATAGGTTTATTATAGTTTATAGATAGGTTACCAACAGGTGCTTATAGCGGTTGTGTAATGGTTCCAACCAGTTGTGCAGTAGTTTAGTATATATTAGGTAACTCTAACAAAGTATTATTAAGCAGCTGTTCCAATTTTAAACCTTGTAACAGTTATAAAAGGTAACTATTACCTAAACATTGTTAAGGTTTATAACCAATCTTATACCTTTAATAAAGCAATAAGTATATATTTTAGTAAGGTAATAAATTAAAAAAAAATAGAATTATATATATATATATTGGTTTATAATTTAAAAAAAAGTGTAGCTATTTATAGTTAACTAGATAAAGTATATACTAAATAGTTTAATATAAAAAAAGATAAGTATTAGCTATTATAATAGTATAATAGTTATATAAAATTCACATCCCAAGTGTATAAAACCAGTAATATAAATTGCGCAGATGGTGCACCAGTTGCAGAGTGTATATTAATTATAAATAAAGGTAAAAAGCTGCTCTATAGGCTAACTAAATCCTATTCTGTTAATAACTTATATACTGGAAAATTTAGAGTAGAGTCTGCAGAGTCTGACGGTGTAGGTGCAACAGTAAATATTATTATAAGAAAAAAGTAGTATAACTTGTTATTAGGGACTAAATAATAGGAAATACAGTACTTAATACGGCCAACTAAATTTTAATATCTAATAAAATTACTAGTATGCAATGTTTGGGTACATATTTTACTATTTAAAGTTAGCACTAAATATAATACAAAATATAATTTTATATATACCTATCCTAAAATACCACTAATTTAAAAAATCCCAGCCAAGCAAAGTTATACTAAGTAGCCACTATAAGAGCATAGTTATTTATATAGGCTAATAAAAGCTTGTTAATAAAATACTAAGGTATAATACTTGTTTAATTCCGGATACTAATCTGTAGTAAGGGTGTAAGGCCAGCTGGATTTAATACCCCTAATAGTATTAAAGAATTAACTAGGTTATTAGTAAAAATATTATTAAATAGTATAAAACTATATACTAGTTTGGGACAAAACTTGCATATAAAACTAAATAAGTCTTTATATATATATTCCCATGCTCCAGCAAAGCCTAAATAAAAAGACTAGTGGAAGTTATCCATGCGGAAAAGATAGGCCAGTAAGTTTCTTGGTGCAGTAGTATTAGCCTAATATTTAAACAGCCTTAATAGTATTAGTATATATATAAAAAAAAAATAAAAAAAATAAATATACTTATACTTTAGCTCTCCACTTAAAATATTATAGTTTATAATTAAAGTATATTCTAATACTATTTTATAGAAGTATAATCTAGCATGTATATTTAAAAGGCTTAGCTTATTAACCTATTTATCTTTAAACATAGGTGTAGGCAGAATATTCTCTGGGCAGTATATTAAGTCTTAATAAAAAAAAAATATATAGAATATTAGTAGTAAAACTTACCTAGTATATAGTTTTTTAATGCAGGTTTATTAAGCAAGAATATAAAAAAAACAAGCCTTTAATATACCTGTTGTCCCTTAAGTATAATTTAATGGATTCCTGAAGCTGGTATACTGGATAAGGTTGAAATTATTAAAGTTAAATATATAAATATAGTAAAGGCGTGAATAATATACTAGTAGGAAAAAAAAAAGCCTGCACCTGTATATAGCAAGGGAAGAGTAATAATAGCTTTGGATAAATATAATAGTATAAACTATAACTTATTAGCAAAGTAATAAAAAACTAGTAGTGTAAGGATAATTATATATCCAGCCTTTAATATATATTATAATTTATATCGCAGCAGACTCTGTATTAAAGGCCATTTTTTTAAAGTAGTAAATCGCTGAAATGCTTGTATATACTATGTCTAACCTTTTAATAAAAAAATCTTAAGCAAAAGTTTCTGCAAAATAATTCCGAGACCCTTTTATTTAGAGTGTGGGATATCGTATGGTTGGGTAAAAAAAAAATTAAGAGTTAGTATAAGCTGCTAAAAAAGAGAAGGCTTTAATAATAATCCTTTTTTTATAAAAAACTTCCCTTGTGTAGTTTTGCTGCCACTTTTATTCCCCTTGGCCTGGGAATTATTATTATTATTATTATTATTATTATTATTATTATTATTATTATTATTATTATTATATTATTCTTCCATATTATAGAGCATTTTTCAGTCAGAGACTATGCATGCTCTACCTACCACCCCTGGGTGGTAGGATTTGAACTAACAAACAGATACGTACATAGTGGGTAGAATCAAACATGAATAAGCAGTATGACATTCTAGGAGTGGGGAGGACCTTATAAAAGGGGTTAAACCATGCGAAATTCCAATTCTTTTTGCTGTTTTTCCTTTTTTCTTTTGTTTTTGATTTTTTGTTTTAGGGATCCAGGAGCCACTTTCTAGTGGCGATCCCGGTTTCCTTCAGGAATTTGACCAGTTGTTCTTGCCCTGCTTTCTTTGTAAACAGATAAGGCAGATTTCGGTCTTTTTTGTCTAGGGTCTCTATAGACCCTTTTCTAATGTCTCTAAATGCCTGGCACTGAAAAGTAGGTGGTGCGGAGTTTGCTTTTGCTGCGCACACTACTCGTTATATCACTATCATAGTTAGGTGTTCGAACTAGATAGGATCTAAAATACCCATGCCCTAGCTTTAGCTGGATAATGGTTGACCAGGTCTGCTTGGGAAGCTTTAGGGGGCTTGGTTTCCATGAAGCTATGGAATTAAAGCCCCTATATTGATACTTTTCCTAGCATTTTCCCATGCTTATCCCAATCCTCAAGGCATTTCGCTTGAGCTCTCGTTTGAGATGGCTAACTGAATAGGACATTTGTAATATTTACTTGTCCATTCTGCGCCATATTTCGCTGCTTCGTCAGCTTTGGCATTACCAAAAATTACCCTGATGGCC